TAATCTAGGCAAGTAAGATTCTCTAGACCTATCCAACGATTTCCGTATGTTTCTGTTAAAATGTGGCAAGCAATCACATCGAAGTTTCTTAACGTAATGGGAAATGGTCCTCATGTATTTGGAAGAGCTTAGCTGTCTATGACTAGGAGATTTGCATTCTAGCTGAAAGTTGTTATTTTGAGCAATTTTGGTTTAAAAGCTTCACATGTGGTATTCGAAAATTCTGCTCGCCCTGTATCTTCGGACTAGAGCGGCTTATAGGAAATAACAGCAGCAAGAAAAAACTAATACTTTTAAGAATTACTGATCTATGTTTAGTAAAAAAAACTCTATCAGATGTAATGTATTTTGAAAGAATGCTGACTTATAATTCTCCTGTGGCTATAACTTTGTGTTTTTCTAGGTTGTCCTAGTATTTTTACTAATGAAAAAAAATAAACCGCACCAGACAGCTCTCAAACTATACTAAGTTACATATAAATCCGAACACCCAGTTTAAATTTTTATTTTAATAAAATTTTGTATAAGTACTTAATGAAGCATAATAAGTAAGTGATAAAAATTTCAAAATGATTGCACTTCTTTAAAGCTCTTTGACCTTTAATAATGTGTGGATGCACCCTGATGTGCTACGCATTCTCCAACGCGCCTAGGCATGCTTCTGATCAGGTGGTCAATGTCCTCCTGTGGTATCTCATTCCAGGCAACCACCAACTCCTCTCGAAGTGCTTCTAGAGTCTGAGGAGGACGTTGCAAATTGAGCAATCTCCTACCCATCATATCCCACACGTGCTCAATTGGGGATAAGTCGGGAGATCTTGGTGGCCATGGTAACAATGTGACATCATTATGTTGAAAGAAGTCTATTGTGACTCTTGCAACATGTGGTCGGGCATTATCTTGTTGGAAAGTTGGATCTGCCAGGGTGTCAAGATAGGGTAAAAGATGGGGTTCTAGAACTTCGTAGATATAACGCTGCGCGTTCATGTTACCTCTGATGAAGATTAAAGGTGACCTGGAACCATAAGCTATAGCACCCCAAACCATAACTCCAACAGTGTGATGAACATGTCTTTCAACAAAAAACTGTGGATTCCTCCTTTCACCACGTCCCCTTCTAACCCTGGCACGACCATCGTGCATGCCTAAACAAAATCGAGACTCGTCACTAAAGACAATACTGTTCCATTCCTGATCCCAGAGTGACCGTTGTCTGCACCACTCAAGGCGATTACGCCGGTGTTCTCGAGTTAAAGGGAGGACCCAGTGTGGCCGGTATGAAAACAAGCCAAAACTTCTCATTAGTCGGTAAACACTTCGCATGCCAATAGGTCTTCCGTGTTCTGCAAACCATTCATTTGCAATGGACCTGGTAGTGGAGAAACGGTCCCTTAAGGCCAATAATCTTAGGCGGCGATCTTCACGGTCTGTTGTTCTACGGCGGCGTCCAGTGCCCCTTGCTCTTTGCGTACGGCCTTCTCGAAGCCATGCCTGACAACACCTAACCACAGTGTCTACACTTCTTTGCACTCTAACTGCAATTGCCCGAAAAGAAAGTCCAGCTTCCCGAAGTCCCACTATACGGCCCCTATCAAACTCACTAAGTTGACGAAATCGTACAGGTCTCCGTAGTCTAGGCATCGTAACCGATCGTAAAGGATTCCAAGAACCAAAATCCGCCAACGTTGATTCTTTACTGCGGCTGAAATATTCATTTTTAGAGCGTTAGTGAATTAAAAAAAAGCAGTATAAAAACCGGAATGTCCAACTGATAAGGCTGAAAATTTTTTCACTTGTTATTTACAGTAAGATAAATACATTCACCAACTTTATTAAAATAAAACCATTTAAACTGGGTGTTCGGATTTATATGTCACTTAGTATATTTATGTACATACGGTAAAATTTCATAAATGAACAGATGTCGTAGGAGATTAGGTGTTCGCTTTGTAAAAATTTATTTTGAGATCGAGCTTTTATTTCTGTCACCGGCCACGCACTTTTTCTATTATAAAATGTGGAATTTGGGACCGTTTACAAATTTTAGTATATTCAAAAATATATGTTTGTCGGACAAAAATAACAGAACTGTGTTTCACGTTATACTCACACGTCTCTCTGATTACGTATTTTATGTATTTTGCTAGCCGAATTGGCTACTTTGTTGATCGGAATATCCGATAGCAAACTGTGCTCGAATTCTAAATCGTGTATTTTATGGCATAGATTAACAGGACCCGGCGACCATTTATTATGCCATAGACTACGTAAAAATGGAAATTCGGTGACTTTAATTCGAATTTTTGCAAGTACACATGTTGAACTGCATTAGTGTGCTCAACGTGAGGACGAAGGCCATGACCCCTAAATTGGAAGGTACCGATCAGCGTGTGTAGCGTCGAAGTACTACATCTCGCATTTTGAGTCCATGAAGTTCATGAACAATGAATATCACATGCGTACATTTCAATCTAGTTTTCAACCTGTTTTTCTTCTGCAGAAGCCAGTTCCAGATCACCGACTGAGGTTAAAACTGTTGAGGTTATTAAGGCCATTGGTCCCTTTTATTCAACAGCCTGTTTGAAGGAGTATTTTCAATTATTTTCGTCTGATATCTTCACGCTGTAAAAAGATATGATTGATAAGGAATATTAGCAATTTTTTCATCAATAAAATGCATTTCTTTGTTCATTTTTTCTGCAATCGTAGTTTGTGAACGAATAACAGTGTAGCTCTGAAAATGTATGACAATATTCCACATTAATAGTAGATTACCTTGAAACATTATTATTTGCTTGACATTTTTTTCTAAAAAACTTTTGTTTTTTCCGAAAAAGCAAACTAAGTTTCCAAAAATAAACTTACTCAAGACTATCATTGCTATTTGGTGTAAATTTTGGAAGAAATCCGCCTCCCGCTGGCCACTCCTACCGCGGCGGATGATTAGCCGTAATCCGAAGTGACTATGCGTATGTCTTCGCCGTGATGCTGATGCCACGTTTCAGCATATTCATTCTGTTACGGTTACGGTTGAAAGTGTATTGTATACCTTTTTTGTTGTTAAAAAATGCCTAAAAGTCGTGTTGCATTATCAAAACGGCGTAAGCGCACGCGTGGTAACAAAGAACAAAAAAGGCTAGCAAGGTAACAGTTTCTTTGAGGTCCGTTGTATAGTCCATAAATTCGAGTATTGACTGTAATTGACTTAGTTGGTGGTATAGTTAGATGAAATTTTAAATTTTTTCAAGCTGGGCCACAATACCTCTTTGAAGCTTTTAAATTGAGTTAATCGATGTATGCTAGGCCAAAGACCTGCGCTATTATCACACAAAAGATTGGATCAAACATTTTCCATAGAAGTTCCCATTTTCCCCAGCTTGGTTCAAAAAAGGCATATTCATGTTTTACCTCGTCTCCAGCCTCCTCCAGATTTTGATCTCTGCATCTTGCTTTTTTATCCAGGTTGTTGTTAAGAAATGAAGTTGATGAACTATGTGGATAGCCTTTTGTTGACAACAGCAATGAATTATCTGAGGCTTGTCCAGTTGGTGTCAAAGTTATGTTGGCAAATCTTCGTTCGATAGAGTGTCTTACGATAAGGATTATGCTTTTGAATCAGTGAGGCACCAAAATTACCTAAGCCTTGTGTCCTTATGTGGCAAATCTTCGTTCGATAGAGTGTCTTACGATAAGGATTATGCTTTTGAATCAGTGAGGCACCAAAATTACCTAAGCATTGCTGACAGAATTGCAGGCAGGAAGATTGTTAATTTGGGCCATATTTTGTCGTAGTAACGTAAAGTGTGCAATCATTGGAGGAAATGTACACTGGGTAGGATGGAGTTCGTGAAAGAAACAAAAACAGAGGTCATGTCATAAAGTTACATTTTTTATGAAAATTGTAAGAAAGCTATGGTTATATAATCAGAGCCAAACAATAACACAAAAAACCGTCAATTCTGCAGCAGTTTGGGGGAGCATACCAACTGACATAGGTCGCCGTCAATATGGGGAATTTATGGCAATTTTAGATGTTCCCTCTTTGACCACTCGAGCTTTTCGGACAGAAAACTGAGAATGTCAAGAAGGTATGTTGTATATAGGATAGCTCATGGAAACAGAAATAAGTTACACAAAACAATATGTGTATTAGTTCATATATGATACCTGCATAGATGTATGTGTATGCCATGTACAACTGGGCATGTACAAAACTTTTATTTCATTTCGAACCTGTCCTGAGATCTAGCGGATATTCCTGTCACCAGAGCATTGCTCCCATGCCTTAAGCAAGTGTCAGCAATCATTCGAACCTAGAGCGGATTTAGAGAGGAGCGAGGGGGTGCCGCACATGTTTGGTTTTTGTATCTGGCTTGTCCTGCTTTTGGTAGGATGTTTGGACGCAGCCGCGCAAGCAGAAACCTAAATGCCCAGAACACCGCGACCGCAATGAAGATCCCAAAGAAATTTGTTAACTGATTTTGAACTGCGTAAGGTTCGTAGAACTGGAAAAAGAGCATTGAGGGGACGTCCGAAGTGAGAAACCATTCGTAATGAATTATACATAGATAATTGAGAGAAATAGCGCTTGAAAATAAAATAAACAATGAAAGCAGTAACAATAATATTTACATTTGTCAAAACAGATCCAGTATAAGTAACCAGAACATATGATTAAAAACAAGCACACAAACAAATGGCAGAATAAAAAAATACTATCCAGCCGTTTAATCTGAATCTTTTTGTTTTAAGCAGAGGAAAATGCTGTTTGAATTTATTGAATTTTCAGAAATAAAGCTATAACTTGTTCGTTTTCTCTATTTTATATGAGCATAGTCTATGGAGACTATAACGTTGTCACTTTGTTGTTCTGGACCGAGGACATAATTCACCGAACTTCCCCTTCAATGAAAGCATGTATTTGATGCAAAAACTGCTTTTAAATACTTTTAATGGTGAATTAAGATTGTTTAAGATCCTTCAATGGAAAGTGCAGGAACTTGAATATAATTATACAGGGTAGCCCCTCCATGTATGGACGAATATTACTCATCAACTAATACATTTAGGGAAAATCTATTTATGGCATGTCCCAATTTTGACCTACATATCAAAATTGTGTTTTTTTAAATGGAATTTTATTGCATATTTGGATAAACCAATTCAAAAGAAGAAGATTGATGTAACATACTATTCTTCGGCAACCCCTCAATCAGTCATTTTGAAATTTGGAGTGCTGAATTTTGTATCAAAAAAACCTACACACCTCAGCTTTTATCTTATTTGTTACTTTTACGAATTTTCATTTTTGCTCATACAGGGTGGTCAAAAACGCGAATTGTACTTTTTCTCAAAAATTTCAAATGCATCACCCTGTATATTTGTGCAAGTTTGGATTCAATTTTTTATAAGGTTTTTTTGTATAAGGTTTGATTCAGATAAAATCACTAGATTTTGAGTTATTAATCTTTTAACAACAAACCAAAATTAAGGAAAAAAAATCACATCATCCATGGAAACAAAAGACAAATAGCGGGCTAGTTCTATATTGCCACTAATGGTGGGGCTACATTAGCGGGCGAAGATTCGTGTCGTGTTGGCGCGAAAAACATCGTGTATCGGGCATACACGATGTTCTTGTCTACATTTAGCGGCGAAGATTCATATAACGGACTGCGACGATTATTCGTTTGTGTGTTGTTTAGCCGTGCGGACGAAAATATGGAGGAAGCAGTAGCGTTGCATTATATGTCAGTAAATTATTATTATTTATTACACTTGTACGGGTATCAGGTACAAAGTAGTATGAATAAGAGAAGAAGGAGGAGATGGTGGATGACTACTATTCATAGAAACCGAACGATGTAAGTGTGCAGCACAATTTTTACAACACGTCACGCTAAAATAATACTTGATATAATGTTTCTATTTTGCCTTTTTCTGCATTAGACCTTAAGTGGTGTGAGTATATAATAATAATTTTTACATTTTTTTCTTATTTACAGAACAGGAATGGAACGTTTGTTATCTGAGCTAACCGCAGAGTCCGGTATAGAATTCCCTGGATTTTTACGTATGTCGACATCTGACTTTGAAATACTACTACAAAAGCTCGCACCACTAATCACCAAAAAAGATACAAAATTCAGAAAAGCAATTACTGCAAAAGTGCGATTGGCAATAACACTACGTTATCTGGCGACAGGAGATGATTTTCGAAGCCTTCATTATCTTTTCAAAATATCTCATCAACTCATTTCCAAAATAGTACATGAAGTGTGTGCAAGTATTTTGATCGTTTTGAAAGACGAAGTTATGGTAAGAAAAATACAATATTTTACTCATAGTTCAGTTTATTTCACTAAGTGCCTATAGTCTAAGCAACATGTACCTTTATGGAGTTTTTCTTTTCGATTATTAATAACAAAATAAACATTTTTCTATTCTCATTCCTATTAAAAAAAAGGTATACCATCCATAAAAAAAACTACAAAACTACTACATTTTCATATGAATACTATATCACCAGGCTCCGATATAACGAATTGTGATGTTTTCTGAGATGGCATGGTTTGGTTCTGCGATGGCGATGGATGGATCGGAGACTGGTACGTTTGGGTCGGTGGTGATGGAGATGGTGATGATTGATTTGAAGAGTGATATGTGTGGTTCTTTGGTAACTGAGATGGTGATGGATGAGTCGGGGACCGGTAGGTTTGATTCTGATGTAACGATGAATGGATTTGGGAGTGATATGGATGAGTTGGGTGAACCCGATCTATCATGCCTGCGTTTATAACCATGCTATGGATATCATTCATAAGAATGTCTCTGGTATTTGGGTTTTTAAGTTTTCTTATTTTAGCAGCAATCAGTTTCCCAAACATTTCATATTCGTCGTTGACACTGCCTTTCACGTGCTCAAATGCCTCTTGCATTTGTCTCTTCGCATGTAATATTTCTGAAGGAAAATCAATATTCGCTCGCTTATTTGTTATGTTTGAATTAATCGGAGGAGTTGGAGTTGAGTCTTCTTCACTACGACTAACTGTAATCCCTTCATGTTCATCGTCACGTTCTGCATGCTCTTCCCGTACACTTTCATTCTGAAATAATAATAAAATTTGTTTCAGATGCCTTCAAACGAAGAAGAATGGCTACAAAAAGAAACTGAGTTCCATGATATCTTTCCACATTGTATTGGAAGCATTGATGGAAAACGCAAATTTTATCACCCATTCACAGTGGAACTGAATTTTATAATTATAAACATACATTTAGCATTGTCCTCATGGCTTTGGTAGATAAGAAATATCGGTTTCTGTATGCAGATGTTGGTTGCCAAGGGCGAATTAGTGATGGTGGAGTGTTTAGAAATACCGCATTATTCGAAAGATTAGAAAGAAATGCTCTAAAGATACCAGCTCCTTCGGTGCTTCCCGGTACTGATTTCATCATGCCGTTTGTATTTGTAGCGGACAACGCGTTCCCGTTACAAACACACATCATGAAGCCATACCCTGGAGATCATCCAGAAGGCAGTATTAAAAGAAAATTTAACACGCAACTGTCAAAAGCCCGTATAGTTGTAGAAAATGTGTTTGGAATTATGTCTGCGGTATTCCGCGTACTTAGGAAGCCGATTGCACTCCAATCAGATCGCGCCTCTAATGTTGTAATGTCTTGTATATTACTACACAACTTCTTAAGAAACAGTTCATCTTCAACTAATATATATATATACCACCAGGTTTTGCGGACACTATTACAAATGGACAAGTAGTTCCAGGTACATGGAGAAATGAGCAACAAGAAGAAACTGCGTTGCGCCCTTTTCCAGCGGTAGCTAGACGGAGCGGTCTTTTACCTACACAGATCAGGGACCAGTTCGCTCAATATTTTTTCAGTCAATAAAAATAGTCTAAGCAACAAAAAAAGCAAAACTCCCATTTTGTTTGTTTTTACATTGTTTATAACTTTTGCACTTTTTATCAGTGCCTTTTCGAATTTTTTCTTAAACTTTCTACATATTTTTCCGAATCAAATGACACCTTCATCGTAATTTTCGGAGACTAATCTCAGATTTCACCCAAAAAGCTACATGTTGCTTAGACTAAAAGTATGTTTTTATTTTTGTGAAGTCACACTGTGGAATGTGAATAAATATAAGATATAATAAATAGGCGTGTTTCATTATTTACCTGTGTATCGATAGTCCGGCGACAATCATATATTGGCTGAAGAAAACTGTTCATAGCCGAAAAGGCGAACCAATTTGTTTGATATATGTCGTCGGTGCCAGCGCCTGACCTCATTGATTTCTTTATTTTATTGAGATGAGCTCTGTAGTACGACATCAAAGAATCTTTTTTCCTCTTCATTTCTTCTATTGTGGTAGGCCAACTGAGCCTATTTTGAATTCTCGTCCACGCATCATGTACCAAATGCTTCTTTTTGTGGTCTGGGTTACTAGGATTCCATATAATATTTTCTGTTTCATAAAACTGAATGAACTCCAACACTTTTTCGTTATTCCACTCCATCGTACAGTGTACAAAAACACCTAGGCCAAATATATTTTATCTCTGCAAAACACACGCACATCCGTCTCGCTTCAAAGTCTGGACGACCCTGAAGTAACGCAGGTGTAGCCAGACATGCGAATATTGTCGCGATACGTCCCTTTGATGCGTGCTAGTTTACCGACAGCCACCCGATGTTACATCGTCTTCGCCCGAATACACCGCGTTGTAACGATGTACCCGGCCACACACATCGCCGTAGCCCGAATATTCGCCGTAGCCCGCTAATGTAGCCCCAGCATAAGAATGACCTCCACACGTTCTAAGAGTATTGTCATCAGATGATTTGGCAAAGTATGCCCAGAGAGCAGACCCGTGGTTGTCTATTAGATATCCATGGTGGATACTCATTGGGCGAACATACACTTCGAATGGTCATCTATTTGTATATCCAGATGTCCGACTATACCCAAGAATCTGGATATTGCATTCTAAGGTTATGCATTTAATACCTGTATACCCAACCGATATCCACTGAAAGTTAGTGAGGTACCCAGTGCTTCGTCATAGAATCGTCTGATAGCTGCTCCAGGTATATCCAGATGATCACACCAGAGGCACGCGAACCTGTCAAGTCCAATTTCAAAACGAAGAAGGATAATAATTGAAAACCTTACAAAGCAAATTAACGATGTATAATTGCAATATGAACACCTGAAGGTGAATCAGCGCGATGCAACAGAGCGGTACTCGGGAATATACGTATATAGTAAGTGACATATAAATCCGAACACCCAGTTTAAATGGTTTTATTTTAATAAAAGTTGGTGAATGTATTTATCTTACTGTAAATAACAAGTGAACAAATTTTCAGCCTTATCAGTTGGACATTCCGGTTTTTATACTGCTTTTTTTTAATTCACTAACGCTCTAAAAATGAATATTTCAGCCGCAGTAAAGAATCAACGTTGGCGGATTTTGGTTCTTGACATCCTTTACGATCGGTTACGATGCCTAGAGTACGGAGACCTGTACAATTTCGTCAACTTAGTGAGTTTGATAGGGGCCTTATAGTGGGACTTCGGGAAGCTGGACTTTCTTTTCGGGCAATTGCAGTTAGAGTGCAAAGAAGTGTAGACACTGTGGTTAGGTGTTGTCAGGCATGGCTTCGAGAAGGCTGTACGCAAATAGCAAGGGGCACTGGACGCCGCCGTAGAACAACAGACCGTGAAGATCGCCGCCTAAGATTATTGGCCTTAAGGGACCGTTTCTCCACTACCAGGTCCATTGAAAATGAATGGTTTGCAGAACACGGAAGACCTATTGGCATGCGAAGTGTTTACCGACGAATGAGAAGTTTTGGCTTATTTTCATACCGGCCACACTGGGTCCTCCCTGTAACTCGAGAACACCGACGTAATCGCCTTAAGTGGTGCAGACAACGGTCACTCTGAGATCAGGAATGGAACAGTATTTAGTGACGAGTCTCGATTTTGTTTAGGCATGCACGATGGTCGTGCCAGGGTTAGAAGGCGACGTGGTGAAAGGAGGAATCCACAGTTTTTTGTTGAAAGACATGTTCATCACACTGTTGGAGTTATGGTTTGGGGTGCTATAGCTTATGGTTCCAGGTCACCTTTAATCCTCATCAGAGGTAACATGAACGCGCAGCGTTATATCCACGAAGTTCTAGAACCCCATCTTTTACCCTATCTTGACACCCTGGCAGATCCAACTTTCCAACAAGATAATGCCCGACCACATGTTGCAAGAGTCACAATAGACTTCTTTCAACCTAATGATGTCACATTGTTACCATGGCCACCAAGATATCCCGACTTGTCCCCAATTGAACGTGTGGGATATGATAAGTAGGAGATTGCTCAATTTGCAACGTCCTCCTCAGACTCTAGAAGCACTTCGAGAGGAGTTGGTGGTTGCCTGGAATGAGATACCACAGGAGGACATTGACCACCTGATCAGAAGCATGCCTAGGCGCGTTGGAGAATGCGTAGCACATCAGGGTGCATCCACACATTATTAAAGGTCAAAGGGATTTAAAGCAGTGCAATCATTTTGAAATTTTTATCATTTACTTATTATGCTTCATTAAGTACTTATACAAAATTTTATTAAAATAAAACCATTTAAACTGGGTGTTCGACGAGGTCTGGAATAATAATTATATTACATAAGATTTTTTTCCGCCCTTGGGAACGATCTGCTCAGACAAGTCAGCGGCCCACGGACTTCGAAAATTATATGTACAAAGGCGATATGCTTGATGGAAACCCACCTTGCAGGAAAGCCTTTTCGGAGAGTGATAGTGTCAGTGCGCATGCTACTGATAGTAGTAACGAGGTCAGCAATGATAGTCAGGAATACTATACCGTCGTATCTCTAAAAGAATGTGCCTGTCTGTTGATGCTCAACAGATTTGCATTAATGTTTATAATGGGCTGTTACGTGAAACGGGTGATAGCGGCAATAGTAGTGTCCTTAAAAAAACAGTCGAACTGACTAACGTGCCATATCCTACAATTTGTAAGATTATTCGTGACGGTGTCAAACCAAGAAAAAGGAAAATTGACAAGGGGACATCTATACCTTTAAGTGCAGCAACAACTGCCAAAATAAGGAATATAGTGTATGATCATTATAAACGTAATGAAATTCTCACAGCAGAGGTGGTACATCGAGAATTGATGGAAAGAGGCGAGAATTGTCTCCTCCGGACATTTCAGGATTTGAAAACTATAACAATCAACTCAGATCCGTCTCTGTCCTCATGCCTCCGGTTCTCGGTTTTATAGCCCTTTTATCACTATCAGCAAGAAATGTAAACGAACTTAAAAGCATCTAGTATACATGGTGAAATGTTAAACTGTCACGTGACAAGGTTTTGTACGGCATCTCCCAAAAATAAATATTCTTAGTTGTTCCAATGTTCTTAAATCGCATATTCTTAGAACGTTCGTCAGAAGCATATGCTGAGAACATGGTTTATGAGGATATCCATCTTAGAATCTAAAACGTACATTCCAAAACTGCGAATATACTTTTTCATGTTTACTGGGTACTGATAGGCAACCCTAGTTTAACGTAATTTTCTATAATCAAAAATAGATATGTAGTTTTATCAGTAAATACCCCATAAATGCTCATGATTTCCTTACCTCTCCTGGCAGACAAAAAACAGACTCTTCCTCCATCATCCTCCCGGCAAGCTCCAATCCCCCACTAAACATCGGAAACCCACTCATGTCTACCTCGACCACCATATACATGGCCCCTTGAGGCATGTAGGGCGTGAGGCCCTTAGCCTTCTTGAGGCATTCGTAGGCTAACTGAGCATGTCGTTGCAACGTTTTGGCTAAGTTTGAGTGGAAGGTAATTGGGGTTTGCTGCAAAATGGCTGGAAGAGCTGCCTGGATCAGGGTGCAGGAACCGATGGTTCGCTGAGTTAGGCGGACCAAGGCAGATCGGATATCGTGTAGGGCCGAGGTTTCGTCATGGACTACGATCCAGCCTAGAAGAAACAAAGAAAACAATATACAGTGTGTTACCAGCAGTATTATATTACTAATATACAGGGTGACTTCGAAGTTGAGTCATTTATTTTAACAGTGAGTAGATCTGATCAAAAGAAATGTTTTTTTCCATTACCATTTTTCTGGTAAAATTAAAGTAACAAAGTTATAGCCCTTTAGAAGTTTGAGTACCGCCCTGTCTCAATAATAATATTATGTGCTCGTGTTTGGCAACAACGGATATAATCCGCCTTATCGGTTCATCGCATCGGAAACAAAAAAGCGGAAGAATTTGGAACGATGTTTTTACAATTATTTTATTCAGTTGTATACAGTCAGTGTCCGTCGGTAACGCGTGCGTGAATAGTGGTGTCTGTTGCGTGGCTCAAACGAAATCAAAAATGGCACATGTTTACGAAAATGCTGAACTTGTGGACATGATTCTTATTTACGCGGTTCGCGGATTTATGCGGATCGGTTTCCCAATCGAGTGCAACCAACCCCTCGTGCCTTTGTTAATGTAGTACAAAGGGCTCGTGAATCAGGTGACTTAAGACCTCATAGGGGAGGGCATGCCGGTGCTCCAAGACCGCACGATCAAATACAGGTCCGCACTGAAATACTTGTCGGGAGGATACTTTATAAAACAAGGTAACATTTTTTTTTTAATTTTTTTTTATTTTTACACACATATTTTGGTTTATCTTCCTTCTACAATCATTATCTGAAAATTAATGACTCAACTTCAAAGTCACCCTACATTACAAAATAAGTGCATGAGAATAATACTAAATAAATATAAATATACTCCAATTAGGCAAATGCTTAGCAAATTAAAATGGCTCAATGTAAAAATTTTTATCAAATACCTTGTAATGATATTCATTTATAAAGTAAAAAATAATATATTTCCATCAAGTCTAACTAATTTAACATCATCAAATGTCGACCATCATTTACATAATACCAGAAATAAAGATGACTTCCATTTAATGACCAAAAAGTATAACATATGCTACAAATCTGTATTCCATCAAGGGTTGATTGAATATAACAAATTATACTCGGAGTTAAAAGACCAGAAAACTTTGACAAAATTTAAAGTAAAATTGAGAAATCACTTGTTAAATCTACAATTATAGGTTGCCCAGCATCTACATCATACATCATATGGCTTGAATTTACTAGTTCTAAGTTGTTTACAATTGTTCTGTTTATGTAGCCAAATGTGCTAAATAAATCTTTCTACTACTACTGCTGCTACTATTTCCAAAATCAGGCCCCGTGGGGGTGTATATCGCAATATTGGCTATGATGGGTACGTAGATTCTGAATTAATAAATTTGACGCTAGGATCTACGCTGATTTCAATAGAGTCGGTTTCTTTCTTCTGTTTGTGACCACGACACGAATCGGTCAGACTGTAACAAGTTTAATTGAGTTATAATAACTTCTGGTGAAAATGCAGATCTTGCTTTAGAAAGTCCCAAAAATTTTTAGGCTCTTTATGACAGAATTTGTAGAAAACCCTGTGAATCTGTGGTATATGGGGTGTTTAAAATTCGAATCTCCATTGAACTTTTGCGCATATGAATACAGTTTTTAATTCTGATTAAAAAAATATATACTAACTGACATATAAATCCGAACACCCAATTCAAATGGTTTTATTTTAATAAAAGTTGGTGAATGTATTTATCTTACTGTAAATAACAAGTGAACAAATTTTCAGCCTTATCAGTTGGACATTCCGGTTTTTATACTGCTTTTTTTTTAATTCACTAACGCTCTAAAAATGAATATTTCAGCCGCAGTAAAGAATCAACGTTGGCTCATTTTGGTTCTTGACATCCTTTACGATCGGTTACGATGCCTAGAGTACGGAGACCTGTACGATTTCGTCAACTTAGTGAGTTTGATAGGGGCCGTATAGTGGGACTTCGGGAAGCTGGACTTTCTTTTCGGGCAATTGCAGTTAGAGTGCAAAGAAGTGTAGACACTGTGGTTAGGTGTTGTCAGGCATGGCTTCGAGAAGGCCGTTCGCAAAGAGCAAGGGGCACTGGACGCCGCCGTAGAACAACAGACCGTGAAGATCGCCGCCTAAGATTATTGGCCTTAAGGGACCGTTTCTCCACTACCAGGTCCATTCCAAATGAATGGTTTGCAGAACACGGAAGACCTATTGGCATGCGAAGTGTTTACCGACGAATGAGAAGTTTTGGCTTGTTTTCATACCGGCCACACTGAGTCCTCCGTTTAACTCGAGAACACCGACGTAATCGCCTTGAGTGGTGCAGACAACGGTCACTCTGGGATCAGGAATGGAACAGTATTGTCTTTAGTGACGAGTCTCGATTTTGTTTAGGCATGCACGATGGTCGTGCCAGGGTTAGAAGGCGACGTGGTGAAAGGAGGAATCCACAGTTTTTTGTCGAAAGACATGTTCATCACAGTGTTGGAGTTATGGTTTGGGGTGCTACAGCTTATGGTTCCAGGTCACCTTTAATCTTCATCAGAGGTAACGTGAACGCGCAGCGTTATATCCACGAAGTTCTAGAACCCCATCTTTTACCCTATCTTGACACCCTGGCAGATCCAACTTTCCAACAAGATAATGCCCGACCACATGTTGCAAGAGTCACAATAGACTTCTTTCAACATAATGATGTCACATTGTTACCATGGCCACCAAGATCTCCCGACTTATCCCCAATTGAGCACGTGTGGGATATGATGGGTAGGAGATTGCTCAATTTGCAACGTCCTCCTCAGACTCTAGAAGCACTTCGAGAGGAGTTGGTGGTTGCCTGGAATGAGATACCACAGGAGGACATTGACCACCTGATCAGAAGCATGCCTAGGCGCGTTGGAGAATGCCTAGCACATCAGGGTGCATCAACACATTATTAAAGGTCAAAGGGCTTTAAAGCAGTGCAATCATTTTGAAATTTTTATCATTTACTTATTATGCTTCATTAAGTACTTATACAAAATTTTATTAAAATAAAACCATTTAAACTGGGTGTTCGGATTTATATGTCACTTAGTATATAATATGTCATACACAGTCAATCCAGAAGAACAGAATTTTCTGGGTAGGCATTGAATTTATCATAATCATTTATTTCATATTATTGAGCTTGGGAGAGTGAGAAGAAGGGAAATAAATCAGACAGTGAACGACGTACAGAGAAGGGTCAGACTTTGCCCACAAAATAACGGCCAACATTTTGAACATCTGCTATGAGTTACCTCTGCTTATTTATGATTATTATTATTGCCACCAAGTTTCACCATACCATGTTTTTCTTATAATTTTCGTTCCAACAAAAAATACATGGTCAACAAATGAAATACGTCACTGAGTTTAGGACTGAAAGGTCCATTTAAATTTACAAAATTCCATATGAAAAAACAAGATTGGTGATGGAAGTCGAAAAAACCTCGAATTGAAAAGTTTTACTATGCCATCTTGTAAATTACGTTAATTAATTAATTTTTCAGCATAGAAAATTTCCTGAAAATTAAAATTTTTTTATGGCTTCCGGCACCATTATTTCCGTACGGCACTAAGTGCATCGTGATTATTTTGTTGGCATTTGTGATACTAAAGAAAGCCGTAAAAAATCATTTGTCTTTTCCGACCCCTTCTGGACAGAAAATTTAATTTTCCCCTGTACTTACGTGTACCGGTCTCAAGTGACGGCATAGTGCTAGGAGTTATTTTTTCATTCATGTAGTACTATCGTTCTGAGTAGGTTTCCTGCTGTATCACATGACCCCTTATTTTTGCCCACAGCTCCCGGTCTATAGGGCTGGCAAGTCAATAGTACGCTTGGCCAAGCACTTTTCAAGTGGTATGCAGTCAACACAACAATTGGGTCTCATTGATTCTTTTGTACAAGCAGTTTGTTTTACCTTATTACAAAGGGCACTATACAATTTTTGCAATACAGCTTCACTTATTGACTTCGTTCAAAGTACTTTCCACCACATCCAATACACTTCTCCATCCGCCAAAACCAGTCCTTAAACCAACTCTGCCAAGTTTCAACCTGGAGTGCTGTAACAACCAGCCTCCTGCGTCATATTGCAAAGCTTTCATAATGGGTGATTTTTTTTGCTAGTATCTTTTTGGCAACACTGTTTTTGACAGATGACGCGTGAATCGTGTCTTGTGTCATTGTCAAACTTGTTCAGTTTGGTCTATAATTTAACCATGAATCGACTTACGGACGAACAACGCTTGGAAATTATTGAATTTTTCTATCAAAATTCATGCTCGATTAAAAGAGTGCATCGAGCACTGCTTCCAATTTATGGGGAATTTGGTCAGCCTACTGAGGGAGCTATTCGGAAGCTTGTGACTAAATTTTGAACCCAGTTTACATTATTGGACATTAAACCACCAACACGCAGACGTAGAGTGAGGACTGAAGAAAATATTGCGGCTGTATCCGCCAGTGTTAGTGATGACCGTGAAATGTCGATTCGCCGCCGTTCGCAGCAATTGGGCCACTACGTAGAAAATTTTGCGACAGCATTTGGGTGTAAAACCTTATAAGATACAGCTGGTGCAAGAATGGAAGCCACACGACCTCTCACAATGTTTCCAATTTGGTGAATGGGCGCTGGCAAAGTTGGAGGAAGATCCACATTTTTATCGAAAAATTGTGTTCAGCGACGAAGCTCAATTCTGGTTGACTGGGTACGTTAACAAGCAAAATTGCCGCATCTGGAGTGAAGACCAGCCAGAATCATTGCAAGAGCTACCAATGCATCCCGAAAAATCACTGTTTGGTGTGGATTATGGGCCGGTGGCATCATCGAGCCGTACTTCTTCAAAGACGACAATAGCCGGAACGTAACTGTGAATGGCGAGCGCTACCGTGCGATGATAACAAACTTTTTTTTGCCCAAAATGGAAGAGCTGGACTTGGCTGACATGTGGTTTCATCAAGACGGTGCCACATGCCACACCGCACAGGAAACAATGGCCCTATTGAGAGGCGAGTTCGGTGAACAGTTCATCTGTGATTTAACGCCGTTGGACTATTTCTTGTGGGGCCATGTTAAGGCTAATGTCTAAAGGGATAAACCAGCAACGATTGCCGCAGTGGAAGCCAATATTGAAGCATTTATTCGTGAGATACCGGCTGATATGTTGGAGAGAGTGTGCCAAGATTGGACCTTGCGCATGGGCCATCTAAAGCGGAGCCGCGGTCAACATTTACATGAAATAATCTTTAAACATTAAATTATATCGTCCGTTCTATCGACTCAAATAAAGATTTAATCGTTTTTTCAAATTTTTTGTGTTTTTTTTGAAAATCAAATCCTATACCTCTTAAAAAATCACCCGTTAGTACCTTTGTATTTTCCATGCAACCAGATTGAATATGTTACTAAGTGATGCAACTGAGATTCGAACTATAGCTATCTCCTTACCTAATCTCCAGCCCGGCACCAAGAACCTCTTTGCCAGACCTCCACAAATCAGTGTAGGAACCCCAGCTTCCAATGCAGCAACACTGATAAAACTTTCCCCGGGGAACACCAGTCTTTCGTAAATCTCATCGGCAATGACTGGAATCCTCCTGCGTCGAGCCACGGACATGACAGCCCTCAAGTGGGCTTCAGACCAAACGCTTCCGCAAGGATTGGAGGGGTTGTTGATCACCAACGCTGCTGTGTTGTGGTCTATCTGGGATTCCAGGTGGAACAAGTCGACTTCCCAGTTTTGTTCAGGCAGCAGGTTGTAGTATCTAATAAAAAATAGCATGAACCTCACAAACAAAATTAATTTAGTACGCGTCATGTATCTCTTAGAATCCAAGGAAGAAATCAATTTTCTGAGGTAATTCAAGCTTGCTCAAAATAAAAACGGTCCTTGCATAACACCTGCATTGATATTGATGTAGGGAATGTACCTGTATGTAATCCTAAACTTGCGTTCAATCAATGAATAAAACTCTCTACAATGTGTAAGTATGTAATTCACAACAACTTGAGTTAAATAAAACTATCAGTAACTTTGAAGATAATAATACATGATATACACAGTTTGAGGACGCATTCAAATATTTTCCAAAATTTTTGTTTAGACGCTATACCAGTATATCTTGTATCCATTAGCGAATTTTTTGCAGGTAGTTCTAATTCAAGATCGACCAGTTTGTAACCAAATGTATTCTATTCATAACAATGACATCATAGTTCAGACCTGGTTCTGAATTTTTTGAACAAGCCCAACAGGGTTATTACGTGAAAAATCTATATAATGCCAAAAAAATCGATAAATTGCCAACTTGTGCACTAGGTAGCCGCTAGTGGGTTTTTTTACACCGGTCTGTCTCAGCTCTCATGGATTTGGAGTCAATAGTGAATAGTATTTACTGTTTTTCTTTCATATCCTGAATGTTTATAATCCTTAAGCAAAACTTGAAAAGTTCAAAATTTGTAACACAAATTCATGGAAATCCGAACGTCCGTCCAAACCAATATGCAAACCGACAAATTTGATGGAAAGTCACAATAACGTAATTATTTACGTCATTATCAGAGCCGTTCATTACCACTGTCAAAAACTCTGCCATTGCGATGTCAACCAGAACCAGCACGGCTATTATGTAAAAAAACTAAAAAAACTTCAAAAAACCGAAGAACTGTCATCCTACCGACTAGGTTGTTTTTAGTAACCTTTTCTATGCCATCGAGGCTTTTTTCGGTTAGATGTGAAGAAATTAACTTTTATTTTCTGACATTGATAGTATGTATAATCACGTTGCTTGTTTCTTTTTTGACTGATACCTCCTTCGAAAAATTAGTTTCTTACGAATTATAAATATTTTTTTCAACACACCAGCGGAAAAACGAGGATAACCTGCACCATACTTGGAAAATAAACAGTCTATTCCGGTTATTAGTCAATTTTGAGAATACAGCATTACTGACCCAGCACTTTCACACAGGGCATTCCCAAAACGAGACAATCATTCGAGTGATGATTCTTTGCGCTATTTTGAGTCTATTGTTGTTTCAAACGTACAGTGTGGTAATGTTTTTCGAAAACACTCGCTTTTGTGGCATCAACAAATTGTACATTATTAAACATTGCAGGCTTACATAACAGGTATTATCATTCATGCTGTTTGCATAAAAATACTGCGCTTAATTAGTTTAGGTTTTATTGCAAGCATGTACATTTTTAAAAAATACACGCAACCCGACTGCAGTAACTTGAAAGAAGATTTCAAAATTAATCTAACGACATCTAAATCTCAAAATCCATCAAGCATTTTGGGATGTAGGCTTGAAGTGGAAACTTAGAAGTTACAGTTTGTTCTTAAAATCCACCATTTTGATTTTATAAATTCTATAAATTATTTCAAAATCCATCAAGCCGCTTAAGCTGTACCCCATAAAATAGGAATTTCGAAGTTGAAATTAAATTAAAAGACGTCATTTCAATTTTATATAATTTTAGTATACCCCATGTCACGCGCCCAGTCAAGATAAATCAAAGGACACTTCATATATCACAATTCATCAACCAGTTTGCGCTGTAGTTATAAAATTCCATGAAGCTTTTTTTCAGTATCCCGTGAAATAGAATGTTATGTCCAGATACATACCCAGCGCGAAAAACATAACCCTCCTTCTGAAGCAGTCGAGTAAACATCACATCTGAAGCATAATCATGTATACGTATATAAAAAATGCTTAAAATGACTACCTTCAGGTAGAGTGCAGGACTCCAGTCTTCTTCGTATGAACTTCGAACATTTTTTAAATACGCTACAGGACAAAATAGTCTTAGTCCAAACAATCGTGCCTTGAATATACTAAGTGACATATAAATCCGAACACCCAGTTTAAATGGTTTTATTTTGATAAAATTTTGTATAAGTACTTAATGAAGCATAATAAGTAAATGATTAAAATTTCAAAATGATTGCACTGCTTTAAAGTCCTTTGACCTTTAATAATGTGTGGATGCACCCTGATGTGCTACGCATCCTCCAACACGCCTAGGCATGCTTCTGATCAGGTGGTCAATGTCCTCCTGTGGTATCTCATTCCAGGCAACCACCAACTATTCTCGAAGTGCTTCTAGAGTCTGAGGAGGACGTTGCAAATTGAGCAATCTCCTACCCATCATATCCCACACGTGCTCAATTGGGGATAAGTCGGGAGATCTTGGTGGCCATGGTAACAATGTGACATCATTATGTTGTCTATTGTCTATTGTGACTCTTGCAACATGTGGTCGGGCATTATCTTGTTAGAAAGTTGGATCTGCCAGGGTGTCAAGATAGGGTAAAAGATGGGGTTCTAGAACTTCGTGGATATAACGCTGCGCGTTCATGTTACCTCTGATGAAGATTAAAGGTGACCTGGAACCATAAGCTATAGCACCCCAAACCATAACTCCAGCAGTGTGATCAACATGTCTTTCAACAAAAAACTGTGGATTCCTCCTTTCACCACGTCGCCTTCTAACCCTGGCGCGACCATCGTGCCTTAAGGCCAATAATCTTAGGCGGCGATCTTCACGGTCTGTTGTTCTACGGCGGCGTCCAGTGCCCCTTGCTCTTTGCGTACGGCCTTCTCGAAGCCATGCCTGACAACACCTAACCACAGTGTCTACACTTTTTTGCACTCTAACTGCAATTGCCCGAAAAGAAAGTCCAGCTTCCCGAAGTCGCACTATACGGCCCCTATCAAACTCACTAAGTTGACGAAATCGTACAAGTCTCCGTACTCTAGGCAGGTAACCGATCGTAAAGGATGTCAAGAACCAAAATCCGCCAACGTTGATTCTTTACTGCGGCTGAAATATTCATTTTTAGAGCGTTAGTGAATTAAAAAAAAGCAGTATAAAAACCGGAATGTCCAACTGATAAGGCTGAACATTTTTTCACTTGTTACTTACAGTAAGATAAATACATTCACCAACTTTTATTAAAATAAAACCATTTAAACTGGGTGTTCGGATGTATATGTCACTTAGTATACATGTATTTACCTCATATTCTGCAATCACCCGGTATACCACAACTTACCTAACTCCAACTCCTATTGCCTCAGCCAATGTTCTATAGATAGGGAACCCTGGCCTTGGTATCAAAATGTTGTGGCCCTTTTTCCCACATGCAAGGACTGTGATAGCATGCTCCAAAGCTGAGGAACATCCGCTACACAGAATCACATCACTGGGAGAAATTTGAGCGCCATCTACAGACAGATACTCAGCGACAGCTTGACGAGCACATTCTTGTCCAACGCTGGGGAAGTACCTGCGGAAACAGGATCATTTGGTTTGAAGAGAAGCACGTCATAATGACGTCGAAATTTGGTGATAACTGGTTAATTGACGTGATTCTTCCAAATAATGACGTCTACTAAATGTCCAATTGTGTACGTATTCTGTAGGACGTTGCTATGAAGTGATTAACTTTATGTAGCTTATTGTCAAAAATAATCTGACACTGAAATAACATTTCACATGTCCGCCAACTATTTGCGAAAATAATTTGCTATAATTTATGTAGCGGTGGGGGTAGTTTTCACCATTGTCGAACCCTGTGCTCCAAGTTTCATTCAGATCGGACTATCTGTTCCAAAAATATCTGAAGAGATGGTTTTTAAAACTTAGCATATAGGTAAATCAAACCCAATCAACTTATTTTGAGTTTAAAAATACTTTTATGTACGCGGAATATTGGTATAAAATATTTAATGATTTCTAAGTGAGTGCAAAATGAATAAAATTTGACCTTATTTTGTTTCTTCGTTTTAGATTTATTTAGCATTAATGCTACAATATTCATAATATCCATGTTACACAGTATATCACATAATATATTATGTCTTCAAGACTACATATTTTTATACAAAAGTTCACTACTATGAATTCTGGTTTTCCGTGAGCTATTGTTCCAGTTTCGCCTTGAACATTTTCAAACTGGCACACATCTTGATATCATCACTTAATTTATTAAATTCGTATAATCCCTTTTGAAATACTGACTTGCTCGTTATATTGCTACGACTATTTTGTAAATGAAAGTCTATACTCTCTATAGTAGAATAACTGTGGTGCTCATGGTTCAATACAATAAAATTTTCTAAGTGATTTGGTAGATCATTTTCATGACGCGACGAAAAGTTGTTAAACGCAAAATCAACTTTGTTCTTTGCTAAGAAATGTTGATCTGTTATTGTGTACATATTTTTTACTTTCCGTGACAGTTTGCTATTATTCTTCTTTTATGAAGAGGTAGATTTGCTATACTTTTTAGAACACACTTTTATACTTAAACTTGGTTCAGAAATAGGCACATGCAATTACGGTCTATAATTAAGCAATATAGTCTTAAGGGTTCACAAAACTTTGTTTAAGAAAACCAAGTACGTACCCATTGGAGCGACCACCAACAAGGACATCAGCTACAGCTTGAACAACTTCAGGTGCTGGTGAAAGATTTCCGTAGACACAGGGATCACCTACAACAAATTGAAATCTGTAACAGATAATACAGTGGACCCCCGATAATCCGGTCCCTGTCTAATCCGGCGCTCCCTGTAATCCTACATGTCATTGAATATGTATTACATACCTACGTATTTGACAATCTTCGCTAATGTAGATCACGCAGGTTTGAACAGGTTACAACTTGTACGCGCCACCGCTATCGTGCTCGACGCGTAAGCATTGTTTTACTTAGTTTGAATTTGACTACTGGTGATAGCGGTACGGCCTAGCGTGCGTTCATTGTTTACTATTTATTCATTGTGTATTAAGTATAGTACCTAGTAATGTCGTCACAAACTCAGAAGCGAAAGCACAAAACATTGACAATTAAAGAAAAATGTGATATTTTAGAACGCCTAAATCGCAATGAAACTTTCAGTAGTTTAGCAAGTGAATACGGCGTAGACCGATCTACAATTTATGACATTAAAAGAAACCACGAGAAGATCAAGAAGTTCGTGTCAACTACTGACTGCGGGCCAGGCAAGAGACAGACGCTCAAGAAAGCTGAACATCCAGAAGTGGAAGAATCTTTGTACATGTGGTTTCTTCAGGAAATACATTGGCATGCACCAATTTCAGAACCCATGTTGGTCATGAAAGCTAAGTTTTTTATAAGGAAATAACAAAAAAAGATGATTTTGTGGCCAGCAAAGGACGGCTAGAACGTTTTAAAAGTCATCATGGCATACGTTTAATGACTATTACAGGAGAGAAACTTTCTAACGATGCCACCTACATAGAGCCCGTTAAATTAAGATTTTTGCAAAAGGTGAACGATTTAAATCTTGACCCGTCACAGGTGTACAATGCAGACGAATCCGGGCTTTTTTGGCGTGTGATGCCTAACAAAACTTTCGTTTCTTGTAACGAAAAATCCGTACCTGGACGAAAAGTAAGTAAAGAGCGTGTAACCATACTACCATGTGCTAACGCTGCGGGCACACACGCGCTTAAGATGATGGTCATTGGGAAATCTAATAAACCACGGGCATTCAAAAACATTGATTTACCTGTACACTATTACGGACAAAAAAGTGCATGGATGACAAAAGACCTTTTCAAATAGTGGTTTGATGAATGCTTCGTACCTGAAGTTAGAAAATGGTTAAAAGATCATAATTTTCCTCAAAAAGCGTTGTTGCTTCTTGTTAACGCTCCCGGTCATCCGTCTGAAGAAGAACTAACAACTGAGGATAAATGCATCACTGCGATGTTTCTTCCGCCAAATTGCACTGCACTGATTCAACCAATGGACCAGAATATCATTCAGTTTGTCAAGCAAGACTATAAGAAAAACCTACTTCTGACAGCCGTATCAAAAGACCAACCAATAGAAAAAACTTTAAAAGAATTTAATATGAAAGACTTGGTTTTTGCTCTTTGTCAGTCGTGGAATGCGTTACCGTTACGCCTTTGAGCTAGGTTTACAATGGGCTGAAGAGTACATCCTACATCGAACTTTTACTTTTGAGAAGACTGAGGGACAAAGCTCTGATCTCGCATTATAACAACCTTAAATAACAATATTTCCAAGCTTCATAATTTGATAAATTCATTAATGATTTTGATTAATAATTCTTGATTATTTTGGTACATATGTATGTGCATTTATGCTTAATTTTATAATAAAACGTAAGCTCTCTATTGTTATTTAATTTACTAAATTTGACATACATAAACTATGTATGATTTGTACTTCAAAGTACATACATATACATAACATATATAATCTTACCATTGGATGTGTAATTTGTCGGATTACAAGGTACTCTTTTGTAAAAAATTCCGGACTATAGGGTGTCTTAGGCAGTGCTCTATAATCCGACAAATTCGAAAGTCCCACACTGCCCTGCATAATGTTTGTCGGATTACCTGAGGTCCACTGTATAACCATGCCATAACATTTTGGGTACCCTGTATATCAAGACAATCAACATTGGAGTATAAAGCCGTATAAAGCCTTGATATAAACCCTAATAGCGCACTTGATTTTTAGAATGTCCAACTTAGGTCTAATTTGGGCCGGTAGGTCCCGTCCCAAATGAGACGTCCTTGGAACGATCCATTAGGGTCGTTCCTGGAACGTTCCAATCAGTTTGTTCTCTGGATGTTCTTGAAGACGCAGTGTTGATTTTCATTCGCTCATTGTTGCCAGACTTACTATTTTACCAGTTCTTTCCAGGAAAATGGAATGCAGTCACGATATCGGTCCATACGGTTAGAATTCTATTGTTGTTTACAATGGTTGTGTTTATTTCAGTTTTATATAGTTCAATATGGTTAAGCGAATAAAATTTTGTTTTAAAACTGTGATGTAATTATAATTTGTCGCCTCTGAGGACATCGAGAAAAGGGAGACACCAACAGCTCAATACCTCGCCGTACGGGTCAGCGTTTTTTTTCGAAAATAATAGAAGTATGTTTTACCACTGATTTTTTTGTAGTAAAGCAAATTCTTAGAAGGCGAAATATTTCCTATATTTAAATATGCCTTGCTCAGATGCCTGCAGATAATACGCAGAAGTATACTAAGTGACATATAAATCCGAACACCCAGTTTAAATGGTTTTATTTTAATAAAAGTTGGTGAATGTATTTATCTTACTGTAAATAACAAGTGAAAAATTTTTCAGCCTTATCAGTTGGACATTCCGGGTTTTATACTGCTTTTTTTTAATTCACTAACCCTCTAAAAATGAATATTTCAGCCGCAGTAAAGAATCAACGTTGGCGGATTTTGGTTCTTGACATCCTTTACGATCGGTTACGATGCCTAGAGTACGGAGACCTGTACGATTTCGTCAACTTAGTGAGTTTGATAGGGGCCTTCTAGTGGGACTTCGGGAAGCTGGACTTTCTTTTCGGGCAATTGCAGTTAGAGTGCAAAGAAGTGTAGACACTGTGGTTAGGTGTTGTCAGGCATGGCTTCGAGAAGGCCGTACGCAAAGAGCAAGGGGCACTGGACGCCGCCGTAGAACAACAGACCGTGAAGATCGCCGCCTAAGATTATTGGCCTTAAGGGACCGTTTCTCCACTACCAGGTCCATTGCAAATGAATGGTTTGCAGAACACGGAAGACCTATTGGTATGCGAAGTGTTTACCGACGAATGAGAAGTTTTGGCTTGTTTTCATACCGGCCACACTGGGTCCTCCTTTTAACTCGAGAACACCGACGTAATCGCCTTGAGTGGTGCAGGCATCGGTCACTCTGGGATCAGGAATGGAACAGTATTGTCTTTAGTGACGAGTCTCGATTTTGTTTAGGCATGCACGATGGTCGTGCCAGGGTTAGAAGGCGACGTGGTGAAAGGAGGAATCCACAGTTTTTTGTTGAAAGACATGTTCATCACACCGTTGGAGTTATGGTTTGGGGTGCTATAGCTTATGGTTCCAGGTCACCTTTAATCTTCATCAGAGGTAACATGAACGCGCAGCGTTATATCCACGAAGTTCTAGAACCCCATCTTTTACCCTATCTTGACACCCTGGCAGATCCAACTTTCCAACAAGATAATGCCCGACCACATGTTGCAAGAGTCACAATAGACTTCTTTCAACATAATGATGTCACATTGTTACCATGGCCACCAAGATCTCCCGACTTATCCCCAATTTAGCACGTGTGGGATATGATGGGTAGGAGATTGCTCAATTTGCAACGTCCTCCGCAGACTCTAGAAGCTCTTCGAGAGGAGTTGGTGGTTGCCTGGAATAAGATACCACATCAGGGTGCATCCACACATTATTAAAGGTCAAAGGGCTTTAAAGCAGTGCAATCATTTTGAAATTTTTATCATTTACTTATTATGCTTCATTAAGTACTTATACGAAATTTTATTAAAATAAAACCATTTAAACTGGGTGTTCGGATTTATATGTCACTTAGTATATATGCGCAGAACGTATGGAATATGAGATGTTCCCTGTGACGTGGCTACCATTTTTTTTCCGGATCTGGCAACTTTTTGGCTTAATACTGGTATGGCGAATTTTGTGATTTTTGCGAGTTCAGTCTCATCCAAGGCATACGTAATTTTGCTTACAGTTCTTTTGATTCCTGTCAATTTTTAATGGATAAGCTTGATTTATCAGATACTTTTATTAGTGCTATATCTTGGTTTCATCTGCTATAACAGGTGAGAAATGGAGAAAAAGATTATTAGACAAGCTAGGCTCGCGTTAAAAATGTATGGGAAGAAGCCGTAATAAAAGTCTACATGAATCAATTTCAGATCGTTTTTGTTACTACGATGTTTAATTACTCGAGTGAGTTGGTCGATACTGCCATGAAATTGTTTCATTTGCAATGGAAAATGAAATATTACAAAAATATGACTATAAAATATTATTACAGTCTCTAGAACGTATTTGTACTATTAAGGAATTTGGATTCCAATCATGATCAGAAAGTTTCTCGCACCATTGAAACAACACATACCTAAAGACAACGCTATTACTGGCTTCTCAGGATTTGGTTGCAAATTCAAATTATCGACGATATCCCTGATGAAGTTCTTGCAATGTTGAGCCGCATAGGACGGCTGCACAGTCCAATTTTCAGATTTTCCGTCTTCAAGCACAGTCACTTCAGCTGATGCATTAATTTTTTTCTCTAGCATTATCACCGAACTTCACGGAAGATTTCACAGCTCATGCGACAAAGGAAGTAAAATTGTGAATGTGGAATTTTTCTCAAGTTGATCTCCGCTGCGATTTCGCTTGTAAACTGGCTGTCGTTTCTGGATAGACCAGTATTCAAATGTCGATATCTTGCTCAGATTTGATATGAAAATACAGTGCGAGCAAGATGTTTACCAAGAATCAAGTTTAAATCAGGTATTAAACATTCCAATATGAGAAGAATCATCTAGAATGGAGCCGCAAATCAGCAATACTCTGTTGCATTGATCGCTAGGCTACAAGGTTGTGGCAGTTTACAAGTGCACAAGACTGCGGCTTGCACTGCGAACAAAATTTAGTCAGGCAACAAAAGAAATAAGTTCTTATTCCAATATTTGCTGCTAACTTTTAAGTTTCTTTTAGGAATTGTAAGTGACATGGCAGCACTATCGTCTCTGTATTTCAGTCTAACAAGATCCAAACTGGAATACGGCTACCTCGTATAGGTAGTAGATAGTTTCTGTTGAAAGAGCACCCAAGAAGTTTTTCAAATTCATAGCTTTGAAACTCGATGGTGTATACCCACAAAGAGGTTGTAGATATCCTGAGGCTGCTAAATAGATTTGATTATTATCAGTCTTTTGGAAATAACGGGTGATTGTTTAAAGGATTTGATTTTCAAAAAAAAACACAAAAAATTTGAAAAAACGATTGAATCTTCATTTGAGTCGATAAAACGATCGATATAATTTAATGTTTAAAGATTATTTCATGTAAATGTTGGCCGCGGCTCCGCTTTAGATAGCCCATGCGCAAGGTCCAATTTTGGCACACTCTCTCCAACATATCGGCCGGTATCTCACGAGTAAATGCTTCAATATTGGCTTCCAGTGCGTCAATCGTTGCTGGTTTATCCTTGTAGACATTAGCCTTAACATGACTCCACAAGAAATAGTCCAACGGCGTTAAATCACACGATCTAGGCGGCCAATTGACGGGCCCCAAACGTGAGATAAACTGTTCACCGAACTCGCCTCTCAATAGGGCCATTGTTTCGTGTGCGGTGTGGCATGTGTCACCGTCTTGTTGAAACCACATGTCAGCCAAGTCTAGCTCTTCCATTTTGGGCAAAAAAAAGTTTGTTATCATCGCACGGTAGCGCTCGCCATTCACAGTTACGTTCCGGCCATTGTCGTCTTTGAAGAAGTACGGCCCGATGATGCCACCGGCCCCTAATCCACACCAAACAGTGATTTTTTCGGGATGCATTGGTAGCTCTTGCAATGCTTCTGGCTAGTCTTCACTCCAGATACGGCAATTTTGCTTGTTAACGTACCTATTCAACCAGAAATGAGCTTCGTCGATGAACACAATTTTTCGATAAAAATGTGGATCTTCCTCCAACTTTGCCAGCGCCCATTCACCAAATTGGAAACGTTGTGGGAGGTCGTGTGGCTTCAATTCTTGCACCAGCTGTATATAAGATTTCACACCCAAATCCTGTCGCAAAATTTTCCACGAAGTGGACTAACAGAGGCCCAATTGTTGCGAACGGCGGCGAATCGACATTTCACGGTCATCACTAACACTGGCGGATACAGCCGCAATATTTTCTTCAGTCCTCACTCTACGTCTGCGTGTTGGTGGTTTAATGTCCAATAATGTAAACTGGGTTCGAAATTTAGTCACAAGCTTCCGAATAGCTTCCTCAGTAGGCCGACCAATAATTTGCAAGCGTTGTTCGTTCGTAAGTCGATTCATGGTTAAATTATAGACCAAACTGAATAAGTTTGACAATGACACAAGACACGATTCACGCGTCATCTGTCAAAAACAGTGTTGCCAAAAAGGTACTAGCAAAAAAATCACCCATTATATATCAGTTATCCTTACTATTCTTGCATGAGCTTTTCAATGGAAAAATCGATTGCTCTATATTGCTAGGTGAGGTAGATATTCTGATTCCTAGAATGATATCTAGGCGTTGTAATACCTTCCTGTACCAAAGAGCCCAGCTAATCCACTATCGAAGACTTTTTGTGGATTAAAGAATAAATCTCGAGCCTACCTCTGATCAACTTTTGTCAAGTATTTTATGTTCATATTTGTGGTACTACTTCTATTTCTGTTTTTTTTTTCTAAGATATTTTCATGACGTTGCAAATTGAGCAATCTCCTACCCATCAAATCCCACACGTGCTCATTTGGGGATAAGTCGGGAGATCTTGGTGGCCATGGTAACAATGTGACATCATTATGTTGAAAGAAGTCTATTGTGACTCTTGCAACATGTGGTCGGGCATTATCTTGTTGTAAAGTTGGATCTGCCAGGGTGTCAAGATAGGGTAAAAGATGGGGTTCTAGAACTTCGTGGATATAACGCTGCGCGTTCATGTTACCTTTGATGAAGATTAAAAGTGACCTGGAACCATAAGCTATAGCACCCCAAACCATAACTCCAACAGTGTGATGAACATGTCTTTCAACAAAAAACTGTGGATTCCTCCTTTCACCACGTCGCCTTCTAACCCTGGCACGACCATCGTGCATGCCTAAACAAAATCGAGACTCGTCACTGAAGACAATACTGTTCCATTCCTGATCCCAGAGTGACCGTTGTCTGCACCACTCAAGGCGATTACGTCGGTGTTTTCGAGTTAAAGGGAGGACCCAGTGTGGCCGGTATGAAAACAAGCCGGTAAACACTTCGCATGGCAATAGGTCTTCCGTGTTCTGCAAACCATTCATTTGCAATGGACCTGGTAGTGGAGAAACGGTCCCTTAAGGCCAATAATATTAGGCGGCGATCTTCACGGTCTGTTGTTCTACGGCGGCGTCCAGTGCCCCTTGCTCTTTGCGTACGGCCTTCTCGAAGCCATGCCTGACAACACCTAACCACAGTGTCTACACTTCTTTGCACTCTAACTGCAATTGCCCGAAAAGAAAGTCCAACTTCCGGAAGTCCCACTATACGGCCCCTATCAAACTCACTAAGTTGACGAAATCGTACAGGTCTCCGTACTCTAGGCATCGTAACCGATCGTAAAGGATGTCAAGAACCAAAATCCGCCAACGTTGATTCTTTACTGCGGCTGAAATATTCATTTTTAGAGCGTTAGTGAATTAAAAAAAAGCAGTATAAAAACCGGAATGTCCAACTGATAAGGCTGAAAATTTATTTACAGTAAGATAAATACATTCACCAACTTTTATTAAAATAAAACCATTTAAACTGGGTGTTCGGATTTATATGTCACTTAGTATATCAAAAAATTCTAAAGTTGAATTAGTAAATTATCTAAAGTAATGAGTACGTCTATATTAGAATAGCCCACATATACAAATATCTTTTTATAATAAATAATTTTACAAGTATCTAGACTCGACACAGTTTTCGCTGTGTCAGTTAGAAACGTTTTGACACACTCTGTATATGTAGAAGAACTTGTTGTGTGAATATCTTAGCATATTCCATAAAACTGGATTTCCAGTTTTCTGCATTCATTAATATCAATAAAAGAAATGGTTATACTGGTTGATAATGTGTGTTTGACTGTGTATTCTACGCCTTCACTAGACTTGTGAAAATACGTTGTTGTTATAATTATTTATGATTCTAATAATGCAGGTGTTATTATTTTGCAATAAACTAAAATGCGTATCAATCGTATTATCTGTTGGTCTAATCGTCGGTCTCTCCACTAATTCTTGGACCGTCTGTAATTTGGAGAGTACTGTTCGGATTTGAATGAAATTTTCACACAAGGTTACTACTATGCTAAGCACGAAAAATGCTTTTCAAACTCAGTCTAGTGTCCGCGGGCCTAGGGACTAGGGAAACACGAAAAAAATTAAAATTGCCCAAACTTCGTTTTTTGACGTGTTGTAGTAGTAGTAGAAAGATTTATTTAGCACATTTGGCTACATAAACAGAATAATTGTAAACAACTTAGAACTAGCAAATTCAAGCCATATGGTGTATGATGTAAATGCTGGGCAACCTATAATTGTAGATTTAACAAGTGATTTCTCAATTTTACTTTAAATTTTGTCAAAGTTTTCTGGTCTTTTATCTCCGAGTATAATTTATTATATTCAATCAACCCTTGATGGAATACAGATTTGTAGCATATGTTATACTTTTTGGTCATTAAATGGAAGTCACCTTTATTTCTGGTATTATGTAAATGATCAGGAAAAGAACTGCTTCTCAGTGAACAATTGATCCAATTTAATACAGGATATCCCAAAATTTCGAAACAGTTTTTCAGCACGTTTTTACTAGTGATTTCGGCACAGTTGTTATTTGGTTTTAAACTTTTTACTTTTTTTCTTAGATAATTCAATGATACGCTGTGAAATTTTGAAAGTGTATGCAACATTTCCCCCTGGAAACTGATTTTCATATAGTCAGGTGCAGCATTGGCAGTACCCACAATATCAACAATACTTTCCACAAAATATTCATTTAGTTTGTTTGCAATCACCAAAGAATTTGTTTCGGTACCGTTTTCAAATTGAACTTGATTTACACAATCATGCGGCTTCGAATTGATCAGTCTTTTTAAAGTCTTCCACATCTTTACACTGTCGCACTTGTTATTATCGATTTGTTTATCGTAGAATTTCCTTTTTTCTTCTCTAATTACATATACACTTGTATTCCTAAGAGTTTTATATACCTCCCAATCATCATTTGATTTTGTGAATATACATTTTTTGTATTGTTTGTCTCTCAAATTTTGAGCTGGCTTAATATTCTTGTTATACCAGGGTGTATTTTTTGTCGAGCCAATCACTTTTTTATCAGTTGCAAGATCTAAACAAGTTTTTATATTTCCTATTATGTTGTCATATATTTTTTCCATATTCTCACCAAAATTCCAATAGCAGCCAGCAAGTTCTCGTTCAAGTTTTTCGTACTTAATAGTATTTACGATTTTCTTAATTTTTGTATCAGAAAAATGCCCTACCAAGGGCAGCATTGTCCAACTGTGGTCACTAACTTTAGGTGTATGTACAGCTTTAATCCCTGCACATTCGAAATTTACAATAACAAGATCTAACAAAGTATCTGATAATGATGTTATTCTGGTACTCTCTTCAATTTTTTGCATAGTTGTTTATGGTTTCTTTCAATTTTCTTGTTTTCATGCTTTTACCCTAATAATTTAAATTAAAATCACCTAAAAGTATTATATTGTTTCTAAAATTCCACATTTATTAGCATTTTTCTTCAAAAAACGTTAAAAATGTATCCGCATCACTGTTTGGTGAACGGTAAAAAGTACAAAGGTCATAACGTTTCCCAAATAATTTGAACTGTATATGTGCATACCAGTATGCATAGTCTAAAGTGTTACAATCGAATAATGTGATCTGTATTTTGTGGGAAACATAAATCACTACACCTCCAGTATGTCTGGAGTTGGAGTTGCATCTGTAGGTTTTATAATTAGTAATTTGTAATTCACCATCAGTGATGTCTTCTGTAGCATGTTTTTCGGTAAGACATTATACAAGTGGTTTTCTCCATCTTAAAAACAGTTGAACTTTATCTATATTATTCAGGACTGCTTGTATGTTTAAATGGTATATTGAGTTATATTCATCACTTACAGATTTAGCCACGCCTTGGAAATCTGAGCTTAGTAGTTGCTATTCATTTGCATAACTAATTTTTTCCCTCTCACGTTCAATTTTTAAGTAAAAAATTTTCAGATATTTTTTTGTAGGGGTTGAAAATCGACGGTTTGTGGTTGTAGGGGATGAGGTATATCTCACATTGATGGTGGCAGTACATTTATCCGCTTCCAACCCCAGCAATCTTACTCACCTATCAGTACATATTTCACATATCAGATTTCCCCGTACATTTGCTCTTATAACTGAGAGAAATATTTTACACAAAGAATCGTCAGTGCAAGGAGTCTGATTGCATATGAATGTGTGAAGGAAATTGACCTATGGACGTATGGAACTTTTACTTTGGCCCGCCAAAAACCACCAAAGAAATATGGTATTATATTATACGTTGTTTATCCGACAATAAAGCTACTTGATGGTTCAATTTATGATATATTTCCTTAAAGAAATGCAAACTTAAGTACATAATAAGACATTTCATGTCCTAATAGTCCAGTGCACATATCAGAGCGACTCCTCTTTTGATCCAATGAGGTTCTGCTTCTCTACTGGGCACTTCAATGGCTAGCACGTAGTTTGTAGAATGTCCTGTAGTAGACAAAGTACCAGCTCTTGTTAGGGTTTTATATACAGGGCACTCATATACACCTGAAGGTTTTTTATGGTTTTCTTCTGGGATCAACCAAATCACTGGCATATCTGGAAAGGAATCAAGACATTAATCATTTCTTTAGAAACTGGAACAGTTGAGAGTGCGGAACCTATATAGTGGAATACCGTCGAGAAGGCCCACACACCGTGAACGCCACCAACAGGGTGAGCTTTTATTGAGGGCTTGGTTGATAACTCCGCGTGGTATCTAAAAAATTTAGAACGAAAAATTGTGGACAAAAGTATGCTTCGAAATATTTTAGTTTCCTCAGGGTGATGCGTAACTAAAGGGTGACCCAAACAAAAATTTTCTGGAATGGAAAGCCCTACATTTTATTGCCGATTTGGATACGCCTTTTCAAACAGACCAACTTGATATTACATACTATGGGGTTTTGTTTTAAGATTGTTGATATATTCGATACTTAATCGAAAAAAAAACGCTTAACTTTGACAGCACGCACCTCCGCAACTGTTATAGCTAGAGTCCAAAATATTATAATCTTATATTGTTGCCCTATCTATTTGATTTTTCTGTTTTTTTAATAGAATATAGAGGGTGGACAAGAACACAAAACAAACAATTTCTCAAAATTTTCAAATGGAACACCTTTTGATATTCGATTCCTCTTTTCACAAGCTGCTCTCTGATATAAACTTTATAGGATTTGTACGATTGGTTTTTGAGTTATTAATTACACAGGAATAGATTCTTGGTTTTTTGGATTCATTAAGATTGGGTAGATTTAATTTATAGTCAGAATATACCAATTCTAACGACTTGCTGCTACAAACTAAATAGGTACTATTAACCATTAAGTGTATTGTAATATTTTTCATTTACCTTGATATCTGATTTACAAAAGTGGCTAGCTGCAAATCACAAACTAGTCATACAAGCCTCCATAAGACTGGATACTGCGAAACCTTCGCAGATAGTGGAGCGAGTATTGAGCGTGGTCGTATAGATTTTTTCATTGTATTTCCGTATTACCTCGTCTATTTTTTGAACAATCTTAAAAATGATTTTTCATATCGACAGGCTACCATTGGGCGCATGACACAATCATAGCTTAACTTAATCTGGACACGAAATTTGAACTTGATCGCATCGGTATTATATATTTTTCGAGGAAGTATGGAAATTAGATTAAAAAAATTGGACCAAAAAAAATTCGGAAATTTTTGAATAAGGTATAAAAAACCTAATAAGACCGTCCATCAAAACAGTATATACCATTACAGGCCATCACAAAAGTCCAATCGGCGACCACTGAAAAACAAAAACGTGACCAACCCCTTGAATCATGCGCTTTACATCCGGGAGATATCCAGGAAGTGCTCATCGAGGTAGTGAAGAAAGAAACGCAGTAATGAAACGCAGAAGAAACATTTTCTCAGTGTCGTATTGACACTAGGCACTTTGTAGCTTACCAGTGTATAGTTCTTTTGGGTTCGATTCATCTAGAAAACCAATTTGAGGATTCCATCTAGCACCTTCTAAGAATAGACCTCTTATACAACAACCGTCGCTCGGTCTCTTTGGTGGAGGTTGTGCCAAAACCTGGAAAATTAATAATGGTAGATCACTAGTGGCCTACATAAATAGTAGTAGTAGTAGTAGTAGAAAGATTTATTTAGCACATTTGGCTACATAAACAGAATAATTGTAAACAACTTAGAACTAGTAAATTCAAGCCATATGGTGTATGATGTAAATGCTGGGCAACCTATAATTGTAGATTTAACAAGTGATTTCTCAATTTTACTTTAAATGTTGTCAAAGTTTTCTGGTCTTTTATCTCCGAGTATAATTTATTATATTCAATCAACCCTTGATGGAATACAGATTTGTAGCATATGTTATACTTTTTGGTCATTAAATGGAAGTCATCTTTATTTCTGGTATTATGTAAATGATGGTCGACATTTGATGATGTTAAATTAGTTAGACTTGATGGAAATATATACTTTTTTACTTTATAAATGAATATCATTACAAGATATTTGATAATTTTTTTTACATTGAGCCATTTTAATTTGTTAAGCATTTGCCTAATTGGAGTATATTTATCTTTATTTAGTATTATTCTCATGCACTTATTTTGTAAAATTTGCAGTCTTTCAAAAATGGAATTATTTGCTAAATATAGAATAGTCGAACAGTACAAGCAATTTGGAAGAATGACGGTATTATAGATAATATTTCTGCTATATGAACTCAGACATCCAGAAACTCTCGATAAATATCCCAGTTTACTACTAATCTTATTTATAACTTTTTCATAATGAATATCAAAAATTAATCGAGAGTCAACAAAAACCCCCAGGTATTTAAAATTTTCCACGAATTCAATATCTTCACCATCAATATTCAGTTGAACATTTGTACATTGTTTTTTCCGATTAACAAGGCTTTCGTTTTACTTGCATTTAATTTTAGTCTGTTAGATGCTAACCAATTCTCAGTTACCAACTGGAAAGCCGTTTCTGTGGAATATTTTTACTAAAATTTTGTTTTCTTCTATAAACCGCATTAATTGGTCATGCACTATGGACTCTAATAATTTTTCAATGTCTGGTAACACATTTACTGGTCTCATATCGCTGCATCTTTTAGAATTTTTTATTTTGGGAACTGGCGTTATTATTATTATGATGTATGTACGAGGATCATTTTTTGAGCAAGAACCTTTCTGCAGTGGAGTCAGAGGAACTTTATTTATGAACTTAAATTGTATCACACACTAAAGTATGAACCTCTTATTTCAATTTTACAATATATTTACGATGCCGCCTGACCGTTCAAGTGTTACTATCTGCTTCTTTCAACCCCAGTGCGGGTGTAGGTAAGGGGGTAGTTACTCGTCTCCCCCGAGACGACTTGAGCTGTCTTTGTATAAAATGAATGTTCATGTTCAATGTACATATTGTAGGCAATATTGCCAAGATGTACGAGGGCGGTTCAATAAGTACCCGTGCTAGAAATGAAAACACCATTTTTTCCAAAAAAATTCTTTTTATTTTTCAACAGAATCCCCTTTTAGAAAGATACACTTTTCCCAAGGTTCCTGCCATTTTTTTAAAAATAGGATTTTGCGAACTCTCCAAAATACTCCTCTGTCTCGGCAATGACTTCCTCGTTTGAGCTAAATTTTTCCTGGTCGATCCTCATAAAAAACGGATGTTCGTCCACGTTTAAAATCGTTGAACCAACATCTAACTGTGGTCATAGATGGCAAAGTGCCCCCATAAACAGCATCCAACTTTGCTTTTATCCCCTTGCATGTTTTCCCAACCAAAAACAAAAAGCGAATTACCGAACGATACTGCTCTTTTTCCATCTTAGCGAAACACGTGTTACTCGAATGGCAGCCAAATCCAAACTAACCTATGAATCAGTCTAAAATTTGTTGTGCCGTCGTTTGATAGATGGCAGCACACGATGATAACATTAACGTCACTCAGGAACGCCCTCTGTCGTCAAACACGGGTACTTATTGAACCGCCCTCGTATAGCTGGATCATATGCTGCAATTTAATCATGACAAATGCGCTATAGCTGCCATAGTTGTAGCTAATATTGCCCGTTTAGAGGTTTTGTTACTCATGTAATGTGCGGTGCAGTAATACGCTGTTATATCTCGAGACACATTTTCAATATGAGTATATGATTTCAGAGCGTATTTCTGGCAGAGCTTTCCATTTTCGCAGCGATGTTCAGCAACAGCGATTATAATTCTGCACGTTTACCTTTCCTTGCACGTTTCTAATTTTCGTCAAGCTCTCTTTCCAAGGCAAACATTGTTAGATGCGAAATATGAGAGCGTGGATTTATATAACATCCACATGCTCGTACGAAATTAGAGATTGAACAAAAATTGATCTTCTGACGCCTCCGTACGCATTTTCTTTTAAATTGTGCTTACAGATTTATCATGAGTACTTTCGCGTAGGAGTGTTTTTAAGGATCCAAAATACATTGATCGATAATTGCTTTTGATTTGTCTTGTAAGTCAGTAAGTCTGTGAGGCTTGCTTGTCGAGATACCAGACAGAGTTAGGGATAACGGAAGGAAAAAAGGAAGGGAGATAGTAAGGACGACGAAGTCGTCATTATTTGAACGAGTGTTTTGGCATTGTTAACTAGAATCCGTGGATTTCAAATTGATGTAAAGATATTGTTTTTGTGCGATCCTACTTGGCTATAAAGTCATTATAAGAAGCAATTGCTCGGTAATGGAAACATGATAGTAAAAAACTGAGTAACTAGGTATGCAATACAATCTACCAACCCACTGCCCAGGAAGCCTGAGATAGAAGATAGAACCCCATTACCAAGCTAGGAAAAGTATTTCATATAAGACTCTCTATTACGAAATTCATCAAATATCCTCGTATTGTCTTGAAAGGATTTGAAGCAGCACAAAATAATATCCAAAAGGAAATTAAGGACTTTGTACTACTATATATGATGGTATTATGTTCATGTTAATTTAATATTGTATCTATCAACTAAACAGCCTTCGAGAAATACAGGGTGTAAACGTTATGATAGTCATTGTTATTGTTATTTGTTATTTTTGGCTCTTATTATTTGACAATGTACTCGTAAAATGCAAACAATTAAAAAAAAACGGACTTACCACTAACTGTCTCAGCGCTTCACCTGGTGTGTGAAAGTTTATTGAACGTATTAAAAAAATCCACTTATAAATAGGGAACACAATTTTGATACATACATTGTTTTTCTTTTTAAAACCCGCACTACTTTTTTGTAATTAAAGAAGGTGTTCAAAATGTCGTCCTCCAAACAAGCTTCATTACGACAAGCCCAGTTTCTTCTTACTCTAGGTCCTCGAAGTTGTCCATTTATTATTTCAGCCGCATTAAATTTTTTTTCGTGAAGTTGTGCTTCAGTTGTTATTGGACCAGCCCCGTAAACCATGCCTTTAAGTTCTCCCCAATACCGGAAATCCATCGGATTGAGGTCAGAATATCTTGCTGGCCATTTTCGAGGATCAGGAGCATTTCGACCGATCCAGCGATTTGGATAATGATCATTCAAATACGGAATGACGCCTCTAAAAATGTGTGGAGGTGCCCCGTCATGAAGAAACCACAAATTCTGTCCCGTTGTAATGGCATGTTGTCTAAGGTCTGTTCCAAAAGTTCTGGTAGGCTATTGACTAGAAAGCTAAGGTATCCTTCCTGATAACTCGAAAGGGCCAATTACCTGATCGTCAAGAATACCCGCCCAAATATTTATTTTAAAACGTTTTTGGAAATGACCTTCACGAATGGTATGAGGATTTTCTTGGGCCCACGTGTGAGTATTATGGAAATTTAATATCCCGTCCCGCATAAAAGTACATTCGTCCGTCGCTAGAATGTTTTTAAAAAAATTCGGATTTTCAATGTTTTTGTGCAAAAACCACTGACAGAATGTTAGTCTGCGAGGATAGTCTTCTGGTAACAAGGTCTGCCCTCATTGTACATGGTAGGGATAAAGCAAATTCTCCCGTAGGATTCTATGGATTCTATGCGATAGTCCTACGCGGCGGCCTAATTCCCGGTGCTGATATCTGCATTGATTTCCACGAGATTTAAAATTTGTTCCTCCTGCTCTACAGTAACCTGTCTTTCACAAGTGCGAATATTAGTGGTCTGAACACTTCCTGTATCTCGAAGTCTTTGGTACACTTGCACAAATGTCCTTCTGTTTGGGTGTACCCGTTGAAGATTTGAATTCTGACGAGCTCTACAATAAACTAACAACATGTCGACGAACTCTTCATTCGAGAACATTGTGAATAAACACGACGATGTACGCGAACAATAACTAACCACTGTTACTGCTTGCGATCGATTGCCGGTTCGATAAGAGTGAAGAATGACCGACGCGCTGATGTCATGTGTGTTTTAAATATTTAATTTAATGAAACTTACTTACTTACTGACTACACAGTTTGGCTTAACTTAGAAAATCTTAATCCCATTTATTTGTTAATTACCCAATTTAAAAAAGTTTTAGATTAGATTATAAAAATTAGTAAGATTGTGGTGATTGTGGTCGATATAAAGCACTTAAAGTTGTAAACTATAAAGCCATTTAGACAAAAATCTATTGACTTTTGGACCATGGGTCATTTGAACTTTTTGACTTGTTTGACTACCATAACGTTTACACCCTGTATGACCACAATTCAGATAAAAAAGAATAATAACAGAGGTGCCAGTTTTAGCGACATGGTCAAATCACCCGCCCTAACATACAGATTGTTTGCCGATAACTAGCTTTTATTTTATCATTTTCCAGAGCGAACCCTAATTCCGGCAGAAAATTCCACAAAACTCCGGATTTTCCCTTCTCTTCAGAGAATTATGCAAATAATCATTAGAGTCGCGATCACTACTTTCACAAAATCGTGGCTCTGATAAGTCCAATTAAGCTAATTTGTGATACTTCAAAACTAGATGATAAACATGTGCTAAATATATCGCAGATAAAGTTATTGCTGTATCTTTTGTTCTTTTTCATTATTGTCAAGAAATGTCGTGCGATTGTCAGTTCGTGAAATTGCTACTTACCTTAAATGCGAAGTTGATTGTATCGATGGACACTACATGTTTCCTAGCATAGTTCTGTAAGGTGCCTGTCAGGAAAGCTTGTGGAAAATAGAATCCAGAAATCCAGAAAACTGCTGGTATAGCCTCTGCTACCCATGTGTTCAGAAACTGGGTTCTGGCCTTCAAGTCGGAAACCCAGGCAGCTAAAAATTCCACAAGGCAACACTGAGTTTGTGTTACAATACTGTTTTGTTTCTGTCACATTTTGTTTGACAATAATATTTTATACAGGGTGCGGCAGAGAGGACGGACGTTTTTGGGATGGGTAGTACTCTCCGCCTCCGTCTACGAGAGAGGTGGGGAGGGTGCCGTTTGACTCGTGAGATCCTAGCATTATTTTACCAGTTGTCGTTATGGAGCCTTGGATGGTGGAGCACCGCGTTTTCTCCTATGATTGTTTCGTCCGAAATAATGAGTCAGTCATCGTCGTACAGCGTGAGTTTCATCGCCACTTCAACATTCATCGGAATAGAGCTGTTCCCTTCGTTGGATTGGATCACTTCGCAGGCGTGGTGAACTGATCAACAGAAGACCAAGAGGAGCGCCGCGAACTCCTGCAAATGTTGAACGCGTTCGACAGGTCTTTCTTCACAGTCCGCCTCGATCTGCCCGGAAACATGCTGCTGCACTTCGCCTTAGTGATCGTTCGGTAAGGCGAATTTTGCATATGGATCTCCGCTTTCACCCCTACAAATTGGCCATTGTGCAACAGTTACGTCAGCGAACTTCCAAGAACGCCTCCAGCACTGCATCAACGATTTCGGCCACCACATGCCTGATGTGATTTTCCACACTTGACTGTCTCAAATGCTATTTCCTTGTGAACCTGATTCCATCAATAAATTTGTTTTCGAGTAAGAATTAACTACTTTATGATGTTTTTAAAACTGTCCATCCTCTCTGCCGCACCCTGTATGTATTGTGTAAAGTTAAATAACCAGTGTGTATTAATAAGTCCTTGGACTAGCTCTGTAACTTACCAACAAATGACATCTTTACCCTGTGCCTGTTATAGAAATTAGCGGACCACCTAACAGAGTGGTGTGCGAAGTTTCCTCATCCCTTTTGTTTGACGAGAATTTTATTAAGCGCCTTTTTGCTTGCTTTATTTCCTCTATCTGCGGTTTCACCATAAACAAAAAGTTCGTACGTTTTTCCCTGCTTGAATCGGCAACGTTATTTAAAAATCTGACAACTCATCGCTTCATCACCATAAACTTGCTGAAGCATATTTACTGTTTCTGAGGTTTATTTTCTAAGTCTGATGAAAAATGTTCAATATTTGCTCAAACTTTCGTTCACGATGATACCGTCAACAGAGGTAAATAAAGCAAGTACAAAAATTTTAAATAAAACATTTGTAAAACAAAAGTAATGAGAAAACTTCGCACACTACCGTGTGAGTTTATCAGTTGTTGCAAAAGTTATTCCGGAAACTTTTTGATTCATGCGTTATATATAAAATGGAAACTCCAACACACCACATGCCTGTACATTTTGATCGAATAACTGTTTTCTTCAACTTGATTTTTTGGCAATGAGGTCTTACATCAAGAATGAAACAATAACATTCTCACGAAAGTTTATTGACAAGAAATGAGAAAAAAAATTATATGTTGAGCGAACCCTCAGCAGAATACGAATACACTTCAAATGTCACTGAGTACATGTAACTAAGAAACTTATACTTGTGTTATATAAGTTCAGATATGAAGACGACCATTCATTCATAAAAATCATTAGTATGATGCTACGAATAAGAATAAACATTATTGTAATACCAAAAAAGGAAATAATGTTGGAGTCATATATACTAAGTGACATATAAATCCGAACACCCAGTTTAAATGGTTTTATTTTAATAAAAGTTGGTGAATGTATTTATTTTACTGTAAATAACAAGTGAAAAAATTTTCAGCCTTATCAGTTGGACATTCCGGTTTTTATACTGCTTCTTTTAAATTCACTAACGCTCTAAAAATGAATATTTCAGCCCCAGTAAAGAATCAACGTTGGCGGATTTTGGTTCTTGACATCCTTTACGATCGGTTATGATGCCTAGAGTACGGAGACCTGTACGATTTCGTCAACTTAGTGAGTTTGATAGGGGCGGTATAGTGGGACTTCGGGAAGCTGGACTTTCTTTTCGGGCAATTGCAGTTAGAGTGCAAAGAAGTGTAGACACTGTGGTTAGGTGTTATCAGGCATGGCTTCAAGAAGGCCGTACGCAAAGAGCAAGGGGCACTGGACGCCGCCGTAGAACAACAGACCGTGAAGATCGCCGCCTAAGATTATTGGCCTTGAGGGACCGTTTCTCCACTACCAGGTCCATTGCAAATGAATGGTTTGCAGAACGCGGAAGACCTATTGGCATGCGCAGTGTTTACCGACGAATGAGAAGTTTCGGCTTGTTTTCATACCGGCCACACTGGGTCCTCCCTTTAACTCGAGAACACCGACGTAATCGCCTTGAGTGGTGCAGACAACGGTCACTCTGGGATCAGGAATGGAACAGTATTGTCTTTAGTGACGAGTCTCGATTTTGTTTAGGCATGCACGATGGTCGTGCCAGGGTTAGAAGGCGACGTGGTGAAAGGAGGAATCCACAGTTTTTTGTTGAAAGACATGTTCATCACACTGTTGGAATTATGGTTTAGGGTGCTATAGCTTATGGTTCCAGGTCACCTTTAATCTTCATCAGAGGTAACATGAACGCGCAGCGTTATATCCACGAAGTTCTAGAACCCCATCTTTTACCCTATCTTGACACCCTGGCAGATCCAACTTTCCAACAAGATAATGCCCGACCACATGTTGCAAGAGTCACAATAGACTTCTTTCAACATAACGATGTCACATTGTTACCATGGCCACCAAGATCTCCCGACTTATCCCCAATTGAGCACGTGTGGGATATGATGGGTAGGAGATTGCTCAATTTGCAACGTCCTCCTCAGACTCTAGAAGCACTTCGAGATGAGTTGGTGGTTGCCTGGAATGAGATACCACAGGAGGACATTGACCACCTGATCAGAAGCATGCCTAGGCGCGTTGGAGAATGCGTAGCACATCAGGGTGCATCCACACATTATTAAAGGTCAAAGGGCTTTAAAGCAGTGCAATCATTTTGAAATTTTTATCATTTACTTATTATGCTTCATTAAGTACTTATACAAAATTTTATGAAAATAAAACCATTTAAACTGGGTGTTCGGATTTATATGTCACTTAGTATAGTTTGGTCCAATAACATACCAACATATTTAAGAAGAAGCGGAATATACAGACATAAACAATGTAATTTATGACAAATAGATATCATTTATATTTTCCACATTACTGATCTACAACACAAACTTACTGTATTATATTTATATTCTATCGATTTTCTCTAGCCCCTATTCATTCCGTTGACCATTTATTGTTGATACTGTACACTATGTGTTGTATTATGTTGTAACGACAGCCACGTGTGAGGATATTTTCAATTTCTGGTGTAACAATCGATTCGAAGTTTACAATTTGTGGAAATAAACATTGTTATTAATTTTCCAACTGATAAAATAAGAATGTATTGCATTTTGTTTGTATTCAATTTAAATTTATATGCATTTAATCAGTTCACAATATTTGCCGTACACTTATGCAAAAGTTTAAAGACAATAACTATGCATTTATTTAATTTATCTACGACGTATCGTGTGTACACCTTATCACTGAATCCGATTTTATACCTTCTGACGAGATATGCCAGTCACTCCCAGGTTTGACTAGAAGAAACTATACCAAAGGTCATTTCGAACCAAGTCAATCAAGCTACTTCTAGGCTTGTACCTTGTTGGATTACATTTATATTATATTAATACTCACCCAAAGGTTTGAGTGAAGGATACGCCTTGCTAGCCCACATCGCTGGTACCAAATTGCTAAACAGGCTCAGAGACATTTTCTCCAAAGCCTCTGACATTACCACCAGCCCCTTTAGAGCTTTCAGCAGATCATTTAGAGATGATTTAATGACGACTAGCAATTTGTTGTATCGTATGGCTTCTTGGATTATGACAGTGTTTAGAGATTCTTCGTACAGCACTGGGTATCTATCAATATCATAAAACATGTTTTATCAACAATGTTATTTCATGTATTATTCGAAATCCACAGGAAGAATGAAAAATCTAAGCTAGAGACAACAAAAAAAAACTGGATGCCAGTGGGATTCGAACCTACGAGCTTGACTGTTGTAGGAGGTGTTTCGTTAGTTAAATAATGTGGAGGTCATGGGTTCAAATCTCACTAATTCTTTTTATGTTTCTTCTTCTCAGTTAGATTTTTATGTTTGAATGTTTTACCTATGATTCTTAATATGATACAACCTTATCTTCAAATACTTGGTTGAGAAAAGTAATAATTCTCATATATAATAGACACACATGAATATCCAAACCAGCAGATTGTATCTTACTTTTGCGATATCTTATCCAACTCGAACAACTTAGGCAACGTCTCCAGTATCGATCTAGCAACATTTGATGTCACTTCTTCTTGACTCGAAGCTGCTCCACCAACTTGCTTAGGCTGCAGCTTCAGCAACGTGGCTAAGCAAAGGTAAGTTTGGGCTTGAGCGAAGGTTATGTCTGCGTTTGGATGCAAACCAAACACGTCAGGATCATCGTTTATGGGAAATGTTTTGATGTATTCGATGTAGTCTAGGAACATGGTGTCAAGGGGTAGCTGGAAAGTAAAAAGGGACGTTGCTTAGGATTTTACAGGGCGTCCCAGAAAACAGCTTGAGGGACTCCCCTAACAGAGACCCCTAAGCGCGGGGACACACGAGCGTTAAAGTGATGCGCTGCAAAAATACGCGCGTTTTGCAGTGAATTAATTTGATGTACGTACACTGAGGATGGAAGACGAATCGACGCGAACAGAACTAAGGTCAAATGTACTAAGTGGCATATAAAATGCAACATCCAGAATTATGTATTGCATTTTTTATTTCCTCACCTCATGTGCATCATATGACATTTTTTACAAAAAGTTTCAAAAGGTGGCATTCTACAGAAGTATCAAATCAAACTTTGCATGTTACTGATTCAATAGCCATCATTTGAGATGCATTGTATTTCATTTTGTCTAAATTTAGAAACCTTCAAGCACGTTTAAATATATTAAATTCCATCTATACATAGACAATATACAGCGTGTTGGGGAAATGATATTCTTAACTTGAAGAGGTGATTCCTTGCATTATTCTAAGCAGAAATGTTCATTATAACCTGTGTCCAAAAATCAACCGTTTCGGAGCAAAAAAATGATGAACTTATTTCTTTTAGTCCTGAAATAAATTAATTTTGCACATAATAATTTAAATTAATCTGCCTAATAGCGTAAAATGTTTCAATACATCTATTTATTAACTGTCTCTAACAAAATAATTTTCTTGCTTATTAAATACAATTTTCCGAAGAAAAACGGACAAACAAAGTCCCTCACACAACTGGCAACGCCGTACTCCGCCTGCACTGCATGTATCATCGCGAGTTGTGATTACTAATACATTTAACTGTAACATGTGATTTACGGATGTTGTTTTTTTTCTTTTCTCGTACTTCGCATCGTTTCAAATAAGTGACTGATAATCGTGGTAACTGGTGATGTGTATCGCCACGTACCGGTAAGTTCTGTCATTTTTTTAAAGTACATGTACTGAAAGCATTATTAAATAAAAAAATATTAGCCACAAAAAATTGCGTAAAAGTATTCAATAATTCAAGGCATATTTTCAACAAAAATATCATATAAACGTAAACAATTCGATGAATCAGTTGCGGTCGTCATGCGCTGGTATCGCGGTTGCGTTGCAGCGTTGCCAAATGTTTGCGAAAATTTAATTATTTACGACTCACTTTCCTCGAAAACCATTGATTTTCGGACATAAGTTATAATGAACTTTTTTGCTTAGAATAATGCAAGGAATCACCTCTTAAAGTTACGAATATTATTTCCCTAACACCCTGTAATAAAATAAATAGTTGCACATATGAACTAAAATATTTATTCTTTCGATTTACTTTTTTTTTTATATCGAAACAGCCGCGCAGGCAGAAGCCTAAATGCCGGAACACCGCGGCTGCTATGATGATCCCAAACAAATTTTGTTGATACGATTTTTGAACTGCCTAAGGTTAGTAGAACTGGGAAAAGCTTCCTCAAGTAGATTGTTCCACAATCTAGACACCCTCGGGACAAAGGAGCGATCGTCTCGGCCAGTTCTGGATGTACGAAGTTTGACACGGTTAGGATGGGACGCCGAAGTCAGGCGGGTCTGTCTGGCAGGCACATCGCGCGGCGGCATCATGGAAGAGAGCTCTGAGGAGCAAAGCCCGTTGGTGTAGCGATAGAAAAGAGCTAGATCGCCGACGGCCCGCCGGTGCGAAAGAGTCCCGAGACTGTCTGTTAGAGAAGAGTCATCGATCAGTCGGACCGCCCTCCTCTGGACAGCATCGAGCATGGACAATGTAGTCGGGGCGGCAGCACCCCAAATGTGTGAGCAATACTCGAGGCTAGGCCTTATCTGGGCCTTGTATAGAGTGAGAAGGTCATGCGGAGAAAAATACTTCTTAGCCCTAAACAAATAGCCTAGCTTTTTCCCAGCAGCTGCAGCTATTGAAGAGATGTGTTCGTGCCAGATCAGGTCCTCGGTGATCTGGACTCCGACCAGCCGAAATGAATGGCTCTTTGGTAGAATTCGACCGTCCATCGAAACTGTATGAGCGCTAGGACGCTTTTTGTTCGTCAAAGTACAGTACTGTGTTTTGGAAGCATTGAACTGTACAAGATTGTTGCGTCCCCAAGCAGTGATAGCGTCCAGGTCTCTTGTCAGAGATGAAGTCGTCACTAGTCTTCTTTTTTCCAGCTCAGCGGCAGAGATCGGCTTGTCAGTCTGAATTCCTGCATGTAGAGTGCTGTCATCAGCGAAGCTGTGGATTGGGTTGATCGTGCAGGAAAGGAGGTCGTTGATATGTAAGAGAAACAGTGTTGGAGCCAAGACCGATCCCTGGGGAACACCCGCGTTGACGTTGTGGGATGAAGAGGAGAATCCGTCAATTACGACGGATATCTTGCGGCCAGAGATAAAGTCAGCCACCCATCTGCAAAGCTTTTCTGGGAGGCCGTAGGATGGAAGTTTGCTTAAGAGGGCAGCGTGCCACAGCTGATCGAACGCTTTCGTGATGTCAAGAGCAACGACATGAGCCTCACCATGAGACTGGATGAGTTTACTCCACAGTTGCGTGACGTAACCTAGGAGGTCCCCTGTGGATCGTTGGTGCCGGAAACCGTACTGCCTGTCGCTAATCAAGCTGTGACGTTCGAGGTAGTCCAGAAGCTCGCGATTTATGCACCTCTCCATCACTTTACTTATAACAGAAAGCAGAGCTACTGAAACTAAAAAGAGTAAATGTCACTTTTACTTACTAACCTCCTCAATTGCTTACAACAGAGTCTGAAGTTATTGCCATCGATGCTACGACCAACATATAAATCTACCAACACCCATCAACATGCATAGTTAGCTTATTTTGAGTATTTATCTCGTACTATAAACCATTCATTCTGAGTATGGAACCCTTCTTTAAGCAAAATTTCTGCTATATTTACCTGGTAATAGAATCCTCTTTTGTCAAAAACATAATCGGTACTGACAACATCTGCTTTGTAGTAATCTGCTAGTAGATTCATCAGACATCGTCGATCCCAATCGTCTGTGACTCGACCACCATAGTTGATATGCCCTTTTAAATGAAGAAAATGTTAGATTAAATTTTCTCATAAGCCTAGGTAACTTTTTGAGCAATAGACTAAATGACATTAATATGTAAGAATCTTCGCTTACATATTTGAAGGTTCTTTCAAGGGGGATATATGTATAATATATCCATAAATGAAGGTACCTGCAGTGTATGTTAAAACTTTGAACGGAATATCCTCGTATTCCACCAGAAACATATGGAGCTGCGAAATACAAATCTTCAAATCTCCATCGGTGAACTCGTATGGAATGTTAAAGCCTAAGGGCCCGAATTTTCTTCTTTCCAGAATCACAGCGTGAAACAGGCAGAGAGAAAATACCTAGAAATGAATCTGAAAATTTAATTGCGAATAGTTTTGCTGTTCCATTTGATTTTCAAGCAGGTGATACCGGAGAGTACATCTCTGCAAAAAAAATAAATTACAAACTGATTGCGTATTTGGATGGGACTGTAATGAATTATTCAAATATCTGCCTGCATGTGAAAGTTTTCGTTTAATATAAATCGAATGTCGTAATCATGCACTTGGTCGAGTTTGTTAACTCGGCTGATGAATATAAAAATTAGAATGGAAGGAACATGAAAAAAGGATTGCATTTTTCTCTGATAATTATAAATTACACTACAGTAAAAGCCTGGTAAAGAGTCAAATTTATAGACCTTCCATGAGGCTTCCTTGGAAAAAATGGATCTCCTCTTGGAAACAGTGAAACAGTGACGCTTCCTTGACGCACGTTCAAGGGAGGATTTAAAGTTTTATTTTACAGTGAGCTGTAACAGTTGTCATTACAAGCTGTCATCGATGTCAGAAAGATTTTGTTTTGCTGGCCGTATCTACGAGTATTTAGCATTTTGATGATAAAATTTGGAAGGCTTGGTTTATTTGTGCTAAATGTCAATAACCATTGCAAAATAATAATATGTCTTCCTCCTGGAATTACAGCGAAATCACATAGAAGTAAAAAATGAACAGAAGCAACTGGTCGCTCCGAAGATTGTAGATTACGTCTGACTACCACAGTATTTCTAAACAAAAAAATATTTCATACACAAATTTTATATCATTGTAGTATAAGTGTCAAAAAAATATCAGACAAATTTAAAGTGATTATTGAAAACACAAACTGATAGTAGCAACAACAACACAGCAGTTTAGTGCAACTGGTTGCCTATATTCAGTTTTTTACTCCTATGTGCCCAGGGAACATGGTGGGACCAAAATTATTCATTATTCCGTCACTTTTGGTCGAAAACGTCATTGACTGAAAAATAACGTCATCCTGACAACATGACATCATTAAGAAGACTGTCATTTTGGCGTCAATCATTACTGAAAAATCAACACTTACCTACAAAGAAAATATAGATTTTTTATGGACAGTAAGGTCAACTAGATATCAAATTCCTAATAACTAGTTTATATTGTAATTTAAAAAAAAATATCAGGTAATCTTCGACCAAGAATATCTTATTAATATATCTCTTCTAATAATAATATTCCATATTCAGATATTTCCAATTGCCATTTTAGATCATGTTTTATTCCAGTAAATAATAAATTTATTAAAACTCCTATATATGGTGCCAGTTTGACAATGTTTAAAGGGAAAAGAATATTCCAAGGAAAACCAGAAGTCATAGTAGTGAAATTTGTATTCTCGAAGACATACTAATTACGTGATTTACTGAGTAACATTGATATTGTAGCATTAATGCTAAATATATCTACAACAAATATAACAATAAACAAATTTTACTATAATATTTGTAATCAAGAGCGGTAAAAATTCATGTTTTGTAACCGTATATCTTTTAGCAGATCAACGAAGACGATTGTGTTTGGCGGTGAGTCCGACCGATGTCGATGTAAAAAATTGTTTCTAAGAAATACTCGATCTCGTCAGATACTGATATTATTTATGCATCACTTGTGTCTGATACTGGAGGTATGATAATCAGCCTGTTTGTAGATGAGATTGCTGTACGAAAGGATAAAAAAATCAGAAAAGGAAAGAAATATTCGAACCCGTCAGACATTCAGGGGGGACGTGAAGTGAACCCAAAAGAAGCCCTCACTTGAAAGTTTTTAGTTGATGTGAATAAATGTTATTATCTATCTATCAATCCATACATAACTCGTTACTATACTATAACTATCTAAAACTGTAATGACTCATCGATGTTCACGTGAACATCACTTAACTACCAGTAGTCGGCTGTTCATAGGTGGGGTATGAATGTTTAACATGGGTGAACTAGATTTGTCACATGCTTAATAAAGAGTGGTTTGAAACATATTGTAAGTCAAAAATTTGGGAATTACCTTTATTCATCGTCGCTTCCACTTACATCTGACAGTAATAGACTGTCGCTATCGCTTTCCTCGTTGAAATTGACTATAACTGGCTCTATGATGGTGTCGATGTGGTGGTCAAGCTGCCACATTTTTGTTTCTTCCTTCACAATATGACGGATAGCATTCTGCCAAGCTTCGGACGTTACTAGCTGTATGGAAGTCTCAAGTAAAACCTTAACGTCTGGTAATTTGAAGGCTGTGTTATGGCGCGCAATATAACCCTTCACTTGAGCCCAGATGAGCTCTATTGGGTTCAGTTTACAGTGGTAGGGCGGTAACCGCAGCACAGTGACACCACATCGACGGGCCATCTCATCAGTCACATAACTAATGTTCGCAGGTTTGTGCTGTTTAATTTTTTCATACAATTCCGCTTTCACACATGAATCGTCAATCCTTTTTCGCGCAACCATTGCTGCATGTCACTTTTTCGAGATCCCATAGTCGGTACACGTTCGGCTCGACGACTATGGTAGGAAGCATAACTCCATGACGATCACAGAGTTGGGCTCAACTCGCTGAAGCACCCCTTGAAACCAGCTCTCGAAGCAGCTGGCATTCATTTCGTCATGGTAATCACCTCCTTTGTTAGAGACGAAAATCAAGTCACACTCTTCTAAAAAGCCACTATCGCTACCAATATGAGTTACGATCAATCTTTGACCTTTCCCTGACGGTCCACGAAGACCTGTTGACAAACCTTCAATGCTTGCTTGTCGGTTACTCACTACGTTTTTGTCTATTCAGGTCTTTTTAACTGTGTGACTGACCTGCATTTACCCATGTCTCGTCCAAATAATAGATTTTTCTGCTTTGTCGCCTATATTCAATCATTTCGCGTAGGTATTTTCGACGCCAGGCGACTATTTCAGGTCTCTCTATCAATACTGACTTCCGATTACGCGTTTCGTAACGAAAATTAATTTCGTGGAGGGATTTCCTCATTACCTCGACGCTCATTTGGGGTACAATTTCATTTCCCTTGATCGCTGCATGTACAGCCTTGAGGGTTGGTATCTCATTCCTAAAGAAGAATGAATGTACGGTTCGTCTTAACGCCATTTTGCTATCGTCATCCAATTTAACGGCCTTTCGTCCCTTCAAATTAAACTTTGGATCAGTAGTAGCTCCAGTTTTCTTCTTTTCATGCACCACCCTGCGAATGGTCCACTCTGGAACGCCTGTCATACTTTCACAACGCGCGAGTGCATCTCCCTGCGACATAGTTCTGTTCAGATAATTGAACACGTGGAGCACGATTTCTTTCGCGTCCCTCTTCAGTGCTTTACGAAGCCGTCTTGTTCCCTGGTTTTCAGTACTTCCACTCGTGCCATTTGTACTCTCCATGGTTAAGTATAACCAAAACAGTAACCACAGAAACCACAACAATAACAATCACACAACAATTCTTATAAAAACACACAATATGCGATCGCTCAACGAAACACGTTCCAATGCGTTGCCGACGCCTATGAGTCTGCCGGTCGAGGCGCGTCTTTGATTTCATTGGTTCTACCGGCGGAGAACAATCAGCCATTATTTCCATCTCTGTCTGTGCTGTTGACCACCGCAAAGCCACAGAAACGACATATGTCGTACGCTATACGGCTGTACTGGAAGGAAGTCGGGATCGAGCTCTGATCACGTGTTGATCACACGTATGAGTCATTACAGTTTTAAATAGTTGTAGTATAATGGAATTAACTTACCAATAGCCTAAACGGTGGCGCTTTCTTGTTCTCTGACTGCATGAAGTCGGCCAATTCGGACACCTCGTTCCGGTAGGCCCTCATCATGTTGGCCTTGACGCCTGCAGGCGGTTCGACTGTCATTTTGCTGCCGCTTTGCAAAATGGCGACCGGGAAATGGGGGGATGGGGTGGATGTCAGCCAGATGCGGAAGTCGCGGTGCACCATTTCCGGGGAGATGCCTTCGATGATTCGCTCCAAGCGGGGCATCCAGCTGGGGGCTAGATGGCAATTCTGCAACAATGTACAGAGTTTATCGAAACGAGACAGAGCAGAGAACTGTGAAGGTCTCAATTCGCGTTTGAGAGCCGTGACCGCAAAAGGCTGACGATTCTGGAGGAATAGTGCCCAACTAGCAAAGTAGTGGTAAAAGAACCGTTCAGCCATAAAAGCTCTCTATTGTTGTTGCCTGAACACCAAAATGCTGGCTTAATGTTGTGTGGAGTGCAAATTTGTTTTCTGCAACATATTTGCTCTAAAATGAGGTGTTTAAAACATTCTTATAGCATAGTTATACAACACCTTATAAGGCAAATTTTTAACTGTTGCATAAACGTTTATAGAACTATTTTATACGGCATACTTGCAAGATAGTCAAAATGGTTGTGTTGTGGCATCCATGGTAACGTTTATAAAACAAACCCGAGCTTTGTTGTTTTGCTATGCAATTTACTACTTTAGCCAACAAATTGCTCCCAACGGAAGCACTTATACAACTGTTGTTTAGTAACTGTTAAAGGCTGTACACATGCTAAATATGTTGTTAAACAACTTCACCATAACCTAACTTTCTGCTGTCATATTTTTGTTAAAATGCCATAACCAATGTTTTAAGACAAACAACGCATGCATATTGGTTCAAAAGGTTTTATCAACTGTTCAAACAGAAGATATAGATCTGGTACAAATTCTGGGTAAATCATTCGACTCTGTCGGTATTTCATTTCAGATATTTGTCAAATTGTTGTATAACACCTGCAGGCAACACCAAAATATTCTAATAACCTAAAGACAACATGGACGATGCCATGATTATACACATTGGGCAAACATTTATTCCTCTATTTAATATTAAATAATTATGTTTCACTTCGAAATTACAGATATAAAGTGATAAACATTAGTGTAATTGTGTCTAAATATAAGATTTGTGGAAGATTTACCGCAGATAAGTTCAGTTTTCCATCTTAAAAATCTAGACATACTTTTGATCATTGTCAAAATATGAATCAAATACGAAGCCCATAGAAATTGGGCAACTAATTTGCAAGATCACAATAAAATTTGTTGCGCAAGTAATTCAATAGCCCTATATCAAAGTGTAGAAGTTTATCATATGCCTGTGTATGAAATTCACAATGGCCGATATGTAAGTAAACAAGAGGACTGTAATGTGTTAGTTATATATTCTTCACTTCGTCTATGGTCTATGCAATACATAAGAAATAGTTTCGTTGCAAAAAAGTAGAATCACGTAACAGAATAGTTGTATAGTTGACAAAAACTGAATATTGCACTGACGCAAATGTCCTATAGCGGCTGCAAGAGGCTTACACTTTTGTTTTATAACTGTTACCTGCAGCCCTTATACAACCTCTTAAATGACTGAAGTGTCCTATTAGGTGTGAACATTCCGCTTGTATAGCTGTTCTAAGAGGGTTTTGCCAATGTTCTTACAGTATAAAATGCTGTTTAAGGAATACTGTATAATCATTCTTGCAACTCTAATAGGAGTGATAATTGTTAGTTGGGTGTGCTCTACTCGCCATTGAATAACTAAACAGGCTGCTTTAGTCTAGGCTTGGCTATTCCAGCAGTGTCTGCCCTATGGGGAAATGGATGACATGGATTTTTATGTACACGTCGGATCCAGGATCAAGTCTTGGGGGGAGTAGTGTGGGTTGCCTACCATCTCAAGTCGTTTGATCTCATTACAATGCTATTAAGACGGGATATAATGACTAAGCGGCAGTGTAAGATCTGAAAGCACATTTATTTTAAGTTTACAAACAGAAAACGCTGTGGTCTCTCCTTCTTTTTCGTTCCTTATTTTTTTCTGCAAGTCTGAGGCCTTGAGGGGAGGGGGCAATGGCACCGTTCCCCCTTGGATTCGCGATTACAATACGTCCTTGCCAGTAGGCGTGGAAAGTAATAAAAATGATTTCTGGAAAATTCGTCTTTTTCATCTATTTCCGGGATACTCTCAATTGTGAAACGTTATAAGCGCGACTTTCTTATTTACTTGAATGCGCAAATTTGCCCCCTTTTAACTGACTTCCAAATGCAGTTATTCGTTCAGAGAAATGCTTGAACGTTTGTCGTTAGTACATTATATTGAAACATTTAAATAACCGATCCCAAATTGTAAAATTATCCAGACATTACATTTCAAATAAATTAGATATAAATGTACGGGTACCTCAAGGATCAGTATTAGATTCGATCCTATTCTCAGTCTAAACGAATGATTTAATAAACTTAAATATAAATAGTAAATTAGTAATTTCGCTGACTATACCACAATACTTGAGTAAGTAACATATATAAATTAAATTAAGACCAAAATTGACAGCGATAGTCAAAAAATGTTGTGACAACAGTTACTTGACTTTCAATGTTAAAAAGACAAATTTTAAAAATCCTAATAATGAATTGATACACAAAAGCAGACAATATCGAATTTCATTGATCAAACATTAGATTTTATCAATCACTCAACTAACAAATATTTTCTTCATTATCAGAACAATTTTGGTGTATCTGTTTCAAAATTGTTTAAAAGTCTGCTTATTCTACGAAAAGGAACTAACTAGAGCTACATGCAAGTCTTTATTTGTAAATCTTAAAATAATGACTGTCATATCATTGTTCAATTTAGATACAGTAAATATTATTTTTAAAAATAAATATAAATTTCAAACATTAAATATAAGTTACAATATAAGATGAAAACAGGATCTCAGATCAGTAGTACTGAAACAACACTTGTGAAGATCTCACTAATTTATAATGGTCTAAAACCTTACACGTGCCTCCCTGATGATATCAAAAGAATTAAGAATTCAAAAATACTGAACTTAAAAACTTTTTAATATGTGAGCCATAATATATATATATCTTATATCAGCTCTAAAATTCAGCTATCTACATTTTGAATTATGTCATAGTTTAGTTTCAAGTTAGCTTCACCATTTCATATTGAAACAACTAGGCATTAATTATATTTATCATTATTTGGGATATGGTACCATAGAGTTGACATTATTGGTTTACTGTTTAGCTGTACCCGCGACTTTTTTAATAGTGTCCTATTGTTGATTTTAGATCTGTTTGGCAATTAACTATTTATTTATTATATATACTAAGTGACATATAAATCCGAACACCCAGTTTAAATAGTTTTATTTTAATAAAATTTTGTATCAGTACTCAATGAAGCATAATAAGTAAATGATAAAAATTTCAAAATGATTGCACTGCTTTAAAGCCCTTTAACCTTTAATAATGTGTGGATGCACCCTGATGTGCTACGCATCCTCCAACGCGCCTAGGCATGCTTCTGATCAGGTGGTCAATGTCCTCCTGTGGTATCTCATTCCAGGCAACCACTAACTCCTCTCGAAGTGCTTCTAGAGTCTGAGGAGGACGTTGCAAATTGAGCAATCTCCTACCCATCATATGCCACACGTGCTCAATTGGGGATAAGTCGGGACATCTTGGTGGCCATGGTAACAATGTGACATCATTATGTTGAAAGAAGTCTATTGTGACTCTTGCAACATGTGGTCGGGCATTATCTTGTTGGAAAGTTGGATCTGCCAGGGTGTCAAGATAGGGTAAAATATGGGGTTCTAGAACTTCGTGGATATAACGCTGCGCGTTCATGTTACTTCTGATGAAGATTAAAGGTGACCTGGAACCATAAGCTATAGCACCCCAAACCATAACTCCAACAGTGTGATGAACATGTCTTTCAACAAAAAACTGTGGATGCCTCCTTTCACCACGTCGCCTTCTAACCCTAGCACGACCATCGTGCATGCCTAAACAAAATCGAGACTAGTCACTAAAGACAATACTGTTACATTCCTGATCCCAGAGTGACCGTTGTCTGCACCACTCAAGGCGATTACGTCGGTGTTCTCGAGTTAAAGGGAGGACCCAGTGTGGCCGGTATGAAAACAAGCCAAAACTTCTCATTCGTCGGTAAACACTTCGCATGCCAATAGGTCTTCCGTGTTCTGCACACCATTCATTTGCAATGGACCTGGTAGTGGAGAAACGGTCCCTTAAGGCCAATAATCTTAGGCGGCGATCTTCACGGTCTGTTGTTCTACGGCGGCGTCCAGTGCCCCTTGGTCTTTGCGTACGGCCTTCTCGAAGCCATGCCTGACAACACCTAACCACAGTGTCTACACTTCTTTGCACTCTAACTGCAATTGCCCGAAAAGAAAGTCCAGCTTCCCGAAGTCCCACTATACGGCATCTATTAAACTCACTAAGTTGACGAAATCGTACAGGTCTCCGTACTCTAGGCATCGTAACCGATCGTAAAGGATGTCAAGAACCAAAATCCGCCAACGTTGATTCTTTACTGCTTCTGAAATATTCATTTTTAGAGCGTTAGTGAATTAGAAAAAAGCAGTATAAAAATCGGAATGTCCAACTGATAAGGCTGAAAATTTTTCCACTTGTTATTTACAGTAAGATAAATACATTCACCAACTTTTATTAAAATAAAACCATTTAAACTGGGTATTCGGATTTATATGTCACTTAGTATATTTATTTTTATATCTGTCTTTCTATCAAGTCTGGTGGCCCAAAAACCTGACCTGGAGGCGGAGGTGTATTTCCGACTCTCGCGACATCTTTTTTTGATTCCTATTATGCTGATACATTTGTTATTCGATTTTCAGGCAGTTGCTGGAAAACTGTGGTGAATAACGGAGAAAATAGTAAATATTGACCTGTCTACAATCGATAACATCCCGTTGACCTGAGTGGTAACTTGTGGCTCAATTTAGGTCGAACATTTGTCATTTCCATTCATCTGTCATTACCTGAAAGAACACCCACGATCCCACTTCGCATCCGCTCTGAATCATCTTCTCCGCCCTAGGCCCCTGCCCCTGGCCCAGCGATATAGAGAACATCCTTTTTGACATTTTCATCCTATCCGCGAACTTGTACAGCTCAGCAGCTGGGTCGGTACCAGTGGACAGCACGAATATCAATGGCACTGCCGGACCGGACTCTTTGAACATCGCCGAGAGGTCCGAGGATTGGGGCTCGATGAATTCTTTGCCCAGTTTGGCAGACAGGAAATCTTGCATTGCGTTGATCACCTTGTCGGGACGAAGGCTTTTTAGCACCACGATTTTCTGGAAGTCATCCATGGTTTTTTCTAAATGATCTGGCATGGGGAATCTGGAACCAAGTCATGATTGCCTTGGATGAATCGGCGTATAAGAAACCGGAAATAGGGGCATTACGCTTGAAGCAGGCATCGAAAAACAGTGAGGTTTTAAAAGGCGCCCATATTGAGTCAATTCGTACATCTAGTAGGTTTGAAAGAGAAAACACGATTTTATTTTTGTGGCACGTTTATTTGGACTTTTTTCGATTTGAAAACTATTATATTGGGATATGAAACAGCATCTTGAATAGAAAACTTTTTGAACTTTTTGATAAAAAAACAAATTTGAAATTTGAAGAAACTTAATATCCTAAGTCGGAAGTAAACATCTCATACCAAAATTTGGGTAATTTCGCATTTTTTATTTTTGATTTTTTTACTGCAAAATATAGCCTAGTGTGTGTTTAGAATAGGCCACAAATGTCTTAATGCTATGCCCATTTATTAAGGGGGGGTATGTACTTACTTTTATGTACATTCATGTCGCACTGGGTATGACGTTAGGCTCTTGTTTAGGTAGACTGGTTTGCGAGATATTGAATTAGCAGACTACAATATGAGTATTTTTTATCTCAAATAAACATTTTGAACATATACACTAAGTGACATATAAATCCGAACACCCAGTTTAAATGGTTTTATTTTAATAAAATTTTGAATAAGTACTTAATGAAGCATAATAAGTAAATGATAAAAATTTCAAAATGATTGCACTGCTTTAAAGCCCTTTGACCTTTAATAATGTGTGGCTGCACCCTGATGTGCTACGCATTCTCCAACGCGCCTAGGCATGCTTCTGATCAGGTGGTCAATGTCCTCCTGTGGTATCTCATTCCAGGCAACCACCAACTCGTCTCGAAGTGCTTCTAGAATCTGAGGAGGACGTTGCAAATTGAGCAATCTCCTACCCATCATATCCCACACGTGCTCAATTGGGGATAAGTCGGGAGATCTTGGTGGCCATGGTAACAATGTGACATCATTATGTTGAAAGAAGTCTATTGTGACTCTTGCAACATGTGGTCGGGCATTATCTTGTTGGAAAGTTGGATCTGCCAGGGTCTTTCAACAAAAAACTGTGGATTCCTACTTTCACCACGTCGCCTTCTAACCCTGGCACGACCATCGTGCATGCCTAAACAAAATCGAGACTCGTCACTAAAGACAATACTGTTCCATTCTTGATCCCAGAGTGACCGTTGTCTGCTCCACTCAAGGCGATTACGTCGGTGTTCTCGAGTTAAAGGGAGGACCCAGTGTGGCCGGTATGAAAACAAGCCAAAACTTCTCATTCGTCGGTAAACACTTCGCATGCCAATAGGTCTTCCGTGTTCTGCAAACCATTCATTTGCAATGGACCTGGTAGTGGAGAAACGGTCCCTTAAGGCCAATAATCTTAGGCGGCGATCTTCACGGTCTGTTGTTCTACGGCGGCGTCCAGTGCCCCTTGCTTTTTGCGTACGGCCTTCTCGAAGCCATGCCTGACAACACCTAACCCCAGTGTCTACACTTCTTTGCACTCTAACTGCAATTGCCCGAAAAGAAGGTCCAGCTTCCCGAAGTCCCACTATACGGCCCCTATCAAACTCACTAAGTTGACGAAATCGTACAGGTCTCCGTACTCTAGGCATCGTAACCGATCGTAAAGGATGTCAAGAACCAAAATCCGTCAACGTTGATTCTTTACTGCGGCTGAAATATTCATTTTTAGAGCGTTAGTGAATTAAAAAAAGCAGTATAAAAACCGGAATGTCCAACTGATAAGGCTGAAAATTTTTTCACTTGTTATTTACAGTAAGATAAATACATTCACCAACTTTTATTAAAATAAAACCATTTAAACTGGGTGTTCGGATTTATATATCACTTAGTATATTTTGACATGAAATTATTAGATATATAAACAAAATCAATCCTAGAGTTACATGCGAGCCTTTATTTGTAAATCTTGAAATAATTCGTCGTATCATTGTTCATTTTAGAAACAGCCACTCTTGTTTAAAGAAAAATCTAAATTTGAAACATTAAGCATAATTTATAAAATTGGACGAAAACAAGGTTTTAAATTAGTAATACCTAAAACCACACTTGTGAAAGACTCAATACTTTATAATAGTCTGAAAATTTACATGTGTCTCCCTGATGCTATCAAAGCAATTTACAATTTAAAGAAATTCCGCCGTGAACTTAGACATATTTTAATACACAACTCAAAAAAATTGAAGGAGCAAAAAAAATTTTTCGGTGACTTCTACGGGCTGAATTTCGGTGAAAATTGTTAGTATCTAGACTGTAAGAAAAGCATTTTGAAGCTTCAAGACTCTGGTTTTCAAGTTTTTTAGCCGGAAAATTTTAGGAGCAACGGTTCTCATGCAATTCCAACAGATGACGCCTTCTTATTTTTAGTCCACGAACATGAAAACATTTTATATATATATATTCAGCTGCAATACCCTGTTTTTAAAATCTCGATACCATTATTTGTCTGGGAGATATCTGACTTTGAATGATAAAGGATCCTTTAGTCGTCGAAAAGCAAAAACTTTGCAAAACATTTTCCTTGCGTTATCTGTTAAATTTGCGTGAGAACCATTGCTCCTACAATTTTTTAGCAAATAGCCTGAAACCTCGAATTCTATAGCTTGAAAATGCTTTTTTAAAGTCTAAATACGACCATTTTTCACTAAAATACAGCCAGGCAAAAATTACAGAAAAACTTTTTTTGTTGTGCTCTTAAATTTTTTGTGTTTTGAGTGTAAATCGTGTTATGTACGCATGTATGAGTTCTACAATTCACCTACTTAAGATCCACATACGTAATTATAGTTAGTTTTAAGTCAGCTTAGTCTTTAAGGATGAGACAATAAAACATATTTATGTATCTACCTAACGTTGCATATGCATTGTTCATGGATCTGAAATGCAAAGCATAGTACGTCGACGTCTAAAGGGAACAATAATGTTTGTCTTGTTTAGGAATTAATATAAAATACAATAATTTTGGCTTGAGATGTCGAAGTCGGGCGTCTGGGCATTGGAGGTCCAATAACATACCATAAGCAGCCAGGTAAGACGAGTTTTAGATGTTACATTAGGATCAAAATGGGTTATTTGCCTTCTTCTTTCGATCACTGCACAAACGAAAAAACATTTAGATAGTCTTGGACATGTGATGATTCTTCTGACGGTGATTGAATGATACATGATTTATACCTTACCTATGGGGTTCCTGGCTTTCAAAAATCTTCTTGTAATGGGCTAGGTGATCATTAAATGTTCTTACAAATGGTTGAAATGACGGCAAATGCTCTAGAGCCAATATCTCGGACCAAGACTTGCTTGATAACCAGGCAGGCGCTGGATTCGGCAAATCCTAATTTTATAAAAAGTTTCAGTGGGGCCATGAAATAAGTACAAATATACCTAATACATCTGCAATATTTTTTCAACACATGAGTTACGTTGTCAGTTACCAAAATGGAAGAGAGCAGCAGGTAACGTACGAAACTACTATCGCGGCGCATAGTCGGAAATGAGCGGAACTGATTCAAATTGTTAAAGATTTTTGAGATGCAAGCTATCTTGAAAAACGTGCTCTGAAAGCATATGTCTTATATTTTCATGGCTAATCACAAACTTTCGTCTTTTTAGAACAATCTGACAATAATTCGGTTCGGACAAAATTCAGAAATCATTATTGATTTAAAAAAATATTATTTAATTTTCATTCATATTATGAGGAAAAGCTTGCTATATTAAAAGTTCGAATTAGTACTTTGGATTTGCACTAATGAAATTTGTACAAAAAGCGGAATATTACATGCAGGCCTTTATTTTAAAATCTCAAAATAATGACTGTCGTATCATTGTCTATTTTAGAAACAGCAACTCTTATTTTTAAAAATGAATCTGAATTTGAGACATCAAGAATAAGTTACGGTATTAAACGAAAACAAGACCTGAATTTAGTAGTATCTACCTAATCCAACACTTATGAAAAACTCAATCATTACAATTTTTATAAAAAAAACTACTTACAACGTTGAAATCTTGTTTCAGGGAAAACAATCTCAAAAACGGAGAAAAACATCAAAAAAGTGTTGAAGTTGATGTTTTCACGTTTTCCTCCGTTTTTAAGATTGCTTGTCTTGAAACAGAATTTCGACGTTATAAGTATTTTTTAATTATTATTGTAAATAACATTGTATAGGGTTGTCCAATAGGGACGCAGGAAAGTAAACGTCAATTTGACATAGACGACATCTTTGTTTTCTGTCACCGACATGTTATTTTGTTAGTTAAATGTTTAGCATTGATCGCTATGGAGTCGTATTCGATTGAAGACCGCTACAAAAATGGTGTAAAAGTAAAAAACACGTTTCGCGCGCTTCGTGAACATTTCGGTCGCAACAACCGCCCAAACGAAACAACCATCGGTCGTCTGGTGCGTAAATTCGAGGCAACAGGTTCTGTGGCAAATCTACCAGGCTCTGGCCGCCCAAGGAACGTTCGCACATAGGAAAATATTGCTGTTGTGAAGGAGAGTGTCAGAGACGATCCGAAACAATCAACAACGCGTCGATTCCAAGAATTGGGCATTTCGAGAACCAGTTTGCTCCGCACTCTCCACAAGGATTTGAATGTACACGCCTACAAGATCCAATTGACGCAAGAGCTGCGTCGGGCCGACCATTTTTCGCGCCGAACGTTCTCAGATTGGCTCCTTGAACACCGCCAAATTGATGCCAATTTTTCATCATGTTCAGCGACGAAGCGCATTTCACTTTGAATGGGACGGTAAACAAGCAAAACTGCCGTATCTGGGCGAACGAAAATCCCCATGAGTATCAAGAGCAGCCAATGCATCCTCAAAAAGTGACTGTGTGGTGTACATTGTGGTCAAAAGGCATCATCGGACCTTACTTTTTCGAAAATGCGGCCGGGCACGCCGTTACCGTCAATTCTGAGCGATATCACGTGATGATAGAGGACTATGTTTTGCCGCAACTTGAAGGAATGGATATGGACGATGTTTATTTCCAACAAGACGGTGCAACATGCCACACAACCAACGTCAATATCCATCGATTGCAGTCCTTCTTCGGTGATCGCGTGATTTCGCGCAGAGGAAATGTGTCATGGCCACCAAGATCGTGCGATTTGACTCCCTTGGACTTCTTTTTATGGGAATATTTGAAAAGCAAAGTCTACGTCAACAAACCAGCCACCCTCCAAGAACTCAAAAACAACATCATTGCCGAGATAAATGCCATAGAACCGACCATGTTGCAAAATGTCATTGAAAATTTCGACCATCGCGTGGACGTCTGTAAATCCAGTCGTGGTGAACATTTGAGCGATATTATTTTTCATACATAAATGGTATAAATGAACCTTCAAAATAAAGTACCCAACTTGATTTGAATATCAATTTTTCTTGTTTTAATATGCGTTTACTTTCCTGCGTCCGTTTTGGACAACCCCATAGTTTATACGATATTTTTGTAGCACTTATGGAGAAGAGAATAAACATTTTTGAAAGTCTGATATGAACAAACTTTCTTTCTGGACTTTTGATTGCCTGAGGGCTACAACCTCGATTTCTATTTTGCATTAATTCCGCACCTTCATACAAAATTTCAGAGACGTTCCGCTATTTTCTGTCATTTTGGTACCACACTATAGTCGATACAAATAAAATTTTCAGGCTTCATATCTATAAAAAAAATAAGACTTGCTGTGACATCTTGCTATCGAATCAAGTATTAACAAAAATCTTGAAAATATCGAAACAAAAATTGAATAACCAGCTTAAGCACAGCCTGGTTAATATATTATAGCAGCATCCATCTCCGTATTGTCTCATAATTAACTAATCCTGAACATGTTTTCGTACCCTTAGAGGAGAACCACCAGACAGGAAATGGTGCCATTCACCAGGATTTATTTTCCCGTAGTCCATCAGAATTCTGACACACAGAAGGAAGGCGAAGTGTAGCTTGTGCTTTTCGAACAAACTTCTACAAACGTTGCTGTATAAACTGAATGTGAAGTAGTCGTTGATTGTCCTTACTCTTAAGTTAATTTCAGCTGAAAACATCCGATCATTAAAGAAGATGTTGACAGAAAATGATATAAGCTCTTCACCTAGGTTAAGCATTCTGACTGTTACAGAACCCGAGTTAAAAAACTGAATTTTTAAGTACTTTTCATCTTTGACGATTGAAGGAAGTAAATATAACACTGACAAGCATTTTGGAGAAATTGAAAATTACAAGTTTTGCAAAATAAAGCTATGAGAATAATATTGAATAAAAATAAGTACATCAAAATATAATCTATGTTACAAGAATTGCAGTGGTTGAATATAAAAAATTTCATATCTTTGGTTCTTATTTTTATATTTAAAATAAAAAATCATCTTTTGCCACAACATTTACATAGAATTGAATAATCATCACCACAATTATTATACAAGCGGAAATATAGATTTTCATTTACAAAATTGCAATAGTAATATAACTAGCAAATCAAAATTAAGAAAGGATTACTTGAATTTAATAAACTAAATAATGATATAAAGTCTACTTGTAATTCAAAGATATTTAAAAGAAAATTATAGGAATATTTCATGGATAATGAAAATTGTTAGAGATACAAATTTTGTTTTTTTTTCTGAATATGTACGTATATATGTTATGTAATTGTTGTAGTTGTTTAAAAGAATGTAATTGTAGCAATTGTGCTGAATAAACCGTAAACAAACAAACAAACAAACTAACATAACGAAGTTAATAGCATTCATTATTTGCCCAGATATTTTCTATTATCATTCGTTACTAACGTCAAGAAAAGCTACTCCTCGATTTTGCACGCTGACCTTATTCTAAGAATGCTGACATATGTCGTCACGAATATTTTATACATAAGATCACTTTCAGTGATCGTCATTTCTGGATAGCTTGTGATAGAACAGCGCATATTCCTCAAGAGGATGCACAAAAATATTCTCAAGATATTTCATATTCTTTTTCTTTAACATGCCACTATACAGGGTGTTTCAGAACTATGAGATCAAACTTGTAGGGGCAACTCAATGTAACAGTAGAAAACATTTGAATATAGGGACCCATATCCGGCGCTTGTGTGTTGTTATCTTTAAAAACGATAACAGAGATTGTATTTGTAGCTGCATTCCTTAGGGCCGTAGTGTCGTAATGACACTTTTCGGGATATGGGTCCCTATACTTAAATATTTTCTACTGTTACACTGAATAACCCCTAGAAGTTTGATCCCTTAGTTCTGAAACACCCTGTATTCCTTACGTGTTTTTTCGGTTTCTGCCATACTGGACACAAATATGGCGATGAACCACTCCAGGGAATATTGGTACATGGGATCGACGTTTGACAAATCCGCCAAGCAAAAGAAGAGGATTTGTGCCCTGTTTGCTACGGGGATGTACAGAGCTCTTGTGTTGTCTATGTCTATTTGAGTTATCTCTGCGGCTTCTACTTTGTTCTATAAAAAAATCGAATTTGGCTATCACAATGACTCAGTGGTTATAAAACTGATCATAGCAAAATGGTGGAAATAAGGAATCATGAAAATTCTTATACCATTTGTGTATTTACAAAATTGTAGAAATAGGGGAAGACACAATAGGTGAATGTTGTCCGTAACCAATGAGCAGTTTATCATTTGCTAAAAAGGAGACAGGTAGTAGTAGTAGACATTTATCTACTCCATTATATAAGAACAATAATGACACAGAATCGGTAAATAAATGTTTCAATCCACAGAAGGATAATAAAAATAGAAAAGTTAAAAGAGACTTAAAGAAAAATGTGTAACAAAGAGATGTATATGTAGAAGATAATAATTTTTGAGAAATATTTGATAGGAATTCAATAACATGTTGTTTTCTTGTTGAGCGTATCCATTTTGATAATTTCTTTTTAAATCTATGTGTATTTCGACATGTTTTTATGTCTTTGGCTACGTCTTCATATAATTTTGGAGCCAAATAGTGAAAAGATCGCTGCATTATCGTCTTATGACGTTTAGGGACAGTTTTTGCTCGTAATTTATATGGAGTTATCATGGCAATGTGTAATTTTATCGCGCTCACCTTGATGTCTTCACTTTTCAACTTAGAAGCCTCTAGGGTAATAATAAAATCTAAATCATCCAAAGGAGATCCTTCGGATGTACTCAGCTTCAGTAAAATCCTGTCTTGAATCTCTTTTAATTCATGCTTCATTGTAGCGATGCTGACCACGATCTGGCTTCTTTGCTCTTCTAAGTCCGGCCTTTCTTGCATGACCACCAGCGCTAGTAGCTGATCTTGTAGACCACTGTGAGAAGAAGCTCACTTGGATATACAATGTGTTTGGTCACGACATACCGATATGTAAGGGGGGTATTTTTCAGCTATTTTTATCGACAAATCCACACTTCTACAATGTCCTACCTGACCCCTCTAAATTGATTATTTTGTGCATTTCCGCACACCATTCAAAAACTAGTTTGTGGAGTTGTACTTTTTTGTGCTAATTCTTCTACCAAATCACTCAGGAAATTTTATTGTATTTAACAATGAGTGCCACAATTATTCTACTAGAGGGAGTATAGACTTTCATTTACAAAACTGCAGTAGCAATATAATGAGCAAGTCAGTATTTCAAAAGGGATTATACGAATTCAATAAATTAAGTAATGATACCAAGATGTGTGCCAGTTTGGAAATGTTCAAAGGGAAATTGAAAAAAATATCTCATGGAAAACCAGAATTCATAGTAGTGAAATTTTGTATAAAAATATGTAGTCTTGAAGACATAATATACTTTGTGATATTCTGTGTAATATGGATGTTATGGATATTGTAGCATTAATGCTAAATCTAAAATCTAAAACAAACAAACAAAATCTTGATACTGTAGATCCAGTTTTGGTTTTTTGACTTATGTCAATTAAATATTTTCGTAGAATTTTGAATACAGATCCTTTAAATCCGTTGTGATGTAATTGTGTAAGTAATTTATCCCTGTCAATAGTCTTAAACGCCCTTTTGGAGTAAAAAAACACTGTTACTGTATGTTTCCTATTGTCCGTACATCTCCTCCAGTCCTCTAAAATCATCTGTGTTGCCGTTTCAGTTGAATGTTTCTTATTTATTTATTTATTGATTTATTTATTTATTTATTTCCAACAGGTGAAACCCAATGACAGGAAACGCTGAAAAAAATAACAATTAAAGGTACATGGTTCTTGGACTTAAATCCATAGTATCGCACATTCTAAATAAGATTGGATGATCTATAGCAGTTAATAATCGATGCACAACTGTCACTGTAAATATCACACGATTCAGTAACACTGTTCATGAAGCAGCACATGAGATTAATTGGCGATTTTGTCATAACATTTGTACGGCCAGCTTGACAATAGAATGCGGTTTGTTGTCGACTCCCTAGCCTTGGAACGCGGAAACATATTTTTTCAAGTAAATTTTGACAGTCAATTTTATTGTGAATGAGGCCATACAAAAATGACAAAGCAAATATGTTTCGTCTTGTTGACAGTGAATCCAAATTGAAAAACTCTAATAGGGCACTATGGTCACAACCTCTTTCTGGATAAGAACCTGTGCATTTAAGGGGAAAATACTTTAAAGCTTTACGTTGAATGGCCTCAAGGATCACAACAGAATTTTGGTATATAGGAGACCAGATCAGAGTCGCATACTCCAACTTGCTCCTGACAAAAGTAAAAAATAAAGTCATTAATGTATCAACATTGGAGAAACCCTTCCAGTTTCTGATACAAAAACCAAGTAGTCGAGTGGCAGCCGACGAGATATTGAGTATATGCTCAGTAAACGTTAGCTTGGTATCAAAAATGACTCCAAGGTCTCTATAAGAGGTGCATCTGTCTATAACCTGACCATTGATGTTATAATTATCATAAATTAAATAGTTAACTTTTCTTGTATAAGTCATAACTTTACATTTCGAAACATTCAGACTGAGACAGTTTCGTGAACACCATGACGAAATTAGAGCTAAGTCGTCTTGCAACATGACGCAATCCTCGACTGTCTTGACTGACGTGCAGATCTTAAGGTCATCAGCGAAAAATGAATGGAAACACTTCAGTTCAAAAGACAAGTCATTGATAAATATCAAAAACAATAATGGACCTAGATTTGACCCTTGAGGTACCCCAGACGTGGCCCGATAGTAACTCGACCTATGACCACCATATTCGACAAATAACCTTCTATCCATCAAATATGAATTCATGAGCGACAGCATTGCATCAGACATACCCACTGTTTTAAGCTTATCCAGAAGTGCATAATGATCAACTTGATCAAACGCCTTCTGAATATCTGTGTAGATGACATCAACTTGTCCTTGACCGTCCAGTACTTCAGAAATGTACTGAGTAATTAGAGCCAAGTTGGTGACCGTAGATCTGCCTCTCATAAACCCATGCTGATTAATAGAGACTGCACCTCTGACCGAGCAGTAAACCGTTTCATAAGCGATGATCTCAAACAACTTGCTGAAATTGCACAGGATTGCTATTTGGCGATAGTTGGAAATATCAGAGATATCTCCACTTTTGTGAATAGGACATATTTTAGAGGTCTTCCAGATATTTGGATATGTCTCTGATTTTAGAATTAGGTTGAATATGGAAGCCAGCGGTTTCGCTAGTAGATGAATGCAATCTTTAACGAAAATACTTGGAATACCATCACATCCAGACGTCATTTTGTTCTTTAATCTTTTCGAAGCCCTAATTACGTTTTCTTCACTTATCTTGTTTAAAGAAATGATATCGGTAGAATTATTTGTTGGAGGAGATGACCCTAGTAGACCAGACGGGATAAAAACTGTTGAAAAGAAGGTAGCAAAACTGTCCACTATATCCTGAGGCGTATCGCAGACATTGCCGTTAAGCGTCATCCTTGTGGGCATTCTAGATTGCTGTTTTTTGATCTGGGCAAATGACCAGAATTTGCTAGGATCATTGACAATGGTATCCTCAACCGATTGGACGTAAGCGGAGTAGGCAACACTGATCTGGTTCTTAATGAGCTTCCTAAAATTACTGAACTAATCATAAGAAAATTTAGTACCGTCACGTTTCCAGTTCCTTCTTGCTATGTCCTTCTTCTTGATATTAAGTATAACTTCACGTGTGAACCATGGATGTTACGAAAACATTTTATTTTTACATTTAGGGACATGGACCTCAAAGATGTTATTGATAACTGAATACAAGGCGGTACAAGCGACATCAACATTAACTGCACTGATCACCTCCGTCCAATTAACATCTTGCAAGGCTGTGTACATTTCAGGAAAGTTAGCTTTGCGAAAGTTAAACCGTGGAGAATTAGCAAATGGGAATTTCGTTGGAGATCCGGATGTAATGAATTCCATGATCAGTACAGGATGATGAACGCCCTCTTTAACAGAAGGTGTATTATCTCTGAGGACTTCTATTTCGATATTTCCTAAAATTAAATCCAGTATTCGACCATTTATATTTGGAATATTATTAAAATTAGCTAAATCTAAAGACGAAATAAAGTTGCTCATTAATTGAGACTTCTGATCATTAACGTCACTGTTGAATGATGCGACATTAAAGTCATTAGCAACAATTATTTTACAATTACTGAATGCATTGTTAAATACTTCCAAAGCTTCAAGGTACTGACCAAACATATCCAAATTAATTGAAGGCGGAATATAAATAGAAAAGATAACAAAATGGTCATAATTAATAATAAGCCTAATACATACAGTATCAATCGACGGAAAGTTTCGACTCAAAGCACTAGCGTCAATTCTAATTGCATGGAAATCTTCCTGGATCCGGCTTGAAATTTGGTTAAAATGTGATTTCCCTCAATAAATTCGATGGTCTGTTCGTAAATAAATTGTTCAAAGACTTTTTCGACATCTGGCAGAACATTTATTGGCCGCATAGTTCATATTTGATACTCCAGACGTCACCTATGACTGTTTGAAGACTTACCTTGGTACTACGGTAAAGTTCACCAACAACACCTTGATAGAAACCTCTGGCGTATAATGTGGATTTGGCAGCTTGGTAGTGATATACAACCTGAAGTTATTGTCGTAAGGTACTACGACATCTCCAAGCTTCACAACCATCGTACCACTTTGGTTGAATATCTGTCGTAACAGTACCGGATCTAACGCAGGATCGAGCTCTGTACCTACGTTCTCAATCAAGATAGCTTTGCCGAAGCGTATTGCGGATTCTAGGGTACGAATCAGGTCTTTGTCTGCTAACTTACAGACAGCGAGGCCCATTTGCTTACCCTATAATTAATAAGAAAAGTTTGTCGATATTATCATGCAGATCTCTTCACGATAGGATCAGATTGTTCTTATTTGCATAACATTTAGTTTGCACAAAGTTTTCGAAATCAGCGCCTGAGCTCTTTACTCTTTGCGGCTATTATTCTTTATAAAGCGCGTGTCACCATGAAGCAACAAAGTTGCTTTATGAAATACAAAATTAGGCTGAACTCAGCTTGTTTGCTTTCTGTCTGTATAAACATGTCCAACCACATACAACGTTGTTTCTTGCTGTTTTGCGAAATAATTGTGAAGTCTTGTTTTGTTTGAAGCAAGCTTTTCAAGGAGGTATTTAGAATATTGACGCATAAAATGGGTACACCAATTCTTGTGGGAAAACTTTTTATTCGACAACAAAGTGCCCACAACAAAATTGGAGTCGTTTGGTCAAATAGTTTTTGAGAATTTCTAATTGTTTGTCCCAAAACACCTGTCTTCCGGCCATCACTACTAGTTTGCTGAGCAATATACAGGGGTCGTTCAAACGGCATTTTATAGAAAAATACACGAGTTTACCTTGCCGACATAAATCACAAACCATTCCGAAAGAGAATTGTTATTTTCATGCGAAAAACGAAGGATTACGTTTTTTTTTCTAAACAGATTCAAATATATCGTATTTGTGAGTAATTGAACAGATTCGCTACGATATTTGAAAAACGTACCTTATTATAAATATTTTAGAACAAAGCGGATGTGTCCATCTCCTTTTGATGCATAGAAAACAATTTTTTTTCAAGATTTCTTCATACTTCTGTGTATACATATACTAAGTGACATATACATCCAAACACCCAGTTTAAATGGTTTTATTGTAATAAAATTTTGTATAAGTACTTAATGAAGCATAATAAGTAAATGTTAAAAATTTCAAAATGATTGCACTGCTTTAAAGCCCTTTAATAATGTGTGGATGCACCCTGATATGCTACGCATTCTCCAACGCACCTAGGCATGCTTCTGATCAGGTGGTCAATGTCCTCCTGTGGTATCTCATTCCAGACAACCACCAACTCCTCTCGAAGTGCTTCTAGAGTCTGAGGAGGACGTTGCAAATTGAGCAATCTCCTACCCATCATATCCCACACGTGCTCAATTGGGGATAAGTCGGGAGATCTTGGTGGCCATGGTAACAATGTGACATCATTGTGTTGAAAGAAGTCTATTGTGACTCTTGCAACATGTGGTCGGGCATTATCTTGTTGGAAAGTTGGATCTGCCAGGGTGTCACGATAGGGTAAAAGATGGGGTTCTAGAACTTCGTGGATATAACGCTGCGCGTTCATGTTACCTCTGATGAAGATTAAAGGTGACCTGGAACCATAAGCTATAGCACCCCAAACCATAACTCCAACAGTGTGATGAACATGTCTTTCAACAAAAAACTGTGGATTCCTCCTTTCATCACGTCGCCTTCTAACCCTGGCACGACCATCGTGCATGCCTAAACAAAATCGAGACTCGTCACTAAAGACAATACAATCCATTCCTGATCCCAGAGTGACCGTTGTCTGCACCACTCAAGGCGATTACGTCGGTGTTCTCGAGTTAAAGGGAGGACCCAGTGTGGCCGGTATGAAAACAAGCCAAAACTTCTCATTCGTCGGTAAACACTTCGCATGCCAATAGGTCTTCCGTGTTCTGCAAACCATTCATTTGCAATGGACCTGGTATTGGAGAAACGGTCCCTTAAGGCCAATAATCTTAGGCGGCGATCTTGACGGTCTGTTGTTCTACGGCGGCGTCCAGTGCCCCTTGCTCTTTGCGTACGGCCTTCTCGAAGCCATGCCTGACAACACCTAACCACTGTGTCTACACTTCTTTGCACTCTAACTGCAATTTCCCGAAAAGAAAGTCCAGCTTCCCGAAGTCCCACTATACGGCCCCTATCAAACTCACTAAGTTGACGAAATCGTACAGGTCTCTAGGCATCGTAACCGATCGTAAAGGATGTCAGGAACCAAAATCCGCGAACGTTGATTCTTTACTGCGGCTGAAATATTCATTTTTAGAGCGTTAGTGAATTAAAAAAAAGCAGTATAAAAACCGGAATGTCCAACTGATAAGGCTAAAAATTTTTTCACTTGTTATTTACAGTAAGATAAATACATTCACCAACTTTTATTGAAATAAAACCATTTAAACTGGGTGTTCGGATTTATATGTCACTTAGTATATTTAGAGCTGACATTTTTACACGGTCACAGATGAGCCTTAAAACTTCTGAAAAAATATTTCATACTGAAACGCGCTGAACTGTTTATGAAGTTAGCACGTAAGCTGAAGACACAATTATGTTTCAAACTGTCTTAGACTAGCTAGTATGTAGCATGTGCTAAATTGCCGCATTATTGATGACTGCATGACTTTCTCAAATAAGTAGATCACGTAATCCAGTTTCTTTACGAAGAAATATAATTCCCTGGACCTATTAAAAGTGTATTAGTATACGTCCGTTTTCGAAATCTCGTACGATTAAAACGACTGCGTGTTCAAAATGTTTTTCGCACGCCATAGACCGTGTAAGCTTCAAACAAGAAACCAGCGGTGTACGTATGATTGTTTATAATTTTATTTATATTACTTTGATAAAATTTCAGGAACACTATGCGTAAACAGACACAGGCTGAACTGAATATCTTTGCCTTCCATCTCCGTAGTCATGACCAACCGCATACAACGTTGTTCATTGACGGGTGGTCCCTTTGGCAATAATAGTTCATTAGGTTTCAAATTCAAAACAGTATCATACAATCAAGTGAGGGACTCTATAAGCAAATTAAAAACTTCAAAGGCTGTAGATATTTTTGACATTAAAAATAATTAAATCCATCAAAAATATTATAGTTTTACCACTAACAAAATTATTCAACCTTTGTATAACTCATAACATTTTTCCAGATATCTACCAAGATGGCAAAAGTTATTTCCCTTTTTAAAAACGCAAATTTATTTTTTGATTCATGGAATTTGTTTCACCTGCGTATCAAGCGCCTTAATTGTAAGCGGTATTCAGTGGAGTATGCGAAATCATAGCTTAAGGAATTTAATAACTGCAGATTCCTATAAAATAAATACTCGAAAAATGAGCTTTCTGGGAATGTTATTGGAATGAAGTGAAATTGTAGGAATATTGTTATATTATAGTACATATAAAGGCACATCGAAGGCGTTGCATTGTCTTGATAAAGTTTTACATTATGCAGAAGCATAGTTTGTCAGTTTTTTACTAAAATTATAAGTGTGAAGCTCCAATTTGGATTATGTATTTTCAATATATTTGTGAGCAGTCTATTCAAAATTGAATTATGTACTTGGACTATAGAATGTAGGTTACATACCATATTCTTGACCCACTTGTTCGCTTGACCTTGAGGGTCTATAAATAGCGGCCATCTTCTGGAGCATGATACCAAGACAGCATTTTCTGCGGATAGGTAGTCCCTGGGTAGCCCATCTAGTTGCCAGAGTCGTATTTGGACTGGCTCTCCCAAAATGGAGACAGGTGTACAATTTGCGGTATAAGGTATGTGAAATCTAAAATACACCAATCTTTTTTAGCACTAGAAGTAAAATAGAAAAAAGTTTCCTACCAAATATACAGATAACCACCACATATTAGGAAGGTAATTATAATAATAATAAATTTATTTTCTATCAGACATGCATGAACATGTATAAATTTCGTCAAAAAGATACAATACGTAAATATGTACAAAGTAAATGAATAAAAAAAACAAACAAATAACATCCAACAACAAACAAGTTAAAATTAGTGATAAAAAACGATATTTAAAAACTGACAATGTCGTTAATTGCATAAAAACAGTTACTTATAAAGTAGCTTTTCAGCTCAGATTTGAATTGGCCAATTGAGGTGATCCTTTTACATTGTATTGATGTGATAGGTCATACTGTCAACCCTAGTGGTAACCACTACAGCATATACAAATTCAAATTCAAATTCCTTTATTAGTTCCGAACTCTATATATAAGTATAAAGAGGAACACGTCATAAGTATCACATATAATACTTCTAAAAAGTAAAGGCGAAATAAAAAACAAACCAAAAGTACAACAGACAAACTGATAAAATAAAATTTAAAAAGTGCATGTGAATGCCAAGTTAATGGACCTCCTGACAATTGCATCATTTCAGGTCCTGAAGGAACTGATCTAAGCTGTAGAAGGTGTTAGATAAGAGCAGTCTGTTAAGGTGCTTTTTGAAGAGCATACCATGATCTATTTGTTTAAGAGATTCTGGTAAATTATTGTATATTCGTGTAGGCAACTTTTCGTGGGTAGTTAAGTTATGCTTAGCTAAGCAAAATTGGTTCTTATTCCTCGTATTATAATCATGAAAATGTAATTTTTTTGGAAAGAGCATTTGTTTTTACGGGTATAGCTTTAGCAAATAAATTGAGGAGACGGTCAAAAGTTGATATTTCTTAAAATAGTCCCGACAGGATGCCCTGAACGATAAATTGATCATGTTTCTAATGACTCTTTTTTGTGTGATGCAGACTGTCTTAGTATAAACGCATAGTAGACACTAATTAAGCTTTCACGACTTACACAATTTTTTAAACTATTTATGACGAAAGCACCCGTATTTAACTATTTGCAAACCCTGTGGATATGGGTTTCCCAGTTTAGGGGCAATCCACCACTAAGCCCAAAAAATTTGTAGACAGAGAGAGCTCGATGTTGTGGCCATTAAGGGACAAGCTAACATTACAGGATTGCTTTTTCACAGATCTGTTGATATTCATGGCTACAGTTTCATCGTGATTAATCATTAGATTGTTCAGATTACACCAGTTAGCAAACTCTTGGAGCACTGTATTCACCTGCAGTTACAATTCTCTTTTAAGATACAGCAGAGACTACTGCAGTAGTATCATCCGCATATAAAAATACTTCGCCTTCAGGAATGTGGTCTGGTAAATCGTTTATGAAAAGCAGAAAGAGCAGGGGTCCAAGAATACTAGGATTTGAATCCCTTCCTCCCTCTCAGGAAAATAGCTACACCCACTCTTCTCGAAAAATATTTGGGGCAGGTACACTTTCAACAAATGTTTTCTCTTACCGATGATCGCCCTCCGATTCATGTGGGCGCATATGGTTTAAATGGTTCCTTGGTTAAATATTCAATCAATTTAACAACGAATTGACCATGTAGAACAATTTTTCAATTGATTAGCAAAAAAGCCCTATATTACGAGAACATTTAGTTACAACGTAGTGAAAAGTACAGCCTTACGCAGCTACTTAGACTTATTTGGATACAGCATTCTCTTTTTGTGTGACTGTTTTTAAAATTGTTTGAATAAGGTGCTTTCTCTATAGAAAAGGACTATAAGATATACAACTAAAAGTATTGCTAGAGCTACATGCAGGCCTTTGCTTCTGATTCTTAAAAATAACACTGTAGTATCATTGTTTATTTTAAGAACAGTAACTTCACTCTTAAATTAAATCTAAGTTTGACACACTGAATATATGTTACGATATTAGACCAAAAACAAGATTCTAAATTAATAGTATCTAAGTCAACACTCGCGAAAGGCATAATAATTTACAATGATCGGAATATTTGCATTTTCCTCCCTGATGCTATCAAAAGAATTAACGATTTAAAGACACTCGTCCGTGAATTTTCTAATATGTAGACCATGCTCGTATATTATAACCACAGAGACCCACAGGGTGATTATTTGAAAACTTCTCACCACGGATTTATCGAAACCTACTGATTAAAAGAAAAAAGGCTGAGACACGTCAAAAGATTTTTCAAGGGGGCCAACTTTTTAACCAAAAGCTTCTTCACCCCCTTCCACCCTCTGCCCTCCAGGGTCGTACCCTCAAAAATTTTAAATGACAAGGGGTGTCGAGTAATAGCTTGTTTGAAAGGTCTTCATTTTGACGTTTGGTTTTTTAAAATCAGTCGATTTGTTTTCGAGAAAATTAGAAAAATCTTTATTTATCTTAATTTGTCCAAACAGAAAACAAAAACGCACGAAAATATCAAATTTCCAGAAGTGGTCAAAATGTGGCCAAATCTACAATTCATTTATAATTTGAAACGGAAACTACCAACATAAACAGCAATTGGGAAGATTAGACGAGGCAACAACCAAATAACAACCAGAATTTTTTTCCGCATTCTTTTCATCAACACGGATATCCTGGGCGAACTGTATTTATTGTTATACCTATTTAGTTATTTGTTGCTAAGAGAAAGAAAGAATTTAATTTGCTGTCAGTTACCTTTGTGGCAATCTTGGGATAGTGAAAATTAATTTATTAATGCAGATTTTGCTTTCAAAATGATTTACACACTAGCCGAAAGAATTCAAAAATTATAATTTATTATAACTTCGCATAGGTATGTTCTTACTAAATTTACTCAAACTGATCAGTCGCAATCGGAGAGTTTTGGATGAAGCCGCTAAAGTTGAGGCTTTGAGTCATTTTGGAATAAATCCTCATACTTTATTACGCAAAATTGTTGCTGAGACTGGTATTTCATTAGGCTCTGTACACCCAGTTACTATACGTCATAAATATCATCCATTCAAAATGAAAATATTGCAAGAGTTAACCAAAGATGATTTCGATAGGCGATAATACATCTAAATGCATCTGTTAATAAGCATAACTGCAGGTATTGGAGCAATGAAAATTCACATGCTTTTGTAGAAGGGCACACCCAGTACCCCCTAAAAATTATTGTATGGGCAGGCATTTTGGGAAGCCATTGTTAATTAATGGAAATTTGAATGGAGACATTTATTTGGATATGTTGGAAAATACCGTCAATCCGCTTATCACTGAAGCCATTGAAAACCAAATCGAAGAGGATGGAAACCCTTTATACTTGATGAGGCTGGAGTATATTTTCAGAAAGATGGCGCTCGTCCTCACTATGTTCTTCTGGTTCGGCAATGGCTAGACGACGAATGTCCAGATAAATGGATAGGGCGAAGAAGGTCTATAGAATGGCTTGCTAGATCTCCTGATTTGACGCCATTAGACTTTTTTCTATGCGGTTTGTTTGAAATTTATTGTGTTTACCCCGCAACTTGAAAGTTGCCATAATATCCCACATGTTTTTGCAAATGTCCGGCAGGAATTTGCACATCGCCTATATCATTGTTTGTCCAATAACGGGCAATATTTTAAAAACTTATCGAAATAAAAAGCAAAATTTTCGTGCGGCAGGAATTTGCACATCGCCTATATCATTGTTTGTCCAATAACGGGCAATATTTTAAAAACTTATCGAAATAAAAAGCAAAATTTTCGTTTGTTTTTGAGTTCTCTCTGAACAAGTTAAGATGAATAAAGATTTTTCTAATTCTAATTTTAAAATTTTTCGACATATCCTTGAATTTGACATTGATTTGACTGTTAAGAACACAAGAAATCCGCATAGGCTTCTAGTTAGTTAATGTTGAGATACTTCTAAGGTCGTTAAAGTCGCAATAAGGTATTTCAAGAGATAATACTGCAAGAAAATTACTTACTCTGAGATTCGTTGCAACCAGCTACTGAAGAGCTGTCTCCTGTAGGAGTCAGTGAAAGGAGTGAGATACGCAACACATCCCGAGCATATCAAGATATCCCCTGTAACATTTATTACGTTCGCTTCGATGTTCTCGATCGTTTCTGTCCACCTTAAAATAGATGGTTTTCATATTTTTACAAATTTCTATCTACTTGTGGAGGCTTTTAACCCTTTTAGTACGGGACCTTTTTTAACAGTACTGTCACCACCGGATGCACCCTGATGTGCTACGCATTCTCCAACGCGCCTAGGCATGCTTCTGATCAGGTGGTCAATGTCCTCCTGTGGTATCTCATTCCAGACAACCACCAACTCCTCTCGAAGTGCTTCTAGAGTCTGAGGAGGACGTTGCAAATTGAGCAATCTCCTACCAATCATATCCCACACGTGCTCAATTGGGGATAAGTCGGGAGATCTTGGTGGCCATGGTAACAATGTGACATCATTATGTTGAAAGAAGTCAATTGTGACTCTTGCAACATGTGGTCGGGCATTATCTTGTTGGAAAGTTGGATCTGCCAGGGTGTCAAGATAGGGTAAAAGATGGGGTTCTAGAACTTCGTGGATATAACGCTGCGCGTTCATGTTACCTCTGATGAAGATTAAAGGTGACCTGGAACCATAAGCTATAGCACCCCAAACCATAACTCCAACAGTGTGATGAACATGTCTTTCAACAAAAAACTGTGGATTCCTCCTTTCACCACGTCGCCTTCTAACCCTGGCACGACCATCGTGCATGCCTAAACAAAATCGAGACTCGTCACTAAAGACAATACTGTTCCATTCCTGATCCCAGAGTGACCGTTGTCTGCACCACTCAAGGCGATTACGTCGGTGTTCTCGAGTTAAAGGGAGGACCCAGTGTGGCCGGTATGAAAACAAGCCAAAACTTCTCATTCGTCGGTAAACACTTCGCATGCCAATAGGTCTTCCGTGTTCTGCAAACCATTCATTTGCAATGGACCTGGTAGTGGAGAAACGGTCCCTTAAGGCCAATAATCTTAGGCGGCGATCTTCACGGTCTGTTGTTCTACGGCGGCGTCCAGTGCCCCTTGCTCTTTGCGTCGGTAGTAAACACTTCGCATGCCAATAGGTCTTCCGTGTTCTGCAAACCATTCATTTGCAATGGACCTGGTAGTGGAGAAACGGTCAATTAAGGCCAATAATCTTAGGCGGCGAACTTCACGGTCTGTTGTTCTACGGCGGCGTCCAGTGCCCCTTGCTCTTTGCGTACGGCCTTCTCGAAGCCATGCCTGACAACACCTAACCACAGTGTCTACACTTCTTTGCACTCTAACTGCAATTGCCCGAAAAGAAAGTCCAGCTTCCCGAAGTCCCACTATACGGCCCCTATCAAACTCACTAAGTTGACGAAATCGTACAGGTCTCCGTACTCTAGGCATCGTAACCGATCGTAAAGGATGTCAAGAACCAAAATCCACCAACGTTGATTCTTTACTGCGGCTGAAATATTCATTTTTAGAGCGTCAGTGAATTAAAAAAAAGAAGTATAAAAACCGGAATGTCCAACTGATAAGGCTGAAAATTTTTTCACTTGTTATTTACAGTAAGATAAATACATTCACCAACTTTTATTAAAATAAAACCATTTAAACTGGGTGTTCGGATTTATATGTCACTTAGTATATGTCAGCCGTACTGAAAGGGTTAAACAAACTATATAGACTAGGAAAAGTAGGGTCACGCCGCAATCAAACCAATTTGCAACCACGACCGCAATTCTTATGCCCAGTAGATTAGAATGTTCGCTGGAAAGGATCCCGAATTCTGGTGTGTTGACATTTACTATTATCATTACAAAATAGAAATTAGCAAAGTACAATACTACAGGGTCCGTCAGAAAGAACGCATGTTTTTCGAATAGGTACTCCATCGAGTAGGCTGGTCCCGTGTCGGTGATGAAGGGCGTGTTGGATAGTGGGAGAAGTGCCGTTTCAGTTGGCAAGATGGTTTGGAACGTTGAGCATCGTGTGTTCACTGTACGTCGGTACTTTCAAAATGACGAGTCTGTCGTTCGAACACAACGTGAGTTCACTTTCGCGTTCCACGTCGTGGGACAGTACCAGACCGTAACACCATTTTGAGATTGGTGGGAGCATTCAACGCATCAGGTAATGTGATGAAAAAAAAAACGCCAGCGCGGAACCGTACTGTTAGAACCCCCGAAAATGTAAACAGACTGAGAGTTGACACGCTGCAAAGCCCGAATCGTTCCGTCCGATTGCGTGCCAGTTCCCTAGGGATCCACGCGTCCTCTGTACGTCGCATCTTGAAGAAGGACTTAGTGTTCCATCCTTACAAAATCCAAGTTTGTCAACAACTATTGCCAGGGAATTATGCACAACGTGTTAATTTTGCACAGCTCCTGATTGAACAGTTGGATAACAGAGACATGACGTTGTTGATGAGTGATGAAGCACATTTTCATTCACATGGATACGTCAATAAACAAAATTGTTGATATTGGTCTCCAGTGGACCCCCAACAGTTGCATGAGCACCTCTGCATACCCCGAAAGTTACAGTTTGGTGTGCAGTAGGCTCAACGATGATTATTGACCCTTATTTTTTTGAGGATGATGGAGAAACATCTACTGTAAATTCAGAGGGTTACATCCATATGCTGAACAATTTTTTTTTCGACGTCGACCTGTCCGTCTGGGAACAGTGTGGTTCCAACAAGACGGGGCAACATCTCACACAGCTCGCATTTCGATGGAAAGTCATGTCGATATTCCATGGCCCCCTCGTTCCCCGGACCTGTCAACGTGTGATTTTTTATGGGGCTACCTGAAATCAAAAGTTTACCAAAGCAAGCCACGGTCCCTCGTCGATTTGAAGGAGGAAATAAGAAGAGAAGCAACCCAAATTGGCAATGGGCTTATTTCGGGAGAGGCTTGATTCCTGCACTTTGGCTCAAGAGCGCCATATGGTCTACATAGTTTTTAGAACGTAAATTTTGTTTTACTCAAAAAATGGCATGCATTTCTGAGTATTTGGTATAATAAAATATTTTTCCCATACTTATTTTGACTGTACTACTCATTTAGAAAACAAGCGTTCTTTCTGACGGACCCTGTATATGCTCATGTACAAAGGCAGCACGCAACAAAAAGCGTCATACCTGCACCGTTTATTAAAGTCAAATATGGGAAGAATTCGTGAGTGATTTCACCTTTGGTACTCCATACACTTTGCTTTTAAATTAGTGTAAAATGATTTGGTAATAAACGCAGATTTGCTGTGGACGTACTCTGGAACTTAATTAGTATATCAGATACTGAACGACGCTGAGAGTGTTTCAGTTTCAGTAGTTCAGCATCTGCTCCACTTGATTCTAACTTTTACTGAGAGAATCGTGGCATAACTAGATATAATTTGCAACAAGGACTGTAATTGAATCGGTGCGTGCGTATTATACTTCAGGAAAATTACGGATAGGCTTTATATGATTAAAACTTAGATGTGGATTAATCTTCTGATACGTACAGCTTATGACGCAAAGAGCTTTGAGATTTTAAGAGGCTCTATTCAAATGCATACGAGGTCCTCGTGTATGTTCTAAAGAGTAAGTAAATCACATTTAAATATTAGGGACCAGTGGCGACGCCTGACTTTTCCTAGACTGTTACCAAAACCAGATGTGAAAAATCTTATTACAAAAAGTTTATTTTGAACCCCCCAAATATAATTTTTTGCTTATTTTAGGTATTTTATTTAAACTATTTTCAAATTAAGGTAAACATTCGTGGACTGAGCGTCTGGGGCACTTGATATACCTAATCGTCTTATGCTATGACTAACCCAAGCCGTCCGAAAAAACAGTCGACGTTTCTAGATGTTCGGAAAATTTTTGATCTTTTTTGGCAATGAATGTTAACAATTCCCTGTAATTCCCTCTATTATCAGAGTCATCCCCTCCAAAATGAACGGTAATTCCTGTTTTGGCAAAAAAACATACGGTATCTAGAAGTGTGCTGCCTAAAAGCTTGTTTAAGACAACTTTCGATTCTTGTTTTGCCAAGCTGAATTAAATTGGCTACACATTTCACATGTCACGGAGAAATTTCATGTCTCCTCATTAGAGCCCTAAAACTATTTCAATCGTTGATTCCGCTGCTGGTCCACCCATTTTTTTCTGTATAAAATAGAAGACAAAGCCAACAATACAATCTGTTTTTTTGCAACCACATAACCAAGAGTTTCCATATACCAACTTAATTTAAAATATCAATGTACGTTTTTGATTTCTTTTTAAAATTATCCAAAGTAGGTGTTGGTGGCTATACTGTAACTATCTAAAACTGTAATGACTCATCGATGTTCACGTGAACATCACTTAACTACCAGTAGTCGGCTGTTCATAGGCAGGGTATGAATGTTTAACATGGGTGAACTAGATTTGTCACATGCTTAATAAAGAGTGGTTTGAAACATATTGTAAGTCAAAAATTTGGGAATTACCTTTATTCATCGTCGCTTCCACTTACATCTGACAGTAATAAACTGTCGCTATCGCTTTCCTCGTTGAAATTGACTATAACTGGCTCTATGATGGTGTCGATGTGGTGGTCAAGCTGCCACATTTTTGTTTCTTCCTTCACAACATGACGGATAGCATTCTGCCAAGCTTGGGGCGTTACTAGCTGTATGGAAGTCTCAAGTAAAACCTTAACGTCTGGCAATTTGAAGGTTGTGTTATGGCGCGCAATATAACCCTTCACTTGAGCCCAGATGAGCTCTATTGGGTTCAGTTCACAGTGGTAGGGCGGTAATCGCAGCACAGTGACACCACATTGACGGGCCATCTCATCAGTCACGTAACTAATGTTCGCAGGTATGTGCTGTTTAATTTTTTCATACAATTCCGCTTTCACACATAAATCGTCAAACGGGATTCCTTTTTCGCGCAACCATTGCTGCATGTCACTTTTTCGAGAACCCATAGTCGGTACACGTTCGGCTCGACGACTATGGTAGGAAGCATTATCCATGACGATCACAGAGTTGGGCTCAACTCGCTGAAGCACCCCTTGAAACCAGCTCTCGAAGCAGCTGGCATTCATTTCGTCATGGTAATCATCTCCTCTCTTAGAGACGAAAATCAAGTCACACTCTTCTAAAAAGCCACTATCGCTACCAATATGAGTTACAATCAATCTTTGACCTTTCCCTGACGGTCCACGAAGACCTGTTGACAAACCTTCAATGCTTGCTTGTCGGTTACTCACTATGTTTTTGTCTATCCAGGTTTTTTTAACTGTGTGACCTGCATTTACCCATGTCTCGTCCAAATAATAGATTTTTCTGCTTTGTCGCCTATATTCAATCATTTCGCGTATGTATTTTCGACGCCAGGTGACTATTTAAGGTCTCTCTATCAATACTGACTTCCGATTACGCGTTTCGCAACGAAAATTAATTTCGTGCAGGGATTTCCTCATTACCTCGACGCTCATTTGGGGTATAATTTCATTTTCCTTAATCGCTGCATGTACAGCCTTGAGGGTTGGTATGTGATTCCTAAAGAAGAATGAATGTACGGTTCGCCTTAACGCCATTTTGCTATCGTCATCCAATTTAACGGCCTTTCGTCCCTTCAAATTAAACTTTAGATCAGTAGTAGCTCCAGTTTTCTTCTTTTCATGCACCACCCTGCGAACGGTCCACTCTGGAACGCCTGTCATATTTTCACAACGCGACATAGTTCTGTTCAGATAATTGAACACGTTGAGCACGATTTCTTTCGCGTCCCTCTTCAGTGCTTTACGAAGCCGTCTACTTGTTCCCTGGCTTTCAGTACTTCCACTCGTGCCATTTGTACTCTCCATGGTATAACCAGAACAATAACCACAGAAACCACAACAATAACAATCACATAACAATTCTTATAAAAACACACAATATGCGATCGCTCAACGAAACACGTTCCAATGCTTTGCCGACGCCTATGAGTCTGCCGGTCGAGGCGCGTCTTTGACTTCATTGGTTCTACCGGCGGAGAACAATCAGCCATTATTTCCATCTCTGTCTGTGCTGTTGACCACCGCAAAGCCACAGAAACGACATATGTCGTAGGCTATACGGCTGTACTGGAAGGAAGCCGGGATCGAGCTCTGATCACGTGTTGATCACGCGTATGAGTCATTACAGTTTAAAATAGTTGTAGTATAGTAAAGACTGCTTGTAGCGTCTTTTTTATATGCAAATGAATAAATGAGTTGTTAGCAAGTACAAAATGAATCTGTAGCGTACAAGAGACCAAAACAAAATACGGCGTTGGCTTCCTGGCCTTGACACTAAATAATCAGCTGTCACTCTACCATAATGGATTCCCGTAAAAAAGACAATAGACAAAAAATTTGTTATTTTAGTCAAACACGTAGCATTATTTTCATATTATTTTTGTCTGATATTCATATTCGCAAAATATTGGCATTAGTTTCCCGAATGCGGATGCGATTGCGAAAGCGATAAGCAAGAAGCATGTGAATATTCTCGAATGCAAACAGGAATATTCGTTACATCACTAATAAATACCCTAATCAATTGTATAGTACTAATTTTAGTTATCATTTGGATATAACTTGTTTGAAATCACTTAAATGATATATCGTAATAGTAATCAGTCTATCTTTGTACCTCACACGTTCATCAGCTAAGCCTGATATTAGTCTGACAGCCCTATTCATTCGTTCTTCGCAGAAAGCGATGCTTTGTTCTTTTTCTTGCTTGAAAGCTATTTTCGCATCCAGCTGTTTTTGTAATTCTTCTAAACCAGCTAATACCTTAAAAAATTAAAGCTTGTTTGTACACATCATTTTTCATAATGATTGAACCTGTAATTTTAGGGACAAGAGGAAGCTTCCTTCCTTTATTTTTTGTGATTAACATCGCTTGCTTTCTCGGCAACAAGGTCTAATTAACGAATTCAGACTATTATTTGTTCGTCACAAAAATCTCAATCAGTCATCAGTATCAACGTTCATGCTGCAAGCGGACTTGACATAAGTTAATTTTTTGACAGCTCTGTCAATAAGTTTGTATTTTTAGTGTTATTTTTAAAACGTGCGAGTGATAATAATATTTATTTGTTTTCAATTACAATAACAAATGTTTAAGGTGAAATAAAAATAACATACAAATAAATATAATAATCGTAGTAACGGATGATTTCAGGACATGGAACTTCTTGCGTAATTTGCAAACGGCGACACAAGCCTAAAGAGGGAAGATATTTCTACCAGTCAGTATTATGTTGATGTGACGTTGTCACTTTGGTAGGCAATGGTAGCCAAATGAGTCAAAAGTATACACTAAAACTACGCAATTTTAGTGACAAGTAGATAATGCAACGTTTGACGTACATTTGACAGTGACTAATCGGTAAAACACGAATACTAAACTGAATCCAAATTCAAGATGAGATGTAAATAATAACAGTTAGCGCGTGATCTCTCGGTAACAGGTGGGGACAACGCCTCTTATTGGTCAATTGGCCATTAAATGTCAAGCGGTCGCCTGGCGGAATAATGCGCGGGGTAGGGGCAGGGCAGGCAGAGTTGCATTCAGGCCACCGACCGTCGCGTGTATCACTGCGTGCTCGTGTTTTCGTATTCACCTTGCTTGGTTGTTGCTGTTGTTGTTGTTAAGTGTATTTGAGTAATTTGTTAAGTTTCTGTTTGTTATTGTTATTCCTCGTTATTATTTGTTTTGAACCAATCCTGAACATGTCCAGTACAGATACTGCTGACGAGGCTGTAGGCTACTCCCTTAGCCCTCCTAGAAAGCGATAAAAAAAATACAGATTAGCGTAGACATGAAAGACGTCATATTGAATACATTCAAGATAGAGCGGACGGAAGACGAAACATCAACTAACCCGAAAATAGCTCTGAAAGTGGCAGATAAAATTGGGGTATGCCCAGCGACAGTGTACAATGTTTTGAACGAACATAAGAAAAAGCATGCCTTTTCCAAGCCAATGACGGGTAAAAATCGCAAAAGTATCATAAGATCGTTGGATGACGCTGGCAAGCATGCGATTCGGAGGAAAGTGCACGAGTTCTTCTTCAGAAACGAAATACCGACGGCTGATAAAGTACTACGGGAGGTTAACGAGGATGCTATGTTACCAAATTTCAAACGTTCGACTATTCATAAACTTTTGAAGCATCTTAATTTCGAATGGAAGAAACGAGGTCGTAACAGCTTACTTATGGATAGAGAAGAAATTGTTCTGTGGAGGAGGGAGTACCTGAGCAAAATTAAATCATTCAGTGCACCTTCAAAATCTATTTTGAAATGATTGAACAGCCTTATATTTATTCCATGTACAAAAGTATCATCTCTACCCCTCGTTGACTACGGATTCATTGTGCATAGTGAGCAGCTGGTTACCTCTGGTATGTATTTCTCCTTGTTTTCCAGTTTGAAAAGTCTGTAGAAAAACTTAGCACCCTTCAAGAATAAAAATTTGATTTTGCGACACCCTCAACTATAACTACTTCACTATATTAGATAATTTCGTTAAATACTGTCATCTTTGTTTTACAACACGTTGGTGGTAGTCCATCATTCGGAGGTAGCCCTGAATGCGGCCCTGTACGCCGTCCTTGCTTTTGGCAATCACGCATCCATTCTATCTTGGGTGCAAATACACTATACATATAGGAGGGCGTGGCTCTCGGAGTGAGAATGCAGTGAGAAATGTCAAAAATGTCATTATAACCTGCCGCAATCTTTATGTCGATCATGTTTTTTATCTATGTCCTACTAAAAACAAATGGGGACATATTATGTTCACGCACATTGCAAAATACTTTCACTCACGTCTTACCATGCATTGTTGGTTTATAATTATTATCCAATAATTATGTTTTCTATTCGACTGAGCTGTCAAAATTGGAGTTGTTTACATGCATGATAACAGAGAGAGATGCCACATGCGCAGAAACTGAAATTGATTCCATGAGCAGTGCACATAACAGAGAGGTGCCATATGCGCAGCACCTGAAATTAATTTATTGCGCAGTGTACTTAGGAGATAGCCTCGCCTTTACGGTCGACACTTTTGGATTCACCTCCCCTCTATGGGTTTAATCTCCTATATCCAGTCTTCGTGGGCTAAAGGTCCTACAAACTACCAGAAAGAAGAGCAATGGATACTAGAGGCATGAATTAAGTTTCAACAGTTGTGTCCATTGAATAATAATTACAAAGTGATTAGCAATCTTTGTTTATACTTACAGTTGCCATTCTAGCCTTAGCTTCCGCTAGAATCCTCTCAGTTTTCGCCAAATCTTCTTTCGCCTGCTTTAACGCAGCCTTCTTAGGTGCCACGTTTTTGTTGACGAAGTAGTACTTGAACATTGCGTGCACCCACATGCACAGTGAAGTGCAAGCTTTCGATATCTAAGAATATAATTTCAAATTTATTTGATTTCGAAAGCTTTTTACCAGTACCAGCTGTTACCAAGGCCTAACAATGAGATCTGAGTCTGGTTCATTTTTTCGCTAAGCCGTTTGTTGCGTGTGAACCTGTCTCTGCAATTTAATTTAGCACGTGATCATGATGCAGTATTGTTTCTATTTTTCGCTGAATCTTCATCGGATTTAAATCTCCAGCTGAATTGATTTCATATGCATTAACAAATAAATATTTTGCGCGGCATGAGCACCGGATCTTTAATTTTTTCGGAGGCGAGGACAAAACTGAAAAACGAAGCATCTGGCCCACACCCGTTAACCGGTCCCTCTCCCTGATCCACTTTCGATGCCAGATTGTTTCACGGTTTCGTTCACTTTGTTTTTTCATGAGGTGGGCAGCTATAACGCAGATCGTTCCATTTTTTACAATTTCATATTCGTGTAGAGTAATAAAGTAGCAAGCTGCAACGAAAAGTGTGGTTAGTATGTCTTTGACGACATAAATGGCAGTTCGATGTTGACAGTTATAGTTTTTTCTACCAACTGCATATGATTTCGTATGAAATTTATTACAAACATTTCTTTACGTAACAGACAAGATTGTAATTTGTAAACAAATTTATTAACGCATTTTCTCACAAAATTTGGCACCAAATTATGAAGAAAATTTTGTATCGTGACAGACGGCCTTAAGCCCACGGACGGGTGGTCCTTAAGTTCTGCAGAGCTGCAGAACTGCCAAAACTTTGGTCTTAATAGGAAAAAGCAGTAGTAATTTGACCATTATTTATTTTCCATGCTATCACACAAATAGAAACAATACCGGCAACGCTGCCCCCGCAAGACACGGCGTCGAGTCTGTTTTGTACTGAGAAAGCATTATAATCGACCAATTGTGTACATGTCATTTTAATCGCGACTGCAGCGTAACATTATTCATGGCCCACTTGATAAGGGTCTGTGCACTACTTTGATACAAGTCGCACGCGCTTGCTTTTGTCTCTCTCTACAAAATCAAATGCACGATTTAAGCATAAGCATGTGCTGCAAGTTATACAGATCCGTACAGATCTAATGCGAAGTACGATATCTGATTGGTCGGTCGGTGCTCGGTCCTCTGCGGTATTGGCATATTGGTCTTGTCGCTCAAAATTTGAATGCGAAAAATTTTATTTAGATATTTTGGGTCTTACGTTGAGTGACTAGTGACTGACTGACTGACTGTGGCTGTGTAGAAGGGTAGTACAAGGCGATGGATGTGGTTTACAGACTTATCAGCGTGAAACGATTCTGGAAATACACATTTGAAGAAAAAAATGAGCTGAAGGTGTTAGGTCGGCCGCTGCCGGACATATTTATAGAAGCACAGGGCGTTAGTCGGGGCAAGGACTATACGCGGCATTTCAGCAGGGAGATTTACACCAGAAATAACTGGATTTGTGGGTGCAACAGGAAGAATGCCCTTTTCTGCTTTCCTTGCATACTTTTCGGCGGTGACGAAGCTTGGACAGAGGTAGATGTTACAGATTTAGTGCACCTGAGTGAAAAAACTAAAAAGCATGAAAACTCTAAAACACATCTTCATAATTCGATGGAATTGACTTTATTGGGGACTGTTAACATCAGAGCTCAGTTAGATTCAGCATATTGGAGAAATATACAACAGCATAATGATACCGTTACAAGAAACAGGTACGTTCTATCAAAAATAATCGATTGTATAAAATTTTGAGGAGCATTTGAATTGGCGCTACGGGGCCATGACGAAACCTAGAGCTCCCAAAACCCGGGAATATTTCGTGGACTGATTAATTTTTCTGCTGAGTTTGATACAACCTTAAGCGAACACAAAAAATGCTTGAATATTTAAAGAAATACAAAACGATCTACTCGATTGTATTCTTGTATTCTTGAAGTTTGTCATGAAGAAATAATAAAACATTAACAGAGTCTCGTATTTGGCGATAATAGCAGATGAAACAACGACATTTTGGGGAAAACCCAAATGGTAACAATTTTCAGATACGTATTTAACGGCGAACCAGTAGAACGTTTTTGGAATTGTATGAATCCCAAAAAATGTGACGCTGATACTCTCACAAGTCATATTTTGAGCGTCGTAGATCCATTAATAGGAAATTTCCCTAACAAACTGATTTCAATGATGGAGCCGCGGTAATGAGCGGACCTGATGCTGGAATACAGGCAAAAATTAAACATAAATGATTTACCTGCCATAGTAAAAAAATGCAAAATTCAAATTTTCGCCGATGACACTATGATTTATATAAGTACTAAAAATATTCAGTCTGGTATCTCTTATATAAATGAAGACTTGAAGCTTGTCTCAAAATGGTTAGCATCTAACAGACTAAAATTAAATGCAAGTAAAACGAAAGCCTTGTTAATCGGAAAAAACAATGTACAAATGTTCAACTGAATATTGATAGTGAAGATATTGAATTCGTAGAAAATTTTAAATACCTGGGAGTTTTTGTTGACTCTCGATTAATTTTTGATATTCATTATGAAAAAGTTATAAATAAGATTAGTAGTAAAGTGGGATATTTATCGAGAGTTTCTGGATGTCTGAGTTCATATAGCAGAAAAATTATCTATAATACCATCATTCTTCCAAATTTCTTGTACTGTTCGACTATTCTATATTTAGCAAATAATTCCATTTTTGAAAGACTGCAAATTTTACAAAATAAGTGCATGAGAATAATACTAAATAAAGATAAATATACTCCAATTAGGCAAATGCTTAGCAAATTAAAATGGCTCAATGTAAAAAATTTTATCGAATATCTTGTAATGATATTCATTTATAAAGTAAAAAATAATATATTTTCATCAAGTCTAACTAATTTAACATCATCAAATGTCGACCATCATTTACATAATACCAGAAATAAAGATGACTTCCATTTAATGACCAAAAAGTATAACATATGCTACAAATCTGTATTCCATCAAGGGTTGATTGAATATAATAAATTATACTCGGAGATAAAAGACCAGAAAACTTTGACAAAATTTAAAGTAAAATTGAGAAATCACTTGTTAAATCTACAATTATAGGTTGCCCAGCATTTACATCATACACCATATGGCTTGAATTTACTAGTTCTAAGTTGTTTACAATTGTTCTGTTTATGTAGCCAAATGTGCTAAATAAATCTTTCTACTACTACTACTACATTGCTATGCGCATCAGTTAAACCTGTTTATGTCCCAAGCTGCTTCCGAAAATGCTCAAGTTCGGATGTTCTTTGGGGATTTGAAAGATATTCACGGATTTTTCAATAATTCTCCTCAACGCGTAGAGGTACTGAACAGAATTGTGGGGAAAAATTCCCCAAGGAGCAACAACTCGTTGGAATTTTAATATTCGAACAATAAATGTAGTGTTTGAGAACAGAGAATCACTGAGTGAATGCATGGAAGAAATAGAAGAAAATTTCACTAATGAAACCGTTTACAAGGCAGCTTGCGGCATTCGCCGTATGTTAGACGATTCTGTTTTCGTGTTTTGGTTGACATTTTTTCATCATGTCATGCCTCACGTCGACATCTTGTTCAACCAGTTGCAGAAGAGGAAAACCGAGCCAGCGCAAGTTAAAACAGCTGTCGATAATTTTGAAAAAAGTATTGTCGATGTGAGAAGTAAAATTGATGATATAATAAATGATGCCAAAAGTATTTGCACTGAACCCCAAGGCAACAAAAGGAGACGACGTAATAATAGCAGTCACGATCACCGAATTGCCGCATTAGAAGTATGCCGCAATATAGTGAATTCTGCAAATGACAGATTTCAATTCAAAGACCATTTGGTAGCCGCATTCCTTTTTTTCCCCGAACACTTTGGAGAATACTTTGGTAAGTTTCCTGATGACAAGTTGGAAACTACCTGCTTGGCTTATCCCGAATTAGAAAAAAGTTGTTTAAAGACAGAGTTGTCTGTTATTTATGCACGGAATGATTGCCGAGATTTACATGGAACTCTGGCTCTTTTGAAATTTATGATACAAAATAGAGGAAACACTAAAAAAGCTACTAAAAATTATTGTTTCAACTCGTCTTACAGCGTTGTCGATGCTGTCCATTGAAAAGGAATTTATTTCGACCATGGAAAATTTCAACGAGAAGGTGACCGACAAATTTGCTGCCAAGAAGAAACGCTGGATCGAACTGACATATAAAAAATAGGTAAGTTCGGATTTGCAGAACACCTGTTTTATTTTGCCACGAGCCGCCACTGCTTGAGCCTATTTATTTACAAATATTACAACAATATTGTATTGCAAATTCAATTAATATTCAAGCCTTTTGTTCTGCAAACAAATATATCGCCTTGTAATAATTGAACACTTGACAAAAGTGGATAAAGGTGTCATGTAATTTTTTTTTAAAAATGCTTTTTTTGCATTAAACTAACCTTAAGGAGTGACTCTTTCATTCTGTGATTACTTTGTTGCAAAAACAAGATAATAACATGCTAATTAAACTAAGTATTTAAAATTCCAATAATGTAAAAAGTCTGAATAAAAATTGTTTAAGGTGAATTTTCTCCATACAATGACATATACATGACACCCTTATCTACTTGTGTCTTCAATTAATCTCATGTGCAATTCGATAAACGAGGAATGGATCAACGATCATGTGTCACCATGTGGGTTATTTGTGTGAACTTATGTTGTAATTATCTCCATCGGTTTTCTTACCTTTTCAATAAGTTCCTTGAAAGGAGTCACGGGAAATCAACGCGTTGTGTGTAATTACTGTTAGTATGTATACGTGGGCTTATGATTCGGATTTATAGTCAACGCCAAACAAAGTGGCGTGCACGTCATCACGATAAAAATTCCCCGACCTAATGCCTAGGTTTCTATCACAAACAATTGCTCTATTGCAGTTTCATATTAATGTGATACATAAATTGTAAAATGGTCATTACTCTCTTATTATGGTTAATAGTCATATAAACATTGTTATTAAAATATCACATAAGTTGCTTTCTGATAAATTTAGACGCAATATGCGAAATAAAATGTTTTGCAAACGCTCCAATCACTTATCGACATGTAAACGCACTAAACCGATTTCGCAGCGTTGACACATTGTCACCTTGAAACTTATTTAAACTGGGAACTGACATTTGTATTAATTTTGACACTGAATCAATTTGTGGCATTTCAAATCTTTATAAATCCTTTGGCCCCGCATACTGTAAATCAACAACTGTTTGTTTCAAAACAAAATTATTCATTTTACGAGTAGATAAAGGCAATTTTGGTATATAAAGATGCACAAACAGTTAAATAGTCGGTGCAAGGAACTCGTGGCCTCGTTAATGCACTACTTTGAGCAAGAAAGGGACAACAACGGGCCTTTGTTGCCTTTAAATGCTGTTCAAGAGGTAGGTTACTAATAATTATATGTAATGTATATTAATAATAGTGAAATTTTATTTCATTTTTTGTAGCGTGTTGCTGCTGCTTTAAAAATTAGTTTAAGGACAGTTAGTCGTATTTCCGAGGGTGTGAAAAGTGATGCAAATTTAGAATCGCCCAAGAAAAAGCGGAGTTATATTAAACGTGTAACCAACACAGCGACATTGGATACAAGTGCCATTCGAGAAGTGATCTATAATATGTATCACAAAAGTAAGATCTTATTACAATAACTTATCAGAAATTTGCATTAATTTGTTAACTAAATTATAATGTCATATTACACATGGTTTCAGAAGAACAAGTTACGATACAAACTTTATGGTCTCGATTAAGAGATAGGGCATTCTTTGATGGTAGTGCCACGTCTTTAAGGCGGTTGCTTAGAGATCTTGGATTTAAGTGGCTTAAGGACAATCCGCGACGAGGGCTCATGGAACTACCAAGTATAGCTTTGAAAAGGGTGGAATTTCTAAGGCAATACAATCAAGCCAAGGTTGAGGCCTTATACCAGTTTGTCTTCCTCGATGAAACTTGGATATTTCAAAATGGGACCATAGGTCGCTCTTGGCAAAATGGAAACCAAAAAAGCGTGAAAGCTATTAAAACAGATGGTAAAAGGTATGTACTTTTACACAATTTGCACTATAAAATTTAAAACTAATATATTTTAGATACATTATATTACATGCTGGAAATGAAAATGGGTTTATTGAGGGTAGTGAAGCGATATTTTCTTCGAAAACAAAATTGAGCGATTACCATGGAGAGATGAACCAGGACAATTTTTTGAAATGGTTTCAACATCAGTTATTAGAAAAATTAGAGAGTCCATCTATGATTATACTGGATAACGCCCCTTATCACAGCATGATATTGAACAAAGTGCCCAACAATGCATGGACAAAAAAAAATATCCAAGACTGGTTGACAAATCAAAACATACCATTTTTAAACACAATGTTTAAAACAGAGCTATTGAGTATTGTTGCTCGGTACATAATGCTTCTTAATTATATATATTTTGGTCGACAGTTTATATTTCTTTTGTTTATTCCTATTCTTAAAATAACTGCTTTTTTAGAAACAAACCACCTAAAATATACGTGATTGATGAATTGGCGGAACAACATGGGCACAAAGTTCTTCGTCTGCCTTCTTACCATTGTACGAGTATATTTAACCCTATTGAGTTAATTTGGGGCATAGCAAAAGGTAACAGACATATTGGTAGAGATGGTAACAGTGAAAAAGACTGTTTGGATATGTGGAACGAGGCTCTACAAACGGTTACCCCAGACATGTGGAAAAATAGTGTTCGACATACTGAGCAAGAAATTTTTAAATGGTATGAAAGAGAACGAATTTTTGATCGACCAGACATCGAACCTTTAATAATCAACTTTGAGAGTGATGAAGATTCAGATTCAGACAGCGCTGAAGAAAGAAACTCCGACTAACTTTATTGTACAGAAAAAGCTTACACCAGTAGCTTACCTACTTTTAGAATGCATTTTTCTGTATGAATTCTGTAAAATAAATACCATGCATAAAATTTGGAGGACCCCATTTGGATTTTTATTCAGTACCTTTAAGCTATCAATTAAATATGGTAGTTTCATAGTGTCATCTGATCAATAATTGTCATACTTAATGATTATGCAAGTACAGATCTATAATTTTATTATACTATTATTTTTGTTCTCATTTGAGGTTAATATTGCTTATAAACCTAGATATGTAAATAATAAATTTTATTATTTTACAAAAAGTTTGGCAACAATGTAAATTTTTCAACACACCCACCTTGATGACGTGCACGCCACTTTGTTTGGCGTTGACTATATTTGACTACGTACAATGAATATTTCAGCATGTATAAATAGACATATTACTGTGAGATCCTACCAGAAATTGATTGATCATTGACTGATTTAATTCGCATTTTCATCTGCAGTGAATTGATTTACATTTCGTATGTTACTCAAATCAGCATTTGTTGAGTTGAAATTCTAATTGACCAATCGACACTTGTAGGGCCAAAGGAAAAATTAACAGTACATAGATACAGCAGCATTATTGATTTAGTTTCTGATACTGTGGTTGTCTTTTCCACTTGTCAGGCCTATTATTAATAATTTATGTGTTGGACGTTTCAATGGTCAGAGTTGTGCAGCCGTCTGCCAAGTTGAATTACCGCTTTCTGAATTGATGTGAACAAAGAAAAAGGCAGGCACGGATTGCTGCACAACATACCAGATCAGATCATATATTCGGTCTCACTTAATGTGTTATATTTGGGTTCCCAGTTGCAACCCTGTACTTGACAAACTTTGCAGGAGATGCGTTACCTTGGCAATCTTAGCAGGTGTAAACAGTGGGTCGTCAACATATTTCTTTAACTTTTCTATCATATCCTCGGTGATGGAATCTTTGTCGAAGTTCATGAGAGATGTCAGAAACGCTCCTGGGTCGGATAGCATGTTTCTACCTGGCTCCCAGTAATCTAGAAGTTTTTCACCTGGCCTAAATCCGGGAACCTAGTTTAAAAAAACTAACTGTACCTAATAGCGATTGCAAAGTGCTGCAATATACAGGGTGTTTCAGTTCATTGTTGCATAACTTTAAGATTCGATAGAACTTGTAAAATTAATGCATAAAGTCTATATAAACATGGGTCGAAAAATGCGTGGCTTCCGAAATAATTAAATTTACTTTCTAAAATAGTTTTTTTAAATATTTCGAACAATATTTGATATATGACAGTGAAAATTGTTATACAAGGGTTTTTTGGTACGACAAAACGAACCATGGACATAGTTTTACTGTAGCCGCTAGAGGGCGCTCTCTACTGTACCTGTAGTATATTAAAATGACCGAACATTTTTTCTTAGTGCAATTTTTTGCTTTTCGAATAGAAAAACTGATTCTTCGCACTTTTCAACATAAAAAAGCTCTCCTGTGAGTTTTCGTTATAGTTAGCCGTTTTTGAGATATTTCGATTTTTAAGGTTCGATGCATTTTTAATTATTTATGGGAAAATAATATTTTTTTACATTTTGGATTTGGGCATTACAAGTAGTTAAGATGATCGTTTAGATTGTGTTTTTAAAAACAGAAATAATTCCTAACTCTAAATAAATACAAAAAAACAATATTAATTTGTTTAATTTTCCAATATTATTTTTAACAAATTAAATTGATTATTTACAACTAAAATGCTATTGGATAGTTAGGACAAACATACAAAATCTAAAGTAGTTGCTCGAAATGTAAACCCAATTGTTCAATACACAATTCACATCTACGAATGATCGAACGTGGTATAGCATTATTCTAATAAGGCCTTATTTCAGCACATCCTGATTCTGTATATTAGCATATCTCTTGTGGTTACGGGAGTCTGGTACACTTTTTCTTTTAGAAATCCCCACACAAAGAAATCTGGAGGCCGTGGAGGCCAGACGACTGGTCCTCCACGGCCGATCCATCTTTCTGGATAATTTTCGTCCAGCCAGTTTCTAACTACTCTCGAATAATGAGCTGGACAACCATCAAGCTCGAACCAGGCCAATCTTCTTAAATCTAACATAACATCATCCCACATATTTGCATGTTCAGCCTTTAAAAGTTCCAAGAAGGTCACAGCATTTAACCTTGCAGGCAAAAGGTAGGGTCCAAATAGTCGATTACGTTAGATACCAATCCACACGTTCACACTAAATTCATGCTGAAAATTTCTTTCCCGAACTGCATGCGGATTTTCATGCGACCAAATATGTTGAGTATGAAAATTTACCACTCCACGTCTAGTTAAGCATGGCTCATCGGTCCATAAAACGTTACTTAAAAACTCCCTATTATTACCAGTTCTATCAAGAATCCACTGACAAAATGTGATTCTTCGTTCTCCGTCCCCTGGCTGTAGTCCTTGCACAGGTTGCAAATGGTAAGGACGTCTATGGTCATTTCTAAGAAGACGGTGAACATGGCTTGCTGAAATTCCCAAAGCACCAGAAACTCTCCTAACACTTGTGGTCGGATCTCTATCAAACTCACGCAGAATCATACGGGTAAATCTGCGCTGACGAACATTTATGTTTTGATCCCTTTGGAGATTTCCAAAACATTTTCAATTATTTGGCGATGTACTCTTACAAATACTGAGCGAGTTAGATGTCGTCTGTTTGGAAATCTTCGTGCGTATTCTCTGGCTGCTTCTGCTGCGTTTCCATTTACAAAGCCATACACAAAATGAATATCCGCTAACTCTTGATTGAAGAATAAAAATGGCATTTTTATAAAACTTACAATTGCAAAAAAACGTTTCAGGTTTCAACAGACAACAAAACTAACTGTCAACTAATTGACGTTTAACTATATTCTGCTTTCAATTTCAAAAATATTTGCATTCACAGCCTACTTCTAAAAATTATCGAGATACTGACTTTTTAACGTTATTTTCCCATAAATAATTAAAAATGCATCGAACCTTAAAAATTGAAATATCTCAAAAACGGCTAACTATAACGAAAATTCACAAGAAAGCTTTTTATGTTGAAAATTGCGAAGAATCAGTTTTTTTATTCAAAAAGCAAAAAATTGCACTAAGAAAAAATTTTTGGTCATTTTAATACACTACAGGTACAGTAGAGAGCGCCCTCTAGCGACCTCAGTAAAACTATGTCCATGGTTCGTTTTGTCATACCAAAAAACCCTTGTATACCAATTTTCACTGTTATACATCAAATATTGTTCGAAATATTTAAAAAAACCTATTTTAGAAAGTAAATTTAAACACCCTGTATTTCGGAAGCCACGCATTTTTCGACCTATGTTCATATAGACTCTATGCATTAATTTTAAAAGTTCTATCGAATCTTAAAGTTATGCAACAATAAACTGAAACACCCTGTATATAATTTCCAGCTTAGGAACAAAAGTCTGGTTGTACCGACCAGTTCTCGGTGTACATTATTGAAATGAAAATATCTATATGAGAACCCTTCTACAAGTATGTATTTAAATTCATATTTGTCACTGACCTTATTAGGCTTGATATTTTTCACGATACAAATCGCTTCGATAACATAGACGACACCGGCAGGAGGACGCTTCATTGACCGCACTTCAACAATGTCATTTTTATTCAAAGATTTCAAACTGGCTTCAGCTTCTAGCAGAGCTGGCATTGCCTCGTCTAAAATTAAAAAATCTAGTATGAGACTGTAAAAAGGATTAGATATTAAAATTAAAGTGTTAGGCATCAGGAGAGATTTTCAAAAGGACATATAAAGTCACAAAAGAATCCATTCTGGCGGCAGTACACTAAATCTGAAAAATGGTGAAAGTGCGGTCCTCATTACTGCAAACCATTACGGTTTTCCACTAAACGGAGTGTTGAGTTGATGTTGTGTTTGTATTTTCTAAAATCTGAGAAACAAAAACAAAACTGACAAAAACCCAACACTCTTGTTTCCATCAAGCGAGCTGCATTTTGTTCGAGTGTTGTTTTTGTTTTCGGTCCTTTTCCACTGGTCGTCGCGGGGAAGTCAAACCACAGTTTTTCTTCGATGACCAACCATCAAAATTTGAGGTGAAGGTTATTTTAATGATAGTTAAGGCTGGTTGATACTAAAGAAAATAGCTGTGTCTGTAACTATATGTGTCTATGAACTAGTCAAGTAAGCACTTTAATATACATATTAGTATTGATTAAAATAGTAGTAAAAAGTTGCAAAGTGAATCACAAACTTTAGAGATTCAATTTCTGTTAAAGATCGATTAGCAGAAACGCTGAGGTTTCTTGGTACGGGGGACAGTTATCAAAGCTTGATGCATGTACATTAGCGAGCGTCTTAAAACAAATTGTCATCTACAAAAAATAGGTTATTTATCTACTAAAATTTGGTACAAAATTCGTACTGAGACTAGCAAGGCGAAAATGGAAAACACAATAGGAGCGGCTGACAATGCGAACTGGGATACAGTTCTAATAGACACCTTACTAAGGAAACAAAGAAAATCCTTAAAGATTGCAGTCAAGTCTTATGGGTGACTTAATCCGATTTTCGTAAATAATCTTACATTCTCTGTGCGATCACTGGTTATCCAGTTATCAGTGGTCGATGACAAAAGGATCTTTTTTTATTCAAAGTCAAATATCTCCGCCAAGTAAGCGTATCGAGAATTTAAAAACGGGACATTGAAGCTGAATAAACCGGTTATCTGATCCATATGATGGCCTAACAGAGAAACATGTCAAGGCCGAAGACTAAAAAGAAGAAATCAAAAATTTTCTGTCAGAATTACGTGAGAACCGTTCCTCCTAAAATGTTTCTGCAAAAAATCCGAAAACTAGAAACTTGAAACTTCAAAATACCTATTTTTAAGTCTAGATACGACAAGTATTCCTTTTTACATGTAATCGTGAAAGGCAGAGGAGGGAACAGGCAAAACACGAATCTTGTCTGAGGAACATTAGAGAAATCTAAACTTAAACAGTAGATAAAAAGTCACCAATTGCATAAAATAAGGCTGACCAAGGACCAAGACTAAATGCCAGGCCCAGGCTGTTTGTAGGTAAGAACAACTCACCAAGATCTCGTTGCGCATCTTCAGCGATAGCTTGAGTCTCAAGTGCCTTTTTACTAGCCTCTTCCTCTTCCCTTTCGACTATTGCCTTTGTTTCTTCCGCTATAGCCTAATAAATCGTAGACAACTTTAATAAACGTGATTTGATCAAATTATTCAGCATCCTACTAACTAACGAACAGAGGATCTTCCACCTAAGGGATTCGAATCCACGATCTCGTGTATTCTGGACTGACGCTTTGACCATCCAGAAACGATGACCCCATGATCTTTAAAGTTCAGACTTACCTTTACAGTGCTTATTCGTCAGGCAACAATAAGCAATTACTAGCCACATACAGCAAAGCCTTAAAGTAACCGGGATATATACCGATGTATACCGAATGGGCCAATCCAACCCTGCATTCTACGTCACAAGGTACGATATTTTGTGTGTTTTCTTTATACTTCAACCACCACGAAGGCCTAAGGCCTAAACACCCACGGGGTACCGTGGGGCTATAGGGGATACAGGGGAAAAGGGGAACGCCACACGGACTCTGGCGAGGGAACACGTGTGCATGCAACATGCACACATTCTGGCCCCGCCTATGAAATCCGCCGGGTGGTACCTCCGCGTTCGACAGTCAGAGACCGTCTACCACCTACGAACAATTACAACATCCATAGCCAAGAGAAAAATTTCTCCTGGGACGGGATTCGAACCCGCACAGCGCACGGCGACTGATAAGGAGACCGAAGAGTCTACAACTGCGGCCACCGCTGCTGCCTAAAAACACTATCCAAATCAGGCGCCACAGATTTAAAAAACAGGAATTGGTACCTTCCTATAGCAATAAAGAAGTTATCAATTTGATGCTTGTTCTGAGCATCTACAAAATCCTGTTGATACTTCGCGAGTGTATTCAGGTCGTTCAGAGCTGGACGGTTTTGTTTACATAGTGCAACGGCCGTCGTGGTGGATACAGTAGGAGATCCAGATATCACCAAATGTGCAATTATGAAAAAGTACAGCGACCTATACCAGGAAAAGGTCAATAAATGTATTTTTGAATCGGTCGGCGACAACAGTATTTACAAGCAAAACAAGTGACAGGCAGTACTTGAAATTACTGATCAAATGAATACTGAGAACTTTCTCTTTTAATTTGTTTTTTAAGTTTTCGCTGCTGTTCCACAGCACATGAACGTATACTAAGTGACATATAAATCCGAACACCCAGTTTGAATGGTTTTATTTTAATAAAAGTTGGTGAATGTATTTATCTTACTGTAAATAACAAGTGAAAATATTTTCATCCTTATCAGTTGGACATTCCGGTTTTACTGCTTTTTTTTAATTCACTAACGCTCTAAAAAGGAATATTTCAGTCGCAGTAAAGAATCATCGTTGGCGGATTTTGGTTCTTGACATCCTTTACGATCGGTTACGATGCCTAGAGTACGGAGACCTGTACGATTTCGTCAACTTAGTGAGTTTGATAGGGGCCGTATAGTGGGACTTCGGGAAGCTGGACTTTCTTTTCGGGCAATTGCAGTTAGAGTGCAAAGAAATGTAGACACTGTGGTTAGGTGTTGTCAGGCATGGCTTCGAGAAGGCCGTACGCAAAGAGCAAGGGGCACTGGAAGCCGCCGTAGAACAACAGACCGTGAAGATCGCCGCCTAAGATTATTGGCCTTAAGGGACCGTTTCTCCACTACCAGGTCCATTGCAAATGAATGGTTTGCAGAACACGGAAGACCTATTGGCATGCGAAGTGTTTACCGACGATTGAGAAGTTTTGGCTTGTTTTCATACCGGCCACACTGGGTCCTCCCTTTAACTCGAGAACACCGACGTAATCGCCTTGAGTGGTGCAGACAACGGTCACTCTGGGATCAGGAATGGAACAGTATTGTCTTTAGTGACGAGTCTCGATTTTGTTTAGGCATGCACGATGGTCGTGCCAGGGTTAGAAGGCGACGTGGTGAAAGGAGGAATCCACAGTTTTTTGTTGAAAGACATGTTCATCACACTGTTGGAGTTATGGTTTGGGGTGCTATAGCTTATGGTTCCAGGTCACCTTTAATCTTCATCAGAGGTAACATGAACGCGCAGTGTTATATCCACGAACTTCTAGAATCCCATCTTTTACCCTATCTTGACACCCTGGCAGATCCAACTTTCCAACAAGATAATGCCCGACCACATGTTGCAAGAGTCACAATAGACTTCTTTCAACATAATGATATCACATTGTTACCATGGCCACCAAGATCTCCCGACTTATCCCCAATTGAGCACGTGTGGGATATGATGGGTAGGAGATTGCTCAATTTGCAACGTCCTCCTCAGACTCTAGAAGCACTTCGAGAGGAGCTGGTGGTTGCCTGGAATGAGATACCACAGGAGGACATTGACCACCTGATCAGAAGCATGCCTAGGCGCGTTGGAGAATGCGTAGCACATCAGGGCGCATCCACACATTATTAAAGGTCAAAGGGCTTTAAAGCAGTGCAATCATTTTGAAATTTTCATCATTTACTTATTATGCTTCATTAAGTACTTATACAAAATTTTATTAAAATAAAACCATTTAAACTGGGTGTTCGGATTTATATGTCACTTAGTATAGTTACTTCTAAAAAGGAAAGTCCCAACTTTCAGGACGCCCTATATAACGATATGTATAACGCGCTAGGTGGAGCGCTATAAAGAATAGCAGTACTTACAGTATCAGCAGCAATCTTTGTTATCATTGTATCGGCATCTCTAGCCGCCACTTCCAATGCTGGTTTCATGACTTCCAAGTTTATTTGTAGTACCTTCACCTCTTCGGCGGTACTTTGTAGCTTTCCCAACCCTACAAAGGGAAGAAACTCAATCGCTTTTGGACTCCATGAACTATATGACCCTGACTATCTACGAGTATGTCAGAATGTCCTCTACGATACCCATGGGCCCCCCGAACTGAAGTTCTATAAACGACATTGTACAGGACAACGTATTCTTACCAGTTTGAAGTCTGCTGACTCCTTCAGTCAAAGAACTCTTCTTTTTATTCATCAACTCAGTATAACTTGATAGTAGCTCCAGGTATGAGGTCGGTGTGACGTAGTTATGTCTGGATAGTTCCTGTTTAAACCTCTCGCTGGCTTCTACAACGCTAGCATGCATGTATTGAAATACGAAGACAATGCCTTGCAGGATTTCTTCTGTTACATTCAGGTTTTCTACATCGTTGAGAAACTGGAGGGCTACAGACTACAGAAACATTATTATTTATTAAAATTCCAGTGATATTACAACTCTTCATCGTTCCAAGAAATGTAGTCAGCATGGGAAATATCCTGGGCCAAAGCCGAGGCCTTGCCAGAGAAAGGTGGCAGGATTGTATCATCGAGATACCCAGAGAATGCTTACTACCGAAAGAAGGCCAAAGAAGGGAAGCAGAGGTTTGAAGAAGCGCTGAAGGTGAGGTGTTACAAGCCCGGAGAGGTGATAATGGCGAGGACCTTCAAATTTCGGTGAAAATGGAGATAAGGCGAAGAGTCTGTAGGTGACCAAGATGAAGCAAAGAGAGATGTCTTCAAAAGAAGCTCTGTAATGGAACAAAGAATTCAGAAACGATTGACTAGGTAATCGACATTACTTTTAAAAATATAACATGTAAACTTGACTATTAATGTCAATAAGACATTTATAAGATTTATATTCTTCCTTGATTTTATAGATCTGAATAATGAGTTGATACACAAAACAGACAAAACAAATTTTTCGACTGACGATTGATCATCAATGAGATTTTACTAATAATGCAGACAAATTGCTCACTCAACCAGCAAAGATTTCCCTTATTATGAAAACATTTAGTTACAACCTAGGGAGAATCACAGCCTTGAGCAGTTATCTTGCCTCATTTTGAAGTAGATTGAGGTATATAGCATTCCCTTTAAGTGTGTCTGTTCCCAAAATTATTTTAAAAAGTTGCTTATTCTACAAAAACGAACTATTAGATATATAACTTAAATCAATCCTAATACAACATATATGCCTTCGTTTGCTAATCTTAAAATAATGGCTCTCGTATCTTTGTTCATTTTAAAACAGCAACTCCTATTTTTTTAAATAAATCTAAATTTGAAACATTATACAAGGTGTCCGCAAAGTTGGGGTTTTCCTTTTCAGGAACAACTACCCTTGAAATAACAAAGGTAATGTGGAGTGAAATGAGGGCGACCAAGTAAAAAAAAAATAAAGGAAAAAGTACTCACTCTCCAGTTGACGAGAAGGGCTAAGTACGTCTCTGCCCGAAATCATACCGCTCCAACAGAAAATGAAATCAGCTGATGCGCTACCGAGCAGACGCAAGCGGTGGTGCAGACCACGAACAGAGGTAACAAATATGACTGCGTTGCCGCGTTTTCAGTTTTTAGGTAAACGTACTTTATAGGTATTGTTCGAAGTTATCGCCGTTTGATTCAAAAACACAGGTGCGTGCACGACGTAGCCAAGCATCGGTGCAGGCTTTGAGAATGGAATCCCTCCCCCGAATGAAAGCATCAGCTTGTTCAATTCTGAGACGAAGTTCGTCAACCGTATGCACTTCAGTTTTGTACACTAAGCGTTTCATTTCTCCCCAAAGAAAAAAATCACATGGTGTTAAGTCTGGAGATCGCTATGGGTCCATTACGTCCGATCCACCTATTCGGAAATAATTCATTCAAAAACTCACGCACTTCGCGTCTAAAATGGGGCGGTGTACCATCGTGCAGAAACCACATTTATTGTCTTACACTTAATGGCACATCTTCTAACAAGGAAGGCAAAATGTTGCGTAAAAAGTCTAGGTATTGCATCACGTCCAATCGATTTGGGAGAATAAATGGTCCAATGAGCATACCGTTCACCATGCCAGCCCAAACATTCACCGAAAATGTTTGTTGAAAATGTGCCCGACGGACAGCGTGCGGATTTTCTACTAACCAAACATGAGTGTTGCGAAAGTTATTCACCCCATTACGCGTGAACGGAGATTCGTCTGTCACCAATATGCACTTCAAAAAGTCCGGATTATTGTCATGTTGATGCAACAACCACTCACAAAACCGGACTCTTGCTGGAAAATCGTCAGGTTGAAGGGCTTGTACACGTTGGACGTGAAACGGATACAGCCCCTCTTCACGCAGCGTTTGCCACTCTTTAGTTTTTGATACTTGCACTTCTCTAGCCACGTCTCTAGTGCTTGTTGAGGGATTCTCGTCTAAGCGATTACCTCTACACGCGTGACCGTAACCGTCGGTTGAAGGTTGCATACTGACCTGACAAACTGACCCCGACCCAGTTCTGTCGTCGGGTTGAGCCAGTGACCTTGTACCACTAGGTGATGTCGCGGGTCGCGGCTACAGGACGGTATTCAGATATTTTTGATGTTGCAGAGCCCTTTATCTCGGTTCCCTTAAGACATTGGTGTATATGGTACTAAGAAAAATTGCTTATGTTTTCAAGATCTACACGTCGTGTAAAGGAAAACCCCAACTTTGCGGACACCCTGTATATATATATATATATATATATATATATATATATATATAAGTTACGATAATAGACGAAAACAAGATCTTAAATTAGTAGTACCTAAAACAACACTAACTTGTTAAAATCTCAATAATTTACAATGGTTTTAAAATCTATTTGTGTCTCCCTGATGCTATCAAATATCAAAGGAATCAACAATTTCACGATATTCCGCCGTGAACTTGTAAACTTTTTAATATGTGAACCATGTTATACCTTGTCTGAATTCTACAATTCACCTACTTAATCCACACATGTAATTATGTTACAGTTTACTTTTAAATTAGCTTTCTCATTTAGAATGGTTGTATTCATGAGACAATAAAGCATATCTATTCATCTATCCATGTTTTTTGAAGGTATGTTATATGACAAGTACTCAAGGGAGAATTTAATGTTTGCATACCACGTCAGACTGCAACAATTCTCATCACATGCTTACAAAATTTTCAAAACGAAAATTTACCAGATTTCCAAATTTTTTAAAATTGTAAAAATTTTCAGTTTTCAAAAATTTCAGATTTTCAAAAATCACAGATTTTTCAGATTTCCATAATTTTCAAAAAATTACAAATTCCCAGGACTTTCAAAATCTTCATTAAATCTGCATATCTCGGAAATTTGAAAATTTTGATTATTTCGGTAAATTTGGCAACATTGAAAATCATGCAGATTTTGATAATTTTCAAAACTTTTTAAGTACTACAGCTCACTGTGAAATGTTAACGCCTCTCAAGGAAGCATTATAGTTTGAAATCTGTGAGTCTGTCAATGTGTCGCATAATCTCATCTCAATTACGATGAAATTTTTACACAATACTATGAGATATGAGATTTTTTTATATATATATATATATATATATATATATATATACATATAGACAAAATGTACTACTTATCATTTGAGGAGTACTATTGTGAAAAATGTCATATATAAATATACTAAGCACAAGAAAAATCTACGATTTCGTCACATCTTGGCAACTCAGTAGCGCATCGTCCACCTGACTGGTGGATACTGGGGGCATGGTGGCAAGTGGGCGTTACTTGTAGCTCCATAGGCGCGGAAGCAGGGCATTTGGTAAACAGGTAAACAGTATTCAAAGCGTTGCATTGTCTACTTGCGTTACTGAATTATTTGTTTCAATAATGGAATCGAAGAAAGGTAAAGTTATTCACAGCCAGGCGATAGAAGTAATAGCCAAAGTAATAAATGGATGTGATGAGGAAGCCTCGAATTATGCTCTCGTTCACCCACTTGTTGCTCGAAATGCTAGAGCACCATTTTATACTGGTGTGAGTGAAAGGACCATATCTAGTATTACGAACAAAGATCGGGAAAGGAAGATCTCCAAATCAGGACAAGCGCTGTCTTCTCCTCCAAAAAAGAGGCATCGTCCTTCAATAATTGAGAAGACAGACAAGGCGGATTTTCACGTCGTACGCAAGACGGTAGAACAATTCTATTGCCAGAACAAGGTGGTGCCAACTTGTCGCAAATTGCTGGTAGAATGATAGTGACAATCACTATGTGATGACACCTCCTTAGTTTGAGTGTTGTGTTTGTGTGCTAGGGATTCAACTTCAGCTGACCGTGGACAATGGACATTGTTGGTTGCCAAATACTTTCAAGTGCGGGGATAGGTTGGACGTGATGAACAAGAGCAATTTTGAGGCGAACATTTGACACTAAGACACCATCACGTTAAGACGACTATCTACTCAATTGATATTCATTCAATTTGTTAATGACCAATAATTGCTTATTAATTTATTGTTATATCTTATTTTCACTTTCCGCACATTACTTCACTCCGCCTATGACTTCGGACCACCTATCTTCCGCAGTGTTGCCAGAAGTAGCGGAGTTCCGCTACTGGATTTTCAAGTGGTAGCAATTTTGCAATTTAGGTACACATGATGGATTTTTTACCAGAAAAAAAAATGAGTGCAGTTAGTAACCAAATCGAAATACAGGTATCTTTCCAAAAGACAGTGGTAACCACCGGTGGGTAATTCTTATTCACCGGGACGCATATAGATGGTAGTAGGTGGTAAGAACACAACCTGTGAAGTGTATTTCCAATGTCTAATAATTTTAACATTTGCCACATGGTAATGCAGATGTCGAGTGGACATTTTCATATATGCAGATAATCAAAGAAAAGGAATCGTATTTTACCTTCAACTTTTTTCGCAATACTTATCAAACTGGATACATTACAACAAAATGTTGCTGCTTAAACTTCGAGTTTGGTGAAAAATATTTTAAAAAATACAAAAGTAATTTATATAGTATAGAGATAACAAAAATGCAACAAGAAGAATCTGTTACAGACAGTGACTAAGTTTAAGTAACTCAAAAACTTCAATTTTTTTATGCAAAACAGAAATGGCCTTTAGTCATATGCTTTTTATTTTTTAGTTTCCTGTGATATTTATTTAAAATGACTGCGTGATAAATGTTCTGTTGTTTGACAGTGATTTGAAATATTGTATTGGTTTTTGTAGTCAATTACAGTTTTATGTTATATTTTATCTTTTATCACGCTGTTTGATTTTTGTTTTTCTTTTTCGACACAACCTGTATAAAAAATTTGAATAAGTCTGTACATAAGATTATATTCACTTAAATTCAAATCAATATAGTCTCCTTGAGTATTTTTTCGAATACTTCGTCGGTTCGCAAATATAATATACCTAGAATAAAAACTGAAACAAAATTTTATGCAAGGAAACCTACCTGTAAAGCACTATCAGGCCAAGGACTGAACCAGTCAATAGTACAGCAGTTAACTAAAGCTGGAAATTGTCTCAATCTTGCTCTAAACACCTCTCCTATAGGACTAGAGAAATTAAATATCAATAAAATCAACCAATCCATACGTGATTAGACGTTTCCTACTTTAGTAGTTGGATATTCTTTTTGCTCTTCCTCTTCTAGTACTATTTCTCTTTGATCTTTCCCTGTTTTTATATGGTCAGGCTGATAGAATAACGTACTCAGTCTGACTTGACGTATAGTGAAAAATTATAATAGAACTTCTGTCTGATAGGTACTGCTTAATGGTAGAAACAATGAAATGTAGCAGTTATATTCTTCTATCTACTCACCTCATGGTAATAACACAATGTAAGTTGGATCTAACTTGCTTTTGATAGACAGCAAACAAGTTGGATTTTGTCGCTGCAAGACCAAGTTCCTGGAGTGTGCCCTTCATTCCTTGATAGATTTTGTCCAATTCGTCTGGCTGATAGATATTTGGTACGTCTCCGGAGTTCAGAATATTATTCAAATCCTCCAGGAAGGATTCCGACTTTATCTGGAAAAATAGAGATGCATATCAAGAACTGTAAATGGCAACACTGGCAAGTCAACTTCAACCGGATTTCGATTTGATGATCCGTTAAAAGTTCTTCTCCTCACCTTGCAGGTCAGTCGTTGACATGAGGACACACAATTGCCGAGAGAATGTGGAGGTGATCCTCTTACCTTTCGAGGAACTAACGGGTGATTTTTTAAGAGGTATAGGATTTGATTTTCAAAAAAAACACAAAAAATTTGAAAAAACGATTAAATCTTTATTTGAGTCGATAGAACGGTCGATATAATTTAATGTTTAAAGATTATTTCATGTAAATGTTGGCCGCGGCTCCGCTTTAGATGGCCAATGCGCAAGGTCCAATTTTGGCACACTCTCTCCAACATATCGGCCGGTATCTCACGAATAAATGCTTCAATATTGGCTTCCAGTGCGTCAATCGTTGATGGTTTATCCCTGTAGACATTAGCCTTAACATGGCCCCACAAGAAATAGTCCAACGGCGTTAAATCACACGATCTAGGCGGCCAGCTGACGGGCCCCAAACGAGAGATAAACTGTTCATCGAACTCGCCTCTCAATAGGGCCATTGTTTCGTGCGCGGTGTGGCATGTGGCACCGTCTTGTTGAAACCACATGTCAGCCAAGTCCAGCTCTTCCATTTTGGGCAAAAAAAAGTTTGTTATCATCGCACGGTAGCGCTCGCCATTCACAGTTACGTTCCGGCCATTGTCGTCTTTGAAGAAGTACGGCCCGATGATGCCACCGGCCCATAATCCACACCAAACAGAGATTTTTTCGGGATGCATTGGTAGCTCTTGCAATGCTTCTGGCTGGTCTTCACTCCAGATGCGGCAATTTTGCTTGTTAACGTACCCATTCAACCAGAAATGAGCTTCGTCGATGAACACAATTGTTCGATAAAAATGTGGATATTCCTCCAACTTTGCCAGCGCCCATTCACCAAATTGGAAACGTTGTGGGAGGTCGTGTGGCTTCAATTCTTGCATCAGCTGTATCTTATAAGGTTTTACACCCCAAAATGTTCCACGTAGTGGAGTAACAGAGGCCCAATTGCTGCGAACGGCAGCGAATCGACATTTCACGGTCATCACTAACACAGGCGGATACAACCTCAATATTTTCTTCAGTCCTCACTCTACGTCTGTGTGTTGGTGGTTTAATGTCGAATAATGTAAACTGGGTTCGAAATTTAGTCACAAGCTTCCAAATAGCTCCCTCAGTAGGCCGACCAAATTGCCCATAAATTGGAAGCAGTGCTCGATGCACTCTCTTAACCGAGCATGAATTTTGATAGTAAAATTCAATAATTTGCAAGCGTTGTTCGTTCGTAAGTCGATTCGTGGTTAAATTATAGACCAAACTGAATGAGTTTGACAATGACACAAGACACGACTCACGCGCCATCTGTCAAAAACAGTGTTGTCAAACAGATACTAGAAAAAAAATCACCCATTATATGCCTGAATGCTAATAGGCTATTCTAATCTTGTTTAACGAGTGTCAACCGCTGTCAGCATTTGAAAACATCCCCAAGGAAGAAAACCACGTCCACTTTCTCTTAGTGATTCTATTTCCTCATTTTCGAGAAAAGAAGTGTCCATATATAATAATATTTATTCACATCGATTACAAACTGTGAATAAATTGATATGATGGTTGATACAAGTACATTGGAAAATGGTTCCATTGAGCAATTTCTAAACTCTATGAAATTACCTGGGTATCTGAAAAGAGGAAAACTGTTTCTCTCTTCATCAAACCAGCGTTGAGCATTAATTGCTTAATATCGTCTCTCCAATCAATTGATCCATAAGATTTGCTCAGCTCTATCTGGAAGCAGTTGTACTCTGCCATAAATGCTGCAAGTCTTGTCAAACTTTGCCTTCCTGCAAGTCAAACGATCATCCCAGTCAATAGAGAAAATTTAAAACACCCTGTGGGAGAAAAAGTATGAAAAAAGGTTACCAAAGAGAAGTTTGAATCCTTCAAGTGACATAAGTTCTTCTCACTAACGTCTTGAATACTGTCTGACTTATTTTCTGAATATTTCTGAGAAAAGTGATACCTGATCCTCCCATCCCCAACAATAGAGCATTCCCCATAGGTTGTCTCATTATCCGTGCAATTCTACAAACATGGGAGATGGCATCCAGGAATAGCACTAACTTCATGGGTTTTGTACTCTGATTATTGTAGTCTTCCAGGTAAAAGTTCAATGCATCAGAGAGTCTATCAAACTCTGTTATCTGGACATAGGAGCCAGCACCTAGAGATCGATATGATTCTGTGTATATACATGGCCTTAATAAATTCGTCCAAATTGTTAGGTATAATAGTTTTGTTCCAACCCCGGTAACTCTATGCACCTATCAGACATATTTCCGTACATTTGCCTTCAAAACTTGACAAAGACATATTTTCAACAGACGCGTCCCTAGACATACTCGTGTCGCTATCCGGCCGATGGGTGTCTCAGCTTTGCAGTCGGCTAGCAAATTTTCTTAGGGGGCGGGGGGAGCATCCTAAAGATTTCCAAATTCACGCTAAATATGCAAATTTTAATTGCATGAGCCAGACATGCCTTGATCCACTTAATTATTTGTTACAAATGTTCGTATCTAACTTGTGCCTAACATAATCCTTTACGAACTGATGACAGCGTTTCGTCGCAAGCGCAGAGTCAACATACTTGACGAAATTTTCCTACATGCGCACCTACGTGGTCATTCCAGAATGCTTGTTCAATGAGTTGGAACAAATCTAATATCTCATTATGAACTCGTTCTAGCGATGAAATGTTCCCTGACTAAATAATAGATACAAGCCTTAAGACATTAGAAACACTGGTGAAGTTTTCAGATTAAGCATTACCGACAGAAGGATCCATGAAATCTCCAAATAATATAGCTTCATTTCCTAGAGCATTTTCAGGAATTATTCCATAATACTCTGCAATCTTGGCTCTCAATAAACGATCAAACCACTCACGGTCTTCATCATTTACAAGTCTGTCTTGGAATACTCTACAACACTCGTGATACCATAGTCTTAATATTTCGTGCAAGCCCTGAGAATAGTCAACGTTTTAAAAGGATTATTATTAAAGAAAGTATGTTCCATTGGCTTATATAGGGTGATTAACAGGGATCTATACTCGGGCCATACCTATTGAATCTATACGTTGCTGATCACAATACGGAGATGATCTGCGCGTTCTAAATGAATCTAAACATCAGAGAATAGCCGTCGTGAGAGTAAAGTGGGCATTGAAAGATATGTATTATTATAAGTTTGCTATATTAACTACTACACTTGCTCTTTTTATTCGCTCCAACACAGACACGAAAAATTGGTAAAGACCACGCATAAAAATATCAACCAAGGATCACCGGGAAGATTAACGAAATATATATCGCCACACCTGTTTGCAGCTGCAGATCCCACACGGAAGAGATTGCACAAAATTAATTCTGGAAATACTTTTTTGACTTCTAATGTCAAAAATTAGGTCAAGCTAAAAAAAGGTTTTTAGGAGATTCCTGAATTTTTAGTTTGAATATGGAGGAAAACTCTAAAAAGGATGGAGCTAGTGAGGAAGTGCAGAGTGTGGTCTCACTGAGTGAAAAGGGATTTTGTACAGAGGAAGTTTTGAAACTAAAAGATTATACCATTTCGATTCAAGAGAAATTAATAAAAGAATTGTACGAAAAGATAGACCAATTAAACAAAAAAATTTGGAAAATGCAACAGCCGTCACAAGAAGCAATTACAACTTACGCTAATATGGTTAAAGCTTCAGGGCCTTCAACCGTTAATTCGCCTACAAAAATGGTAGAATATAAGCAGCAATGCGTACCATTACAAACGTGTACAGCAAAAAAACAATCACCAGTATTAAAACCCACAAATACAGTCATTGTTAAGCCTAATAACCAACAAGAGTGTAATAACACAAAGAAAGATATCGCAAAATTTGTGAATCCTACCAGTTTGAAAATTGCTATTGAAAAAGTTTATGAATTGAAAGATGGTGGGGTGAAAATCCAATGTAAAACAAAAGATGATAACGCGAAGCTACATAATGAAATAAAATCAAAAATGCCAGAAACATATACAGTGAAAACTTCAGAGATAAGTAAAAAACCATAAATCAAAGTTATTGGATTTTGTCAAGAATATGCAGAAGACGAGCTAATAAATACTATAAAATCACAAAATGAATCTTTTCAAGAAAATTCACATATGAGAGTAATTACAGTCAAGAAAATGAAAACTTAAATATCAAGCAATTTTAGAAGTGGATGCTGTGACTTTTAAGTGTGTTATGAATCAGGGTGTTATTTTTATCAACATGCCTGTTTGCTCTGTTTTCGAGTACATCAATGTTTTGCGATGCTATAAATGTACCGGATTTAACCACACAGCTAAATACTGCACAAAATCAGAAAGATGTCTTACTTGTGGATTAGAAGGACATTCAACAGAAAACTGTAGTACCAGTGAAATGTACAAACGCTGTCCAAATTGTAAAAGTGCAAACCAGGATTTTAATCTAGGATTACCTATTAATCATGGACCATTTGACAAAAATTGTGAAGTATATAAAAGGAAAATTAATTATGCAAATGAATAGCAACTACTAAGCTCAGATTTGCAAGACGTGGCTAAATCTGTAAGTGATGAATATAACTCAATATACCATTTAAACATACAAGGAGTCCTGAATAATATAGATGAAGTTCAACAGTTTTTAAGATGGAGAAAACCACTTGTATTATGTCTTACCGAAACACATGCTACAGAAGACATCACTGATGGTGAATTACAAATTACTAATTATAAAACCTACAGATGCAACTCCAACTCCAGACATACTGGAGGTGTAGTGATTTATGTTTACCACAAAATACAGATCACATTATTCGATTGTACCGCTTTAGACTATGCATACTGGTATGCACATATACAGTTCAAATTATTTGGGAAACGTTATGATCTTTGTACTTTTTACCGTTCACCAAACAGTGATGCAGATACATTTTTAACGTTTTTTGAAGAAAAATGCGAAGAAATGTGGAATTTTAGAAACAATATAATACTTTTAGTGATTTTAATTTAAATTATTATGGTAAAAGCATGAAAACAAGAAAATTGAAAGAAACCATAAACAACTATGGGTTCAAGCAAAAAATTGAAGAGAGTACCAGAATAACATCATTATCAGAGACTTTGTTAGATCTTGTTATTGTAAATTTCGAATGTGCAGGGATTAAAGCTGTACATACACCTAAAGTTAGCGATCACACTTGGACAATGCTGCCCTTGGTAGGGCATTTTTCTGAAACAAAAATTAAGAAAATCGTAAATACTATTAAGTACGAAAAACTTGAACGAGAACTTGCTGGCTGCTATTGGAATTTTGGTGAGAATATGGAAAAAATATATGACAACATAATAGGAAATATAAAAACTTATTTAGATCTTGCAACTGATAAAAAAGTGATTTGCTCGACAAAAAATACACCCTGGTATAACAAGAATATTAAGGCAGCTCAAAATTTGAGAGACAAACAATACAATAAATGTATATTCACAAAATCAATTGATGATTGGGAGGTATATAAAACTCTTAGGAATAAATGTGTATATATAATTAGAGAAGAAAAAAGAAAATTCTACGATAAACAAATCGATAATAACAAGTGCGACAGTGTAAAGATGTGGAAGACTTTAAAAAGACTTATCAATTCGAAACCGCATGATTGTGTAAATCAAGTTCAATTTGAAAACGGTACCGAAACAAATTCTTTGGTGATTGCAAACAAACTAAATGAATATTTTGTGGAAAGTATTGTTGATATTGTAGGTACTGCCAGTGCTGCACCTGACTATATGAAAATCAGTTTCCAAGGGGAAATGTTGCATACACTTTCAAAATTTCACAGCGTATCATTGAATTATCTAAGAAAAAAAGTAAACAGTTTAAAATCAAATAACAACTGTGCCGAAATGACTACTAAAAACGTGCTGAAAAACAGTTTCGAAATTTTGGGATATCCTGTATTAAATTGGATCAATTGTTCACTGAGAAGCAGTTCTTTCCCTGAAAATTTGAAATGCTCTACAATAACACCAGTTCCCAAAATAAAAAATTCTAAAAGATGCAGCGATATGAGACCAGTAAATGTGTTACCAGACATTGAAAAATTATTAGAGTCCATAGTGCATGACCAATTAATGCAGTTTATAGAAGAAAACAAAATTTTAGTGGAGGCGCAAGCAGGCTTTCGAAAAAAATATTCGACAGAAACAGCTTTCCAGTTGGTAACTGAGAATTGGAGAAGAGCCATAGACTCAGAAGAAGTTGTCATAGCAGTATTTTTTGATTTGAAGAGGGCATTTGAAACGATTGATAGAGATATTTTGTTAGGTAAATTGAAGGCATATGGTATAACAGGAAGTGTTTTAGATTGGTTTAGAAATTATTTGTCTAAAAGGATGCAAGTTACAAAAGTTAATGACACTATTTCATCAAAAATTGAAAATACGTTGGGTGTTCCACAGGGCAGTATCCTGGGACCACTTCTTTTTATTTTATACATAAATGATTTACCTGCCATAGTCAAAAAATGCAAAATTCAAATTTTCGCCGATGACACTATGATTTATATAAGTACTAAAAATATTCAGTCTGGTATCTCTTATATAAATGAAGACTTGAAGCTTGTCTCAAAATGGTTAGCATCTAACAGACTAAAATTAAATGCAAGTAAAACGAAAGCCTTGTTAATCGGAAAAAAACAATGTACAAATGTTCAACTGAATATTGATGGTGAAGATATTGAATTCGTAGAAAATTTTAAATACCTGGGAGTTTTTGTTGACTCTCGATTAATTTTTGATATTCATTATGAAAAAGTTATAAATAAGATTAGTAGTAAAGTGGGATATTTATCGAGACTTTCTGGATGTCTGAGTTCATATAGCAGAAAAATTATCTATAATACCATCATTCTTCCAAATTTCTTGTACTGTTCGACTATTCTATATTTAGCAAATAATTCCATTTTTGAAAGACTGCAAATTTTACAAAATAAGTGCATGAGAATAATACTAAATAAAGATAAATATACTCCAATTAGGCAAATGCTTAGCAAATTAAAATGGCTCAATGTAAAAAATTTTATCAAATATCTTGTAATGATATTCATTTATAAAGTAAAAAATAATATATTTCCATCAAGTCTAACTAATTTAACATCATCAAATGTCGACCATCATTTACATAATACCAGAAATAAAGATGACTTCCATTTAATGACCAAAAAGTATAACATATGCTACAAATCTGTATTCCATCAAGGGTTGATTGAATATAATAAATTATACTGGGAGATAAAAGACCAGAAAACTTTGACAAAATTTAAAGTAAAATTGAGAAATCACTTGTTAAATCTACAATCATAGGTTGCCCAGCATTTACATCATACACCATATGTAGTTGTTTACAATTGTTCTGTTTATGTAGCCAAATGTGCTAAATAAATCTTTCTACTACTACTACTAGTAGCGGCTTACTTATAATTAGCAGAAAACCGAGGATATTTCATTTGGACGAACGTACCATTAAGTTTAGGAATGGGGAATGAACAGTCGTAACCCCTGTCCTCGCTCAAATACGGTACGTCGCGTTCAATCTTGATGTAATGCTAAGCACAGATGGCATCATTGAAGAAAGAGTCGTTAAGGCTAATCGAACAGACTACGCTCTGTCTCCAACCACTGTGTAGAATTCAAATTGAAAATAATTGGAGCTCGCATCTATGCGGTACTAACATATAGACATAGAGCTGTGCTCTATCGCATAAGTAAAAGTGACACTATTGAATTAGATATTTGTCTCAAGAAGATATAGAAAATAGCTGGACAACACGCCTACACCAGGCGTCAAAAGAATTTCTTAAAAAGACCGAGGATAACCAAAGTAAATCGCCCATCAGCCATCCAAGCAAGCTGTGTCAAATCCAGCCTCCAAAATTTAAGCGTCATGTGAATTAAATTCCATGTATTTTATCGATTGTTACATTGCTGTCCAAGTTATTCTCAGGTTTTCAAACTATCCCCCAAATGATTGTTTTTAGAGCATTTTAATGCGCGGAATTCCAGAGTCTGATTTGTAACATATTGCAGACACTAATTAGATGAGAAAAGAAAGTTTTATATTCTTTGTGTAAAAGTTCTAGGGTGATAAAACTGAAACTGCATACCACCAGACTTCAAACTTCAAATCTCATTAGAGCCTTTTGGCTTCCTGTACTTAGTAAACTTTGTTTCTGAGGAAATTTACACTAGAACTTTTTTAAAACACTAATTACTTTACCGTCAGTGTTTCAGCGTCGAACATCAATAATCCCTGGAAGACTTTGCTGAGATCGCGCAAGTTGAAGGTATAGTGAGTTTTGGCAGGAGTTGGTAGCAATTCATGCAAGATGGTACTGTATACATCTAGTGTCGAGGATAGAATATTCTCGTAGTATCCAGCACAATCTGGCGCTCTACTTAACCAGAAGGATAGGATCGTTCCGAATATCTTCCTCTGAAATACGTGTATTATGATCAAGATAATACCTCTACAAATTCTTATTTCTACACAATAACTGATGATTCTATATCTATCGTCTTCAAGACCTAAATCACTGTTCTTATCAAAGCAATTAGACTTCCAAAACCTGTATTTTGTAGAATAATGTTGTTACTTGTGTACTAGCTAGCCGCAAGCCTACACCATCCGTACTATCTATGAACGCCATCTATGGAGATCACATAAAGAATAAGCCTTGAATTGGATGATAGCTAGTTCCAAAGTGACGATAAGAAGTATATTTGGATTTAGGGCGTTACTTTCCGTAGATCGTTCATTATATTCGTTATTATTAAGATTTTTTGGTAGATAAGAAAGTATCACATACGTTCATTGATCTGGATATATTTTATTTGTGAAATACGACTATTTCAGTAAAAATTTTCAAAAACAAGAACATTTTGTTAATATTCAGCATTCTTATCAGTAGCTACATACTTCGTAGCTTTTGATCTCAAAACGAGGCGATATCGGATTAAAGTCGACTTGTCGTGAAAACCGTGTCTAGGAGTATCTCAATATATGCATAAGTAAAAATGACACTAAAAAGTTTTCCAGACTGCATTTTCTTTGCTGACCTTACTATCATCTTCCATTTCTAAGAATGTCAAATAGTGAAAATGTCTCAGCAGTCGAGCTGTGACAGGATTCCTTCCACCACCAGGAGGTCCCATAGAGCCCACAAAATTTACATCGATTATATTCCGGAAATCTCCAATGTTTTTTCTGTCATACCAACCTAAAACACACACATTAAAAGTAGATGCACTGACTTGAAGAAACTCTTTCTAATAGTCTGGTTGATAGCATTGATCTAACTGTACCTCCAAAGTCCATCCACTGCCGTATCAGCTCAATAGGCGGCTGAGCTCCATACACCTCAAGAGCAGGCATATTGAAATCATCGATGAAAAATACTTGTCGCTTCAGTACTGGAGGTCCAAATACCCCCTTTCTTCTCCTATCTAACTTAGAGTCAATCAGATCCTGAAAAAAATACACTCCGGTAATTAGCACTTGAAAAATATTAAATAATTCTGCACTATAGATCAAACCTAACTACTATATTGTGACACTGACACCCTATTGTTCTTCAACTGAAATTATATGGGTAACCTTTCCTGCCTATCCGGGGGAAAAATTCTTGAAAACGTAGAAGTAGAATAGCCATTAGAAGGACGACGTGATTCTATCACTCTTGTGATAGATTTTGATGTTTGTCAAAATAGTTTGTGAATGCACCCTTGTCGGCAAAATGGGATGTTCCTAGACTTGAAGTTATTAAATGTTCCAGCTCAATGTTAACTTCGTTTATATGGTATTGAAAGACAATGCGATGGATGTTATTTATATTTATTGAGTAAATCAGCTGGAGAGCGATATTTCTATCGAGAAAACGTTATTCTACTCCCTTGCTTTCGAGACATTGTAATTCAGTGGGCATATGAGAGATTGGATCATACCTGCGTTTGGTTTGCAGTAGTTCTAGCAGAGAAACTCATAAAGTCACAGATAAACTTTTTATGCATGTTTTTGCTAAGTTTCGCAATAACAGTTAAAGTTTTGCCTGTTCCTGTTGGTCCCACACATAGCACGTTGTCCTCATTGTAGAGAATAATTCCAAGAAGTTCTGCGTTTCTGACGTTGTTCACTGTTGGTACCTCAATATCTAAATGTCATCAAAGGATATATCAGTGATTAAATATCATTCCTAGACCTTTATACTGAAGCAGCCGAGAAGGTAAAGACGGAAGTATGTACATATCAAGGTCAAGAAGAGGGAAATGCTTAGATGATCCGGTCTTTGAACTACTTAAGGCTAGCAGAACAGGAAAAGACATCGTCGGGCAGATTGTTGCAGAATCTCTAGACTATTGGAATAGGAGACCACTTGTACCGGCCAGTACTTGATGACAGAGGTAGAAGGTGCAACAGAAGCTTGAACGGTTAATTTGGCAGGCCCAACGTGTGGAGGCATCGTGTAAGAAGTCTCGGAGGAGCAACGGTTGAATAAAGACCTAAATATGTCAAGATATTATATACTAAGTGACATATAAATCCGAACACCCAGTTTAAATGGTTTTATTTTAATAAAATTTTGTATAAGTACTTAATGAAGCATAATAAGTAAATGATAAAAATTTCAAAATGATTGCACTGCTTTAAAGCCCTTTGACGCGCCTAGGCATGCTTCTGATCAGATGGTCAATGTCCTCCTGTGGTATCTCATTCCAGGCAACCACCAACTCCTCTCGAAGTGCTTCTAGAGTCTGAGGAGGACGTTGCAAATTGAGCAATCTCCTACCCATCATATCCCACACGTGCTCAATTGGGGATAAGTCGGGAGATCTTGGTGGCCATGGTAACAATGTCACATCATTATGTTGAAAGAAGTCTGTTGTGACTCTTGCAACATGTGGTCGGGCATTATCTTGTTGGAAAGTTGGATCTGCCAGGGTGTCAAGATAGGGTAAAAGATGGGGTTCTAGAACTTCGTGGATATAACGCTGCGCGTTCATGTTACCTCTGATGAAGATTAAAGGTGACCTGGAACCATAAGCTGTAGCACCCCAAACCATAACTCCAACAGTGTGATGAACATGTCTTTCAACAAAAAACTGTGGATTCCTCCTTTCACCACGTCGCCTTCTAGCCCTGGCACGACCATCGTCACTAAAGACAATACTGTTCCATTGCTGATCCCAGAGTGAGCGTTGTCTGCACCACTCAAGGCGATTACGTCGGTGTTCTCGAGTTAAAGGGAGGACCCAGTGTGGCCGGTATGAAAACAAGCCAAAACTTCTCATTCGTCGGTAAATACTTCGCATGCCAATAGGTCTTCCGTGTTCTGCAAACCATTCATTTGCAATGGACCTGGTAGTGGAGAAACGGTCCCTTAAGCCCAATAATCTTAGGCGGCGATCTTCACGGTCTGTTGTTCTACGGCGGCGTCCAGTGCCCCTTGCTCTTTGCGTACGGCCTTCTCGAAGCCATGCCTGACAACACCTAACCACAGTGTCTACACTTCTTTGCACTCTAACTGCAATTGCCCGAAAAGAAAGTCCAGCTTCCCGAAGTCCCACTATACGGCCCCTATCAAACTCACTAAGTTGACGAAATCGTACAGGTCTCCGTACTCTAGGCATCGTAACCGATCGTAAAGGATGTCAAGAACCAAAATCCGCCAACGTTCATTCTTTACTGCGGCTGAAATATTCATTTTTAGAGCGTTAGTGAATTAAAAAAAAGCAGTATAAAAACCGGAATGTCCAACTGATAAGGCTGAAAATTTTTTCACTTGTTATTTACAGTAAGATAAATACATTCACCAACTTTTATTAAAATAAAACCATTTAAACTGGGTGTTCGGATTTATATGTCACTTAGTATAGTAAGGCGCATGCTAGCGCAGTTAATGTACTTTTTGCGCTCAAAATTATCGTAAGTTTTGTCAATGAAGTGTCACTCTCACTTACCAGAATACCTCATATCGACGGTAATTTTATATTCTTCTGTATTTTCCATCCAGCTTCTCCATGTGGGTGGTGAGGGTTCACCATCGTCAGTTGGATCTGTGAAGCCGCCATCGTGGAGCCTTAGAATGTATATAGAGATGTAATATCACAACATTACCCATTACCGCATTATGGAAAACAAATAAAATGATCTGAATGTTATTTCAGAAAGTTACGTCCAACGACCTACTTAAAGCTATAGACGGATGAGTCTTCAGGGAATGAAGGCTTATGTTTGGCATCCTCCATCCTTTTCCTAAGCCATCTGTCAAATACAATACGCCCATCGTTATCGCATGTGCATCCGACTGACCAAATTAAAGAGAACGCTACCCAGGGCACCAGTAGTCCTCCTGAAATAACAATCGTCTATCAGACTCCATATTCCGCTTTCCAACCGAAACCACAGAGCCCTGTTCCCCGAAAATGTTTGTATTGAATTATAAGTTATAAGAAAGCACTTGTAAATATGGTCAAATAATCTTATGTTCCACATATCACCGACTGTGCTTGTAAGAAATATCTACCTTAGATTACTAGTTTACAAGTGCAATACTGTGAAAATGAGATTTCGTAAATATGTTAATGTTTAGAAGTGCAATGAAGAAAAAATCTTTTAAACAGAGGATGTAGCAGCAAATTAACGAGAGCACATCCATATGAATAGCAGAACCTCAGAAAAGTAAAGTTGGCCCTTACGAAAGTACTTTCCGAAAAAAGACATGGCAGTGTTTCAAAGTTGCTTTTTTGTCCTAATATGGATCAACTCTCTCGTGGTCCAATCATTGAATATGATACTTTTGAAGACAATATTGAGACGATTTCCTTGGAAGATGAATCAAAGCTTCAAGAGATAGTACTCCTACTGTACAGTTCAAACAACACGTGAGAAAGTCCACACAAAAATCGGAAGATAAATTACCGGAGATGAAATAAGTAAAGTAAAGCAAAGTCTGTATCTTGTGATGCATATAACAAATGAATTTATTGCGTTTTAATAGAAAAACTAGCAAAAATATACTTTTATTGGGTCAATTAAAAAGCTGTTCAGTCTCTGCTGAAATTGTGGTTAGTTAGTGATATTTGATGATTTTCTTGCATTATTTTCCGGAGTAAATTGTGATCTTTCCAAATTGCCTGCAATTTCAATGGGATTTAGCCTTTGGCTGTTGAACTGAGAATACATCCTAAGCATTTCGCAAGACAGCGAATAGAGCGAAACCGGGTGATAGGCAAAGTCATAACAGCTATCAGAAAAATATTTAAAAAAATTTTATGTATGTGTTTTGAAAATTATAGGTCTTTGAAAAAGATATAGAAATTTCACACCCTACGGCAGTCTGTCAACTCCTGTTACTACAAATATTAACTTTTTTTGGATTTTATTTTTACAATGTAATGATGAATAATGCATCTTCAAACTGGTGTCTCAACCTTACTGCCACCTGTTCTCGTTCACGAAAAATTGCCACTTATTTCCCAACCAAGTATTCCAAAGTAAAACTTTGCTCAACTTTAACTGGCTGTACTGGAAAAAATGTACTACGAGAGTTTGGCAAGTAACCTTAAAAGTTGGCGCATTTAATAACGATTCCAAAATGGTATAACACTTAGAAGATTACTCGTTAACTTATGCACAATTTTTATTTGAAGAAAAACTGATGAAAATTTTTACAGCGATTATGAAAACGCACAAGGACCCTTAAGGATAACTGTTTGCACAACAGTGGGCGTCAAAATGCTGCTGATGATCTACCTTTACAGCAAATGCTCAAACTGTTTTCCTTCAGCCGCAATACACGCTCGACATCTTCTTAAAAAAGATCGGGTTATTAAACGAGCGAATCCACGGTTATTAACAAACTCAGCTGCTTCCAATAGTCTTTGCCGTAGCTCAGCTACATTTTGAATCGGCTTGAAATACACTTTTTCTTTTACAGTTCCCCAAATAAATAAAATAATCGGTCCGTTTGAGTTCCCAGAGACTTTGACTGCTGAGGTTTATTTAGGTTTTTTGCAAAATCATTTAGAAAATTTATTGGAGGAAGTGACACTGAGTATTTACAGGGACATGTGGTTTCAGCATGATGGCTGCCCAGCGCACTATGAACTCTCAGTGAGAGAGTATCTCGATCAAAACTTTCCAGGCAGATGGATAGGGCGGTCTGGTACAATACCGTGGACAGCCCGGTCACCAGATTTGAATCCGTTAGATTTTTTTTACTGGGGAACTGTAAAAGAAAAAGTGTATTTCAAGCCGATTCAAAATGTAGCTGAGCTACGGCAAAGACTATTGGAAGCAGCTGAGTTTGTTAATAACCGTGGATTCGCTCGTTTAATAACCCGATCTTTTTTAAGAAGATGTCGAGCGTGTATTGCGGCTGAAGGAAAACAGTTTGAGCATTTGCTGTAAAGGTAGATCATCAGCAGCATTTTGACGCCCACTGTTGTGCAAACAGTTATCCTTAAGGGTCCTTGTGCGTTTTCATAATCGCTGTAAAAATTTTCATCAGTTTTTCTTCAAATAAAAATTGTGCATAAGTTAACGAGTAATCTTCTAAGTGTTATACCATTTTGGAATCCTTATTAAATGCGCCAACTTTTAAGGTTACTTGCCAAACTCTCGTAGTACATTTTTTTCCAGTACAGCCAGTTAAAGTTGAGCAAAGTTTTACTTTGGAATACTTGGTTGGGAAATAAGTGGCAATTTTTCCTGAACGAGAAAAGTTGGCAGTAAGGTTGAGACACCAGTTTGAACATCATTACATTCTAAAAATTCTAAAAATAATATCCAAAAAAAGTTAATACAGGAGTTGACAGACTGCCATAGGGTGTGAAATTTCTATATTTTTTTCAAAGACCTATAATTTTCAAAACACATACATAAATATTTTTCTGATAGCTGTTATGACTTTGCCTATCACCCAGTTTCGGCTTGACGTCGACTTCTGGGACACCCTGTATATTGCATACGGATTATGGAAGCTGAAAACTCGAGGGTATTTTTTATGTGTCAGAAGCTAGCGTGACGCTGCCACCTGCCTCTAGGGACGTGTAGGTGTTGTTGTTTTCAAAAACAGAAATGATTCGATTTGCTGTCAAGTTGGTGAAAAGCGATGAAACAGAATTCAATAAAAGCTACATTTTTTTTTTGAAGTGTCAGAAAGCACGTACTCCCTTTAAATGTTTGTGTACAGTGCATTCCAGAATTTTTTGAACGAATTGAGTTAGCAATCTGAAATTTGGGATGGTGGAATTGATTCGGGGTACTATATTTTAAAGTAATTTCATAAAATCAGAATGGCGCATCTTCTTACTTATGAGGTGTTGTTGGATTCATCTTAACAAAAGATTGTTACACACTGCCAGGCAAAATTAATTTCGTAAATTTTTTCGTCAAGTTGTTATCGACTGTCGATCTTGCAAACAAATTGAAAATGTTTGGTGTCTTCGGGGTGTAACTAAAATGTGCATTTTGCCCAAAATTTCTGAACACCCTGTGGAAACATTTGCTTATGTGTCTTCGTATGAGAATTTCAAGCCTCAACTTTTCTCAACAGTTATTTTTATGATTCATGCCAATATCTCGATTATTGAAGAAAATATGCTGTTTTGAAGAAAATCGTGAGAATCATAGCCATAAACAAGATATTATTTCAAGCAGGCTTTGCAGGGTAAGAAATTGTTTCAAATAGGCTGTGTCTGCTAGCATTTTTAAGGCATGTCAACAAGATTCTTGTCAAGCAATACTCAACTAAAATGACAACAGAACAAGTAGCGCAAGCTGTAGCTTTACAAGATGATGATCGTCCTATTCGGTATATCGCAGAAAGGCTTGCCGTTCCACGCAGTACGGTATTCGATGCGATACAAAGATTTAGAGAAACATATCATCTTGTGTACCTGCTACAGGTCCTCGATTCGATGAAGGTCATCGAAGACAGCGCTTGTTATTTTCTCGAACTCATGCAGATTGGTTTATGGATGACTGGGAAAACGTTCTTTTTACAGACGAGTCTCGTTTTACGAAATATTCACCTGATGGTCGCCAAAGAGTGTGGAGAAGGCGTGAAGAACGCTATGCTCGTAGTTGTTTCACTCCTAGAGTGCAATTTGGTGGTGAAGGAGTGATGGGATATGGCGGTATTTCTGATAATTTTTTAATTCTGGGAAATCAAACTCAGAAATTGCAACTTTGTTAGACTTATCGCGGTACAGTGTGAGAAATATTGTTGGAAGATATAACGTAACTGGTTCAGTTAATATTAAGCCACGATATGTGAAAAAACGTAATATCACAAATGCCGACCGAAGAGCATTAAGAAGAGTAATCGTAAAAACCGGCGTGCCAATTATTTACAATTAAGTGCTCTGTGGAGTAACGCTGTTGGAAGGAGAATTTCGAGGTCCACAACTCATAGAGAGGCCCACAAACTGGGATTTAGCACTTGCAAGGTAAGTTTTCTTATAAAAAAAGTGAAGTAAAAACCCTAAAGTTGCACAACTTGCTTATAGGCCAAAGAAAAGCCACTAATAACTCCACTGCAAAAGAAAAATCGGCTTAGATGGGCTAAAGAACATAGAGAATGGATACCTCAACAATGGTGTGCAATACAATGGAGTGATGAAGCTCGATTCGAAGTTTGTGTTGGTGACAGACGCAAAAAAAATGAAGCATTCCATGTTGACTGTCTGAAGAGAAAAGTCAAATTTCCAGCATTCAATTATGGTCTGAGGCAATATGTCATCAAAAGGAGTAGGAAAATTTCATTTTATTGATGGAAATGTGGATACAAACAAATATTTGGCAATTTTAGGAGAATCGCTTTTACCAGTGATGGAAGAATGTTTGACATCCGGCCAAGATTTTGTGTTTCTTTCAGCAAGATGGTGCAGCATGCCATACCTCAAAAAAGGCTATAAATGGATGAAAGAATGTACCACTTTTGAAATGGGTTTCTAGCAGTCCAGATCTGTCACCTATTGAAACTTTGTGGCACGAGATGAAAAAGGTTCTACGACAACATCCTGCTCGTACAATCACCGAACTGAGACAAAAGGTTCAAGAAATGTGGGATTGTTTTACACCAAATTTTTGCCAAAACTTGGTTAACACCATGCCCCAAAGAATTTCAGCCGTAATAAAAAATAAAGGTGATGTTACCCAATGGTAATCTTTCAATTGTTTATTCGCACATTGTTTAGTTGTTCAGATGTTCTATAGGTTTAAGTGATTTCAAATATGTATTTTTGACGACTAGAGTGTATCTAAAATGTTTTTGAGAAAATAGATTGTTTTAGAAATGAATAGTTTCGTCATGTTTAGTTTATAAAGGCATATTTTGGTACAAATCTTGAAGTGGGCCAACTGAAGTGGGAAGGGGCTCGTAGGACACACTAGGAAGGACGCTTAGGCAGAACTATGGAGAATTTCAAACGGTGGCTGCGTTGGAACAGGCGCTGGCAAAACAAACCAATAAATTCTCATACGAAGACACATTATTCAGTGATGTTTCCATAGGGTGTTCAGAAGTTTAGGGCAAAATGCACATTTTTGTTGCACCCTGTATAACAACAATCATTTTAAATTTTTTGCAGTCGATAATGAAATAACCTACAACTTGACGAACAAATTAACGAAATTGATGCAAACGTTAAAAAGGTATTTAAAATTTAATTTGAACAAATTTATGTTTGTTTGGTTAATTTTGCATGGCAGTGTAGATATATAGTAAAATTCCGTAAAACCGTAATGACCGGTTTCGATAAAAAAAATCTATTTCACGGGCTACAGCCTAAAAGGCTCGATGGATTTTGACAAATGAGATGCCCATATATTTATCTTGACACTGTTAGTGACACAGAGTATACTAAAATTTTATAAAAACAAGGTTGCGGATTTTAATAAGATTCAACCTCAAAACTCTTGAGGCGTTAGTGACAGTACGCAGAATCTGCAGACTACAAATATGCGTTTTGGCGAGGAAACACTATGCTGCACATGCATAAAATATTGCTGGTCTAATAACCACCTTGTATAGCCGAACTTTTTAGTACAATAGATTACTAATTTTGATCAGTCACCAATCCAAAACAAATCCACCGCAGTTTGTAACCTGTTGCGATCCAGATACCAGGAACTCGAGTGGGTTACTAGTGCAGTGTCATCAGCATATAGATAGACTTGTGAAAAGTGAATACGAGATTTGTCCGAGAACCGAGGGACAGCTCTGTCAACAAGTGGTATTCACCAACACTTTTCGGCATCTGATAACCAGCTGTCATGCAAAAATCTAAAATTTCTTTAAGTTGGTGCCTCTTGACAAAAAACAAGAGAACCACATCTAACCTCACTTTATAGCTACTGTGTGTTGTCATGTGGTTATCATTCACAGTGTTAGTTTTGTAATGGTTTTGCAACATGGAAAAGTCATATAAAAGAGATCAGCTAAATATACATCAAGAGACAATAATTTCCTTGGTTGAAAAATATCGAAGTATAATTGATGAAATTATTGAGACTCTTGTTGCAGTATCTTGAGATAAAATTCGGACCTGGGTCTCTTCAATTTGTTCCATTTCAGGTCCGTTCTCAAAAAATCGATAGTGTCATTCTGTTCTAAGCACATGCGCAGCACAGCAGTTACCACAATAACGTCACACATAGTTTCAAGTCTTAGCCCCCATATCAAGATTTGGTTTTCTTTTGATATTGGCTGGTTCCTTTCATTTATCGGTTCTGTAACATTTTGCAATACTGTTTCCAGTCGCCTAAATGTATTTTTATTTATTCTAAATCTTCTTTGGAACTCCAAATCATCTAGTTCAATCAAGGGAAACCTCCTAGTTCTTACAATTCTTTCTCTCGGGATATCTTCAATGTCACTCGTGTCTGTTTCCGAAGATTCTAATATATAGATAATATCAATTCTACCGAGGCTATCCGTTTCGATACAAGCCCTTACTCGCTGTTCGCGGACTGTATTTTGTAAATCACTTCTACGAAATCTCCAGGCAAAATAAAGTCGGGATGACACTTTTGACCTTTTAGTATTAAACAGTCAGTTAGTGGATTACCAGTCCAACGTCGCGCAGTTGACTTATCCATGACTTTAACAGACTTTTTGCTATGATGTGCTGTTGGTGAATACTAAAAATGGATTTAACAATGTGTTAAATAAGTTAGCAGTCTGTTAAGTAATGGTGAATACGACCGTTAATACTGTAGTGGTTAAAAGAATTTTTTCGGCATCCACGACAGTGTAAAGATGTGGAAGACTTTAAAAAGACTGATCAATTCGAAGCCGCATGATTGTGTAAATCAAGTTCAATTCGAAAACGGTACCGAAACAAATTCTTTGGTGATTGCAAACAAACTAAATGAATATTTTGTGGAAAGTATTGTTGATATTGTGGGTACTGCCAATGCTGCACCTGACTATATGAAAATCAGTTTCCAGGGGGAAATGTTGCGTACACTTTCAAAATTTCACAGCGTATCATTGAATTATCTAAGAAAAAAGGTAAACAGTTTAAAATCAAATAACAACTGTGCCGAAATCACTACTAAAAACGTGCTGAAAAACTGTTTCGAAATTATGGGATATCCTGTATTAAATTGGATCAATTGTTCACTGAGAAGCAGTTCTTTTCCTGAAAATTTGAAATGCTCTACAATAACACCAGTTCCCAAAATAAAAAATTCTAAAAGATGCAGCGATATGAGACCAGTAAATGTGTTACCAGACATTGAAAAATTATTAGAGTCCATAGTGCATGACCAATTAATGCAGTTTATAGAAGAAAACAAAATTTTAGTGGAGGCGCAAGCAGGCTTTCGAAAAAAATATTCTACAGAAACAGCTTTCCAGTTGGTAACTGAGAATTGGAGAAGAGCCATAGACTCAGAAGAAGTTGTCATAGCAGTATTTTTGGATTTGAAGAGGGCATTTGAAACGATTGATAGAGATATTTTGTTAGATAAATTGAAGGCATGTGGTATAACAGGAAGTGTTTTAGATTGGTTTAGAAATTATTTGTCTAAAAGGATGCAAGTTACAAAAGTTAATGACACTATTTCATCAAAATTTGAAAATACGTTGGGTGTTCCACAGGGCAGTATCCTGGGACCACTTCTTTTTATTTTATACATAAATGATTTACCTGCCATAGTCAAAAAATGCAAAATTCAGATTTTCGCCGATGACACTATGATTTATATAAGTACTAAAAATATTCAGACTGGTATCTCTTATATAAATGAAGACTTGAAACTTGTCTCAAAATGGTTAGCATCTAACAGACTAAAATTAAATGCAAGTAAAACGAAAGCCTTGTTAATCGGAACAAAACAATATACAAATGTTCAACTGAATATTGATGGTGAAGATATTGAATTCGTAGAAAATTTTAAATACCTGGGGGTTTTTGTTGACTCTCGATTAATTTTTGATATTCATTATGAAAAAGTTATAAATAAGACTAGTAGTAAAGTGGGATATTTATCGACAGTTTCTGGATGTCTGAGTTCATATAGCAGAAAAATTATCTATAATACCATCATTCTTCCAAATTTCTTGTACTGTTCGACTATTCTATATTTAGCAAATAATTCCATTTTCGAAAGACTGCAAATTTTACAAAATAAGTGCATGAGAATAATACTAAGTAAAGATAAATATACTCCAATTAGGCAAATGCTTAGCAAATTAAAATGGCTCAATGTAAAAAAAATTATCAAATATCTTGTAATGATATTCATTTATAAAGTAAAAAATAATATATTTCCATCAAGTCTAACTAATTTAACATCATCAAATGTCGACCATCATTTACATAATACCAGAAATAAAGATGACTTCCATTTAATGACCAAAAAGTATAACATATGCTACAAATCTGTATTCCATCAAGGGTTGATTGAATATAATAAATTATACTCGGAGATAAAAGACCAGAAAACTTTGACAAAATTTAAAGTAAAATTGAGAAATCACTTGTTAAATCTACAATTATAGGTTGCCCAGCATTTACATCATACACCATATGGCTTGAATTTACTAGTTCTAAGTTGTTTACAATTATTCTGTTTATGTAGCCAAATGTGCTAAATAAATCTTTCTACTACTACTACTACTACTTACGAATAAGAGCCAAAAATTGAGTTGCAGGAGGCGGCTTGTTGTCTCTACCAGCTAGCGGGCCCAAACGGAAGTCCAACAAGCGTAGAAAGCACGTGAGTAGAGCCGAATCCACAGAGGTTAAAATTTCTTTCAAGCTCGAACGTAGTAATGCAATGGCGGGAACCGCATAATGATAAATTAGCTCCTTTAACTTGTCTCTGTATGGTTTGGCTAACTGAAACCCAATTCGTATTAAGGTATGAACAAAATGCATTGACATTCGAGATGACAAAAAGTAGATTGTAGGTTTTATCAAAGCTTTTGTGAATGCATCCATCATAAACATGAAGTAAAAATCTCGTCTATACATATAAAACATTGAGTTATTGACAACTAGAATGTATGCTAAAATAACCTAATCGATCTCTGCACTACCTTACAAGAAAACTGTAACCATACCTCAGGTAATCTTTTTATCCAACAATTGATGAATGGACTTAGTCCCAAGACACTAGGTTCTAAGTACACCATGCCACATCTGGAAAAAACTCCGTTAACGTATTTCAAACTTCTATTATGAGCGCAATTAATTGGACTTTTCTTCTTGAAAACCAATCAAGATACGAAAAAAATTCAAAAGACAAAGTTGTATTTCTATTTGCCTAATCCAACTTAACAAAAAATTGCACATAGATCAATAGCGTATATTTTTTTGTCATAAATATACGTTCAGCTCCCGGTCGAGACGCCGCCAGACTTAATCAATTTAATCAAGTTATAAATACCACCGCCAAATTACAACAAAATTAGGTAAAGGATAGTTAAAATATTTACGAAAAAAATTGTTTTCTTCATGTCAACACCTGAATCTTGAGAACGAAGAATTTGTGGATGTTTATATGAACTTTTTGTCTTAAAATTACTCAAAGTCGTCTGTTGAATTTATGGTAGTTAAATAGCACCCTGCATGTTTAGGTTGTTAGTTTAGCTATAACACGTACCTATGCCCTTTAAAAATGATGAAAAATTTGATTTCCTTTTTTTTACTATTCTTATTACGCAGAATCGCTGCTTTCCGAAATTTTTGATCAAACCTGTTTATCAAAATACGGTAAATACTCCAACCCTAGCATGACGCCAATTTTACCTCATCATTACGAAGCAATAATTTGAAAATACCACTAAAAAAATTTACTGTCGCCAAAATTATAGAAAAAAATCTCCTATTTCCTTGCCTAATTAATTAAGTTCGTTTTTCAGGCGTGGACACGCGAGTCGAGAGCAAGACAGATCACATTTTGCCTTTGAAATAATATATGTGACAAAACACGTTTCTGGAGCAATCAACATTTTTTTACATCTTTTTCTTATATATTTTTACGATTATTTCTTTTATATTTTTAACAGTTGAAATCAAAGGAGCACATTCTGAGTGAACTTTTGTTCTTTAGAATTATTATTACGATATTTAAGTTCAATCCTCTTAATGAAAACTTGTGCACCCATATCTTACCGAGATACTGTTGCGGGTGACGCTACAGCCAAATCAGCCACTTCAAACATCATAGTCATAGTATCCCTCAACTTGATGATCTCTCCACTGCTGAGACACAGTTTCTTGTTATCATCTAATACAGTGTTCATATTTTCTATCCAAACTGCGTCCACGGGACCGTCAAAAACGTACCATCGTTTATCCTTGTTTTCTGCGTTTATTCCTTGACGGACTAGGCATGGCAGAATACCATCAGTCCTGGAAGGTATGCAAAAAGTGCATTTTTCTAGTGCATGAAGCTTCGAGTACATACAGAGAAATCCATATAACTCTGACATCGTAATGAGTGAGAGACAAGCGTGTAATACATATGTTAGAAAGAGATAGAAGCATCACGTTTCCTAGCAACCCGAGTGAGGGGCGCAGCTGCGGCTTGCCGTGTTTTTTTTTGTCTGTATTTCAGTCTTATTTCTGGTAGGTAACTGATGACGTTATCTTAGCATCCTAAGCCTTGACTTCCACTGGATTTTAACAAGGCGGACCATGACCGCAAAAGCCGCTTGGCGGCGTCTGTGAGGACCGTGCCAGTGACTCGCCTTCTAGATCGACGCGAAGTGACCTCGAAGATTCTACAGTATATTCAGATAAGATATAGACCGGACATAAACAAGACCACGTGATCATCGAACGCTGTAACATTCGGCAGGGACGTATTAAGAGTCACGCAGTACATATTTTAGATAGTAGATGCTGCTTTGCGTAACTTTGTAGTAAATTAGCACAATTCGATGTGTATACGATTATTGATGGATATATATGTAGGATCATGTGGGGGTGGGGTAAGAAATATATAATGATGTAAATATACATAAGGGTTTCCAAATTTTCGCTTCGATTTCCAGCTTCGGATGCCGCCTGATGTTTGGTGAAATACAGTCGAATATAATCTCAAAATGGCGTTTAAATTAGCCTAAATTAAAAATAATCGTATATCTCTTAAAATTGCTTTTAGAATATTGATTAGTATATTTTTTGATTTCTAGGTAAATATGTAACCAAATTAAAACGTTCAAAACGTAAAAAAATGTACATGGTTGAACATTGTCAGAAAGTAGATTCTTGAATAGGTTTTGCCAAAATGGGTTCAAAAATGTCAATAATTAATTAAAAAATACAGTAGCTTTATAATTACTTATAACTTACCGAATTTGATGAACGACATCTTTTATTGGAAAGATGAGCTTGATGAGCTTTCATCATCGCTACTGCCTGAAGCACCAACGTCAATAATGAATGGCTCGACTTGTTCCTCTAAAATATTGTCCAGTTCCCACATTCTCTTTTCAACTTTGTCTTTCACGTGCTTAATACAGTTTTCCCATTTTTGCGCTGTTATTAATTCTAGTGCTTCTTTGAAAAGTCCTTTGAGGTCACAAAATTTAAAAGTTGTATTGTGCTTAGCTATATAATTTTTAACCTCTGCCCATATGAGCTCAATGGGATTGAGCTCGCAATGGTATGGAGGTAAACAGAGCACAGTTTTATTTTGACTTGCTGCCATTTCGTCAATGGCGTATTTTTGATATTCCGCCTTGTGATCCTTGACAATTCTTAATAATTGTACTTTCAGCATTGCTTCTTCAAAGTTGATATTTTTCGAGCGGAGCCAATTTTGAACATCAACTTTCCTTGAAGCCGTTGTTGGGACCTTCTCCATTCTTCGAGAATGATAAGGCGCATTATCCAACACAATTACTGCGTTTTCCTCTAAGTTCGGTAAAATTTTTGAAAACCACTGTTCAAACGATTCGCCATTCATTTCCTCGTGGTAATCTCCAGTTTTCTTAGACTCAAAGCACCACAGACCGTCAACAACAAATCCATCCTCACTGCCAATATGGCAGATAATGAGTCTTTTCCCTTTACCTGGAAATCGAAGTACTAACTTTATTTCAATAAGCGAACCTTTTTCAAATGTTTTCATCACATTCAGCGAAAAAACATTGAGACATGAGTATCAGATTGCTATAATTGGGATTATTTAGTCATATTGAAAGAAAGAATATTGAACGTCGTATGATTACTCAGCGCTTCACAATTTAATTTAAAGTTATAAACCTTTAAAAAATGAATGATCAGGAACCTGAAATACGCGCAAATATTAATATTAACAAATTATAACTTATTTATAAAGCTTAAAGTATGAATTAAAATGATTAGAAATATTAGGAACGGTACACAATATAAAACTTAGTAACTTTTTTTAAGTTTATAATATTCGACATATTTTAAGATTATATTAAAAAATTATTGAAATATCGAAAACACATAAAAACATGGCTTAAAAAAGTTCTAACAAATGAAAATGACAATAAAACATCCACGCATTTTATCGAAAGTTATAAAAGTTTTGTTACTTGTAATATGTTTATCTGCCCCCTGGAAATAATGTTTAGAACCTTGTTCCCAAGGTTTGAAAAACATCCGATTGTTGTCTATTACTCGTATTTACCTGCTGGATTTTTTAATCCGGTGGACAGTCCATCTAGAAAGGCCCTCCTGGATGAAGTTACAGAATCATCAACCCATACTTTACTTGTAGTGTGTCCTGCGTTTACCCACGTTTCATCAAGGTAATAAAACTTCCTGTTTTGATTTCTATATTTCCCAATTTTTGTTAAATAATCCCTCCTCCATAGCACAATTTCTTCTCTATCCAGTAGTAAACTATTACGACGCCGTTTTTTCCATTTGAAATTTAAATGCTTCAGTAACGCATGGAAAGTTGATCGTTTGAAATTTGGCAACGTTGTATCTCCATTTACCTCCTGCAGTACTTTATCTATAGTAGGTATTTCATTCCTAAAGAAGAATTCATGCACTTTCCTCCTAATCGCATGCTTATCAGCTTCATCCAATGATTTAACAATACTTTTGCGATGTTTACTGGTCATTGGCTCAGAAAAGGTGTGATTTTTTTTGTATTGTCCTAACACATTAAACACTGATGCGCGACACACCCCAACTTTGTGAGAAACCTTCACAACAATTTCTTTGATGGTTGATGCCTCGTTCTCCTCGCGCTCGATCTTATATATATTCAAAATGACCTCTTTCATTTCTGCACTCAGGTGTCTTTTTTTAGAGCGTTTCCTAGGTGGACTACAGGAGTTTACAACTTCATCGGCAGTATCTGTACTACTGGGCATTTTGCGCAAGCAGTTGATAACAATAACAATCAATAACAAGGTATAACAATAACAACGACAAACTCAACAACTTAATAAGATAACAAACGAAAACGTCCAAAGAAATATCAAATTGCAATGATGCACACGACATACGTAACACGTCTGAACCTGAATGTGACTCTGCCTTGATACGACTGCTCTGCCGCTCGGCATAGGCATTTAATTGCAAATTGACCAATGAGGGCTCCCGTTTTACGTCGAGACGGCGGCGTTAGCGTGAAAATCACCCGAACCTTTTGTTTACATCCGGTCTATCTCTTATCTGAATATACTGTAGATGCCGCTTTGTGGCCCGTAAGACATTTCTCGAATCAGCGATGGGGACTGTATAGTTCGACGACCGGGAGATGGAAGCAGGGAACGGAGAACAGTAGAGTAGAGCAGAGTGGAGTATAGTGCAGCCAATGGCGCGACATAAAAATTAGTTAGACATAAATGTTCTATCTAGTCAAGTAAAATAAATTAGTGTATTTCTTTTGTGGAATCCAGTGTTTTAATCCACACGCAAAAGAACCCAGAAAAACGCTACAATAACAAATGGTTATTATTGCCAAGCACAAAAAGATATACAAAGCTACAAAACTTAAACAAATTCCACCTGTTTTCCTGGCAAACGGCGATATCCAGATTTCACTAGCATATAGGATGATCTGCTGTTCCATTCAACCGAAAGTAAATACAATAATTCTACACCTAGATGGAACCTGACCGTGACAAATTTATAAATTTCATGGTATATACTTCTCAGGCAACCGAAAAGGAGTCATTGTTTTCTTTAAACGAATGCATAGACAAACTCGTCAATGAAATCGGTACCTTATTATACAGCCGTACGACATTGTACGAAAAACTATGCTACTTATATCAAAGTGCAAATATTTAGGCTTTGATTATATAAAATTCAAAACGATTGTATACGATTCATTTTTGGCTTACGTAAATTTGATCATGTATCGGCGAAATATCCCGTACTAAACTGGTTAAAAATTAATGACATGGTCAAGTATCACTATTCAGTTTTTGTTCACAAATTGCTGCTCACGTCTAAACCTTATTACTTGAAGGAAAAAATTTCATTTAATAATGATGTTCACTGTAGAACTCTCAGAGAAAATAATATGAGAATACCCCTGCATACGTCTACACTTTTTAAACGCAGTTTTTCTTACAATGTTGCTATTATTTATAATGACCTTCCTAAAGTATATAAAGAATTTTTATTACCTGTCTTTCGACAAAAAGTTAAAACATTATTACTCAACCCTCCAAACATATAATTTACGTAATCATTCATTTCTTTTTTATTCCATCTTTAAATCAGTTTAATAATTTTTTGGTGCATTTGGGTTTGGAAAATATGCCATTTTCTCTTTTTTTTAAATTTTACTTTCGATGTAATGAACCAAATCTTTTTTTGGATAGTGTATTCTTTTGAACATCTGCTAGAGACTATATGGTTAAGTGTAAGAGTAGCAGCATGCTAAACTTCGCCATATAAGTCTGACATTTGGCTATACTACAATGTAATTGTGTATAAATAAAGACGTCTATTATTATTATTATTATTTAAAATTATTCAACAGATGACAACACTTTCGCATTGACAATAGTAATAATAAATGGAAAAATTATCTTTTTGCGAATGTAGTCCAGAAATCTGATTAACTCCACCTACCAATGGTTCTGGACATCTACGCCCCTGATTCATAACTCTCACCACCAATTCACGGTCGAGCTATCTAGCAGTTGGAATACTAAGTATTCGCAGAACTCCCTAACAAAAGCTTTCCATGCATATATGCATTAAAAAGACACGGTTGAAACGGACATGATTACTTTCCGTCTTTGTAATCGTAACAAACCGCAAAGGTGGTTTGATTATTTGAGGAAATGGCAAGGGATGCTAAATGAAAGCTAGCCAAAAAATAAAAACTGGAGTTTTGACTAAATTTTGTTGTATAGTAGGACATGCATATATGCATTAAAGAAACAAGGATGCACGTTGCACGGATTCGGTGGTTAAAAGCTCACATACCGCAGCAGTTACTACGAAATTGAGAACTAAATAATATATGAAATTTTGCACATTCAAGCACTGTAATTCTTCTAACATAGACTTGGTTCCAGCATATTTTTATTTACAATGATTCTTTATTTAGTAGAACTTGTAATCTTGAAAATGTTTTCATTTTCTGAAAACAAGATGGTTGAACAATATGAAAAATGGGGAAGATTAAAATTATAGTTTTATACACAATTTTTTGGAATACATACTAAGATTAAGGAAAGTCCATAGGAGTAATTTAAATCTTTTTTGATATTTTTGGAATAATGTATTCATAATGCTCTTGAAACAGTAGTTTACTATCCACATATATACCCAGATATTTAAATAAGTCGACCACTTCAATTTTTTCATCATTAATCATGAACCTAATTGTATTTTCACCTTAATGTTCCCCTACTGACATACATTTTGTTTTATTAGTGTTTAATTTGAGTTTATTGACATTTAACCAATTCATATTTTTTTTAATATCACTATTTACAATTTTAAAGCAGTGTCCAAATGCTTATCTGCTATATATATATATAGCAGATATACTATATATATATATATATAACAACAGGTAGGAAAATAATGGGTAAAATCCGCAAAAAGGAGGAAAGTGGATTCGAGCAGAAAATAGGATAGGTAACCCGAGCGATACGTATTTCTGCTGGTTGGCTTCATCAGGCCCGAAATGAATGCACATATGAAACTACAAAAGTAGATACAGATGCCCACACATCCGGATACGGGTGTAACCTGAGGAAACGAAGTTGGAGGGGAAAAAAACGACACACGAATTCCACAACAAGAGCCAACCTACACATTGTAGTATAAAATGGCTATACGACCTCGAATTTTCAAGGAGACGTCTAACCACCACCACGCGGCCGGTTATAGCCACTTGCTGTGGTACTTCAAGTCCAAAGGATCTACAAAGAGAATATGATCATGCAGAGAAAAGTATATAATAACAAGTAGGAAAATAATGGGCAAAATCCGCAAAAAGGAAGAAAGTGGATTCGAGCAGAACATAGGATAGGTAACCCGAGTGATACGTATTTCTGCTGGTTGGCTTCATCAGGCCCGAAATGAATGCACATATGAAACTACAAAAGTAGACACACATTATTTTCCTACTTGTTGTTATATACTTTTCTCCACATGATCATATTCTCTTTTTATATATATATATATATATATATATAAATTAAAGCTTCCGCCTTTTGTTGGGTACTTCGACAAAAGTTTTAAGCAAAGAGGACTCTTTCTACTTTTTTATTCTCTCTAGCTTTCAATGGACTTTGCCATCATCATCAGGAGCTGCAATTACATTGATAACAGTAGCAACAATAGTGTAAAATGAATTTAAATTAACTTAACTTACAGTAGTATGTGAGGATGTAAGTTAAGTTAATTTAAATTCATTTTACACTATTGTTGCTACTGTTATCAATGTAATTGCAGCTCCTGATGATGATGGAAAAGTCCATTGAAAGCTAGAGAGAATAAAAAAGTATAATGAGTCCTCTTTGCTTAAAAATGTTTGTCGAAGTACCCAACAAAAGGCGGAAGCTTTAATTTTTCACCTAACTGGTCTAGACGACAATGACCACGTCTCAAGTTATATATATATATAAACAACAAGTAGGAGGAGTATATATATACATATATCAATGTATCGTCCGCAAATATTTGAATTTTGGATTGTGCTAAAATGTCAGAGATATCATTTATATAAGTAATAAATATTAACGGCCCTAATTTACTGCCCTGTGGCACTGATATATTTTGAAGGTTTGACATAATATTTCCAACTTTAGTTTTTTAGTTCTGTCCTTACATTGTGTTAGTCGGTTACAATACATGGTACTTTTTAAATAAGTAGTTTAATGAAGGTAGATATATCCACCCGTAAGTATTGTCGTTATGTTCAAACATTGCCAGCACTTTGGCAGCCACTGGTAGACAAATGATTCAAAAGTAACTCCGCAATTTTAGCGACAAAGAAAGCGATGTAAACATATAGGCTTGTATCCTTCCAATCTATTCGAGTTCATTGTCTTCAACCGCTTACCTAGCAAAGTTGACAAGCCTATAGGTCGAAGTGGGTGTCATAATCTTGTCAGTCAGTGTCTAATGTCACTTTATTTATATCTTGTAGCCGATGAACCAGCCAGTGGGTTACCAAATCAAGTTTTAATCTGATTTAATTCACACAAGTTCTGCGTCAACTCCACATATCGCAAAAGCAATAAGCCAACTCATGTTTGTATTATGCTGTCTTGATATGAATAATGTATAGATTTACTGTACGATATGAGTTTCTTGCTTCAAGAGAATATTCTAGTTCTATTTTTAGAAGCTGAACTGATATAGACGAAACTAACTAACCCAAAATCGACCCTATTTTATGAAAATTTGTAATAACCTGTGTTACAACGAAATTACATTATTGATGGTATATGAAAACGGCACTCATTGAGAGGCCCAAAAAATTTTACTAGGTGGGTTTTTTATTAAATTTCCAAGTATGAAAGATCACTTTTTTATGTAAATTGAAATATTTTTTGTCAGCATAGTGTAGGCTTGGTCTCAATGGACAACGAGCAGAAGCTGACGACCAACTCTACTCTATACAGAGTATAATGTCTATCGAAATATCTCATTTTCGAATTTTATCGCGATTAAAATACTTCCTCGCCAATAGGCGTGGAGAGTAAAAAACACAGCTCACTACGTAAAGTATCTGAGAGAAAAGCAACGAATGTTCCTGTTAATTCACCTTAGGCAGTATATTTTCAAACTAACGAAGTTGTTACTCAGTACCCCACCAAATTCAGTGTCGATAACTTCTTACGTAATTTCTCAGTAAAAGTAATTATTGCTTTCAATTATCGTTGCAATTCGTGTTCATTGAGGTTCGCAAAATTCCATATAGGCTTGTATATAGAAATGGCGTTGTGTTATGTAAGTCTCAAAAATAATTTATCTAACCTTCCAGTTTCCTCTGGAAAGGTTTGGCAGTGCCGTAAACGTAATAGATTTCGAAGGGGCGTTGAGTTTTAAGTGAATTCTTCTGGAAATAAAATCACGTTATAATAAAAAAAAGTAGAAACTGACAGGCACTTCTAGTTCGAAATCCTATGCAAGACCAAAAACTTTTCATAATGTTGACAGACGGAAATTCAGCAGGTTATAGATCTAAATTACAGACGGTTTTTCAATCTAAGTTAACTGCAGCTTGTCTGCTAACCAGAAGTTAACTTTCAAAAAGTTATTCTCCAATATCAAGTTTGTCCTAAGGTGGTAGTCAACTTTAACCAGAGAACCATGTATGAGATAAATGTGAATCTGTTTTCAAACCGGAATGACTAGCCTAATGTGCTTGATCTTGGCGTAACTTGTCATAGATGATACGAGATATAAATAGCGAACATCAAGAAACGCATAGAACGCGATGATTCAGCCACAGAAGCAGCGTTGCTGCATCAACGGTTCAATTATTGTTAACTACGAATTGACAACTGATAGTTAAATTACAAGCCATAGTTAGCTGGCTTGAAAGTTAACTAGAGATTGAAAAACCGGGCATTAGGGTAACAAATACGTCTGGATGTTGATCTACGATTCTTCTACTTCTACTTCTATACACATATTCCTAGATACTCACCATTCATGAGTCTGCAGATCGAACTCCCCATACAGCTGACCCATTGTTATAGATTTGGGATTCATAACATACGTATGGACAGGCTGGAAAGGATATCCGCTTGGTTGTGGTTTCCCTTTCAGCGTCGTCATTGCATGCTGCAGAATTTCGTAGCACTAAAACAGAAGTAGACATATATTCTAAAGAGACGGATCTACCAAGAGAAATCTCATGAGCAAAAGTCGACCTCAAACTCATTAGGAGTGCAGATGAATAATCTTCCAAACAAACCAAAATCATCAAAATCGATGCAGCCAAACAGATGTTGTGACTTTTTCCTAATGATATTCGCCCCTTTTCCCACTCTACACTAATCACAATATGAGAAAATGATATAAACAAAAAGTTCGGAAATTGAGCGGTCAACACGATAAGGCTACTTAATGAGTATGCTAATGTAAAGAAAACACCGTTTTACTGTTCAATAACTTAATATGCTACACTAATTTATAACACTTGCAACTAATTTATAACAAATGTATAACTATGTCGACTGGACTATAATCTCATCTTCATTCCGCGCTCTCTGTCCACTGGCTCGATTGAGTCTCGACTGTGACTAACTGCTTCTGCCATCTGGTCCGATATTTATCCACCTATCGACCCATCGAGAAATATTCCAGCGTATTCGGGGACGGAGGTAGTCTAGGTAGATGGCAGCAGGTGCTTCCAAACGGATACTCGCGATTGTGTCGCGAACGGTCCATAATCCAAGCATGTTGCATACATGATCACGTAGCTCTCTGCCAACCCGTCCCTTCCCCACTCAAGATCCCAGCTATACGAGAGCGATCGATAAAATAATTATGAATTTTTGCAAAATAAAGGTGTTTCAATTTGACACCATTTAGCAGCTATTTGAGGAAGCTGGAAATGATTTCCAGCAATTTCTCTTGTCCACTTTTGTTACAAAATTTTTCAATCGATAGCAGCAGATTGAGCGGTTTCTGAGTTCAGTCGGCATCCCCACCCAGTTCACGATGTTGAAAATAAGATGACTATTCAGGTATTTATCTTTGGTATGAAAACTGGGTGCAACGTTGCTCACCAAGACGAAATGCTGCAAGCGACGAAAGGCAATACTGTCTAGCATTTTTGTCTGAGACTGGCCACTAAAGCTTTTCCCTGTCAGAAAAAGCTGAGCCGCACACGCCGGTGGTTTGGATCATAAGGAAATCACCCTGTAAATACGGAAGCCCTAGACTATAAATAGGGAATAAGGGCAAAGAGCAGAAGTAAGTTAGAGCTCCTATAATGAAGTCTTAATTTCGAATGGAGGCAGTTATTGAGTTAAGAACGTTTCGAATACGTCAAGATTAAATTAAAGAAGTTACACTACATGAAAGAACACTTGCCGCACGGTGTAACTATTAAATCCACGTCTATTATTGAGGATGCACACTTCGGTATCGTGTTCGGGAATAGTTTCGAAAACTAGCTAATTACTTCATAGACTATATTAATGTAGGTGTGGCGTGACTATCAGAAGTATATAGAGTCTCGTCGCTAGCATAGACTACGAGTATATATCAACTATAGACAAGAAACTGTGCGAATTGACTCTAGGTCTTGCAAAATAGATTCCAGGCTCGGTTGTAAAAAGGGCGGGATGTTTAGATTGATCTTGATAATCAAAATTTTATGACGATTTTATTTGAAGAAAAACGAGAAGTATAACAGAAAACTTTGACTCCCGTGTCTTTAAAATGAAGCAATGCCGGACATTTATACTGAATGCCAACAAAGCTCCTTTTCTTAGGTAATAAGGATAACGCAATAAACTGGGCTATCTAGATACCCACAAAAACGGACGCATGTATTTTCTACGTCACTGAGTTCTTGTGAAACATCTATGTAATTTATAATTAAAGTATTGAATTCTACATGAATTGTTCCCCGAAAAACTTCAGGAGGAATTTGGTTTAAATATTTGAAGTAAAACTATAATTATGTAGAATAATGAGGATTAATTGAATTCTTAACACAAATTTAAATGTTGAATTGTGTGCAGCAACAAAATTCTTAACATCTACCCATATGAGCTCAATGGGGTTGAGCTCACAGTGGTAAGGCGGCAAACGGAGTACTATTTTGTGGTGTACTTTGGCCATTTCGTCTATGACATATTTATCATGTCTTGGTCTGTGTTGTTTCACAATATCTAATAGTTGTAATTTCAGTAAGGAGGGGTCGAAAGTTATATTTTTGGAACGAAGCCAGCTCTGAATGTCTGATTTCCTAGAAGCTGAAGTTGGGATTTTTTCTATTTTGCGAGAATGATAGGAAGCATTATCCAAAACAACCACAGAATTGTCTTTGAGACGTGGTAAAATGCCTGAAAACCACTTCTCGAATGCTTCCCCATTCATCTCTTCATGGTAGTCAGTGGTTCTTTTTGACTAAAAAGACCATAAGCCGTCATCCACGAAGCCATCTACACCCCCAATGTGGCAAATAATGAGCCTTTTTCCTTTGCCTAGAAAGATAAACTCCGCTAAGTACACATGCACGTATTGTAGGTACAAAGATAGAGAGATATTGTGCGCAAAAATTGATACCGTGAACTACATCGATCTATTTACCTGCCGGATTTTTCAATCCGGTCGACAGTCCATCTAGAAATGCCCTTCTGGATGAAGTCACAGTTTTGTCAAGCCATACCTTCGGAGTAGTGTGCCCAGCGTTAATCCAGGTTTCGTCCAGGTAATAGATCTTCTGTGCTGATCCCTGAATGATTTAATTTTGGTCAGGTACTCTCTCCTCCACAGAACAATGTCTTCTCTATCCATAAGTAAGCAGTTACGACCTCGTTTCTTCCATTCGAAATTAAGATGCTTCAAAAGTTTATGAATAGTCGAAAGTTTTAAATTTGGTAACATAGCATCCCCGTTAACCTGCCGTAGTACTTTATCAACTGTCGGTATTTCGTTTCTGAAGAAGAACTTGTGCACTTTCCACCGAATCGCATGCTTGTCAGCGTCATCCAACGATCTTATGATACTTTTGCGATTTTTACCCGTTGGAAAAGGCATGCATATTCGCATGTTCGTTCAAAACATTATACACTTTCGCTTGGCATACCCCAATTTTATCTGCCACTTTCAGAGATATTTTCGGGTTAGTTGATGTTTCGTCTTCCTTCCGCTCTATCTTGAATGTATTCAATATGACGTCTTTCATGTCTACGCTAAGATGTCTTTTTTTGATCGCTTTCTAGGAGGGCTACAGCCTCGTCAGCAGTATCTGTACTGGACATGTTCAGGATTGGTTCAAAACAAATAATAACGAGGAATAACAATAACAAACAGAAACTTAACAAATTACTCAAATACACTTAACAACAACAACAGCAACAACCAAGCAAGGTGAATACGAAAACAAGAGCACGCAGTGATACACGCGACGGTCGGTGGCCTGAATGCAACTCTGCGTGCCCTGCCCCTGCCCCGCGCATTATTCCGCCAGGCGACCGCTTGAAATTTAATGGCGAATTGACCAATAAGAAGCGTTGTCCCCACCTGTTACCGAGAGATCACGCGCTAACTGTTATTATTTACATCTCATCTTGAATTTGGATTCAGTTTACAATTATTAATGTTTTCTTTTACTCGCAACATCCTGTTAAATTTTATCTACTAAAAGGTGAATGCAAGATATGCTGGAAGTGATATACGTAAGAATATGAGCGAATTCGCCATAATTTAAAAAAACCAGAGGTGAATAAATTTTACTCGACACGGATGATTGCTAATTTTGCTAGCTTATCATGAAGTAGACAACAATTTCCATTACATTTCCGTTGTAAATCGATAACAGAAAAATCAATGCGACAAATAATAGACTATGCTGGTAAACAAACTACGTATGATAGAAAATCAAATGAAAGCTGGATTTGTTTTTATCTGTTCCACAGGTAAGGACAAGGACAAAGCAACAGTTGTTTATAACGCTTAGCAATTTCCGGTCAGCTGCCACTCCACTTGTCGCTATGTCATTTTCGGTGTCCTTAGAAACAAACGAAACACTCATTCATAATAGGTGGGAATAGAACGATCCTGAATTAGTACTAGAGCATATCTCGAATATCATTTAACAGAATGCGAACATCTGAGATAAAATTAAAATACTCTAAAATGTGGCTTCTCATTGACATCAGCGAAAAACTGTGACGAGATTCGATCTGAGTAGCCGATTTTCCAAAAGAGGCTTTTTTTGGCAAAACAGCTGATATTGTCTAAACGCGTGCTGTACTTATTCATGGTCAGCGGTAAATGCGGTAATGCCAGATAGATAATAATTTTTGAACGAATATACCAAATTGATCAAAAATGTCCCGGAATGGTCGCCGAATTTTGAGGTCATTTCATTATCAGTTGTCGGGCTGAGTACATCTGCCTTTGAGCGTGTACACGATTTATTATAATTTTTACAATGGTTCTGAATGAACAACGCGTTTGCATCAAATTTTGTGTTAAAAACAACAAACCTTGGAAATGCTACAACAATGCTTCGACAACGATGCGTAGAAGAAAACCGTTTTCGACGGGTCATAGAAGGTCGTCAGTCGATCGCCGATGAGGAGCGCAGCGGCAGGCCATCAACATCGAAAACAGAAGAAAACGTTGACAAAGTAAAGAAAATGTTGGCCACCAACCGCAAATTAACTATCAGAGAGATGGCAGAGGACTTGAGCATTGCTTATGGATCCATTCAGAGCACTTTGGTCAACGATTTGGGTCTCCGTCGTGTTGCATCCAAGTTGCTGCCGAAACACTTGAACTTCGTGCAAAAAATGACGACAAGCAATCAAGACATCAGGCGAGTGAATAGCGAGCCCCGCATGAGCCGAGACCGAAGGAACCGCGTCGTTTTCAGTCGAAAAAGAAGGTAATGCTCACGGTTTTCATGGATTCCTACGGCCTGGTGCATAGTGAATTCTTGCCAGAAGATCAGACTGTCAACAAAGAGTACTATTTGGGTGTTTTGAGACGTTTGCGCGAATCAATGCGTCAAAAACGTGGGCAAAAAACTCGTGGTTCTTGCACCACGATAACGCACCATCGCACAATACACAATGTGAGTTTTTGGCCAAAAACAACACGAATACTATTCAACAACCACCCAATTCACCTGATTTGGCCCCTGTAACTTCTCCTTTTTCAATCGAATCAAAAAGGATATAATGGAAAAATCGAAGATGGCCTTATCATCGAGTTTAAAAAATGTGTCGAGGACTGGATCAAACGTTTGCATAAGTGCATTGCAGTCAATTGTATCGTTTATTTTTTTAATAAATTCCTGTTTTTTTTATCAAGCATTTTTGTTCAAATTTACCTTTGTTTGGACATTCATCGTGGAGATATTTATCATTAGTATGCAACCTACGAAGCATAGTTTTTATTCAATGAAGTTATGAGTCACACGTAACGCTTTCCTCGTCAAGTAAACAGAGATTGTTCTCAAAACCAGTAAGTTGTCATTTTTCTAGCTATTTTACGCTCAATTTTATACGATTTAGCTCAATAATAAACAGGAACATGAGCTTGAAATCCAACTTTTTCTATCCTAAAATTGCTTGTTTGCCCAATCGTCAGTGTATTCGGCATGGTCGCCAGTTATCTAGGCAGTCTGACCTTATACTTATTTGGCTTTTTGATGGAACCACCAAAACCCATGAAAAGAACTCCGTTTACTTCCGTTTCAATGTAACGTTTTCTAAACATCTTATGTCAGTTTGGCAACGCCGCCTTGGACGGGCGCATTCGCAACAGTGACAGCATCAGTGAGTATGTTCAGTAAACAACAACCTGAGAGAAATGACAAATGAGCGCTGGCGGGTCCCTGAAAGCTGATTAACATATGGTGATGTAGACTAATTGATAAAGTCGGCTCCACGGAATGAAGGAAATGCGGGTTTGAATGCCACCGGCACCAATTTTTTCTTTCTCTCAAGTTGTTGTTTACTACTACTCGTTGTTACAGATATGCTAGTCCGAATCGTCTTCAGGTTGCTGTCCTCGCACGGTGGTACCGTGGTATGTGCCCACGAGGCGGCGTGGTGCTACTAGAAGGCGGTTGGAGATACCTTACCAATCCGGTTTGCGTTACTTCAATGCCGCCAGATAGGGCATCAAGCGGCTTGAAAGAACAAGGGAACAACAGCGTGGGTAGGATTGAATTTGCCTCTAGCAGTTGGTTGACAGCTGGTGCTGTAGACTAATTTGTTAGGTCGGCCCCGCGGAATGGAAGTGACGCATGTTCGAATCCCGCGGTCGCCCATGTCTTCTTTGCAAAAGTGATAACATAGCCACAAAGTTATATCCGCTGGCGTAATGGTGTAACAAAGGTTTTTTGGGTTCTTCGCTGTTTTGCAAAATAACGTCTGGTTTCCCGAAAACCAAATTCATACAACAATATTCGCAATCCTTTATTACACCATTACGCCAGCGTAAATAACCCAACTAACAATTATCACTCATATTAGAGTTGCAAGAGTTATTATACAGTATTCCTTACACAGCATTGTATATATACTGTAAGAACATTGGCAAAACGCTCTTAGAACAGCTATACAAGCAGAATGGGCACACCTAATAGGACACTTCAGTCATTTAAGAGGTTGTACAAGGGATACAGGTAACAGTTATACAACAAAAGTGTAAGCCTCTTGCAGCCGCTATAGGACATTTGCGTCAGTGCAAGATTCAGTTTTTGTCAACTATACAACTATTCTGTTTCGTAATTCTACTTTATTGCAACCAAACTATGTCTTATGTATTGTATAGACGAAGTGAAGAATATATAACTAACACATTACAGTCATCTTGTTTACTTACATATCGGCCATTGTGAATTTATTTCACACACAGGTATATGATAAACTTCTACACTGTGATATAGAGCTATTGAATTAATTGCGCAGCAAATTTTATTGTGATTATCGTGCAAAGTAGTTACGCAGTTTCTGCGGGCTTCGTATTTGATTCATATTTTAATAATGATCCAAAGTATGTCTAGATTTTTAAGATTACACTAATGTTTATCACTTAATATCTGTAATTTCGAACTGAAAAATAATTATTTAATATTAAATAGAGAAATAAATGTTTGCCCAATATGGCGGGTGGTTATGTATAATCATGGCATCGTCCATGTTGTCTTTGGTTTATTAGAATATTTTGGTGTTGCCTGCAGGCAAATGTCTGAAATGAAATACCGACGGTCGAATGATTTACCCAGAATTTGTACCAGATCTATATATGTATATATATATTCTGTTGATAAAACCTTTTGAACCAACATGCATGCGTTGTTTGTCTTAAAACATTGGTAATGGCATTTTAACAAAAATATGACAGCAGTAAGTTAGGTTATGGTGAATTTGTATACCAACATATTTAGCAACGAAAGTATGCCGAGCATAACAATTTTGTACTACAAAAGTTGTAATATTGTTGCATATGTACAGCCTTTAACAGTTACTAAACAACAGTTGTATAAGTGCTTCCATTGGGAGCGATTTGTTAGCTAAAGTAGTAAATTTGCCCAGCAAAACAGCAAGGCTCGGGTTTGTTTTATAAACGTTACCGCGGGTGCCACAAAACAACCATTTTGACTACCGTGCAAATCTGCCGTATAAACTAGTTAAATAAACGTTTATGCAACAGTTAAAAATTTGTCCTATAGGGTGTTGTATAACTAAGCTATAAGAATATTTTAAATACCTCATTTTAGAGCAAATATGTTGCAGAAAGCAAATTTGTATTCCACACAATATTAAGCCAGCATTTTGGTGTTCAGGCAACAAGAATAGAGAGATTTTATAGCTGAACGGTTCTTTTACAAAAAGCTTATAGCGCTACTTTGCTAGTTGGGAACTTTCTGGCTATGTTATTACTTTTGTCTCAGTTTCGGCTATTTAACTGGACTATAAATCTATGAGCGAATCGCCAAACCAAGGATGGACTATAATGCGGAAAAAATTGAGAAACCCAAGGTGATGGAGCAGATTGGCGAAAAACAAAGACAATCCACGAAGCAACCCCTTTGCCTTTACCATGAGCGTTTGCGCGTTTTCTCCGACAGCGTCGCTTCCCGACTTTACGCTAGAAACGTCCGCTCAGTTCCGGTCGTAAAACGAAACACTCCAGTCACACAGCGGGATTCAGCCTCAAACTCAATTGAGTCCGCGTGCTCGTTCGCTCAACAAGTGACTCTTCAAGTGGAATCGCGATAATTGAGTGTGGGACGGGGCGTTTCGGTAGTGGAGAATCGTTTATCTGTTTCAGGGTCAGGTGCGTTAACAAGTTAGCTATCATAGGAATTAACGTTATAGTTAGATTATAATTCCGGAACAACAACAGTCAATGCCAAAAATAGACGCTTTTGCTTCTAACTCAAATTGGCGAGGAAGTATTGTTAAGAAGCAATTTTGCTTTTGATGAGTATAGTCTAATCGTATTAGCAAATTTCCCCGAAATAATTGGAAGGTATGGTTTTATTGGTGCAAGTTATTCAAGGGGGTATTCAAAACATGGATGCATAAAATCGCAAAACGTTTTATTCAACAACAAAGAATGAGAAACCGTGTTTTTTGGGATTCAATAGAAAGTGTTGACAGCATCTAAAAAACTATTCAAATAAGATTTTTAGATATTTATGAGACCTAAAAAAGGAGACCACACGTAAAAAAACAGGCTAATAGCAAAAATGTTACTTCCGAAAGACGAGGCAAAATGCAGGTTTAGGCACTTGTAGATAATGCGACGATAGTTTCACGCAACTACTTGAAATTCTTCAAATCCGTAGGATTCATACTTCTAAGTAACAACAACAAAATTGGAGTATATTGGTCCAATAGTTTTCGAGAATTTCTAATTGTTTGTCCCAAAATACCTGTTCATTCTTACCTTGCCGATATGCATCGCAAACCATTCAGGAAGATAAATGTTATTTTTATGCAAAAAGTTTTTTCTTCTAAACATTTCGAATTTGTGAATAACTCACAAAAAATGATGATATATACACCCGCATTGTTTCATAATGTGGATACTAACCTATGTTTTTCAATATCGTAGCGCATTTGTTCAATTACTCACAAATACGAAACGTTTGAGTTTGCTTAGATGAAAAAACGTAACCCTTGTTTTTCGCATAAAAATAACATTTATCTTTCGAAATCGCTTATGATTCATATCGGCAAGGTAAACACGTGTATTTGCTATAAAATGCTCTTTGAATGAATCCTGTATATTACTCAGTAAACTAGTGATGGCCGGAAGACAGGTGTTTTGGGATAAACAATTAGAAATCCTGAAAAACTACTTGACTAATCGACTCCAATTTTTTGTGGTTACTTAGAAGTACGGATTTGAAGAATTTCGGCCATAACTTTTTTACCATTAGTCGCATCTTTTTACGTGTGGTCTCATTCTGGAATACCTGAAAATCTTAATTTGGAGAGTTTTTTGGACAACACCTTCGATTGAATCCCAAAAAACACGTTTTCTCATTCTTTGTTGTCGAGTATAAAGTTTTCCCACAAAAATTGGTGTACCCATTTTATGCGTCCATGTTTTAAATATCCCCTTGAACAACTTGCATCAATAAAACCAGACTTATTTCAGGGAAATTTGCTAATATGACTATATGTTATAAAATAAAGATTCAACAACAACGTCACACTACACACAAATACTCGTATCCAGCTCAAAATCAGATGCATTAGATTATCCGCGAGATTACGCTATCATGGAAATATTTTCTGTCTGCGTAGGTAGGCTGAGACGAAATAGATAGGACGAGGCATCAAGTAGAACATACATATTCATACGAATGCAGTATCCATTTCCACATTTGCTAAAGCGATGCATGGAAGCAATCTCAAAATGTATAGGAGGAAATATACGTAACACTGCAAGGGACGGTGATAATCAGCTTGCATCATTTTTCTGTAGATGAAAAAATTATAATAGCTATTAAGAGGCGAAGCGACCCGAACAGAACCGTGACTAAATTTTCCATTCCACAAGCCAAGCCTGATATTTAGCTTCACGTTGCTTCTAGTCCAAGATCCCAAACATTACTTATTTTAAGGCAGAGCGTGGCGCATTGAATAGCATTTATATGTACACAGATCGCCAATTTTGATCTAACAGATAAGGTTAAAGATCGCTTTAAAATAAAGTAAGCTCAAAATATTCTTCGGAGTCTAGTAAAGCTAGGCTTAACTTAAGATACTTGACCTCAAAAATTGTAATTTTTGATCGATTTCTTAAGGATTAAATATATCCATTTTGAGGGCTTTTTAGACACTAAATTGCTTATGACTCAAAACTAGTCAACTTTGGAAAAAAGCTAATGAATGCCTTTTTATGCAAAATGATCCAAAAAACTCAACAAAAATTGTCCAGGCAAAAAATTCACTCAAACGTCGCATGTTGACATTTCAGAGCAATTTTTTCACTTAGTATATTAATGCACTTCCAATTCTTTGCACCTCTCCGAAAAATTCGGAAAATGAAAACAAGACTCGAAAAACGAAAATATTTTTAAAGCCTTTTTTAAAGGTTTCATCTTCCTTGGCATTAACTCATGTAGACAGGCCGACCGACGATAGAAATGATAACCACAAAGCATAACACCTTATTTTTGAATTCGCGATTATGGTCCAAGCTTTGTAATGCCAATTAGTAAAAAAAAAATTAATTATTACCATGCGATGACAAATTCCTTCCATTCACTTCCATCTCAAGAATACAGACGCGGCGACAAGTTGGTCGTCTCGTTGTTTTATCGATGAGGTCCCTCTCTTTGTTGACATCGATCATCGACATTGGAATTTTAATACGCGTTCACAGCAAACACGAGTATTCAAACAAATAAACTTTCATTTTCTTTAGGTCTTTTTACTCTGAAGTGATATGTAGGTAGTATTAGTAATTGTAGTAGTAGTAGTAATAGTAGTAGGTACACATACCATAACCATGCATTTAGGGGCTATTGCAGGCTTAACGTGTACACAACGTGTACACAACAGTGACTTTGAAGTTGAGTCATTTATTTTAACAGTGAGTAGATCTGATCAAAAGAAATGTTTTTTCCTATAACATTTTTCTGGTAAAATTAAAGTAACAAAGTTACAGCCTCTTAACCTCACTCTTTAGTAAACTTAAATTCAAAGTTTTACAACAATATGTGCAGTGTTCTCACTACAGTGAATTTTTGGAATTTGGATGGATGAAAACCATTTTCCAGCAATTTCTTGTCATCAAAAGCAACACAAAATAAGTAGCGTTGGAGATTAGACCAAAGGATATCGCTTATCGATCACAGGATGTAATGGATGCGAATTTCTACATTATGTTGTTTTAGAAAATCCTTTTTAAGTTACTGTTTTTATTTGTTGTTTTTGATTATTTATTATTTATGTTATTTCGAGAAATGTTGATTTAGTTTATTTATTAGTCTATTTTTGTGACTTTTACACAATCACATTTCAGTTTATCCATTTGTCGTTTTTCCCTATTATTTCCACATACAGTTTTAGATTATTTATTCACTCATTTTTAGCAAATATACACTATTCTAATTCTGTTATTGTCATTATCATATCTCCTGTGGTCTATTCCACAACGTCACTTATTTTGTATTTGACGTCAGGGTATTGCTGGGAAATGGTATTTTGGAAAAGCAAATTCCCACATAAAAAGTGCTCCATACAAGATTTTTTTGTGCAGAATTACATATTACACCGTTGTGTACACAAATACAGGGTGTTTCAGTTTATTGTTGCATACTTTTAAGATTCCATAGAACTTTTAAAATTAGTGCATAAAGTCTATATAAACTTGGGTCGAAAAATGCGTGGCTTCCGAAATACAGGGTATTTAAATTTACTTTCTTAAATAGTTTTTTTAAATATTTCGAACAATATTTGATGTATAACAGTGAAAAATGGTATACAAGGGCTTTTGGTACGACAAAACGAACCATGGGCATAGTTTTACTGTAGCCGCTAGAGGGCGCTCTCTACTGTACCTGTAATGTATTAAAATGACCGAAATTTTTTTCTTAGTGCAATTTTTTGCCTTTTGAATAAAAAAACTGATTCATCGCACTTTTCAACATAAAAAAGCTCTCCTGTGAGATTTAGTTATAGTTAGCCGTTTTTGAGATATTTCGATTTTTAAGGTTCGATGCATTTTTAATTATTTATGGGAAAATAATATTTTTTTTACATTTTCGATTTGGGCATTACAAGTAATTAAGATGATCGTTTAGATTGTGTTTTTATACAAAGTAATAATTTCTAACTCCAAATAAAAACAAAAAAACAGAATATTAATTTGTTTAATTTTCCAATATTATTTTAAACAAATTAAATTAATTATTTACAACCAAAATTCTATTGGATAGTTAGGACAAACATACAAAATCTAAAGTAGTTGCTCGAAATGTAAACCCAATTATTCAATACACAATTCACATCTACGAATGATCGAACGTGGTATAGCATTATTCAAATAAGGCCTTATTTCATCACATGCATTCCTGATTCTGTCTATTAGCATATCTCTTGTGGTTACGGGAGTCTGGTACACTTTTTCTTTTTGAAATCCCTACACAAAGAAATCTAATGGATTTAGGTCAGGGGATCGTGGAGGCCAGGCGACTGGTCCTCCACGGCCGATCCATCTTTCTGGATAATTTTCGTCCAGCCAGTTTCTAACTACTCTCGAATAACGAGCTGGACAACCATCAAGCTGGAACCAGGCCAATCTTCTTAAATCTAACATAACATCATCCCACATATTTGCATGTTCAGCCTTTAAAAATTCCAAGAAGGTCGCAGCATTAAGCTTTCAGGCAAACGGTAGGGTCCAAATAGTCGATTACGGTAGATACCAATCCACACGTTCACACTAAATTCATGATGAAAATTTCTTTCCCGAACTGCATGCGGATTTTCATGCGACCAAATATGTTGATTATGAAAATTTACCACTCCACGTCTAGTAAAGCATGACGCATCGGTCCATAAAACGTTACTTACAAACTCCCTATTATTATCAGTTCTATCAAGAATCCACTGACAAAATGTGATTCTTCGTTCTCCGTCCCCTGGCTGTAGTCTTTGCACAGGTTGCAAATGGTAAGGACGTCTATGGTCATTTCTAAGAACACGGTGAGCGTGGCTTGCTGAAATTCCCAAGGCACCAGAAACTCTCCTAACACTTGTGGTCGGATTTCTATCAAACTCACGCAGAATCGTACCGGTAAATCTGCGCTGACGAACATTTATGTTTTGATCCCTTTGGAGATTTCCAAAACCATTTTCAATTATTTGGCGATGCACTCTTACAAATACTGAGCGAGTTGGATGTCGTCTGTTTGGAAATCTTCGTGCGTATTCTCTGGCTGCTTTTGCTGCATTTCCATTTACAAAGCCATACACAAAATGAATATCCGCTAACTCTTGATTGGAGAATAAAAATGGCATTTTTAAAAAAAAAAAAATTATAAAAAAGGTAAAAGAAACTAAATTTCGTGCATTCACAATTGCAAAAAAACGTTTCAGGTTTCAACAGACAACAAAACTAACTGTCAACTAATTGACGTTTAACCTTATTCTGCTTTCAATTTCAAAAATATTTGCAGGCACAGCCTACTTCTAAAAATTATCGAGATACTGACCTTTTAAAGTTATTTTATCATAAATAATTAAAAATGCATCGAACCTTAAAAATCGAAATATCTCAAAAACGGCTAACTATAACGAAAATTCACAAGAGAGCTTTTTTATGTTGAAAATTGCGAAGAACCAGTAGAGAGCGCCCTCTAGCGGCTACAGTAAAACTATGCCCATGGTTCGTTTTGTTGTACCAAAAAACCCTTGTATACCAATTTTCACTGTTATACATCAAATATTGTTCGAAATATTTAAAAAAAAACTATTTAAGAAAGTAAATTTAAATACCCTGTATTTCGGAAGCCACGCATTTTTCGACCCATGTTTATATAGACTTTATGCATTAATTTTAAAAGTTCTATCGAATCTTAAAGTTATGCAACAATAAACTGAAACACCCTGTATAGAATGGGTAAATAAATATGTTTCAATCCACAGAAGGGCAATGCCTGTACATGGATCAGTTGTAATTTGTATGTGTGACATTCCACAAACAAAACAAAAAAGGTAAAAGAAACTTAAAGGAAAAATTATCATCAAAATCATGTCAAAGGTGTTCATGTAGAAGACAATTGATTAACTATAGAAAGTCTGATTGCTTTACCTTCTTTTTCAAATTGTCATCCTTTGTTTTCAATAATTGAACTTCCATTTTACTCTACGCCCTGTTACCCATAGCACAGGAGCTATCTAGGGCATGTCCTCGTTTTTACTCAGAGTAGCTGAGCTTTATCTTTTGTGAAAATTTAAAGTCTAAGCGTCGATTAAAAATATATCTGATGGGACAAAAATTTAATTAAGTGCAAATTTACGAAAGATGGAATTATATGAAGGTGCTATTTTCCTGAAAGTCTCGCTGAGAAAATGGATGGCCTGTGAACAATTTATTATGAAACACCAGAGGTCGCAAAATAAGATAATAAAAATATCCAAACAGCGTTAATCAAAAATGTAATATTCAGCTGCTGTCACCTCAGTGTTGATACAGAATATTCTCAACTCAGGCATAGTGGACAACTGGATTTCTCTAAAATATTAAAGTTTTGGATCCTAATCCTAATGTTCCTTTTAACTTCCCACGCCTACCGGCGAGGTATTATTACAAGCGCGCAATTTGGAAAGTACTTCTCAGATTTGGTAGAGGTTCTTGAACAAGATTACTACCATCCCAAGGACGAAAAAGATTTGCAGTTTTTGAGAATCGATCCAGTGGCGGCGGAGCTCAAACTTCGTTATACAGTCCCTTGCCATATTATTAGACTCATGCTGCAAATCTACTTTTACTTTATATTTCTTGTTGTTATTATGAACTTTTTGCAAATAGCGCGAAGTGTTGGAGTTTCTCAAAGTTCTGTAAAACGAATTAAACAAAAAATAGACCTCTGTGGAAATCTGAGAGCCAAACGTAAAGGTGCGTGCGGTCGTCGAAGAATCACGACAGAGAGAAGTGACCGAAAAAATTCGCAACATTTGTATTGAAAATCGAAAACTGCCGATAAAAATTCTTACAAAAAAATTCTTGAAGCTGGCATTGAAGTTTCGCAAAGAACACTGCAGCGGAGGTTAGCAGAAGAGGGTCTTATTGGACGTAGACCAGCACGCAAACCAAGACTTACACCTGCTATGATATCAAAGCGATACCAATGGGCACGAAAATACAAGGATTTCACGACTGATAATTGGAAGAACATAAATAAATGCTATATAACTATATTCAAGTCGTTCTTGTACTGTAGATATTGTTTAATCTAAATTCTATGACGTTGTTGTATAAGATAATGCCCGACCACTGTTGCAAGAGTCACAATGGACTTCTTTCAACATAATAATGTCACATTGTTACCATGGCCACCAAGATCTCCCGACTTATCCCCAATTGAGCACGTGTGGGATATGATGGGTAGGAGATTGCTCAATTTGCAACGTCCTCCTCAGACTCTAGCAGCACTTCGAGAGGAGTTGGTGGTTGCCTGGAATGAGATACCACAGGAGGACATTGACCACCTGATCAGAAGCATGCCTAGGCGCGTTGGAGAATGCGTAGCCCATCAGGGTGCATCCACATATTATTAAAGGTCAAAGGGCTTTAAAGCAGTGCAATCATTTTGAAATTTTTATCATTTACTTATTATGATTCATTAAGTACTTATACAAAATTTTATTAAAATAAAACCATTTAAACTGGGTGTTCGGATTTATATGTCACTTAGTATAGTTATATACAAAAGAATGTACAGTATGTGATTGTTAAAATATATAACTCGTTCTCTGAAACTGGTCGGAACTTCCCACTAGTCCGTGTAAAAAATGTATTAATTGAGTACTTATCAGCAAACGCATTTTATTCGTTTGCTGATTTTTTTACTGATAGTACAAACAGCCTGAGTGTTTAGGAATAACGAACAGTAGTAACGCAGACTATTGTTTTTTTTTCTAAGCTGGTTATCTCCTTTGACTTGTATGAGTAGGTTTGAAACGATGGCAATGAAAAGAATTTGTAAATGGTATCCCCTTAATTTTTAACAATGTTCTATAGCTAGCTTTAAGCTTATTTTATTGTGACTTGTCTGTTGTGGAACAAATAAAATCTATCTATCTATCTATCTATCTATTCTCGAAACCTAAGATAAAATGCATATTCTCCACTTACTTATATTTTATATACAGCTACATTTTTAACTTACTTGTTGTAACTTATCAAGTACTTCTGTTTTTTTTTGTTAAGCGGTAGGGTAGTATTATGCTAAACTCTGCCTAATAAAGACGATTTATTATTATATTATTTTATTATATTTATATCTTTCTTTTACAGACATGACCGAAGACTCGTCAGGTTTAATCTTCCTTACCGAAAATGGAAACCAGTCTTTCAACGATACGCCAGTAGTTGTCTGTTGTTGCTGTGCGACAGCAGGTGACCAGTGTCCTACACATGTCGCTCAAGTGTCATTTTATGTGGATGTCCTTGAGCTATACTACGTACCGGTCAGTATCAAAGACTTTGGACTATTCTGGCATTGTTTAATCTGGCGACTAGAAACTCGGCGCTTTACGGGCGTCGACGTAAGCGGAAGAAACGCGATCGAAAACGGCTGTCAAAGTCGAAAAAACGGTAGATTTTCGTGCTGTTCGACGTTCACTTTATATCTCCTCCGAAGATAAAGGAGCTACGAACCTGACGATTTTTGCGTGAGAAAGCCCGGACATCGGACTCAAAGATAGCGTCTTTTTTTATTTCTTTATCCCTTTTCGTTGAAAAGTTTCGATTTTCTTAAATTCCTCGACTACGCGCTACTTTCCGATGCATGACCATGTTTCCGGATATGTCTTGGCCTATTACTACTATACGTAAGCAAGATAAAAATTATATAGCGATTGAAAAATAAAGATATTGAGCTTAGGAAACGATCCTGACCGTTAGAATTCCCGTCAAATTTCGAAAAATCTAAATTTTAGCGCTTCAAAGGTACCGATGACAGCCGTTTTTCGGCGTACTTTGTCTTCTTCGATACAGACCTTCGTTACGAATCGAGATAGCTACGATTTTTTTTCGCAAAACTAAAGACCAAAGTCTCCTGACTAGCCATAATTTTGCAAGAGTAAATATTCAACTCCAAATAAATCGGATGATAATATTAATAGTTATAAAGCGAGATTATCCCTGATAATTCTCCTTTATCGCAGAAGTTCTCATTAAGGCCGAATCTTCTCTTGTCGAGACGCATTTCAAAAGGAAATCATTTTTATTAGCCCGTTCCTAGAAATGCATAATAATAATAGGAAATAATTTGTACTTCTCTAAGGTCATGCACATCTATAACCAAAAGACTACCTGATATTAATTCCATTATATACTAAGTGACATATAAATCCGAACACCCAGTTTAAATGGTTTTATTTTAATAAAATTTTGTATAAGTACTTAATGAAGCATAATAAGTAAATGATAAAAATTTCAAAATGATTGCACTGCTTTAAAGCCCTTTGACCTTTAATAATGTGTGGATGCACCCTGATGTGCTACGCATTCTCCAACGCGCCTAGGCATGCTTCTGATCAGGTGGTCAATGTCCTCCTGTTGTATCTCATTCCAGGCAACCACCAACTCCTCTCGAAGTGCTTCTAGAGTCTGAGGAGGACGTTGAAAATTGAGCAATCTCCTACCCATCATATCCCATACGTGCTCAATTGGGGATAAGTCGGGAGATCTTGGTGGCCATGGTAACAATGTGACATCATTATGTTGAAAGAAGTCTATTGTGACTCTTGCAACATGTGGTCGGGCATTATCTTGTTGGAAAGTTGGATCTGCCAGGGTGTCAAGATAGGGTAACAGATGGGGTTCTAGAACTTCGTGGATATAACGCTGCGCGTTCATGTTACCTCTGATGAAGATTAAAGGTGACCTGGAACCATAAGCTATAGCACCCCAAACCATAACTCCAACAGTGTGATGAACATGTCTTTCAACAAAAAACTGTGGATTCCTCCTTTCACCACGTCGCCTTCTAACCCTGGCACGACCATCATGCATGCCTAAACAAAATCGAGACTCGTCACTGAAGACAATACTGTTCCATTCCTGATCCCAGAGTGACCGTTGTCTGCACCACTCAAGGCGATTACGTCGGTGTTCTCGAGTTAAAGGGAGGACCCAGTGTGGCCGGTATGAAAACAAGCCGAAACTTCTCATTCGTCGGTAAACACTGCGCATGCCAATAGGTCTTCCGCGTTCTGCAAACCATTCATTTGCAATGGACCTGGTAGTGGAGAAACGGTCCCTCAAGGCCAATAATCTTAGGCGGCGATCTTCACGGTCTGTTGTTCTACGGCGGCGTCCAGTTCCCCTTGCTCTTTGCGTACGGCCTTCTCGAAGCCATGCCTGACAACACCTAACCACAGTGTCTACACTTCTTTGCACTCTAACTGCAATTGCCCGAAAAGAAAGTCCAGCTTCCCGAAGTCCCACTATACGGCCCCTATCAAACTCACTAAGTTGACGAAATCGTACAGGTCTCCGTACTCTAGGCATCGTAACCGATCGTAAAGGATGTCAAGAACCAAAATCCGAAAACGTTGATTCTTTACTGCGGCTGAAATGTTCATTTTTAGAGCGTTAGTGAATTAAAAAAAAGCAGTATAAAAACCGGAATGTCCAACTGATAAGGCTGAAAATTTTTTCACTTGTTATTTACAGTAAGATAAATACATTCACCAACTTTTATTAAAATAAAACCATTTAAACTGGGTGTTCGGATTTATATGTCACTTAGTATATGACTATACTAGCTTGTACGACTTAAATTAATTATACATTTTGGTAGCTAATACTTGCATAACATAGCTCTTGAATTCGAAAATATTATTTTTGTTATTTTCTTAAACTATTATACTCACTAGGTAAAAAATTCATGTTGAAGTCTTGGAGGAGATAATAGACCCTTAAACATAACATTTAAACAGAGAAATTTCATTCTATTATACAGGGTGTAAACGTTATGGTAGTCATTATTGAAATGGGTAAAAGGGGTAGTCAAAACAAAAGTCAATAGATTTTTATCTAAATGGCTTTATAATTTACAACTTTAAGTGCCACAATCACCACAATCTTCTTATTTTTTATAATCTAATCTAAAACGTTTTTAAATTGGCATAAAGTGTTTCTAAGTTAAGCCAAAATTTGTAGTCAGTAAGTAAGTATCATTAAATTGAATATTTAACACACATGACAACAGCGCGGCGGTCATCATCACTCTTATCGAACCGACAATCGATCGCAAACGGTAACAGTGGTTAGTATGTTGTTTTGTTTTTGTTCGCGTACGTCGTCGTTTTGATTTACAATGTTCTCGAATCAAGAATTCGCCGACATGTTGTTCGTTTACGGTGAAGCTCGTCAGAATTCAAATCTTGCAGCTCAAATTTATCGCTGCAGATTTCGCCAACGGGTATACCCAGACAGCAGGACATTTGTGCAAGTGTAGCAAAGACTTCGAGATACAGGAAGTGTTCAGCCCACTAATATTAGCACTCGTAAAAGACAGGTTACTGTAGAGCACGAGGAACAAATTTTAAATATCATGGAAATCAATGCAGATATCAGCACTCGGGAATTAGGCCGCCGCGTAGGACTATTGCATACCATAGTCCTTAGAATCCTTCGGGAAAATTTGCTTTATCCCTACCATGTACAACGAGTGCAGGCCTTGTTACCAGAAGACTATCCTCGCAGATTAACATTCTCTCAGGGGTATTTGCACAAAAACTTGGAAAATCCGGATTTTTTTAAAAACATTCTAGCGACGGACGAATGTACTTTTACGCGAGACGGGATATTAAATTTCCATAATACTCATACGTGGGCCCAAGAAAATCTTCATACCATTCGTGAAGGTCGTAATGAGGCTTGTGTGGAAATTGGAGGACGACATTTTGAACACCTTCTTTGAATACAAAAAAAGTGCAGTGTGGGTTTTAAAAAGAAAAACAATGTTTAAATAATGACTATCATAACGTTTACACCCTGTATATATATGTCAGTTGTTTTGCAATAATTAGTCTGTGATATGAACAAGCTTCATAGAGCTTCTACTGTGCATATTTTACAACTCTGCATTATACAATTTGTGAGTGACTCTATTTGATCAACGGATACCAGTTAGCCTTAAAAAAACAAGAATATTCCAATTTTTGTATCTTTTGCTCATAAAGAGAGATTAATTAAATAAATTAAATATACAACAACGGCATAGTTTAAAGTTGAATTGAGCAACTCCAAGACTTTTGCTTGTTCTGTTAAAGGAATGTGGCATCCACAATTTGTATATCATTCTCTAGTTCTATGAATTTTTTTCTCACAACTTACGGATTTACTTTTGAACTGCCATTTTGTGAAAATGCTACAGTGCCTGCTTTTTTTACATTATCTACATCACAGATACTCATCCTCGTCGGATTCGTAGGAAACCTTCTCACATGCTTGGTACTAATGACGACACACTTAAAGATGAGGAGTTCCAGTTACTATCTTTCAGCTCTGGCGGTAGCAGATACAGGATATTTGCTAAGCCTGCTTGTCGAATACTACAGCTCACACCACACAACAAATCCATATCATACTGAAGGTATGTGTCAATAACTACTGAATATACTATAAAAATTGTATTAATTCATTCAATGGCCACATTTACTGCATTGCCAGAATCGACGGCATCTAGCGGTCATAGTGGTGCCTCGTTTGTCAAACGCGAACTGAGATACTTTACAATTCCCACAAATAGCTGCTGTTCACTCTTTTCGTGGTTGATTCTGGTAATAGATGGCACCTTGTTCTGTCTTATTTTAAATTAGGATTAGGAATTTTAATACGATAATCAGTTCACGTGACATGTCAATAATGTTTTTTCAATATTTCTGAACTTCCCTATCTCGAACATAAGCCCTTAGTATTACATATTTTTAAACCCTTCTATAAGGGCTTTTGTACATTGTATGCAAATTTTACAAATTATGTGAAAAATACAGCGGTTTGATTGAAAAATAATAGGCAGAAATAATCAAATGCAATTTCATCGGAAAATATATATCCGAATAATCCAGTCAACATTTGGATTAATCAGTTACGATCTAGCTAATTATACAATAATTTATTTGTAATAACGCACTCCTAAATTACATTTGCTGTGATTTTTAATAAAATAGCCCAAGAGTTTTAAACGATTAAGCTTAAACATATTACATAAATGTAATAATAGATACTAATTATATATTATTAAATATTGTGTATACGAGCCCCTTCCCACTTCAGTTTTCCCAGTTCCAGATTTGTACCAAAATATGCCTTTATAAACTAAACATGACGAAACTATTTACTTCTAAAACAATTTATTTTCTCAAAAACATTTTAGATACACTCTAGTCGTAAAAAATACATATTTCAAATCACTTAGACCTATAACTAATAGAACAACAATGTGCGAATAAATGCGCGAAGTTAACAAAGCAACAATTGAAAGATTACCATTGGGTAACATCACCTTTATTTTTCATTACGGGTGAAATTCTTTGGGCCATACTATTAACCAGGTTTTGGCAAAAAATTGGTGTAAAACAATTCCATATTTCTTGAAGCTTTTGTCTCAGTTCGGTGATTGTACGAGCAGGATGTTGTCGTAGAACCTTTTTTATCTCGTGCCACAAAGTTTCAATAGGTGACAGATCTGGACTGCTAGAAATCCATTTCAAAAGTGGTATATTATTATCTTCCATCCATTTTATAGCCTTTTTTGAGGTGTGGCACGCTGCACCATCTTGCTGAAACACAAAATCTTGGCCGGATGTCAAACATTCTTCCATCACTGGTAAAAGCGATTCTTCTAAAATTGCCAAATATTTGTTTGTATCCACATTTCCATCAATAAAATGAAGTTTTCCTACTCATTTTGATGACATACTGCCCCAGACCATAATGGATGCTGAAAATTTCACTTTTCTCTTCAGACAGTCAACATGGAATGCTTCATTTTTTTTGCGAATAACTCAACTGCAACTGTCACCAACACAAACTTCGAATCGGGCCTCATTACTCCATTGTATTGCACACCATTGTTGAGGTGTCCATTGTCTATGTTCTTTAACCCATCTAAGTCGATTTTTCTTTTGCAGTGGAGTTAGTAATGGCTTTTTTTTGGCCTATAAACAAGTTGTGTGATTATAGGGTTTTTACTTCACTTCTTTTTTATAAGAAAACTTACATTGCAAGTGCTAAATCTCAGTTTGTAGGCCTCTCTATGAGTTGTGGACCTCGAAATTCTCCTTCCAACAGCGTCACTCCACAGAGCACTTAATTATAAATATTTGGCACGCCTGTTTTTCAAGATTATTCTTCTTAATGCTCTTCGGTCGGCATCTGTGATATTACTTTTTTTCACATGTCGTGGCTTAATATTAACCAGTTACGTTATATCTTCTAACAATATTTCTCACACTGTACCGCGATAAGTCTAACAAAGTTGCAATTTCTGAGTTTGATTTCCCAGAATTAAAAAATTTAATTATTATCAGTAACCGAATTTTCTCACTAATAACATTTCCTCTACCCATTTTGAAAACGTTAACTACCCAAAACTATTTTAAACGTATTCTGACAGCTGTGATTAATAAAAACAATTGTCATGGCTTTTATTTTTCACAGCCACCTATGCGTTGTAGACTTTTTTTGCATTGAAATGAAAATAGGTTGATATGCTGTAATTGCAACGTGTTATTTTTATGCAGCAAATTTGATTACGGAGTGATAAAGTTGGCGTTTTCTACTATATATTAACAAAATATTTATTGTTAATATTTTAAACCTATAGCACCCTGTCACATTTTTATTATTTGTGTTTGATAAGAAAAAGACTAAGATTTCAATAGTTGGGCCAACTGAAGAGGGAAGGGGCTCGTATTTGTTCGTTAAGTATGACAAAATTATGTTTTATTTAGGCCTGTTCAATTAGCTTGATGTTCTAATATGATTTTTATATTAAATATGTTTTTCAGTCGTAATGCTGTGTGACTGTTTTGCAGACAGGCAGTATCACTATTGCTATTCAGATTGAAATATTGAATATTGATGGAGATATAGAGGATCCCATGTACCACGAAATGTTATGTAAAGATTGCAAATTTGGTAGTCTTAAAATCTGTTCAAAACTCAGACATATTGTTACTGGGATAATTTCCTGCTAATCAACCTTATATATTTGCAATCAAATTCAATGTTACATCTATTTCTTAAACTCTATTATTAGCAAATTTCATTCCACATTTTCTCACTAGGATCGTTGCGAACGTCCACCTCAGGAGGAATCACTCAACTAAACTGAACGCATTATTGGTTGCATATCTTTTGTGAGGCCAAATGGTTCTTGTCTGTAGTTTTTATCTCTGAGAAGAAAGTTGATTGAATAGCAAGATCGTATCTGTATGATTATGTGTATTGGTCTGCATGTGTATAAAATCAGTGATACTTGTTGAGTGATAAAATCATTACTGAATATGCTGCCAATGAAGTATATCTATTGGCTGCGCCCGACGGGTTATTTTTATGTTGTACTTTCTGAAGAGAGGTTATGTTCAAAGTTATAAATTACGAAAAACTGAGGACAATTACGGGAAATCATCACCGCGCCCGCGTTGTGTGTATTTACTGTTAGCATGTATAGGTATATGGCTTGTAATTCGACAGTGTACAGTGAATATAATTGTTTCTCTCATTTTTTAAATTCAGCAAATTTGTATACGTAATTTCCAAAATGGATAAGAAAAAGTGGATGCTTTGAATCTCAATTAAGTGTATTTGAGACAAGAACCCAATGTAATTATCATCAACACATACAACTTACAGCTTAGACCTCCAGTAATGCCATCTCAGAAGCAGATTTTACATCACATCAGAGCCAAAGATTGATAACAAGCCTCGTGAAGTTTAGGCAACACGTACAACTAAGTGCTAAGTTAATATCTTATAGAAAAACCTACATAATGTAAAAAACGGCATAATGTCAAAAAAACGGCATTATATCACTTTAAAGGTTACGTGATACCCGTGCCGTTAATATACTGCAATAAAGTCATGATAGCTAGACTATGCTTGCCATAATTATAGTCAAATATTGCTACAAGAGGATTGCTCGTTTAGATAATCCATTAGAGTAACTGGAATTTGCGCCTTGAGCTTTATTTGCACTCTGCGGATTATATATGCCCTTCTTATTCCCTATATACACAAAAAGCTATTATCTTTTTCAGCGTCCTGTGAAATGCGGATCTATTTTGCATATGTGTTCTCTTTCCTGAGCGTCTGGCTGACAGTGGCTTTCACCGTGGAACGGTTCATAGCAGTCCAGTATCCTTTGAAAAGGCCTTCAATATGTACCATATCCAGGGCAAAAAGCATCACTGCTGCCCTAGTTGTCACATCTGTGCTGCTCTATCTCTACGTTTTTTGGGTGGTAGGGGTAGTCAACGGAACTTGTGATCTCAAGGTATTATAAAGATTATCCCAATAGGTTCTTCAAGACTTTGTTTTTAAGTAAAACCAACAATTTGAATATGTTTTCATATTATCGATATCCTAGTACTGAACAGGAAGAGAGCATCAGTGAGTTACGTTTCTTATATAAGATTCTCAACTGTCTACAGATGAACGTTTACCCAATTCACGGGAGTTGATGTACGGTCTGCCACAAGGGTCAATTTTCAGTCCGTCTTGATGAAACTCATACGTGGGTGTTCCCAGAAGTAACCGGCGTGACCTAGAGATGGCGATAGTTGTTTGAAAAATATCATTGTATTAGAAAGTATGCAACCTATAAAGCATATGTGTCAAGTTTGAAGACGCCACGTTGTTTAGTATTTGTTTGGCAGCCATCAATACTGAACGTTTTCAGTGAATTTGTGAAAATGGAGAAAGTTGGTCATCGTTATGTGGTACAATACTTTTATTTCAAAGGCGTCAGTCCAACCAATATAAAAGCTGAACTGGATTCTACTCTGGGTGAGTCTGCTACTTCGTTTACGACAGTAAAATATTAGGTAGCAGAGTTTAAACGAGGTCGTATGAGCTGCCAAGACGAGCATCGCAGTGGTCGACCAAATGAGGTGACGACTCCAGAAATGGTGAAGAAAATTCACAAAGCGGTACTGAATGATCGTCGACTGAAGGAGCTAGCAGACATAGTAGGCATTTCAAAAAGTGCGGTTCATCGTATATTATCTGAAAATTTGGACATGAGAAAGCTGTGTGCAAGATGGGTGCCGCGATTGCTCACAATCGAGCAAAAACAGTGTCGTGAAGATAATTCAATTGAGTGTTTAGCGAAGTTTCACAGCAACAAGTCAGAATTTTTGCGTCGTTTCATAACCATGGATGAAAAATGGGTCTATCACTTCACACTCGAGATAAAAGAACAATCAAAATAATGGCCTCAAAAGGGACAACCGTCTCCAAAGAAGGCGAAGACCGTTTCATCTGCAGGCAAGGTTATGGCGTCGGTTTTTTGGGATGTGCGTGAGATAATTTTCATTGACTATCTTGAAAAAGATAAAACTATCAACGGCGAGTATTATGCGAACTTATTGCAACGTTTGAGCGATGAAATCAAGCAAAAACGGCCGCATTTGGTTAAGAAGAAAGAGTTGCTTCATCAAGACAATACACCAGCTCACAAATCCGTTATTGTAATGGACAAAATTAACGAATTAAAGTTTGAATTGCTACCTCATACACCCTATTCACCAGATTTAGCCCCCTCGGATTATTTTCTGTTTCCAAACTTGAAAAAATGGCTCAGTGGTCAAAGATTTTCCAACGATGAAGAAGTGATGTCGGCAGTTAATGGCTATTTTGAGGAGCAAGACAGTTCTTATTATAAAAAAGCTATCCAACTTATTGAACATCGCTGGGAAAAGTGTATAGAGCTCAAAGGAGATTATGTTGAAAAATAAATACATTTTTTTTGCAGAATTTTTGTGTTTTCTTCGTTGGGTCGGGTACTTCTGGGACCACCCTCGTATGTTTCGGAAATTCCATAAAACTACATTGTGTGTTTTCTCAAAGTAAGCAGATAACTTGTGTGTTTCTAGGGGGCATTAGGATAGTAATCTTGTCCATGGCCTTGACCGCGAGTAATTATATTTCATTTAAAAATGAAGTTAAGTAATTATTGTTAGAAATTAATTTCACAATGTAACTTGCACTTGAGTACATGCAGATGATATCAATAATATTGTTTTATATTATACGTTTTACCACATACAGGGTGGCGCATCGAAAACGAAACAGACGCATCTACTGGCAGCTCAGTTTTATTTCTGGAAAAACGCTCAGACCCGTCGATTTTGCTTTCGAGGAGAACACAAGTTTGACAAAAAATCACGTTAGCACGTGCAGCCCCCTAAGCGGGGGTGACACCACCCCCAAAATCTTAAATGGAAAGGGGGTCGAGTGCTACCTTATTTTAAAGGTCTTTCAATTCCCTTTATAATGATATAAAATTGATGTAACTTCAGTTGCAATATTTGAGGAGTAATTTGAAGGCACTCATTCACAATTCTTTGTCGCAGGTCTTCTAATGATGTTGGCTGAGTAGCATAGATTTTGCTTTTTAAATGACCCTACATAAATAAATCCAAAGGTGATAAATCTGGCGATCTTGGGGGCCATTCAATGGCACCTCTTCTACCAATCCATCGATCTGGAAACGTCTGATCTAAATACTTTCGAACACGTAATGCGTAATGTGGTAGGGCACCATCCTGTTGGAACATCAACCTATTCGCAATGTACCGCCGATCATTCTGATTTTCAATTATGGCTGTTAATGCAGGATCTATGGTGTCTTCCAGTAATTCCAAATACATTTCACCGGTCAAATGATCGCCAAAAATACCAGCCCAAACATTTAATTTTTGTGGCTGCTGTATATGAACCTCATGATAAATTCTGGGATCAGAGTCGGACCAATATCGGCAGTTATGACAATTTAAGAAAAAGGAACATTCGTCGGAAAAGCAAGTGTTGAATCGAAAATTTTCATCTTTTATAATTCGTTGACTCATATCTTCACAAAATTGTAATCGCCGATCAAAGTCGTCTTCATTAAGTTCTTGTACCAGGTGAATTCTATACGGATGAAAACTATGGGCCTTTAGAATCCGTTGGACAGTACGTCGACTAACACCACACACAGTCTTCAATTTGCGGGTACTTAACGTAGGATCTACATAAACTTGAACTAAAACCCCCACTTCTATTGCTTCGTACCTTATGGGATTTTCAATGTTGCGTTTTTTACTGGCGACTGACCCAGTTTCCCGAAATTTAGCTACAAGTTCTAGAACATATTTTCGATGCAAGTAGCTGTTCTCATGTCGCTCATTAAATATTTCTGCTGTTCTATTAGCGCACTGATTATTTCCTAAAAATATTTCGATAATTTCAACTCTTTCTGCTGTGGAATATATCATGGTTAGTTTATGTAATAAAGCGTTAGAAGTTATTTTAGCAAACAAGGTTTGGTCAAATCAATCGCAAAATATGTACTAAATTCCTATTTAAATTAAGTACGAGATATTTCCTTACCTTTCTTCAAGAAATAACTTTTTGCCACAAAAAAACGCTCCAATAGCTATTTTCAACAACAAAATGATAATCAAACCATGGGCGTAGTGAAGAAAAGCATTTACTTATTAAGTAAATTCTTTTAGTCAAATTTCTTCTTAAAGTAGTACAAACTAATCTGATGTACCTATTAAAGTCTACTTTAAGCTTTAAATCAATAAATCTTCAAAACTACTGAACTGAAGCTCATGTATTTTACATCATTATAAAGGGAATTGAAATACTTTTAAAATAAGGTATCACTCGACCCCCCTTTCCATTTAACATTTTAAGGTTGGTGTCACCCCCGCCCAGGGGGCTGGACGTGTTAACGTGATTTTTTACCAGACTTGCGTCCCCCTTGAAAACACAATCAACCGGTCTGAGCGTTTTTCAAAAAAAAAACTGAGCTGCCAGTAAATGCGTGTTTCATTTTCGATGCGCCACCCTGTATATACAAATCAACGTCAAGTGATGAATAAAGAATATAGAATAACATCCATTTTGCGCCACCCTCTACCTATTAGACACCCTTTACAGGTTAAATATGAGCGATTTAGACGGAATTTTTCATTTAGCTTTCGGTTCGGCAATAGGCTAGTTGACACTTTTTTAAGTAGCTCTTGAATGGTTAATAATTATCCTATTTGACAAAAAATATAATACTATATTTTATTCAGACCTAAAAGACCGTGAAACTTCAATTTAAAAATATACTGTCCGTCATGTTTGGCCCATTCAATGGGCTCTGACGTCATACCATTTGTAAACCGCATCTGACAGTACCAGTACCAGTACCATAACCTCTCAAACCTATAAACATATAAACATGACTTCTACTAGCTTACATGGAAAATATAGTAATTATCGCTACTATTTCATCCGAGAATGTCAAAACATATCGATAAAGAGTCCAGTAAAGCAGTGGATTAGAGTATCAAGGGACATAAATGTACACAACACTGTGTGTTGTTTGAGCATACCTTATGTTCGGGACATATTGACATTTTGACTTTATCGTCTCGTTTAAGTTGGATATCATCTACGGCATCATCGGTGTGCGATTCCTTACAGATGTGTAAGAAGAAATACAATATTAGAAAAAATTATTCAAAGGATATGTCGGATGGGCTTAGTTTTGAATGACTGCTGAAAAGGAAGATTATGTAAATCCATTACTTATTCTATCTTTTTATGTCTATCATTACGAGTATATCAGATGCACTGTACTTACATGGAAGTATTGATGTTCCTCAGCTCAGTAGAGCAGAAATATGGGTTGAAGTCAAAACAAATTACCATCAATGTGTCAATTTACTCAAAATTTCTGCTTTTACGAATGCAACGCTCATGATTGTCTTTTCCAATAAAACGAGAAAACGATAACGAATTTCGTTGATTAGGAGTGTTTTAGAAATGATTAAAGATACCAACGTTAGTCCACGTGTGACAAACGGATAACGTTTCTTTGTTTACAATTTGTATGACGTCACATCATGGCCGATAGTATTTTCACCGTTTCGTATTGACAATAAAGAATATATGGGGTTGTCCAAAACGGACGTAGGAAAGTAAACGCATATTAAAACAAGAAAGATTGATATTCAAATCAAGTTGGGTGCTTTATTTTTAAGGTTCATTTATACCATTTATGTATGAAAAATAATATCGCTCAAATGTTCACCACGACTGGATTTACAGACGTCCACGCGATGGTCGAAATTTTCAATGACATTTTGCAACATGGTCGGTTCTATGGCATTTATCTCGGCAATGATGTTGTTTTTGAGTTCTTGGAGGGTGGCTGGTTTGTTGACGTAGACTTTGCTTGCCAAATATCCCCATAAAAAGAAGTCCAAGGGAGTCAAATCACACGATCTTGGTGGCCATGGCACATTTCCTCTGCGCGAAATCACGCGATCACGGAAGAAGGACTGCAATCGATGGATATTGACGTTTGTTGTGTGGCATGTTGCACCGTCTTGTTAGAAATAAACATCGTCCATATCCATTCCTTCAAGTTGCGGCAAAAAATAGACCTCTATCATCACGTGATGCCGATGATGCCTTTTGACCACAATGCACACCACAGTCACTTTTTGAGGATGCATCGGCTGCTCTTGATACTCACGGGGATTTTCGTTCGCCCAGATGAGGCAGTTTTGCTTGTTTACCGTCCCATTCAAAGTGAAATGCGCTTCGTCGCTGAACATGATTTTTGATGAAAAATTGGGATCAATTTGGCGGTATTCAAGGAGCCAATCTGAGATCGTTCGGCGCGAAAAATGGTCGGCCCGACGCAGCTCTTGCGTCAATTGGATCTTGTAGGCGTGTACATTCAAATCCTTGTGGAGAATGCGGAGCAAACTGGTTCTCGAAATGCCCAATTCTTGGGATCGACGCGTTGTTGATTGTTTCGGATCGTCTCTCACACTCTCCTTCACAACAGCAATATTTTCCGGTGTGCGAACGCTCCTTGGCCGGCCAGAGCCTGGCAGATTTGCCACAGAACCTGTTGCCTCGAATTTACGCACCAGACGACCGATGGTTGTTTCGTTTGGGCGGTTGTTGCGGCCGAAATGTTCACGAAGCGCGCGAAACGTGTTTTTTATTTTTGCACCATTTTTGTAGTGCTCTTGAATAACTTTAATGCGGTCTTCAATCGAATACGACTCCATAGCGATCAATGGTAAATATTCAACTAACAAAATGACATGTCGGTGACAGAAAACAAAGATGGCGTCTATGTCAAATTGACGTTTACTTTCCTGCGTCCCTATTGGACAACCCTTTATTTTTTTAAATTGGAATTATATATCCATCTAACGTTTTTTAAATCAATATATTTTGTTTTTCCTTACCAAAATGCTGTAACAATACCTATTTGTTCTGAAAAATTAGATATGAGTCAAGTAGCCTATTACTCCAAGCTCCAACAGATTTTTCGGAAAACTAGTTCTGATTAATTCCTAAGAAATCTCTCCCATGGAAAACTGTTTCTAAAGCTCTTACGAAGAAACGTACGCGATCAACTACTCAGAAAGTAGTAGTTAGACAAACACCAAAGTTTGGGGTTTTGGTAAAGTTGGTGGGAGCAATTCCGCTGACATATTTTTATTTAAGTAGTGATGCTACCGGTTATACTATAAGTCTACACCAACCTCGTTATTTTGGGTAGGACACCCTATTTATTATTCATCCTTTGGATTCATAGCAGAATTCTAGACACATTTTATGTACAAATATCCTATACCGAAATATAAGCGTTATCGTGATATCTGCAATCTTGTGTGAAAGTCATAAATACAAAATACAGTGTGTTTCAAATTCGACCCTCACCAATCGGATCTCGGAAACGGTAAGAGATACGAAGTCGCTTAAGTGGTGACAAAGTTACGTAATTAGGTAACTATACTAAGTGACATATAAATCCGAACACCCAGTTTAAATGGTTTTATTTTAATCTTGTATAAGTACTTAATGAAGCATAATAAGTAAATGATAAAAATTCCAAAATGATTGCACTGCTTTAAAGCCCTTTGACCTTTAATAATATGGGGATGCACCCTGATGTGCTACGCATTCTCCAACGCGCCTAGGCATGCTTCTGATCAGGTGGTCAATGTCCTCCTGTGGTATCTCATTCCAGGCAACCACCAACTCCTCTCAAAGTGCTTCTAGAATCTGAGGAGGACGTTGCAAATTGAGCAATCTCCTACCCATCATATCCCACACGTGCTCAATTGGGGATAAGTCGGAAGATCTTGGTGGCCATGGTAACAATGTGACATCATTATGTTTAAAGAAGTCTATTGTGACTCTTGCAACATGTGGTCGGGCATTATCTTGTTGGAAAGTTGGATCTGCCAGGGTGTCAAGATAGGGTAAAAGATGGGGTTCTAGAACTTCGTGGATATAACGCTGCGCGTTCATGTTACCTCTGATGAAGATTAAAGGTGACCTGGAACCATAAGCTATAGCACCCCAAACCATAACTCCAACAGTGTGATGAACATGTCTTTCAACAAAAAACTGTGGATTCCTCCTTTCACCACGTCGCCTTCTAACCCTGGCACGACCATCGTGCATGCTTAAACAAAATCGAGACTCGTCACTAAAGACAATACTGTTCCATTCCTGATCCCAGAGTGACCGTTGTCTGCACCACTCAAGGCGATTACGTCGGTGTTCTCGAGTTAAAGGGAGGACCCAGTGTGGCCGGTATGAAAACAAGCCAAAACTTCTCATTCGTCGGTAAACACTTCGCATGCCAACAGGTCTTCCGTGTTCTGCAAACCATTCCTTTGCAATGGACCTGGTAGTGGAGAAACGGTCCCTTAAGGCCAATAATCTTAGGCGGCGATCTTCACGGTCTGTTGTTCTACGGCGGCGTCCAGTGCCCCTTGCTCTTTGCGTAGGTACGGCCTTCTCGAAGTCATGCCTGACAACACCTAACCACAGTGTCTACACTCTAACTGCAATTGCCCGAAAAGAAAGTCCAGCTTCCGGAAGTCCCACTATACGGCCCCTATCAAACTCACTAAGTTGACGAAATCGTACAGGTCTCCGTACTCTATGCATCGTAACCGATCGTAAAGGATGTCAAGAACCAAAATCCGCCAACGTTGATTCTTTACTGCGGCTGAAATATTCGTTTTTAGAGCGTTAGTGAATTAAAAAAAAGCAGTATAAAAACCGGAATGTCCAACTGATAAGGCTGAAAATTTTTTCACTTGTTATTTACAGTAAGATAAATACATTCACCAACTTTTATTAAAATAAAACCATTTAAACTGGGTGTTCGGATTTATATGTCACTTAGTATAACAAAATTCCTGTTAGAAAGCTTCGAAATTTAAAGTACTTCTGGAGAGGGACAGAAAAATCGAATTTTTCCAAAATCTTTTCTCCTGACTTGATTTGTAGCGGCATGTTAAAATAAATTGCATATTAACATCGCCACTTTTTCTCCTCTAAAAGATGGCATAATTAGAATTTCAATATGACGTTTCGTCTCTTGCCCTCCAGTATCAACTTTATTTTTTCTGCATATTTGCGCAATTGTATAGAGTTTTTAATTCAGATTCCAAAAATGTATAACATGTCATATATTGACATCGCCAAACCTCAGTTATTCCAGAAAAACAGAATTTCCAAAGTAGGCCTTGAAATTATCATAGTCATTTGTTTCGTATACCAGACCAGACCTCAAGTTGAACATGGTAACAGAGTTTTTTTATATTCCAACTACCATGAAGGCCTAAGGCCTAAACACCCATGGAGTACCGTGGGGCTATAGGGGATACAGCGGAAAGCGGGGGACGCCACACGGACTCTGGCGAGGGAACACGTGTGCATGCAACATGCACACATTCTGGCCCCGCCTACGAGATCCGCCGAGTGGTACCTCCGCGTTCGACAGTCAGAGACCGTCTACCACCTACGGACAATCACAACATCCACAGCCAAGAGAAAAATTTATCTTGTGACGGGATTCGAACCCGCACAGCGCACGGCGACTGTTAAGGAGACCGAAGAGTCTATTATATAATGGGGATGTTAATGTGCAATTTAGTTTGAAATCCCACTACAAATAAAGTCAGGTATAAACCTAAAACGATTTTTTCCGTTTCTCTTCGGAAGTGCTTTGAATTTCAAAACTTTATAAGCTGAATTTTGTTAGTCACCAAAATACACAATTTGACCTCCCCACTTGAGCAACTTCGTATCATTTACCATTTCCGAGATCTCAATGGTGAAGGTCGAATTTGAAGTACAATCACCAATGCTTCCTGTATTTGACTCTTCAACATACGATTTGTAATGGTTTTCTTGTCGGGAAGGACACCTCTGTTCCATATATAAATGAATAATGATACAAGACGAGTAATCGATCGCTGCGGTTCTTTGTCGATATGTATGTTGATAATCCTTATTCAACTAATTAGTACATTATTCTGAATCTTTCAGCCCCTCGACACTAATTTCTACGAAGTAATCAACTACATAGATACTATTGTCACACTAGTGATACCAGTTATCTTAATCGTTGGTATGAACAGCATGATATCTAGGACTATATTCAGGTAAAAAACCGATATACTTATTTAATTATATTACCAGAACCAAAACAAGAGCATTTTCTTATCCTTTGAAAAGTTCAATAAGAAGGTAGCAAATACTAAGTGGGGTATTAGAAAAAAATCTACCTAGCAATGAATCAAAAGGCATGCGATTATTTTTTATAATTTTATTTATAATGTAATATCTCCTACATCAATGCACTTGCGTCATTTCTCCTACAGTATACTCTTATAAAAAATACTTCCTCGATCGAAACTGTTTCGACCAAAATTTTGTGTAATATGTTTGATCATCGCCATAGAGGGTGACCATTACCTCAAAAATTGTTTTCGGCTGATGGCCATTTCTTATCTGAAATTTTATCGCACAGCGATACTCTAATTTTCGTTACAATTCAATTCATAAGTGTGAAACTGCTTATCAAACTTAACTCAAATTTTACAAGGTTAGAACACATGCCACGCCACTATAGTCGAAATCACGAAAGATGACGATTACGTCATCATTTTAGTCTGTAGTAGAGACAAACGACAGCGATTTGTGAATATTTTTAATGCAGTTTCAGATATGTTAGACAGAGACAAAGAGAATTTTTATGTTGCATGATCGATCATATTTGAAAGATGAATAGTTAGGTTATGTTAAAGCAGGTTAAGTTGTTTTCGAAAAATACTTTGGTCTTTGGTGTTCCTGTCTTAAGGTTTTCTACTCTTAACTGTTTTTTTTTTTCAAAACAAACTCCACTAAAATTATTATTAGGTATCACTCAAAACCATGAAATAAAATGAAAATAAAAGTAATCAGTGAAATAACTGAACCGCCCAAAATCATAATAATGGGTGATTTTCTTGCTAGTATCTTTGTGGCAACACTGTTTTTGACAGATGCGTGAATCGTGTCTTGTGTCATTGTAAAACTTGTTCAGTTTGGTCTATAATTTAACCATGATCGACTTACGAACGAACAACGCTCGTAAACTATTGAATTTTACTATCAAAATTCATGCTCGGTTAAGAGAGTGCATCGAGCACTGCTTCCAATTTATGGGCAATTTGGTCGGCCTACTGAGGGAGCTATTCGGAAGCTTGTGACTAAATTTCGAACCCATTATTGGACATTAAACCACCAACACGCAGGCGTAGAGTGAGGACTGAAGAAAATATTGCGGCTGTATCCGCCAGTGTTAGTGATGACCGTGAACTGTCGATTCGCCGCCGTTCGCAGCAATTAGGCCTCTGTTACTCCACTACGTGGAAAATTTTGCGACAGGATTTGGGTGTAAAACCTTATAAGATACAGTTGGTGCAAGAATTGAAGCCACACGACCTCCCACAACGTTTCCAATTTGTTGAATGGGCGCTGGCAAGGTTGGAGGAAGATCCACATTTTTATCGAAAAATTGTGTTCAGCGACAAAGCTCATTTCTGGTTGAATGGGTACGGTAACAAGCAAAATTGCCGCATCTGGAGTGAAGACCAGCCAGAAGCATTACAAGAGCTACCAATGCATCCCGAAAAAATCACTGTTTGGTGTGGATTATGGGCCGGTGGCATCATCGGGCCGTACTTCTTCAAAGACGACAATGGCCGGAACGTAAATGTGAATGGCGAGCGCTACCGTGCGATGATAACAAACTTTTTTTTGCCCAAAATGGAAGAGCTGGACTTGGCTGACATGTGGTTTCAACAAGACGGTGCCACATGCCATACCACTCACGAAACAATGGCCCTATTGAGAGGCGATTTCGGTGAACAGTTTATCTCCCGTTTGGGGCCCGTCAATTGGCCGCCTAGATCGTGTGATTTAACGCCGCTGGACTATTTCTTGTGGGGCCATGTTACGGCTAATGTCACAGTGATAAACCAGCAACGATTGACGCACTGGAAGCCAATATTGAAGCATTTATTCGTAAGATACCGGCCGATATGTTGGAGAGAGTGTGCCAAAATTGGACCTTGCGCATGGGCCATCTAAACCGGAACGGCGGCCAACATTTACATGAAATAATCTTTTGTTTTTGTTTTTTTGAAAATCAAATCGTATACCTCTTAAAAAATCCCCGTTATAAATTTGTTGTCATTATGTCCCTGACATCGTGATTTTATCATCGACGTGCGTCCATCGATTACTTCAGTACAATTTAGGGTATGACGTAATAGTCATCTTTCGAGGTTTTGATTATATGTGACATTATTATGCTTGTACTTTTCAACTGTTTTTTCATGGCTAAGTCGATTTCTTTTCTAGTGCCTCTCGTATGTTTGTCGCATTGCAATTGATCTTCAGTGCTTCCGAGAGTGCCAACTGATCCAAAAGTTAAAAAACGTTTTATTCACGTTACGTTAAACGGAATATGATAAAAGCTATCTGACACGCATGCCGAGAAAACTTTCTACAGCAAATATCATGAATCTTCGGCTTCTTCGAATTGGTTAAAAGCTTGGGCTTGTTTCCCGTCCATCAAAATAAAACGTTCTATTTTATCTTGATCTTTTGCTCTATCATGTCTCTCAATCTTGTTAAGTCAAGTAGCTTTTATGTTTAAGAGCTTTCAGGAAGTTAAGTCAATCAAAATTATTTGTAAAGTACGAACTGGCTTCTAATGAAGGGCTGTTGCGTTATTGTTAAAAGCTTCTGTGTCTCTAATATAGCAAGTGGGCCTCACAGTTACGTACTAAATCTTGTAAGTGTTTTATTACAATGTTTTTTATATGGACAAGGGATCGATAGGAAATGTAAATCAAGAGCTGAAGTAATGTTGGGTACGTTAGCAGCAAAAGTGAGTAAAAAATCTATTTGGTAGAACGATCAGCGTGTGTCTATATTCGAATTTCATCTATAGTTCACATAAAACTAGAGGAAAATCTAATTTCCATCTGAATTCTGATGATGATCTCAGAAGTTGCGAGCCCGATAAATGTCTACAAAAATTTAACCACTTGCCTGCTACTATTCGAAGTCAGAAATCATCAAAAACTTTCAAGGTGCAATTACACTACCTGTTTTTTCAAAAATATATGATATTAACTTATATTTATTGATAGATAAAATTGTTTTGTATATGCTATACAACATGTATGAAATACTCGTATGTTTCAATGTAGCCATAAATACAGCCTAGTACTACTAGTTATCAAGCTGAGATGAGCATACGGCAGACAGCGCTGTTTTGAGCTCATTAGCAACTCATCAGGCTGACTTGCAAACAGACCAAACTTTAACAACACACTTGCGCACTGTATTTTGAGTTTTCCGAAAGACCGTACTCACTTGTGTCCTGTCCCCAATATAGACCTCTTCGGTGATGAGTTTTTAATGGGTTCAAAACAAAGCTGTCTGCGGTGGGTTGTGATTACAGAGACGGAAAGCAAACTTGTCAATTTTAGCTTGTATCTATTTATGCATATACTGGGTTTTCAAAAAGGTCCCGACCCCTTCTTATCTCAGAAAATACTTACCGACAAAAAGTAACTAAGACAAGATTTTAGGATTCTACTTTACACATTGAATGGTGGTGATAAAAACGACCTTGATTTTGACCTCGAAAATAATTTCAAGGTCAAGTTGATTTTCTTTAATAAGATCCTGAACTTTTGACCACAGAAATTGAAAGAGGGGAAAAGTCCAAGTTTTAATATGTGCTCTATTATGTCCTTGACTTTGAGGGTCATTTTAAGGTCAAATTAATTTAGTTAAAATTATAACTTATCACACCGGAAAGTCGAAGAGATGAAAATTCTCAGTTTGAATATGACCCTGGTCTTAAAGGTCGTTAAAACGGACCCTATACTTTGACATTGAACGACCTTCAGGGTCAAGGTCACATTTAAACTTAGAATTTTCCTCTGCTACAATTTCCGGTGTCTAAAGTATAGGAGCCCATTTAAGAAAATCGCTTTGACTTCGGAATAACCATCAAGGTCAAAGTTAAGGTCATGTCCAAACTTTGAATGTTTCCTTCTTTTAATTTCCGGAGTCAAAAGTATAGGGTAATATAATAAAAAAATCAATTTGACCTTGAAAGTGACCTTGACATTTAAGGTGATTAGACTGCTGACTTTTACAACATTTGCCGTTTTATACGGTCAGTATTTTCAAGAACTATTTGAACAACCTGTATGTACAGAGAGCAGTTGCTGGTTTGCTCCGTAAATACTTGGTATTCCCACAACTTGACGATGAAAATCACCTTGACAAACCATTGGGCGATGAAGATCGTCGGATTTCTCATCTACTAGTGCATACTACTAATAATCCAGAACAAACTTACATAAATAGTATGTTGCCGCTAATAACATAGAACACTTAAATGTTAACACTAGCCCAGCGGTGCGACCATATAGTAACTACGCTCTAACGTGAATGGAAAGTAAAAAGAAAATTCTAGCCACGTGGCTGCGTTACGTTCATTCATTTGGGGCTTTTATGCCAATAAGCAGAAACACGTGCAGGTCGGTTTATCAATCATATTTTTTCTGCTCCCTGCTGTTTTTTTGCCGCGGGGTATATAGACTACGAATACTAGAGTCAGTCTGCGGTTAAATCATTTTATTCTGAAGCCTCAAGATTCTTTAAAATGTATTAAATACGAAGAAGAATTTCATAATCATTGTACCGAGTGCCCCAAAGATGAAGGATAATCCTGAAACTGTAGGTATGTCCCGTCATGGTGTACTATACTACAACTATTTAAAACTGTAATGACTCATACGCGTGATCAACACGTGATCAGAGCTCGATCCCGGCTTCCTTCCAGTACAGCCGTATAGCGTACGACATATGTCATTTCTGTGGCTTTGCGGTGGTCAACAGCACAGACAGAGATGGAAATAATGGCAGATTGTTCTCCGCCGGTAGAACCAATGAAATCACAGACGCGCCTCGACCGGCAGACTCATAGGCGTCGGCAACGCATTGGAACGTGTTTCGTTGAGCCATCGCGTATTGTGTGTTTTTATAAGAATTGTTGTGTGATTGTTATTGTTGTGGTTTCTGTGGTTACTGTTTTGATTATTCTTAACCATGGAGAGTACAAATGGCACGAGTGGAAGTACTCAAAGCCAGGGAACAAGTAGACGGCTTCGTAAAGCACTGAAGAGGGACGCGAAAGAAATCGTGCTCAACGTGTTCAATTATCTGAACAGAACTATGTCGCAGGGAGATGCACTCGCGCGTTGTGAAAGTATGACAGGCGTTCCAGAGTGGACCATTCGCAGGGTGGTGCATGAAAAGAAGAAAACTGGAGCTACTACTGATCCAAAGTTTAATTTGAAGGGACGAAAGGCCGTTAAATTGGATGACGATAGCAAAATGGCGTTCAGGCGAACCGTACATTCATTCTTCTTTAGGAATGAGATACCAACCCTCAAGGCTGTACATGCAGCGATCAAGGAAAATGAAATTATACCCCAAATGAGCGTCGAGGTAATGAGGAAATCCCTGCACGAAATTAATTTTCGTTACGAAACGCGTAATCGGAAGTCAGTATTGATAGAGAGACCTGAAATAGTCGCCTGGCGTCGAAAATACCTACGCGAAATGATTGAATATAGGCGACAAAGCACAGTTAAAAAAACCTGGATAGACAAAAACGTAGTGATTAACCGACAAGCAAGCATTGAAGGTTTGTCAACAGGTCTTCGTAGACCGTCAGGGAAGGGTCAAATATTGATCGTAACTCATATTGGTAGCGATAGTGGCTTTTTAGAAGAGTGTGACTTGATTTTCGTCTCTAAGAAAGGAGGTGATTACCATGACGAAATGAATGCCAGCTGCTTCGAGAGCTGGTTTCAAGGGGTGCTTCAGCGAGTTGAGCCCAACTCTGTGATCGTCATGGATCATGCTTCCTACCATAGTCGTCGAGCCGAACGTGTGCCGACTATGGGATCTCGAAAAACTGACATGCAGCAATGGTCGCGCGAAAAAGGAATCCCGTTTGACGACTCATGTGTGAAAGCGGAATTGTATGAAAAAATTAAACAGCACAAACCTGCGAACATTAGTTACGTGACTGATGAGATGGCCCGCCAATGTGGTGTCACTGTGCTGCGGTTACCGCCCTACCACTGTGAACTGAACCCAATAGAGCTCATCTGGGCTCAAGTGAAGGGTTATATTGCGCGCCATAACACAACCTTCAAATTACCAGACGTTAAGGTTTTACTTGAGACTTCCATACAGCTAGTAACGCCCGAAGCTTGGCAGAATGCTATCCGTCATGTTGTGAAGGAAGAAACAAAAATGTGGCAGCTTCGACACCATCATAGAGCCAGTTATAGTCAATTTCAACGAGGAAAGCGATAGCGACAGTTTATTACTGTCATATGTAAGTGGAAGCGACGAGCGACGATGAATAAAGGTAATTCCCAAATTTTTGACTTACAATATGTTTCAAACCACTCTTTATTAAGCATGTGACAAATCTAGTTCACCCATGTTAAACATTCATACCCCGCCTATGAACAGCCGACTACTGGTAGTTAAGTGATGTTCACGTGAACATCGATGAGTCATTACAGATTTAGATAGTTATAGTATAGATGGTAAAATTTTGTTCTAGAAAGTATTTCCTGACGTCAAACTGACAAGCTCAAATGAAAGCTAGAAGAATACCTTGTTCCTAAGTTTTGGATTTTTTTTACAGTCAGTTGTTCAGTGCCTCTTGTATGTGAGTTTTCGCGTTGTTTTTATTAGTTTTTTAGTTTTTGTGCCTTGAGACTTAGTTGTTTTTTATGCAGTACGCGGCCAGTACGCAGATGTACATCAAGAAAGTGCTAACTACATTGATACCTTAAATGTAAATTATCCTCCAACATCAATCCTGTCCATTTTTGTATCCAAGCCATTAATTGTTATTTTTTGATATCTACGAAAACCGTCCTCCATCATAACTGTGATAAGACCAAAAAAAAACTGCCAATTTTTTTATTAATTGGCACTGTGATCGTACTTGATCCTCTTACTCTACATACTGCCAAAGTCAGACGTACTATAAGAAGGGGCTTCGATAAGAATTTAGACCTTGGAAAAATAATGCTGGACGAGATGAAATTCTTAATTCTAAGTATTTTAAAGCAAACCTGGCTCAAAAAGTTGATGTTTGTAGCAATGACATGGGAAAAAATGAATGCTGATGAAAGTCTCTAAAACTACACAACTTTTACTCAAGCAAAATTTTACCATGTAGTAGGTCATGACAGGACCTCTCGACAGTTGCAGGATTATCTTTCAATTTCGGGACACCATGTATATGATCAAGAGTACCATTGTAAGGTGAATCCAGTTTTTATTGCCACTCTTAACTTTGGAAAATGTAATATTTTTTTATAGTTTGTGATGTTTTCGTTATGAAGTCTACTGGCGATTTGGTCACTGAATAATTTCAGTGACCATCGCAGCGGAAATAATGGAAGGAACTCTATTACGGACTTGCATTTTCATGATGAAAACATAAATTATCCGAAAACATGACATCTTCCACTAATGCGTGGCAGTAAGAAAATAGATTTAAATGGTATTATTGGTGGTAGATTATTGATTTATGGGGTCGTTCCTCGTGAAAACATGTATGCTAACACATGGACAATGTACGTAGTGTGCCCAGTATGCCACGCGCTGTTTTCATACGAATTTTTGACTTTCGCGGCTTATACTTGAAGAACCACCAAGGTGTCAAAAACAAACGTAGACAACCTTTTTGTAGAAAGTTTTATTATCTGCAAAAGAGGATAGTAGTCTCCATAGATGTTCGCTTGGATATCTCGTAGCCTGTTTCTATTACTTCTTGACACAGGATCAATGAAACAGATTTTCGATCAAACGCGGTTATCAAAATGGCGCCAAACGCTGTAGCTCTACCATTAGGAAGCAATAATCTAGCGATACTGTCGCCAAAATTGTAGGAAAAAATTACCTCTTTTCTATCTTATTCTTAGCAGACTGGCGCGACCGCTTTGCCGTTCAAAAACCACCTGGTTTCTGGGAAAGGTCTTCCGCGAATGACTTTACTCTTAGCAGTCTGTAGGCTTCTGAGCACACGTGCCCATGATTTCATTTAAGCAGTTTTAACATTTCTGTTGCTCCAGGTTCAGAAAAATGGTGCAGACGAACACGCTGGATCCATGTGATCGCGTTAGATTGTGTGATACGAGCTCGCAGGTACAGTGTTAGGATAGTTATGTGAATTAACCAAAATCGAATGCAAATACCATTACGTGATACGGTATCCGTTATAATGAGGGAATAGCATATAACAGCGTCAACGGGAATTATGATTGGTTATCAGTGATCGTATGTGCAGAATGGTATGAATGTGCAATATACAGGGTGTTTCAGAAAGACGTACCAATATTTTTATGGTAGAAAGCACATCCACAAATAACAGAAAAAGATCCTATAAATATGGCTCAAAAGGTGCTCTACTACCGAGGTACAGGGTGATGTAGCCTTATTTACGAAATTGGAAAAAATATACATCTACAGAGCGGGTAAAGATACTGAGTAAATATTTTAGACGGTCAGTGAGCGCATCATAATCAACAAACACCCAGAGTTTTCTGGCCAAAACTAAACCAGGGATGTAGACACTGGGGTACCTGGATACCTAGTAGAGAATATTTTATACGCCGCTGGCTTTTTCGAAGAAGAGAAGTGCATTTTATAATGCAAATATATGTTTTGTCTCTTCAGGAATTTTTGTCAGGTCACTCGTTTTGATATTTAGATTTGAATATTTGAGTCAAAATCCTAAAGTTTTCTTATGAAAAATGTTAGCCTAGCCTATTCTGAAAACACCGTGAAGCTTGATATTGAAAAGACTATATGGCATGTAAAGACATCTACGGCACCTCATTAAAACAAAGGCGTGTCTTATCCTCAACCAGAAGCGTAGAAACCTACCATTCGTTAAACCTTTTATGTGCACACCACTGGTTTTGCAGGCATACTCACGTCTGCTTATAGATAAAGCAAAGAAAACGTTTATTCCAAAAATAAATAAACAAAGCTAATAAGAATTAAACACGACAGCAATAAACATAACATTAGATACAACGTGGTTATTTCTAAATTTATGGGGACATAACAGTGGGAAAAAAATCATGCTGGATAAATTCTGTTGTATCCAATGTAAAAGAAGTGTTAAAAGTAGCCACCTCTGGATTCAATACAAGCCAGTGTCTACGCCACAAAGACGCTTTGGAAAATACCTGGCGTAGTACAAACATTGTTGAAAGTCATCTAACTAAGTAACTAACTAATTAAGGCAGAACATTTTACTTTCTTGCCAAACATAAGAAATACTCCTGGAATTTTTGAAAGGATTCGCCATCCATAAGAACTGTATTGTATTTTATTCTAGCAGAAGGAGGACATTTTCAACAACTCTTGTGATAATTAAGTTAAATAGTATTAGTTTATTTGATCCACAGAAATTATCAAAACTTGTTGCAAACTTGTTTTTTTTTAATTTACATGTATTGCAGAATCGCTTAAATCTCATGTGATAGTTTATAGGTAAGATGTGTTTTTGTGTAATTCTTATTCAAGTAATGTCAATCGATTAAAATAGCCAAAATAGTTTTTATTTTTTACGCGAAAAAATTCAAGTGGGCAAATTTTTTGCGAAATAAATGAGCATTTCAAAAATGATTTTTATTTTACGAAAGAGTAATGGCGTACCATATCTTTTTTGAAAAATATCCAGTATACGTGCGGACGCCACTGGTAGAAATATTAGAAAATCGTTTACATCAAAAATGCCTGCTTACTACGTGCTTGTCAAATTTCATGAAAGTATCTAGAACAGTATTAAAGTTATGATAAGAAAACGATCTTTTATTAAAATTTTAACACCCTGTAGCTCAAAAGTTAAGAGGCTTAGGACTTCATATAATCTTTTCATCCTAAAATAAGCTAAAGAATCATATCCTGTATTTTTAGAAATTAATTAAATTACACCCTGTATATTACTTGGTTGTTGTTCAATGTGTTCATACAGCTGGGCGTAATACACGGTGTTAACAATGTCAATGACAATTTGCATAAAATACCCGATTAGTTTGTTTGCAATATATGAGGAACTAATTTCCATGGTATTTCCAAATTCAACCAGTTTTGATTATTTATTTGGTTTTGAGTTGACCAATTCCTGGTAGTATAACGAGTAGTGAGATATAACTTATCATGTATCTTTCTTTAGAGCAGCAATAAATTCAAAGGCCAGGAAAGAGAAAGTGTTGAACTGATGACACCAACGAAGATCACAGTATTTAAGAATCACGTCATGCAGACTTCAAATTCTCATATACGTAAGTGAAGAGAATTTTATCAATAATAATATTAACTCCTTACAATGTTAAACCAGTTGGGGTCGGGTTTGGAAAAATATGAGGCTTCAAAGTTTCATAAATTAGTCCGGACATAATATATACGAGGGATGTCTTTTAAGTTTTGCATATGGAAATAAAACAACACGGTATGTAGTTTTAAATGACTTTATTGTTTTTCGAAGTATTCTCCACGAAGATTAATACACATCTGGATGCGCTCGATCCAATTTTCGAAGCACTTATTCCACTCGCTTGCTGGCAGATCCAGAACGGCATTTTTGAATGCGTCAACTGCTCCTTCTGGTGACTGGAACCTTTGACCACGCAGTCTGTTTTTAATTTTCGGGAAAGTATAGAAATCGTTAGGACTTAGATCGGGACTATATGGAGGATGGTCCAATAATTCCACGTTTTCTTCCATTAAATACTGCCTTTTTTTGGGCTGTGTGCGAGCTTGCATTGTCTTGGTTGGTTGGTTTTTTACACCAATTAACCCTGGCTGCTTTCTGCTCTTCATTCAACAGGTGGGGTATCCAACGAGAAACTAATTTTCTTACTCCTAATTCTTCATGTAACATTTTTTGAATTGAGGTCTTTGAGATCTTCAAGAACGCTTCAATCTCGCTGTCACATGTCTATCTTCAATTATGAGTTTACGCACAGCATCGACGTTTTCCTGGGTGGCTGCCGTTTTTGGTGCACCCACCCTGGGATCGTTGCTAAGACTCACCGTCCACGTTTGAATTCTCCATACCGACGGGAAATTGTGGACTGATGTGGCGCTTCGTTGCCGAAAACAGACAGTAACTCAGCAAGGCATTCTTGTTGCGATAATTGTCTCTGAAAGTTGTAATAAATTATGGCGCGAAAATGTTTTCTAATGACTTGGTGACACTTAAAAATTCACTGTAGTGAGAACACTGTGCGTATTGTTGTGAAACTTTGAATTTAATTTTACTAAAGAGTGAGGTTAAGATTCAGTACTGACGTTCGATCCGCGCAGCCCACTATGTTTCTATATGCAAAACTTAAAAGACATATCTTCGCATATGATGGGAATAATGTTCTGATTCAGCTGGTTTGCATAATCTTAATCGAAAAGCACCAGCCCGAATTTGCGTCAAGAATTTTCCAAACATTTTGATCGGTTGACAATAGATTTACAATAGCAATGTCTCCTTAGACGATTTGAGATTTTGTTGAAGGATTTTCGAAGAATATGTAGGAACCTTGGTAGAATCAAAATTTCCGTTTTTCCATATGGTTTTTCGTAGTCGAAAATGACATATTTCGAACTTTTTCAAACATTGTATCTCTTATATCTCGAAAACTATAAACTTCAGGGACAAGTGCCAAATTACCTCTTTTGCTCAGATTATCCTAAAAACATTAAAACACTTTGACTAAAGCGATAGAAACTATTTTAGGAATTTGAAAAACATCGTTTAATGAAGTTTTATAATACGCAAGTTGTATGGAGAATATGTAACGTGTATCCTAAAAGTTTTGGTACAAAATATTTATCAGATTCTTTTTCAATGAAGGAATTTATTTAGGCATCAACTAGTTATCTTAAATTATAGCTCAATACTTAACTAAACTATACTATCGAATTATGTGGAGTGGTTCATTCTGTCCTTCCAGACGCAACTTTCTTTGGAGGTCCTGGACGGAATTGATATCAATTTCTCTCAGTCTTTCATAAACTCCAACCAACCAACTTGTAGATGCTTTTTCTCATTTCTAATTTATACGACATCTTAAAGCAAGAACTTCAAAATGAATAAATTTCAACTGACAGTAAAGTAAGTCCACAAACTTTTGTTTCCAAAGGCAACTTGATATTATTTTGTGTTTGTTAAAATTAGAGCCAATGAATTTTGTGACAAAACTTTTAGGACTAACGTTATCTGGTAAACTTGGTACAACATTGTTTTTGTTGCAGATATAAAAACGACCTCCAAATATGCAATGTCAGTCAGAATCCAGCAGAACATCAACAAGATGTTACTAGTTGTTAGTTATACATTCGTATTACTGAATTTGCCCAGGTAAAGTAAAACTATATATTCATACATATTACTCCACACTCTCGTCCACAAGCTTCGAGAACACCCGAGAAGTCCGAGTATGGATGATTTGATACGATGCTTCTATATTCTCATAGCAATTTTTCCAAAATTATTAGTGCCACCCAAATCAAAATTTCGAAGTACGGACCTTTTGCTAGTAGTATAAAAATTAATGAATTGTTTCCCAGTTACGTTATCCGTCTCTTCTACTTCTTCGACGACATCCTGGATAGAACCGTGGACAAACAAATGAAGCTCTACATCAACTGCGCCCAAAAAATCGCCATGTTGTTGTACTACACGAACTTCAGCATCAACTTTCTGCTGTACACGATGTGCGGCGAAACGTTCAGGATATGTTTGAAGAATACTCTTTGTAATTTGTTCTATAAGCTCATAGGTGTTACTAGTCGTATATAGATTTAAATGTTTTCCTTCGTGACTGAATAAAGGTATGTGTCCCACTCCATGTTTCATTTCCTATCAAATAGCTGACATCAAGGCCAAGGGAAGGTTGAGACGCAGGGTAATGCCAGTGAGGCGGGATAACACAGGAGTGTTTTACGGACGACCCTTGAGGGGGTGCCATTTGAGGGTTGATCTACCCTTGGGAACAATGCAACCATGGTAACAATAACGCTTCCTTGAGGAACGTTCAAGGGGGGATTTAATATTTGCATTTTACAGTAGGCTACAGCAGATGTCACCACAGGCTGTTATGGATGGAGGCATAATATATACAGGGTGGTCAATATATAACTGACTGATTTTTGATACACGCATTTCAGTAGGTGACGCCGTAGTAGTTGTTTAAAGCACATGTGTCCAGTTCATCATGGAGTGCTACACGATCCCACAACGCGTCCGTATTGTTAAAACGTTTTACTTAAATAATTAATCGATTGTTGCAACGATTCGGAAGCTACGACACGATTTCGGTCTACCAAACATCGTTCTTAATGGCACGTCATTATGCACTATTTTATATTATATACTAAGTGGCATATAAATCCGAACACCCAGTTTAAATGGTTTTATTTTAATACAATTTTGTATAAGTACTAAATGAAGCATACTACGTAAATGATAAAAATTTCAAAATGATTGCACTGCTTTAAAGCCCTTTGACCTTTAACAATGTGTGGATGCACCCTGATGTGCTACCCATTCTCCAACGCGCCTAGGCATGCTTCTGATCAGGTGGTCAATGTCCTCCTGTGGTATCTCATTCCAGGCAACCACCAACTCCTCTCGAAGTGCTTCTAGAGTCTGAGGAGGACGTTGCAAATTGAGCAACCTCCTACCCATCATATCCCACACGTGCTCAATTGGGGATAAGTCGGAAGATCTTGGTGGCCATGGTAACAATGTGACATCATTATGTTGAAAGAAGTCTATTGTGACTCTTGCAACATGTGGTCGGGCATTATCTTGTTGGAAAGTTGGATCTGCCAGGGTGTCAAGATAGAGTAAAAGATGGGGTTCTAGAACTTTGTGGATATAACGCTGCGCGTTCATGTTACCTCTGATGAAGATTAAAGGTGACCTGGAACCGTAAGCTATAGCACCCCAAACCATAACTCCAACAGTGTGATGAACATGTCTTTCAACAAAAAACTGTGAATTCCTCCTTTCACCACGTCGTCTTCTAACCCTGGCACGACCATCGTGCATGCCTAAACAAAATCGAGACTCGTCACTAAAGACAATACTGTTCCATTCCTGATCCCAGAGTGACCGTTGTCTGCACCACTCAAGGCGATTACGTCGGTGTTCTCGAGTTAAAGGGAGGACCCAGTGTGGCTGGTATGAAAACAAGCCAAAACTTCTCATTCGTCGGTAAACACTTCGCATGCCAATAGGTCTTCCGTGTTTTGCAAACCATTCATTTGCAATGGACCTGGTAGTGGAGAAACGGTCCCTTAAGGCCGATAATCTTAGGCGGCGATCTTCACGGTTTGTTGTTCTACGGCGGCGTCCAGTGCCCCTTGCTCTTTGCGTATGGCCTTCTCGAAGCCATGCCTGACAACAGCTAACCACAGTGTCTACACTTATTTGCACTCTAACTGCAATTGCCCGAAAAGAAAGTCCAGCTTCCCGAAGTCCTACTATACGGCCTCTATCAAACTGACTAAGCTGACGAAATCGTACAGGTCTCCGTACTCTAGGCATCGTAACCGATCGTAAAGGATGTCGAGAACCAAAATCCGCCAACGTTGATTCTTTACTGCGGCTGAAATATTCATTTTTAGAGCGTTAGTGAATTAAAAAAAGCAGTATAAAAACCAGAATGTCCAACTGATAAGGCTGAAATTTTTCACTTGTTATTTACAGTAAGATAAATACATTCACCAACTTTTATTAAAATAAAACCATTTAAACTGGGTGTTCGGATTTATATGTCACTTAGTATATTATGCCGTATCTGAGAATTAGACGACCCACGTGTCATCCATCAACGGCCACTTCATCTTCGTCGAGTCACAGTGTGGTACGGTGTTTGGTATGGAGGTGTCATTGGACCTTACTTCTTTGAAGACGCTGCAGGTAATTTTCTTACTGTCACTGACAAGCGCTACCGTGATATAGTGCAAAAGTTTCTGACTCCCCATATCCAACAATTTAACCTGCAAGACATGCGGTTCCGGCAGGATGGAGCAACATGTCACACAGCTAGGGAAACAGTGAATCTTTTGCCGACAATATTTCCGGGACGTTTAATTTCTCGATTTGGTGATCGTCATCTGGCCACCAAGGTCATCGGATTTAACGGCTCCTGACTTTTTTATGGAGATTTTTGAAAAATAGTGTTTACTCCAACAAACCAAATACAGCAGAGCAGCTGAAGAACAATAAACCTACTAAAATGTGATGGAAAATATAATCAAGAGGCCTCAGTTTTGCGCGGCTTCTAGAGGCGGAAATTTGTTTGATATTAATTTTCATAAATAATTTCTCAGTTTCAATAAAAGATTAGGATGAAAAAAATGGACGGAAGATACAAACCAGTCAGTTACATATCGGCCACCCTGTATATGTAATAATAAATATTGCTAAGCAATGCTAAACATTCATGTAGTTACTTAGAAATACTAGAAATACTAGACAAATATAAAGAGATCTTTGAAAATAAAAAACTGATAGCTGCTTAATAACTTTGAAGAACAATGCTTGAGAGCGAATTGCAAAAACATTAACGAAAACAGTACAACCAACAGAGCCAATAAACAAGTAAAACAATTGGGAGAGAACGTCAAACAAGGGTAAGTGGAATGATTTGGTAACATCTGAGAAAATAACCATATCCTCTATGAATTTATTTTTATAAAGCTGCCTTTTTCTTATAGTGAGGGTGGACTATTGAAACCAAACATTTCATAAAGGCTTAATTGATTGATGTAAATAGCGCAACGTCTACATATTTGTTATTTAGGAATATAAAAGAACAAAAATGCAATTGAAACTTGTACTATCAGTTGTTTCGAAGGTGTGCGGAGTATAAAGTCAATCTACTTCACGCCATTTTCAAGCCGATTCAAGTTTCAAGGTGTGCATCTAATTCATTGATCCGGTAGAATATTCAACTCAATATTAGTAAATTCACTTGTTTTGTAAAATTTGCAGCCTTTCAATAAGCGAATTATCAGTTAAATATAGAGTAGTCGAAGAGTACAAAAAATTTGGAAGGATGATAGTATTATAAATAATTTTTCTACTATATGAACTCAGACTTCCAGAAATTCTTGATAAATATCTCACTCTACTACCAATCTTGTCTATAATTTTCACATAAAGAATATTAAAATTTAATTGAGAGTCAACAAAAACCTCGAGGTATTTTCTACGAATTCATTATTTTCACCATCAATATTCAATTGAACGTTTGTATATTGATGATTTCCAATTAAAATAGCTGCTGTTCAACTTGCATTCAATTTGTGTTTGTCAGATGGAATTTTGAAACAAGTTTCTAGTCTTCATTCATATAAGAGATACCAGACTGAATATTTTGAGCACTTATATAAATCAAAGCATCATCGGCGACAGTTTGAATTTTGGATCTTTTGATTATGGCAAGTAAATCGGTTATGTATAAAATAAAAAGAAGTGGTCCTAGGATACTGTCCTGTGGCGCATCTAACGTATTTTCAATTGTTGATGAAATAATGCTATTAACTTCTGAAACTTGCAACCTCTTGAGCAAATAATTTTTAAACCAGTCTAAGAAATTTGCTCATAAGAATAATAATAATAATAATCATCATCATCATCTTCGTGAAGTGGATGGAGACAGTACTAAACAGATCCAGAATCACCTCTGAACAACTACTCCCAGGGTGTTTAATCAAATCTGAGTATTGCTAGGTATGTTTATGTCACCAGTTGTCACTAACAATATTATCGGTACAGTAGTTTCGCATATAATTTAAACTGGATATTCAGGTATACTAGTAAGAAGAGTTTATCATGTGTGACCTACCTTAGTTTTTCCTGATCCGGTAGGACCAACTAGCATCAATCCGTGTCGTACGACTGTCGTTTCATACAACTGGATCACCTTTTTGACGTAGTCTGAAATAAAGAGATGCAGTTTTTTCAATATCTTAGTCTTACAGAAAATTGCTATAATCTTTTTTTTACTATTTTGATCACTTACCAGTAAGTTGAGTTTCTCTTTATAGCCTATAGAGTACCGATTCCTAGGCCAAACCTTTTTCATGATTTTCACGATATTTCACGCGTATTATATCTTTCATTCTCAGTGACTCAGAATTGTGTTGAAATCTTTTGGAAACTAACATTATAGTATTATTAACGACTATCTCAGAAATTTTCTCATAAAATATTGTTAGTCCCTCGTAGGGAGTCGGTTCTGCCCAGTGGCAACCAGCGCGCCACCTTGTACACGTACGGTTTATGAATATTTGCTTTTCTATCAAAATACGTTCTTTACCTATCGAGATACCTTCTTTTCCTATCAAGATACCTTGCTTAAAAAATTTACGTGTACAGATGCGTCCAGCGCCTTTTTGCTTTTGCTTTCCGTTGGGATTCTGGTTGTGTGTGGGCGTTGTTTCCAGATTCTGGGATATTAAAGTCCTAAACACCAGTTTATGGAGTAGTACTCTTTTATTTTGTGCCTTACGTTTAGTTGTTCTGGTTTGGGTGCTTCCCCGTCCATTTTCTAATGGAATTTTAACCTCCAGTGTGGAAACTCATTGTTTTGTAGCTGCCTTGTAGCCGCAGCCGACTTTGGTGGAAGCCTCCCGTTTCCCTTGACACTGCTGACCACTGGTTTTTGACCTAAGCTTTAGTAAGCTGTGGACATCTCGGCTGTGTCTAGAGCCGCAACTGGAAGAAGACCACTGTCCAGATAAGTTTAGGTTTAGGCGTTAAGATATTTGTAAAGCTTTCGTACGTGTACCATGGTAAACGTTTTGCAGGGTTAATTACCACGGTCTAATAATATTATTGTCAGGTAGTGTTGAATAATATCCTTTCTTTCAACTTGCACTCCTGTGGTGGAGCATATGTGCTGCTTGTTCTGACAGTATATTGTGATTCTTTTTTTAAATATCTTGTTTTATGCAAAAAGGAAAATGGCGCTGGACGCGTCTGCACACGTGAATTTTTAAAACAAGGTATCTTGATAGGAAAAGAAGGTATCTCGATAGGTAAAGAAGGTACCTTGATAGGAAAGCAAATTTTCATAAACGGCTAGTACGTGTAGAAATTACAAGGTGGCACGCTGGTTGCCAATGGGAAGGACCAACTCTCTACGAAGACCAACAATATTTTATGAAGAAATTTCTGAGATAGCTGTTAATAATACTATGACATTGGTGTCCAAAAGATTTCAACTAGATACTGAGTCGCTGAGAAAAAAAGATATGATTCGTATGAAATTATACAATCAATAAACTATGAAATTTCCCAAAAGAAAATCATTAAAAAAGGTTTGGTCTAGGAATCGGTACGCTGTAATCAATAAAGAGAAATTCAAATTACCGGTAAGTGATCAAAATAGTGAAAAAAAGGCTACGTGACTTTGTCACGTGACACTAGCAACCACAAATAAATAAAATAAAGGGATTTTAAAATCCCTGACTCCCCCTCCTCCTTCCCAAAAAGAAAAGAAGTATACTCTATAGTATATTCAGATAAGAGATAGACCGGATGTAAACAAAAGGTTCGGGTGATTTTCACGCTAACGCCGCCGTCTCGACGTAAAACAGGAGCCCTCATTGGTCAATTCGCAATTAAATGCCTATGCCGAGCGGCAGAGCAGTCGTATCAAGGCAGAGTCACATTCAGGTTCAGACGTGTTACGTATGTCGTGTGCATCATTGCAATTTGATATTTCTTTGGACGTTTTCGTTTGTTATCTTATTAAGTTGTTGAGTTTGTCGTTGTTATTGTTATACCTTGTTATTGATTGTTATTGTTATCATCTGCTTGCGCAAAATGCCCAGTAGTACAGATACTGCCGATGAAGTTGTAAACTCCTGTAGTCCACCTAGGAAACGCTCTAAAAAAAGACACCTGAGTGCAGAAATGAAAGATGTCATTTTGAATATATATAAGATCGAGCGCGAGGAGAACGAGGCATCAGCCATCAAAGAAATTGTTGTGAAGGTTTCTCACAAAGTTGGGGTGTGTCGCGCATCAGTGTTTAATGTGTTAAGACAATACAAAAAAAATCACACCTTTTCTGAGCCAATGACCAGTAAACATCGCAAAAGTATTGTTAAATCATTGGATGAAGCTGATAAGCATGCGATTAGGAGGAAAGTGCATGAATTCTTCTTTAGGAATGAAATACCTACTATAGATAAAGTACTGCAGGAGGTAAATGGAGATACAACGTTGCCAAATTTCAAACGATCAACTTTCCATGCGTTACTGAAGCATTTAAATTTCAAATGGAAAAAACGGGGTCGTAATAGTTTACTACTGGATAGAGAAGAAATTGTGCTATGGAGGAGGGATTATTTAACAAAAATTGGGAAATATAGAAATCAAAACAGGAAGATTTATTACCTTGATGAAACGTGGGTAAACGCAGGACACACTACAAGTAAAGTATGGGTTGATGATTCTGTAACTTCATCCAGGAGGGCCTTTCTAGATGGACTGTCCACCGGATTAAAAAATCCAGCAGGTAAATACGAGTAATAGACAACAATCGGATGATTTTCAAACCTTGGGAACAAGGTTCTAAACATTAATTCCAGGGGGCAGATAAAACATATTACAAGTAACAAAACTTTTATAACTTTCGAAAAAATGCGTGGATGTTTTATTGTCATTTTCATTTGTTAGAACTTTTTTAAGCCATGTTTTTACGTGTTTCCGATATTTCAATAATTTTTTAATATAATCTTAAAATATGTCGAATATTATAAACTTAAAAAAGTTACTAAGTTTTATATTGTGTACCGTTCCTAATATTTCTAATCATTTTAATTCATACTTTAAGCTTTATAAAGTTATAATTTGTTAATATTAATATTTGCGCGTATTTCAGGTTCCTGATCATTCATTTTTTAAAGGTTTATAACTTTAAATTAAATTGTGAAGCGCTGAGTAATCATACGACGTTCAATATTCTTTCTTTCAATATGACTAAATAATCCCAGTTATATCAATCTGATACTCATGTCTCAATGTTTTTTCGCTGAATGTGATGAAAACATTTGAAAAAGGTTCGCTTATTGAAATAAATCTACTTCGATTTCCAGGTAAAGGGAAAAGGCTCATTATCTGCCATATTGGCAGTGAGGATGGATTTGTTGTTGACGGTCTGTGGTGCTTTGAGTCTAAGAAAACTGGAGATTACCACGAGGAAATGAATGGCGAATTGTTTGAACAGTGGTTTTCAAAAGTTTTACCGAACTTAGAGGAAAACGCAGTAATTGTGTTGGATAATGCGCCTTATCATTCTCGAAGAATGGAGAAGGTCCCAACAACGGCTTCAAGTAAAGTTGATATTCAAAATTGGCTCCGCTCGAAAAATATCAGCTTTGAAGAAGCAATGCTGAAAGTACAATTATTAAGAATTGTCAAGGATCACAAGGCGGAATATCAAAAATACGCCATTGACGAAATGGCAGCAAGTCAAAATAAAACTGTGCTCCGTTTACCTCCATACCATTGCGAGCTCAATCCCATTGAGCTCATATGGGCAGAGGTTAAAAATTATATAGCTAAGCACAATACAACTTTTAAATTTTGTGACCTCAAAGGACTTTTCAAAGAAGCACTAGAATTAATAACAGCGAATGGGAAAACTGTATTAAGCACGTGAAAGACAAAGTTGAAAAGAGAATGTGGGAACTGAACAATATTTTAGAGGAACAAGTCGAGCCATTCATTATTGACGTTGGTGCTTCAGGCAGTAGCGATGATGAAAGCTCATCAAGCTCATCTTTCCAATAAAAGATGTCGTTCATCAAATTCGGTAAGTTATAAGTAATTATAAAGCTACTGTATTTTTTAATTAATTATTGACATTTTTGAACCCATTTTGGCAAAACCTATTCAAGAATCTACTTTCTGACAATGTTCAACCATGCACATTTTTTTACGTTTTGAACGTTTTAATTTGGTTACATATTTACCTAGAAATCAAAAAATATACTAATCAATATTCTAAAAGCAATTTTAAGAAATATACGATTATTTTTAATTTAGGCTAATTTAAACGCCATTTTGAGATTATATTCGACTGTATTTCACCAAACATCAGGCGGCATCCGAAGCTGGAAATCGAAGCGAAAATTTTGAATGTATATTTACATCATTATATATTTCTTACCCCACCCCCACATGATCCTATATCCATCACCAATCGTATACACATCGAATTGTGCTAATTTACTACAAAGTTACGCAAAGCAGCATCTACTATCTAAAATATGTACTGCGTGACTCTTAATACGTCCCTGCCGAATGTTACAGCGTTCGATGATCACGTGGTCTTGTTTATGTCCGGTCTATCTCTTATCTGAATATACTGTAAAAGAACCTCTTTCCTAAAAGTACGTTTCAATCCTATAGTCTGGTGACTAAACGGAAATGATTAGCAGACACATTAACAAAATTTCTTTGGGATCATCATAGCAGCCGCGGTGTTCCGGCATTTAGGCTTCTGCCTGCGCGGCTGTTTCGATATAAAAAAAAAAACATTGTACACCACTGCTAATGCAGCGCGACTCGGTATGGCGGGATCCGCGCGCACCGACTTCACCGATACAAAGCTTGTGAGCAGTGGCGTACGATGTGTTAAGTTACCTTCTGCCGTTTTGATACTCAAGTATAACAAGTTCTGGTAAAGGAAGTTTGTCCTATTGTCAAAAATGGTGAATGTGTAAATCGTCGGTTTCATACCAAATACTCGGAGAATTGGTATAGTGAAGAATGTATTTCACTTAATAACCTTGTAGGCAAGAGTGGTAGAAGGTGTCATATAAATCTCGGCCAGACAAGCTTATTTTTGTACTTTGACACTGAAATTTATCTGGCACGAGTTTTTCGAGAATTCAAACGATTGATGATTATGACTTTTACGAGGTCAACTGAAGGTCATGATTTTGAAGGTAAGAGAGAAAGAAGAGGCGCACTTATGTGAACACACCTTCAGGGTATTGTCATTTATTGTTTATTAAATTAAGTTGTTTTATGTAGTGGTCTGCTTCTGGCATATCGAACAGTTTGCGTCAGCTTTCAAACTCCAATCTCGTGGAGAACATGTCAAAAAAATCACATGTGCCTAGGGTTTGGGTACCAGACTTACATTTACAACAATGCCCAGTTATTATAACACAAACATCAGGTAAATCCTCGTTATTCTCATTAACTTGTCAATAAGATAGTCATAGTCGATACCTTATTAGCTATCCAAAGCGTGAGCAAATTCCGACTACTCCATCTAAAGCTAGAACGACGTCCATCTCTTGCGTCGTTGCTAACATGCTAACAGCTGAAGTACTAATGCAGCATTAGCACCTCCCAAAAATAGTGATTGCAGGATGGTATTTATTAATAAGAGCACCAGATATTTTATGGAGGTGTCCTAGATCCGATACATGCTGCATGGGAATGGTTTCAAAAATAGGTTTTATGTGAACGTGCACCGTTTTGGCAGATCGAGCAAACTTCCCCCTAATATTTCTCAGAAACTCATCATAGAATGGTCTTGGTCCTATGAGAACTTTTGTTCGGTAAAGCGAGAAATATATCATACTGACTTTTTAGAAAAATCAACTGGGATTCAATTTCCATATGTTTTGTGCAGGGTCCTTTGTTGTGATGGGTACGTACTTCAACCATTTTGGATAAAAAAACTTATTTTTTATTGTCGAAAAACGTACCGTTGACATCCTCCATTCCCAAAAGTATGCAAGAAGCCCGTATAGACTGTTCTAACACACCATAATCAACTGCTTCTTCAACCATTCGCGGAAACAGGTCAGATGTGATACCTATACAAAAAAGATGCTCTTTACACTCATTTTAAAATAAATGGTCCTTGATGTGGCAAGCAGTTTTACACAAATCACATATGGCTATATTCGTATCGTTCTAAAACCTCAATAACTCAAAAATAAGAAACATCAATGCCTGAAAATATAACTACAGTGCTACAGTTTAGTCAATGTATGTACTTATTCCATATGAGATCGTAACTCAACCTCCAATAGCAATCTATATATTTCATTTTAAAGGATGGTCTAAGATAGCAGGTATTTAGTCCTTTTCCTGGCTATTCAGCAGTGACCCTTAATTTGACCTTGATCATATTTGTAAGCCAATACTTTTGACGTTGAAAACAGGCAGCGCGGAAAATTTCCCATTCAGATACGACCTTAGGTGAAAATTATTTTAATCTTGATCTTGGTCAAGGTTATCGTGAAATTCTTGTTTAAAGCAATTAGGCTTTACACTCATTTTAAAAAATGGTCCTTGATGTGGCAAGCAGTTTTTCACAAATTACATATGGCTATATTCGTATCGTTCTAAAACCTCAATAACTCAAAAATAAGAAACATCAATGCCTGAAAATATGACTACAGTGATACAGTTAGTCAATGTATGTACTTATTCCATATGACATCGTAACTCAACCTCCAATAGCAATCTATATATTTCATTTTAAAGGATGGTCTAAGATAGCAGGTATTTAGTCCTTTTCCTGGCTATTCAGCGGTGACCCTTAATTTGACCTTGATCATATTTGTAAGCCAATACTTTTGACGTTGAAAACGGGCAGCGCGGAAAATTTCCCATTCATATACGACCTTAGGTGAAAATTATTTTAATCTTGATCTTGGTCAAGGTTATCGTGAAATTCTTGTTTAAAGCAATTAGGCTTTACACTCATTTTAAAAGATGGTCCTTGATGTGGCAAGCAGTTTTTCACAAATTACATATGGCTATATTCGTATCGTTCTAAAACCTCAATAACTCAAAAACAAAAAACATCAATGCCTGAAAATATGACTACAGTGCTACCGTTACTACTTATTCCATGTGGCATCGTAACTCAACCTCCAATAGCAATCTATATATTTCATATTAAAGGATGGTCTAAGATAGTAGGTATTTAGTCCTTTTCCTGGCTATTCAGCGGTAACCCTTAATTGGACCTTGATCATATTTGTAAGCCAATACTATTGACGTTGAAAACAGGTAGCGCGGAAAATTTCCCATTCAGATACGACCTGAGGTAAAAATTATTTTGAACTTGATCTTGGTCAAGGTTATCGTGAAATTCTTGTTTAAAACAATTAGGCTTTACACTCATTTTAAAAAATGGTCCTTGATGTGGTAAGCAGTTTTTCACAAATTACATATGGCTATATCCGTATCGTTCTAAAACCTCAATAACTCAAAAACAAAAAACATCAATGCCTGAAAATATGACTACAGTGATACAGTTAGTCAATGTATGTACTTATTCCATATGACATCGTAACTCAACCTCCAATAGCAATCTATATATTTTATTTTAAACGATGGTCTAAGATAGCAGGTATTTAGTCCTTTTCCTGGCTATTCAGCGGTGACCCTTAATTTGACCTTGATCATATTTGTAAGCCAATACTTTTGACGTTGAAAACAGGCAGCGCGGAAAATTTCCCATTCAGATACGACCTTAGGTGAAAATTATTTTAATCTTGATCTTGGTCAAGGTTATCGTGAAATTCTTGTTTAAAACAATTAGGCTTTACACTCATTTCAAAATAAATGGTCCTTGATGTGGCAAGCAGTTTTTCACAAATTACATATGGCTATATTCGTATCGTTCTAAAACCTCAATAACTCAAAAACAAAAAACATCAATGACTGAAAATATGACTACAGTGATACAGTTAGTCAATGTATGTACTTATTCCATATGAAATCGTAACTCAACCTCCAATAGCAATCTATATATTTCATTTTAAAGGATGGTCTAAGATAGCCGGTATTTAGTCCTTTTCCTGGCTATTCAACGGTGACCCTCAATTTGACCTTGATCATATTTGTAAGCCAATACTTTTGACGTTGAAAACAGGCAGCGCAGAAAATTTCCCATTCAGATACGACCTGAGGTAAAAATTATTTTGAACTTGATCTTGGTCAAGGTTATCGTGAAATTCTTGTTTAAAACAATTAGGCTTTACACTCATTTTAAAAAATGGTCCTTGATGTGGCAAGCAGTTTTTCACAAATTACATATGGCTATATTCGTATCGTTCTAAAACCTCAATAACTCAAAACAGAAAACATCAATGCCTGAAAATATGACTACAGTGCTACCGTTACTACTTATTCCATGTGGCATCGTAACTCAACCTCCAATAGCAATCTATATATTTCATTTTAAAGGATGGTCTAAGATAGCAGGTATTTAGTCCTTTTCCTGGCTATTCAGCGGTAACCCTTAATTTGACCTTGATCATATTTGTAAGCCAATACTATTGACGTTGAAAACAGGTAGCGCGGAAAATTTCCCATTCAGATACGACCTGAGGTAAAAATTATTTTGATCTTGATCTTGGTCAAGGTTATCGTGAAATTCTTGTTTAAAACAATTATACATCCTTTAAAAAACAAAGCCAAAATAAGGACCCAAAGACAGCAGGGAAAATATCGAGCTGCGCCTATTTGAAGAGAGGCTATTGGAAGCAGAAGCAAGTTTCAACAAAATAAAAACATCCAAGAACCAAATCTTTGTATTCAGTGATTAGAAATGGTGCTAATTTGTAGCCGGATATCATGAAGGTCCGATTCCCGAATTAAAGTGGTAGTTTCAGTTCTTACCGTTAAACAGCGTCAAATCATCCTTGAGAAATTTTGGCACATTGACGTCTCTCAACGCTCTAAGAACGATCTGCCGTTCGTCCATGTTAGGTTTCTCTCTCTTCAGATTCCCAGCGACAGCTATGACGGTTTTGACAGCTCTCATGCCGAAATCGTAGTGATCTTGGCTGCTCAGCTGCTCTGAACTAAGCTTGAAGGTGGTGGTGATCTTATTAGCCAGCTGTTTGGCGCCGCTAAAGCCGAACGAAAACAGGGAAATCTCTGCGATCAGGGAGTAGTTGGGGACCATCATGGAAACGGGTCTAAACAAAGCCTGGAAGGAAGGGTTGGTGTTGAGTTAATACTCTTACTTCCTACGCCATCGGGCCAAGAAGTATTGCAATCGCGAAATTTCGAAAATGAGATATTGCGGTTTTTAGATATTATATGACATGTAAATTACGAAAAACCATGTCACTTATCTCCGATTATCCGCTAATATACTAAGTGACATATAAATCCGAACACCCAGGTTAAATGGTTTTATTTTAATAAAATTTTGTATAAGTACTTAATGAAGCATAATAAGTAAATGATAAAAATTTCAAAATGATTGCACTGCTTTAAAGCCCTTTGACCTTTAATAATATGGGGATGCACCCTGATATGCTACGCATTCTCCAACGCGCCTAGGCATGCTTCTGATCAGGTGGTCAATGTCCTCCTGTGGTATCTCATTCCAGGTAACCACCAACTCCTCTCGAAGTGCTTCTAGAGTCTGAGGAGGACGTTGCAAATTGAGCAATCTCCTACCCATCATATCCCACACGTGCTCAATTGGGGATAAGTCGGGAGATCTTGTGGCCATGGTAACAATGTGACATCATTATGTTGAAAGAAGTCTATTGGGACTCTTGCAGCATGTGGTCGGGCATTATCTTGTTGGAAAGTTGGATCTGCCAGGGTGTCAAGATAGGGTAAAAGATGGGGTTCTAGAACTTCGTGGATATAACGCTGCGCGTTCATGTTACCTATGATGAAGATTAAAGGTGACCTGGAATCATAAGCTATAGCACCCCAAACCATAACTCCAACAGTGTGATGAACATGTCTTTCAACAAAAAACTGTGGATTCCTCCTTTCACCACGTCGCCTTCTAACCCTGGCACGACCATCGTGCATGCCTAAACAAAATCGAGACTCGTCACTAAAGACAATACTGTTCCATTCCTGATCCCAGAGTGACCGTTGTCTGCACCACTCAAGGCGATTACGTCGGTGTTCTCGAGTTAAAGGGAGGACCCAGTGTGGCCGGTATGAAAACAAGCCAAAACTTCTCATTCGTCGGTAAACACTTCGCATGCCAATAGGTCTTCCGTGTTCTGCAAACCATTCATTTGCAATGGACCTGGTAGTGGAGAAACGGTCCCTTAAGGCCAATAATCTTAGGAGGCGATCTTCACGGTCTGTTGTTCTACGGCGGCGTCCAGTGCCCCTTGCTCTTTGCGTACGGCCTTCTCGAAGCCATGCCTGACAACACCTAACCACAGAGTCTACACTTCTTTGCACTCTAACTGCAATTGCCCGAAAATAAAGTCCAGCTTCCCGAAATCCCACTATACGGCCCCTATCAAACTCACTAAGTTGACGAAATCGTACAGGTCTCCGTACTCTAGGCATCGTAACCGATCGTAAAGGATGTTTTCACTTGTTATTTACAGTAAGATAAATACATTCACCAACTTTTATTAAAATAAAACCATTTAAACTGGGATTTATATGTCACTTAGTATACTTGGACCGCCTATAACTTGGGAGGTATCGGTAAGATATCGATCAAATTTTCACTCAATTACTATGCTAGGAAGTAAAACGCTTTATGGTTTTTGGAAATTGGTCCAGTGTTGGCCGAGCTTGGGGCAAAAATACAAACAAACTCCGTTTTTCTGGCGTTTCAGAGACTTTTGACCATTTTCAGAAAAATGCTTGTAGGGGTTGAAATTCGGAGGTCATTGCCAGTGGGGAACGATATATCTCTTTTATTGCGGTAGTATATTGATACTATTCCAACGCAGATAATTTTACACCTATCTGTGAACCTTGTGCGCGTCTAACTAGGATGCGTTTGTAATTCACTTGGCAATACGAGGGATGTCTTTTAAGTTTTGGATATAGAAACAAAGTAGGTCGCGCGGGTCGAACGTCAGTACTGAATCTTAACCTCACCCTTTAGTAAACTTAAATTCAAAGTTTCACAACAATACGTGCATTGTTCTCACTACAGTGAATTTTTAAGTGTCACCAAGTCATTAGAAAAATGGAACTCAACCGAGAACATTTTCGCGCCATAATTTATTACAACTTTCAAAGACAATTGTCGCAACAACAATGCCTTGCTGAGTTACTGTCTGCATTGTTAGTGGTGATGAATCGTGGATTTACTGTTATGAACCAGAAAATAAACGAGAGTCGGCTGTTTGGGTGTTCCAAGGTGAAGAAAATCCAACAAAAGTCATCCGTTCTCGAAGTGTTTCGAAAAAGATGGTCGCGACATTTGTGCCAAAAGCGCGTCATATTGCAACAATTCCTCTTAATGAGCAAAGAACTGTTTTTGCGGATTGGTATACCACCATTTGTTTGCCAAAAGTCATTACCGAGCTTCGAAAAATCAAACCCGAAAGAAGAATCATCCTTCATCAAGACAATGCAGGCTCGCATACAGCCCAAAAAACAAGGCAGTATTTAACGGAAGAAAACGTGGAATTATTGGACCATCCTCCATACAGTCCCGATCTAAGTCCTAACGATTTCTTTACTTTCCCGAAAATTGAAAACAGACTGCGTGGTCAAAGGTTCCAATCACCAGAAGAAGAAGTTGACGCATTCAAATGCCGTTTTGGATCTACCAGAAAACGAGTGGAATAAGTGCTTGGTTCGAGCGCATGCAGATGTGTATTAATCTTCGTGGAGAATACTTCGAAAAACAATAAAGTCATTTAAAACTATCTACCGTGTTGTTTTATTTCCATATGCAACACTTGAAAGACATCCCTCGTATAGTGTACACAGTAATGGAGTGTAGATTGACAGATGAAATTTTACTCTGGAATACTGCGAAGCTTCATTTTTAGAACGCCTAAATGATTACAGAGTCATGTTATGACACTTGGTGACAGCCAAATTTCTAACCACGTTTTCTGCAACCATTGTAGTTATTATAAGAGACCCTAGGGATACGAGGTTGCATTTATCATGAAAAACATACATTCTTCCAATTTTGAGCAGTTTTTGATAACGAAATAAAATAAACAAACAATGAACCGTGAGACTGACAAGTAACAAGGTTTTGAGTTCGGGAAGAAAGGCACACGTTCCAGAAGGATTATTTTGTTGTATTTCCGAACGCATCTAACAGGTACAGAGTAGTACAAAGTACACTCTGTAACAATTTACGAATGCAGCCCTGCATCGCCGGCAGGGATGATCTGAACCTCAGTATTTTGGGTTGTAGTCTGGCTGGGGACTATAAAGTATGGACTAATTGTATATGACTTGACTGTTTAATTTGATAACAGCATAGCATAGCAACTGCAGAGTCAACATACTTGACACTATCTTTTTGTACTCAAATGGTTTCTAGTCAGATTGAGACCATGCTTAAGGTTATAAATAGGCAAAGACCTCAAAGCATGATGAAAATACTCGTACGTCTTGTTCTCAACTAACACTAGCACCGCCTAGCGTGAACGAAAATGCATAATGCTACCAATAGATTAGAATAATCGTATTGCTTCGAGTTAATGAGATTGCAACCGATCCGAAATACTGTCAAACAAAGCAAAGCCATATTTACTAGGTTTAAAAATGCATTATTAATGAAGCCGTCGAACGACCTCTATAGAATATCCCAATAGGGCAGTTGCCAGCTTCAATCAACTCTGTAAGCTTTTAATAAAAAGAGTTTATTGCTGTTATTGTAGCTGTTCTGATATTCGTTCAAGATATGGTTCTCTATGAGGCGTTCGTGAAGACGTCTTCAACCGATTCTTTTTTGAAAAATACAAACAACTCACAGTAACTGTAGTAAATATCAAGACGAATCTTAGGGCACCTAAAATGTCAAAATCCATGAAGTTGAAATTTTCGATTTAAATCCACCATTTAGAGCTTATAAAATTTTATTATACTGTCAAGACAAATCGAGACACATAACATGTCAAAATCCATCAAGCCGTTTGAGATGTAGCCCGTGAAATGGGAATCTCAGGGTTAATTTTTTTATTACAATCCGCCATTTTGTTTTTATAAAATTTTGATACAGCCAGTGTCACGTGCGCTGCTGAGACGGATCCAACAACACTTACCTACATACCTACTCACTTGCATGTATGTCTTGGCGAGTAAACACGAAGCCGCAGATGGATATGATGATAATAATCGTTTTATACAGGGTGTCCCAAAAGTAAGGACACACCCAAATATCTCGGAAACCAAGAGCGCTAGAAAAAACGTCATTTACTGAAGTTTTAGGAAATCAAATAGGACATGTAGTGTAATTTTGGATTTGTCGTCATTCACCTTAAACTTCATTTTAAGTTTTTTTCAAGGAGCCCCCAATTTTTATTGCAGATATAGAACGTCAAAAACATTCCCTCTTCAAAGGTATAAATATCATAGGAGTTAAAATTACACATAGAGGTTATTTCAAGGTCAATTTTTGCTCTTTCATGGAATGTTGTGAAGCGGCAGATTCAAGGTTAGATTGATTCTTTCACCATCAATGAAAATGGAGAAACATTTCATCTTCTAAGATTGCTTAAGTCTAATCCACGGAAATAGAGCATTTGATATTGAAATAACCTCTCTGTGTGACTTTACCTTCGTTAATTAAACCTTTGGACATGCATTTTTTTAGCGCTGGGATCAAAATTCAGGATCTACATGTGAAAAAATAAATTTGACCTTGAATTGATCTTCAAGGTCATAGCAAAGGTCATAATTAAGGTCACCATCAGATCTGCCGTTGGATGTCCTGCAATGTTTGCATTATAAGCTCTTCTTTAATATTTTTCTTTTTTCAGCTATCCGCTGCTCCACGGACGTCACTAACTATCGACCTATTTCACTTATATCAAGTTTAGCTAAAGTTTTTGAGAAATTACTCCTTAATAAAATGATTAATTTTCTTAATAAATTCAAAATTCTAAATTCAAATCAATATGGTTTTATAGCGGGCAAATCTACAACAGATGGGGTATTAAGTATAGTAGATGAAATAACCCAAAATATAGATGGAAAAGTACCATCGATATGCGTATTTGTGGACTTACAAAAAG